CCCCCCCCCACACACACAAAAACCCCTCTTCTGTGCTTCTTAACTTTGGGCTGACTCGGCTGGCTTGCAGTTCTTGGACGGTATGTACGTGTCGGAGAAGGGCAACATTGTCGAGGATGCGTAAACGGTTTTGGAATGGATGGATGTCACGGTTTCTTTGCTGCTTTCTGGGTCTCAATAAGGAGTGACCGGGGTTCATACATTGCATCTTCACGTAGCGAATATGGCTACGATAAAATGAGAGAACTCTTCTGAAGCAACTACCACTGGTTTCCCCCATGGCTGGGTTGGTGCGTGACAGATCGGATAATCTGCAACTGGCGTCAGTCAACGGCTTCTTGGCCTGTTACGATCTGGCGAACTGAGAAGGTACTTGCCATGGTCCCAAATAACTGGTAGTGTGGTGGGCAACGTCGGTGGAGATTGTTGACAACCATAGGACAACACAGGACCACACGGTGCAACACAGGACGATGCACTTCATATCCTTTCTGCCGCTGGATCGGGTTGGGAGGGATGCAGCACCCGCCTCCTAAAAAGACAAGTGCCAATACCTGTGAGAGCTCGGCGCCATACAATGCCCTCAAAGAAACATCCAATGGATGGAGCCATGCGGAAGTTGTGGTTGGTAAAGACATTGGGTTGTCCAAAACCGGGATACTAGCCTGTGAGTGAGGAAGCTCGCAGTTCCTAGTCCCACCTGCTTCGACAAAGAGTGACCGCGAAACGATATGGATCATGTGTGACAAAGCTACTCATATTCATGCTGGGTGACGACATCGAGACCTGCCTGTGCTAAGACGGATGTCTTCCGATGTTCGAGTACTTGATTTAATGCCTTGGCTACGATGACAGTCTAGTGCAAGCTTGCTTCACCCATTCCGCAGTTTGAACATGCCCCGAGTCTTTGTTTCTCGCCGGACCAACCGTACCTCCATCTTGTCATTGGCTGAATCTGTCAGAGGTTACCTCTGCCAGCTACAGCAGCAGGATCAGGGTGATCGAGTGGCCTGAGTAGTACTGGCTGTCTGGTTGACTCATGAGCGTGTAGTCGCGGCATGTATCCGCAATAGCCCAGGCCAGTATGGACCTGCGGGTGTGCTCTAGAGATGCGTGTGCGCATAACTTCTATCTGCTCTGCTCACATGTTTCTCCCGAAACTTCCGGGAAACTTGGAAAAAAGACTCGGAACCTCCCCTGCTCATGAGCTAGCATAAACTCGGATGCAATTGAGGCACAAAACTGCCAACGAGAGACGAGGGAGAAAAGAGGAAACGTGCTCTCGATGGTTTTGGCTCAGAGTTGTTTGAACTGCAGTCACGTCGGGAGAAGAGCGACTAGGTCCCGTGAGGGAAAGTAGCTGTGGCAAATGATCCGGACACCACAAGTACATCACAGGTATATCACGTCACTTAGTCGAATTTACAAATGCAGAATTTTGCTCCATAATACACATTTGCTTCTTTTTATTCAACAGGATCCATCTCCTGCAAAACGCGAAATCAGGACTGGTGGCATACATACTCTCGTGAGTTGACTGCTTCTATATTAAGCCTCCAGACGGAAAAAAAAAAAAAAAAAAAAAAAAAGGGTGCTGCTGAAATTTGTACCCATCTCCTCGGCCCCGAAAAAGGCTCTTTCTCATATGCTCGTTAGCCCGTCGCACTCTGTCGCTCTTCATGCCATGCCATGCCATGCCATCGTATCGTATCTTAGTATCATCGTGCTTTCCATTCTCGTGTGTGCATTCGTCCCTCGAAATTACAAATCGTCAAGTCTCTATAGTTGAAAGGGCAGGGGGGAAACCAAGAACTTTGCTCCACCTGAACGCCGGGGGAAAAAAGAGGGGGGGCGTGGTTTGCTTCGTATGTGAAAGGCCGTTTGGTTATAGACAGGAAAAATGTGGTCCAAAGGGGTGGTAATTTGTACAATCTGCGGGCCCCCCAAGGATCATGTCTGTGTGTGCTCAGGATCACGAGTGTCTAGTGTGTCTCGAGGTTCTGCGCGAGGTCCTCGTGGCCCTGGAGTGTCTGGACCGCCGCGTATCCCGCGTCCTCCTGTCCGAGCTCAGACTACCTGTCAATATGTGTCAGTCACAACTCCCCGATTTGGTAAAGATCACAGGTATGTACTTACTAGGACTGCTCGCGGTGTAGGAGTCCGTGTAGTACGAACTGCTCCAGTCGCTCCTTGCCGGCTTGTGGCTGCTTTCCTTGCGCTTATCTCCTCTCTTGAGTCCTAGAAGCAACAAGGTCGCACCGCCCGCTGCCGCCAGCCAGCCGACTCCACTACTCTTCTTCTCCTTTCGGGAGGCAACAGTGGATGGGCGACCTTTGCCCAGTCCGAACCACGTACGGTGGGCTGGCCGACCTCCGTGGACACTGCCGTGTCGTGAGTAGCGCTCCTCGATGATCTCGGTGCGTTCTGTCTTCTTCTTGTCCTTCTTGCCGATGCCGAAAATGGCGAGAACGGTGTGCCATGCTCCACGGATGATGCAGCACGCACACAGGAGGAGGAGCAGTATGACACCCGCGATTGTGCCTACCACGATGCCCGCAATCGCTCCTCCGCTCAGCTGATTGCTTGTCGTCGTCACGGGCACGGCGGTGCCGGTGGTCGTTGCGCCCACTGCTGTGCCGGTACCTGTTGACGTCGCCGATGTCATGATCTGGGTGCTCGAACCCGTGACCCGGTAGGGCGCCGAAAAGGCGGTAGTGGCCACGCCTACTGTGGTGCCCGTCGTCCAAGTTCCAGCACCCGCGTTCGCCATGCATTGGCCGACGCCGCTATCAGAGCAGTATTGCCAGCTCGCACAGCAGATGGGTCCACACGCGATTTGGCCACTGCCTGCCGGTGGGATACAGTCCTGGCCGCCAGAGCCGCTAGAGGCCGGCGTGGTGGCTCCTGGGACATATGAGCTCCAGGTGCTGGTGTACGTGTGCGTTTCTGTCCAGGTCGTCGTGTAGTAGTTGGTTGACCCTCCCGCTCCCCCGGTACAGGCTGCTATACCGGCGTTTGTCACACACGACTGGCCCGACTCACAGCAGTACTGGTTGTCCGCGCCACAGTACGAGGCGCATGAGCGGTCCATGAGATAGCCGAAGCCCAGATCTCGGATGTCATCGCGCGGATAGGGCCCGGCTGAGACCAGTCCGGCGAGGAGAAAGGCAAGCAGGGCAGACGACGGAGCCCGGCGAGAGGCCATTGCGTGAAGATTCCTCTGGGGCCTGGGACTCGAGTTGGCAACTGAGACTGTCCGCGGCTGGGCTGGAATGCGCCTGTCTCGAGAATGCCGAGCCTCGGTGGCCGCGCAGACGTGCCTCGACGCCGGTAAATGAAGCCGAGCGGTCAGATGCCAGATGCCAGATGCCGAGTCCGGAATGCGGCAACGGCTGGTGGTTGTCCGGGGCGTGGTGGTTCTTCCTCGAATGCTACGAGCCACAAGGTTCGAATTCAAGCTCAAAAAAACCCAACACCCGTCCAATCTTTGCAAGATGAAAGGTCCGTCCGACTGCTACAGTTTGGTATCGCCAATAGCCCAATGCCGACAACCTCGAACCTTAAAAAAGGAAAGCGATGTATGGGAGTTAAAGAGGTGGGTGAAATGTGAGGGGATGATTAGTTCGGTGAGATGAATGCATGCGATCTTATTTTTTTTTCTACAGTGAGAATGACTACTGCAGGTCTGCCGTCTGAATCGATTGGAGCTGCTTTCTTCCCTGTTGTGTTCCCAGCCTCTTCGTTGTGCTTGGAGGTGCCCAAAAAGTCGCGGGGTCGGGCAAGCTTTACGAGGGTGCTAATAGGCTCACTCAGATCGCGACAAAACAGAGGGGGTTGGTGACAGGGGGTGGTTCCCTGGTCTGGATTGGCAATCAGCTTTCCTGCAATTCGGTCCCTTTAGGATCTTCAGGGGAAGACTTCTCTTTGGGACTGTCTGTTCCTTCAATTCTTCCCGCTCTCTCTCGATTTCTTGCGTTGACAATAGGCGCCACATGCGAGGTGCAGAGGGTACCTGATGGGTGACAGCGGATTGCATGTAGGTGTGAGTTGGCAGAGCTGCACGATCTAGATCGACCTGGCTTAGCGCACCGGCTTAAAGTGCGTGCATCATGTTGACGGGGCGACCACCACTCGAGGTCCACGGGCACCGCACAGTCCCTACCTAGGTACCCTGGCTGTCTACCTAACTTACGAGCTGCTTTGGTGGTGTCAACTCACTGGACCTTACCTAGGTAGGTAGGCTCTGGGCCGAATAGCGACCGTTACAGGGCGGTCCTTGTCCCACCTCACGGCCAGCAAGCCAGGGATGCCCAAGACAGCAGAACTCGAACCTCGACCCGCATCGCTGGATTTGCACAATACAGTGACATGCTGCCAACACCACCGCCTTGATTCGGCTTCGCGCAACCGCCAAGTCTTTTAATATATGAACCATCAATCCTGTTGTAGGTAGTGCAGGGCGCTTTGTATAGATCTGTGACGAACCAACCGCCCAACTAACGGGCTTCACAAGCCAATACACACATGATTTGGGAACTGATCTATTCAGAACATCTTCATCCATCTGCGGACACTGTCCATACTTGTCCGCCGAAACGATGACTGGCTCAAACAAAAAGCCGGGAATCACTTTCATTGATGACTTTGCCAGCTACAAGTTTCTCTTCAGAGAGCTGCCTTACAGAGGGCCTCTGAGATTGGAATTTCCGCATGCTTACTGTGGTATGCCGTAGCGGATGGGCGCCGAAGTTTGTCCGGGCGCTGTCCGACATCATCGCGGCGCATGCATCCGTACCTACGTAACTCCGGCCCCAGCTCAACGTAAGGGAGCTCACTGCAACCCGATATCTGATCTGTCCCAGCCAAGGAATTACAAGACGTCCTTTGCCAATCATGGATACTCGGGGCCACACGAGGAACAGGTCAGGAGTGAGGCGTAAGTGCAATATGCATTCACTGGGGAGATCAGAGGCAAGCCTGCCGATGGGACATACTGAAACCATCATTATGCTTTCCCATTCAGATTTCCTGTGTCCATCAACCGTATATTCCAACCCCGGCGAACCCATGCGACTTGCTGCCGCCCTCATCTGTGACCGGATTCAAGCCCCTACCGCAATATGATCAGTCAACTCATTACTACATTGAACGACTGCTGACATGTTCAACCTACTAGCTACCCGCCCTCGATCCTCTACCAAAGGCCCTCTGGATGCAGATGAGTAGGTCAACTAGACAAACGCGAGCCTTCGTTGCCATTCAATCTAATAAATACCCAAGGGGTCCTCTGTCGTCGCCTCTGTCTCCTCAGGCTGCCCGCTTCATTGCGTCACAACAGGCCAGTCCGCGGACAAGTGCGTCGCTGACCCGCTCACCGGCACAATCACCGGCGCCATCCGCGCCGTCTGTTTCCTCGAGGGACTTCTCTCATCTTCTGAGACCAGAGATCTTTCACCAGCTGACTCCTATATCTCTCCCTGCGCCTTTCCGGAATCCCAGTAAACAGCCTTCCCCGGACACTCCCATACCCGAGCTTCTTGCTCAGGGCCAGTTCCGCGCAGCCGCTATCGCCTCTGTCCAGGCACTTACGAGCAGCCCCGTGGCCGCCACCACCGCAGCTGCTCATCCACCTGTCGATCCGCATGATCATGCCCGGATATTTTCACTTCTGTACACCCGCCTGTCTTGCCTTTGTCTGATTGATGCGGTACCGCTGGCCGCACAGGAGGCCAAGGCGCTGCAGGATTTGAACCAAGGGTTCTACCTGGATCCCATCGATGGATCCCATCTCATGCCTTGGGAGCTACGTGTGCTCGCGATACGGCTACAGACCCTAGGTTTCGGGGATCCCCGACGGGCAGTCATGAGCTACTATGATTTGGCGAGAGAAGCACGCTTCGAAATCGGCAAGGCTGGAAAGGTCCACGACAACTCCGCCAAAGAGCTCTGGAAGCACCGTCTTGCAGAATTGGGCGTCAAAGTTGCCGGCGCTCTTGTTGAGATGGAGGACTTGGCTGGCGCAGCGAATCACCTGGCGAGCCTGAAGGACCAGTCGGGGGATGGCCGCCTGGCCATGTCACGCGCTCTGCTGTGGCTCCACCTCGGTGATGTAGATGCGGCTAGATGGAGCGTGCGAGAGGGCAAGGCTGACCAAATGGGGGAGAGGGTCGTGTCGGCGCTTGCGGATATGGCAGATGGGTCCTACGAGAGCGCCTTGGAGAAATGGACGGCCATGAAGGACGAGATGGACGAGAATGCTGCCGACGATGAGATGGTCGGCGTCAACCTTGCTGTCTGCCTTCTGTACTTGGGGAGGATGGAAGAGGTAAGTGCCCCTACAGTGCTACACGTGCCCTTTTGCTGACGAACTACAAGGGGCGGGCTATTTTGGAGAGTTTAGTCAACAGCGGCCTTGCATCTCACACGCTACTGTTCAACTTGAGCACAATGTATGAGTTATGCACTGATCGATCAAAGCAGCTGAAGCTGTCCCTCGCCGAGCGCATCGCTGACAGGGAGGCTTCGTCTCATGGCTGGGAGAAGACGAATGCCGACTTCAAACTATGATATGGCAGGTGGTCTATCTGCTCATCTCATATGGTCTTCCTATGGTATTGAGACGGTTTTCGTGAAGCGGCGCAAATCCTGCTTGGCCAATCTATCCGGCCAACCATGCCTCGTCTCTTACTATTTAGCCAGCTGAACCGAAGAGAGCCCAAATCCATCTTCGTCTCGCAACTTCCTTCAGACCTCATCTTGCACGGCTCTGTATCATTGGGTATGCATCATTGGGCCTCCTCGTGGTCGAGGCTCTGACTCCCCTTCTCGCCGCCAGACGCCGTGCGCTTCGTTCCTTTGACAGTTTGCATGGCCATTTTCTCCTTGAAGCGCAGTTGGTTCTGCTCCCAAGCGATCTTGCCGACAGCTTCCCATGAGTCTTGAACAAAGCGGCGAACCTCGTCTTCGATGTACATTCCATCATCATCTCGAATATGCACCTGGGGACGATAGCCATCGAAACTGTCGTCGTCCTGCATAATGATTTTTTTCAGAGCACTCGCTGCGACACTTCGCCAGTGCGGGTCGAGGTTCGGCGGGATGGCAGCCTTGATAACGTCTTTCCACAGTGTCTGTCTCTGGCGCTCCTTCTGAAAGTCAATCAAACGTGCGTGGTAGACATCGCGGACCCCGAATTGCTGAAACGCTTCTTCTCTGGTCTCATCTCGACTGAGATGTTGGTGGTTGGCTCGGCCTTGCTCTCGGCACTTTGGTAGAAACTCTTCGATCCACCTTCGGAAAAGGGGACGTTGCCCCATTCGTCGTCGGTCATTTGACTTGAGCTTCTTCTTCGTAAACTCGCCTCCAATGCACTCTTCGCCGTCACTAATGGTACTGTCAACTTCACTGGAAGCCGGGCGTACCCAGAAGAAGCGAGTCGTCGCAGCGTATTCGAATACGTCTTCCATGCTGCCGAACTTCTCCTCCCATTCTTGGCCAGTGTATTCTAGACCAAGGAATGTGAGGACTTGGCAGGGGTCTTCCGTGAGAAGAACCCTGGCCTTTTTTCTGTCCAGCTTCTCAATTTCCGGGATGCGGATATACAGACCGACCTCGTCGACTGTGAGGCCATACGGCCGGATCGTACTGCCCAGAAGGTTCCAGAGATCGCCATGGGCATGCTTGAAGATGAACCACTCGAGGTTCTCCAATGAAGGACAGATATGTACGTCAACCTGAATGAAGCGTGGGCCATCTGCAGTCTCTTTCATTGGATCCTCGATAGCGATGGGAAGGCTCTGCGGCCAGGGGATCGCAAGCACTAGATCATCCGTTAGCGTTCAGTCACCTCTTGCATCGCATGTGCGTCGGAAGTACTCACTGGCTGCGCTGGGTTGTTCCTGTATAATTCGCTTGGCGCCCAGCAGCTGTTTGATGGCATCAAACGGATACTTCTGATCGGCTCCGGAGATAGTATTGCCTGGGAACGAACCAAAATACTCGTCCTTCTTCCAGGTGACAAAGATGTCTATGTCACCATAATCGGTCTTTCCGGGCCCTTCGATAGGCGTGGCTACCACGACGAACAGCTCTCGGAGAGCTGCATGGCACTTTTCTCTGACGTGCTGATAGACGAAGGGAGACATCCGAGGCGTGTTCAAGGCATTCGGCCCCTTGCTGAAGGCGAGGCCGCCCATCGCGGTGGCCGTCTGTCGCTAGGAAGATGTACGGAGTGCTGTGCCAGCGAGGCAGTCCCAAATTCGTTTCTTCTTAGAAGTGATGAAAGGTCCGCAGCTGGTGGCAGTAATGAATCGCAGTTGCTCAGCTAGCAAATCAACCAAACCAGTGCCATTGAACGAAGTTTGATGTCTGCACGCCGCCCAGGTGAATTTTCCATTTGCCAGTTCGTCAGTAGTGCTCCGAGGGCTGCTATTTTCCCCAAGCGAGTTAATGATACTGTTGCGAGGGCAAGCGCTGTTGGTGCTGTCCAGATCTGTCTAAGTGATATGTGAAACCGAGTCACCCCAGTAAAGGTCCAGATGCCTGAGGAGTCACTGCCCGAGGCTGCCTAGCAATCCGAACCCCGTTCGCAGACCAGGAAACAGGGCAGTAACGGACCAGTTTCGATGCTGTACTGCTCAATTATGAGCTATTAGCCTCTGCAGCGACATATTCAGCGTCTAACTCGTACAACTCCCAGAACTGACAGGTTGGGAAAGGTTGGAATTTGCAGGTACAATCAATCCCCTGACCCCGCAATTAGCCCGACCTGCCTCAAGATTGAATGTGTACATGGAGTGTAGCACAGGCGCATTATGCTTCATAATTTCCACATACTCTCTCTTTATCTCACACTAGTAAGGGATGGAAATCCCTGAGAAGTTTGCAGTTTTTATATATATTTTTTTTCTTGCCCTGCTGTATGCATCATTCCCTATCGATGAAGCAGCGTCATTTCGTCACACGTTGTACTCAAATGGCAACGAACGTGCCATCCGGCAGCGCCACTTTGCCCAACATAAAGTCAACGTGGAGTAGAAGACTAATTAGTATGCCGAATTACAAACAGCCCATCGCCAGGTGGAGAGCTGCTGATGTGCTATTAATAACAGTATTGGCAGTCGAGCATTGCTGCACTGTTGGGACCAACCTCAGCCTCGGGGCTAGCACACCCAAGCTACTACGATGATTGTAACTCACATGGCCGCTCTTGGATTAACGTGGGAAAATGGCGACCTTCGTTGGAGAGGTACGTAGCCCGAGGTTGTTTTGACGGGGTTTTACAGACATGTTTCTAAATGTAAATATATATATATAAGGTGTTTATATATACAAGACAACTAGCATTAGGTCAGAGCACCTGTCAACAGCCTACGTGTTATCTCGGTAATCCAGTACGACGGGAGCCCTGAGTAGGTGGCCTCCTATAGCTCATCCTTGGCTACTCTATCGATGCTCTTTCCCTTGAAGGTCTCTCCCTGCTTTGCAATCCTGCGCAAGCGGAACACCCTCGCGGCGTGGCTCGTGACCGGTGCCTTCAGGATGCCGCCTGCTTTGACCTCTCCAATCTTCTCGCCGAACAATCTCGGGTCGTTGTTGCGCAGGCCCTCCTCAAAAGGAGTCTCCGTGGCGTTGTACCAGTTCACGTCCTTGAGGATGGCAGCCCTCCGCTCGTCCGTCGCCGCCGCCATGAGAGCTTCTGCCGTCTCCTCTGACATCCGGTGCGCCCAGAGATCGTGTACGGCCCAGTCGCTCTTCACGTGGGGAGCGGACCCTCCCGGGCCGAAGGGGATGAAAATCTCGGCGAGGGTGACCTGCATCTCGATATCTTCCCCACCGGCGTTGAGAAAGATGACAACTTCATCACCATTTTGAAGGTATCCGCTCCATACCTGCGTCTCGCCCATGCCCCATTCATCCTTCGCAACCCCTTGCACATCACGTCGCACGCGGGTGACCGATCTTCCGTGGGGATCTTGGCTCAGAGCGAGAATGGCGGGGTTGTTGATAATGGTCAGCGCCGAAGCAGGCATGTCTCTCAGATCATTACCCAGGAACAGAGGAGATTTGAGAGCGGCCCACAGCGCAAAGTGTGCCTTGTATTCCTCATCCGTCATGCCGCCCTGTCCGACTTCGAGCATGTCCAGATCGCTCCATCCTCCAGGGATGCTGCGGTCCGCGAACGCTGCAACCTTGTTCAAGATGAACAGCACCGAGCAGTGCGTACCTGGCGCAATGCAGAATGGGTCCGAGATGGTGGTATCACACCCACAGAGATCATCTGGTCTCGTGAACGAATCGTAAATGTCACCAGTAATTCGCCATGAGTTGGCAATGGACATTCCCCACTGATCCTCAGTTAGCATAGCTCACCCTTTGGCGCGCTCAAGAGATTTTCGCGCATCCCACTCACCGTGTGCACGTAATCTTCTCCCCAGTTGCAAAGGTTGAGGAGAATAGGCCGACCGGTGGCATTGAGAGCATCAGACATGGTCTTGAAACGGTTGAAAGAAATCTGGGGGGTGCCGATTCGGCCCATGTGATAGCAGCTGTCGTACTTGAGAAAGTCGACTCCCCATGACGCGAAGCTCTGGGCATCCTCCACCTCATGGTCGAGAGATCCATCTAAGTTTTCGCGTCAGTTGATAGTGAAGAGATCATCCCAGTGAGTTATCTAACCGAACCGAGCGCAAGTCATCTCGCCTGCGCTCGAGTACATGCCGTACTTCAGCCCCTTGCTGTGCAATTGGTCCGATATCGATTTCAAGCCATTCGGGAACCTGCTCAGTTCCGGCTGCAACTTTCCATTCGCGTCCCTCCCGTTGACATCTTGCCAGCAGTCATCCAGAACCACATACTGGTAGCCCAGATCTCTTAGCCCTAGGTTGATGATCGTCTCTGCGGTGCTCAAGAGCAACTCTTCCGAGACGTCACAACCAAATGCATTCCAGTTGTTCTTTTGTAAATTAGCCTGCGACCTTCTTGGTCAGAATTGCGTGGTAATGCGTACCCATCCCATCGGAGGCGTCAACGCCAGCCCATTGCTCACGGCCTCTACGCCGGTGGCAAGCAGTCCAACCAGGAGGGTGTTGAGTACTGTGACGGCCATGACAGCGAGCAGTCAACCTATGAAGAGTAAAACATGGAAACCAGAATCTCCATGGAAAGGCGAGGACAAAATGGTCATGTCGAACTCCCACCCGGTGGAGAATCACCCTGGAGGCGAGGCTCGAGCCCGAAGCGTGGGGTGTTGGGGGGGGATGCCGGGGCCGATGCCAAGTCCTTTGTGGGACTGATCGGAAGACGGCGGTGAGGGTCGCGTGTGTGAGTGGGCTCCGGCAGGAAAACTAACATTTGTTTTCCGCCGCAGTCCATTCATCGTCAGAAATGAGATATTTCGTTCGTAATGAAACGCTAATAGCCGGTAATCCAAACACGGCCATACGTATTTCTTTCAGGCGGTCTTCTTGTCAAGTTGCGGAAAACAAAAGTGCCTGTATTCCTCTGGGGCATCAATAGCCTTGAGCTAACTTGGGGTCGCTGATCCACCGACTTAACTCACAATGCGGGCAGGGACACTTGAAAAAGCATGTGTCATTGAGAGACTAACAAAATTTATTCCCGTAATCCAACGCCCGCTATAGCTACTGATGTCAAACGTACTAGTGCCATTACCAGAAAGTCAACAAGCGCTCAGATCTTACAACCATCGTGTTCCAGTCCGCAGCAACGAGCCTCTCTGGGATTCGTTACGCTGAAGACAGAGGAGCAAGAATTGATTCCTTAGAGAGCGACCAAAGCGCCGCATAGTCGGGATCCGTCTCGCGCGGTTCTGATTCCATATGCGGCGAGAACTCAATGAGAAAACGAAGAAGCCACCGGTCCAGGATGAAGCTGGCCTTGTTCCTCTTTAGACAAGTTTGATGGAATGCCCGCAGCCGACTCATGGCGCTGTCGACACTGGACCAGTATGGTCGCAGATGAAGGAGAATCTCAAAGTTGCGTTCCAGTCGCAGCCTCGACACTCGGATCTGCATTTCATCGCCAGAGAACAGCAAAGTATGGATTTGAACAGTTGAGGCGATCACAAGAACGTGACCCACCATGGAGTATAACACCTCGCTTCCTGGCGTATCGAATGACCGATATACCATCTCACATAACTTAGCGGCGTGATCTTTACATCTATCAGCGTATACGTGAGATGAGTTCATGGAGTCGGCCGCTTCGGCTCCCAAGAACTGGTAGTATAGAAGCTGTCCATAGTAGTAGTAGCCTGTCGATTGAGTCAGCATTTATTCGTGCCTCTTAAAGCTCAGGGGCTCCCCCGCGACCTTCTCAGAACTTCAGGAACATCATACTCGAGACCCGACAGGTTTTGGGGTTTTGTCTAAATTAAGTGGGCATATGGACTTACCCAGGTAGACAGCGGTGAAAAAGCGTCCCAGGCCGTGGGAGGCATGCCAAGCAAAGTTCTCTGGTGTGTCACGCATATTGTAGGGCAGGCCAACCAACCAACGCTCCATGTCAAGGGACAAGGACTGGATACCAAGCTCCAGAGTTGTTCCCTCGAAGCGTTCTGCAACGCATCTTTTATTGAAGTCATTGACCTGTGAGAGGACTCTATTCAGCTTGATCATCTGCGCTAGAAGCGGAGTTCCAAACGTCGATGGATTATTGGGGACCCCTCCGGCAAAGGTAGGAGTCAGCGACAAGAATGTCAACTCGTCCATGGGAAGCGGGACAGGGTGATCAAGGGGCATGATTCTTGGTAGCTTTACTGCCGTGGAGGACCAGACGTCCACCATGCAGATGGTCCACCAAACTGCTCAGAATGCGTTAGCCAATGAACAGCGAATGTACTCCAACGGAGTTGATGGGACGCTGAAGGGCAACTGACTTCGAATGTTCAGCTCCCTTTCCAGGGGGCTTTCAACATGCTTGTTTGGCAAATCTAAGGTGAGGGTCATACGCCCGGCAAGGTTATAATACAGGTTTTCGACATCGGTCTCGCCGTGGCCAGCAGCATAGCCACCCAGCAGGACACACACTTGTATTGTTTCCAGCGAGATATCACGAATGTTGAGTAGACTCTCGCTGGCGGTTCGAAAGGCCTCACCCCTGTCACGAGGATCTGTCTCACCTAGGAGCTCACTCGTCGAGAACCTTGACAGCCACCAATTAGTGAGGCGTCGTCTCGGGCGACGGCGTTGCGTGCTCTTCTGTACTTACCTTGCAGAGAGAGCAAATATGGCCAAGAGGACAGCAGGCGACACCTTGTCGTCACGGACACTGTCGACAAAGGTGGGCCGGTGGAAGATGGAGTGGAACTGATCATGAATGTAGTCAAAATAGAGGTTCACGAGCTCCAGCCTCAGCGGCATGGGGGGAAGCTCGACGTGCGGTCCGGTGAAGGCCAAGGTTGGCAGCGGATTTGGCGACGTCGAAGACTCCCCATGGCTAGTCTCCTGAAGCCTGCTCTGTCGTTTGTGATAGTAGCCGCCTTCCGGAGGCTCCTGGACACATCGCAGGCGCCGTGAGGAGCAGTACTCGCAGGCTGTAGCGCCAGCCTTGGCAGGCCAAATGCATCTCCGGCGCCGTGCCCTATAATCCCAAGTAAAAGGAGACGGTCAGCCTTGTGGTCGCCTAATGCAGCAGGGAGTCGGAAAACGACGGGAAGTTTACCGGCAAGCACTGCAGGCCGATGGTTTACGCATCAGACGTTGGGACGAGCGGCCCACCAGAGTTCCAGAGTGCCGGAACCAGAATGGCCATCAGTCAATGGAGCGGAATAGACCCCGGGGGGTTCGGCTACGTGATGATTCGCGGGTCCGGGGAAGCCAAGATTGCGGAGAAGCGAAGAGAACGTGGTTTCATCTTCCTGCCGGTGCTCTCATTGGCACACGGGGGCAGGTTGTTTCGGGAAACTCGAGGGAGAAGCGTCGAATTCCGCAGTGTAGGGGGCGGAAAACTGGGAGCTTTAAAGGGTCTTGGGAACCGGCAGGGCCGCGGGGAGGGCAAGGCTGGGCACTGGGGCAAGCTGGGCAGGCCGGGTTAGGCTCGCGACTCGCGAGCTGTGCATTAGATCCCTCGACGCTCGATCTACGCTCGATGAGGACAAAGCCCCGCTGCGCGTCTTCAACGTTTTGACTCTTGTCTGCTGGGCGCGAAAAAGTCAAAAGCCGGTCGGCCTCGTCGGCCCACGACCTGATGCGGCCCTAGCGGCGGGATAGCGGCGGAAAAGAGGCGACTCCGGCCGGCTGCTGGACAACCCCCAGGTAAAGATTCTTTCACGCAATTGGGGATGGTGCTGTCTCGAACGGTTGTCAGCCTATATCTGCTGGGGACAGGCCGTCCTATTGGGCACGCCGGCCACCACCAGACCGCGCCGCCTGCCCTGTGTGCCCCTTGCCCGCGTGGCCCCGTGCCGCCCAGCGCTGGGAGGCGTTGACTTGGCCCGTCGCCGCCCTCCCCATGGGGACCAGTTGGGGACCATTTGGGGACCTAGCAGCACGCGGTCGGTCGTCTAGCGGCCCCCCGCAATCGCGGAATGACTTGCTCTTTTGCGGCTCTCTCCGAGAATTCTGTGTCGCTTCATCACAAGCGTGATATGGCCTAGAGACCTCCTGAAGCTCGGGACTCGACAACCTATTGCAATGTCTTGCTTCCTGCTCAGCGTGAGATCCCGAGCCGGGGTCTGCAGATATATATAAAAGACAACGGCCGCTGCTGGTGATCCTCTACTCCCATGACAAATCCTCGAAGGCCATCGCGGCGATAGCTTCTTTGTCGTCCTCACTCGTTCCCGCGCCGACGGTCCGACAGCCGTGCAGTCATCACGTATACACACACGCTTGTGCACCATGGCTGAGGTCGAGACCAAGACCACCGGCCAGATGGCCGAGAAGGTCGCCTCTGCAGCTGGCGAACACCATGCTGTGCAGGAGACCAACGACGCTCTGGACAACGAACGTAAGATGGGCGTCGTCGAGGGCCTCCTGTTCTGGCGGAAAGCCATTGCCTTCTCCTTCTTCATATCCCTTGCCGTCATCATGGAGGGATACGACACATCGCTCATGAACAACTTCTTCCCCTATCCGGCCTTCAAGAACAAGTTTGGTGACGAGACGGATCCCGAAGGGGGCATGCTCGTGTCCTCCCGATGGCAGACCATCATCCTCAACGGCACTCAGGTCGGATGCATTCTTGGTAAGCCGAGAGAGAGAAACTGCCGCCCTTCCTGCCCAACCGGGTGACTGACTTGTTGCTCTCTGTCTGCCAGGGCTACTGATCAACGGCTATATCTCCGAATGGTTCGGTTACAAGCGGACCATGGTTGCCTCCATGCTGTTCATGATCGCCGCTATTTTCATCCCCTTCTTCTCGACGGGCCTGGAGATGTTCCTGGCCGGTGGTCTCATCCAAGGTCTTCCATGGGGCGTCTTTCAGACGCTAGCCGTCTCTTATGCTGCGTATGCTCGACCCTATTTCTGACGTCTTCCGTTGTTTCCGACTTGGGTGAGCCCGTGCTAACGCCTGCACTTACAGAGACCTTTGCCCTACGCATCTCCGAGGTATTCACCAACACCAACTAACCCACGAGGAACAACCCAGCTGACTTGCTTCCAGCCTACATGACCTCCTGGATCAACCTTTGCTGGGTCATCGGAGGATTGCTCTCCACCGGTATTCTGCGCGGATTGCTGAAACTCGACGGCGAATGGGGTTACCGCATTCCTTTTGCCCTCCAATGGATCTGGCCTATCCCCATTATTGCAGCCACACTCCTGAGCCCCGAGTCCCCGTAAGTTCCCGTTTTGTCGCAAATATCTCCTTGGGAATTAACTGACGGTTGCCAAAGCTGGTGGCTGGTTCGCCACGGCCGTGTCGAGGAGGCCAAGGCAGCAATTCGCAAGCTCACGAGCCCCAGAGCCGGAGTTGACTTCGACCTCGATGCGCACGTCGAAATGATGGTGGTGACGGACAAGTTCGAGAAACAAACCCAGGCCGGCGCCAACTATTGGCACTGTTTTCAAGGAAGTGACCTCCGTCGGACTGAGATCTCTGCCATGGTCTGCGTCACCCAGGCCTTCTGCGGTGTCCCATTCATGGGCTACGGTGTTCAGTTTATGCGCGACGCCGGTCTGCCCGTGGAAGACGCGTTCAACCTCAGCGTTGTCCAGAACTGCGTCGGGTTTATCGGATGCATCATCGCTTGGTGGGTCATGACCTACCTTGGCCGACGGACTCTTTACGTGGGTGGTTTGGCAGGCATGTTCGTGATCCTGCTGATCATCGGCTTTCTGGGCCTTGCTCCAGAGTCCAACAAGGGAGCCAGCTGGTCGGTCGGGGCCCTCATCATCTTTATGCTCTTCCTCTTCCAGCTGTCCGTCGGCCCCATTTGCTACACCATCTTTGCCGAAATTCCTAGCACTCGCCTCCGAATCAAGACCGTCGTCCTAGCCAGAGCCAGCTACAACAGTGCCGTTTTCATCACCAACACCATCATGCCCAAGATGGTTGGCAAGAATGACTGGGCCTGGGGTGCCAAGGGAGGCTTTTTCTGGGCCGGCATCGATTTCCTCTTCTTGACCTGGACCTGGTTCCGGTTGCCCGAGTCCAAGGGCCTGTCCTATGCCGAACTTGACCTGTTATTTGAGCACAAGGTTGCCACCCGCCAGTTCTCTCAAGAAAAGGCCGACTCGCTCAAGCCGATCCTGAATGAGGTTGCTATTCAGCAGGAGAAGGAGTCCGGGATTCACCATGTGGAGTCCCGTGCTTGATTTCGATTTCACCGTACCGGCAGGTACAATAGCAGCCATCCAGATACCCCCATGTGAAGCGGCCTTGGCAGCTGCTTCACGTAGTTAGGATTGTTATAATCGCAATACTAGATACCTTCAATCGAAGAACCCCAATAACCTCCCGAAGATTCAACTTGCGACTTGCTCAGAAAGCGCGATTGATACTCGTTTAGTTCAAGTAGAAGTGGCACCCGAAAATGCCCTGTCCATCTTTACACTAGGGGTGCTATGAATGAGCAACCTCGTGCTCCCACCACAGTTTCCAATCCACCACCTTCTTCTCCCTTCTTGCCTCCTCGGCCGCGAAAACCATAGCGTGACTCCGAATGACCTCCTCGAGGGTGCATCCGATGTATTCCGCTTGCGCTTTCTCGGCCGCCCACCCGTGGTTCTTGACAAGGTCCACTGCCAGGATGAACTGCCTCGTCAATCCGACGTCACCACCGCCGTGACCAAGACTCTCAAGGCGCGGCTTGTAGGTCTTGGTCTCCCCCGTCCGGAAGTCTTCTACGGTGATAGTCTTTGAGTCGGCATAGATCTCACCCTCGGTGCCGTAGATGTACGTGTACCGGTCGCATTGCTTCTTGGTCTGTGCAATCATGTGGAAGGTGGCCTGCTTGGCCCCTCTGCCGCCTAGCGCATCTGTGGATGGAGCGCCTGATGCCAGCGGATCCTCGTCCCAAGTCATGGTGACAACCTGCTCGTCGCAAACGTCGTTGTCCGACTCAAACACACACCTGCCAAACCAGTTACGTTTCTCTACATCTGACTTGGGTGTAGATGCATCATAGTCCTCTGCTAGTGCGGACAGGAGAGCATCCTGGCGTTTTCCTTTGTCGAAACTCTCAATATCCGGCATGACGATGCTAATCGGCCAATGCGTGTTACCAGTCTCGAGGCCCTGGTGCTTCGGACCAACGTAGATTCTCTTACTGGAGTACATGCAATCTTGTTCAATGGGGCAAGTTAGGCAGTTTGTAGCGTCACCAGCAGATTTCGGCTTACGACTCCTCTTGAAGAATTGCAGAGACCCCGAGGAGGATACGGTCGACGGCAGATGCGGTGGTGCATCTGAGCTCGGCGCCGGTGAGCAGAGCAACCACAGGATGATGTCAATATCGTGACAGCTCTTTGTCAACAGGGACGGTGCCGTCGTTGACTCTTTCCGCCAATTGCCTCGGACGTAGCTGTGTGAGAAATGCCACCAGCCCACCGGCTCAGTGTGTGCCACGCTCAGTATATCACCGATAGCCCTGTCCTCGAGAAGGAGCTTCCGTAGCATCATGTTGTGTGGACTATACCTGAGCACGTGCCCAACCGAGAAGACCTTGTTCTTCTGGAGCGGCGCCAGCGCGCGGTACATGCTGACGCAGTCGGCGAGCGTGGTGGCCAGGGGCTTCTCGCACATGACATGAAGTCCCAGAGGAGCCAAGCCAACGACGACGTCGTGATGCATCTCGTCAAGAACACAGACAAACACGGCATCCACCCCTTCCGAGACCGTCTCGCCGGCCCTTTCTTTCTCCCGTCGTTTGGTTTCCCAAGCGATGAAGTCACGCCAATCGGCGAAGAGCGACCCGTCAGGCGGTGCATCGGCGCCGTGGATGAAGTTCCGGCCGAACTGCTCGCGCTTGTATTGATCAGGCTCGGCAACCGCGACGACTAGACCGTTGCTCGACGAGATACTCGCCCGAGCATACGTGCGCCCCCGAGAGCCAGCTCCGATGACAAGGATTCTGGGCGGCTTTGCCGACATGGGCGGTGGAGGCGGCGGACGCACGGCGCTTTGGTCTACCTGCTGCTCCAGGTCCGTCGGGCCCTCATCCACCATGTTTTGGGGTGTCATTGTGTCGGAGATTAAGGTGTCTGTGAATTTGATAATATCGAAGGCAATGGAATCTTTAGGGAGACAATACGCATTCAACTATATATATAACCATTGAATCGTTTGCCCGCTGCATCAGCCTTGACTGAACATCTTGCAGGCGAGGTCCCTAGAGGTGCCGGCGAATTGGTAATTTGGTCTAGCGCGGACACCATTGGTCTATCACGTCCTTTCTCCAGCCCTCGTGCATCCCCTTCCGCAACGTTACCTATGTCGCCCGATCTGCAAGAAGTGAACACTGGGAAGCCTTATCATATGATAACATTGATTTCAGCTAAGGCATACTTGCCGTCAGTTTCCTGTTTGGCATAATTACACATGCGAGAGCCAAGGATCTGCTCCCTTCACTCGGCAAGAGGCCGGAGTTACTGTTCTCCACCGGAGGGGCAGGCGTAAGTTACTTGCAGCTTTGGCCGGTAGACGAAGTAGTCTTTGGAGAACAGCAATTGTGCAGTGTCATGGGTTTTACACGCTGACTTTTTCTGTTCAAGCGTTCTCGAGAACGGCCAGAGATCTTCAAATACATTACGACACCTCTGCTGCGATTTGCACAACGCATTGTTCACACGGAGTGACCAAGGCAAGTTAATACTAACTGCGGCCGGGAAGGATGAGCCGGCCCTACTCCGTAACTACTAAGGGGGCCCAGGTGGTGTGGAGCTGGAGGCGTACGCAGGATCTAACCACAGTCTTGAGTTGCAATAGCCGCCACAAAGTCATGTCATTGGGGATGTAACTCAGTGGTAGAGTGTTCGCTTTGCACCACTTGCAAAAGTGCGAAAAGTCCAGGTTTCGATCACCTGCTTCTCCACATTTTTTTTCTTCTTTTCTTTCTTTCTTCTCGCTTTTGCAAGTTACATTTTGACAACGGCGTGCAGGCAGACAAGCGGTCAGCCATTCAAATATTCCCCCCCCCCCCTTCTCTCGCCCGTTATCCGGGTGCTCATTGACAACTGCCCAAGGGGCATGGAGTTACATGTCCATTTTGTATACTCGCCACCAATGACTCTAAGCGCCCCTAGATGCACAACCAAGTATGGTGACTTCCCGAGTTTGCGATCAATGAAAGCCACAACTGCAGTGTAACGAACCTATGAGGTGCTTTCCGGAAAAAGACGAAATTGTTGAATCAACTTGAAGAGACTTGCCTCCCCTGCGTTTTTAGGTACTTGCTTGATGTCCTCAGGTCGTGCGTTTGGTACTACTAGATAGAGACTGAAAAAAAATGGTAATTCCAGTTGAGTATCGAAGTATGGTGATTGACGTGATTGGTCATGGTTCAGCCAGGACTGAGATACCAACCAATCATCCCGGTTTATAGGGCCGACTGCCCTTTGCCCCTCCTCCCAATACCTATGATGGGCACTTCCCCGCTGCTCTCTCTCTCTCTCTTTCTCTGCCTCTGTGTGGCAACAGTACGGTGAGCGCTATTGACCGTGAGTCCACCACAATTGGCGGGAGAAAGTTATCGCGCAGTGGGCAGCCAGTGTGGCAATACTTTCCTCTCGGCCTGGAATGCTCTAGTAGATCGGGTTGACTGACTGCATCGTGCCTTGCATCCCCGGGTCTAACCCGGCATGGATGCGGACTCTTTGCCTCCGTGGTCCCCCGGACCGCTCCGCTTTCTGCGGCTGGCGAGCCGACTTATATCAAGTGACTGCGCTCAGCAATATGAGTACTTATACGATGGTCGTGCCAATGCTATACTCCTCCTAGGAATGAAATGAACACTCAAAGCTCAGTGGTTTTGACGACTTTATTAAGGCAATGGTGACATTCAGTATCCGGGCCGCTCTGGCTTCCTTACTCACCTTGGCACCGCTTGTCCTAGGAGCATCTTTCCAAAAAGTCACGGAAGACTTTGGGCCCAACCCACGCGGCGTCGGATTCTACATTTACGTGCCAGATGAGCTGGCCGTGAGCCCGCCCGTGTTAGTTAACCCTCACTGGTGCCACGGTGACGCCAATGCAACCTATACCGGCTCTCGATACTCTGCGTTGGCAGACGAGTACGGGTTTATCGTAATCTATCCCGACAGCCCAAATCTAGAGGACAAGTGCTGGGATGTGTCCTCAAACGAGACCCTCACCCATGATGCTGGTGGCGACAGTCTTGGCATCGTGAGCATGGTTCGTTGGACACTCAACAAGTACAATGGGGACGCCAGTCGGGTCTTTGTCACTGGAATCTCGTCGGGAGCCATGTAAGCCCACGTCCACTGTGGAATCCCACGGACATTGCCTGGCTGACCACCTCTAGGATGACCAACGTCCTCATTGGCGCATACCCGGATATTTTTGCAGCTGGATCGGCTTGGGCCGGTGTGCCGTTTGGGTGCTTCGCCGGAGATGGCTTCGACGTCTGGAGCGACGCCTGCGCTACCGGAAAAGTTGTCCACACAGCTCCCGAGTGGGCTGCGATCGTTCGGTCCGCTTATCCAGGGTATACTGGCTGGAGACCGAAGCTGCAGATCTTCCACGGTACTGTCGACGAGGTGCTGAACTACACAAATTACGGGGAGGCTGTGAAGGAATGGACTGCCGTCCTCGGCCTCAGCGATACGCCCACGAGCGTCACCGCTGACTTTCCGAAGAGTAATTGGACCAGGTCAGTCTACGGGAATGACTGGTTTGAAGCGACAAGTGCGGCCGGCGTCACTCACAACATAGGTACAAACGAGACGTTGGTGTTGGGCTGGTTTGATCTCACCTGCAGCGGTGCAAACTGCTTCACGTGGGGGACGGGATCACCGAGCAATGGGTCAGATAATAGAATCTCTCGGGATAATTCGCGACCATACAAGTCTTTCCTACACCGTCCGCTCACTCGAGACCGGGGATTCAGTGTATGAAGTGCTATAATAGTATAGAATCTTGGCAGGCAACGGAAGGTATACAGTAAAACAGGGTCTTGCGAATAATATCTACCAATATTGGCTCACGCACAAGTTGTATGCAGTCGGACAGATAGTACTATTTACGATTGCTTTCCGTTAAATATCCATTTCGCGATTGAACACCGGCTACACCGATCTAGTCTCATTCTGTCCGGTGTCGACGCCGAGGCGGGCGGCTGACTACATTTATGCAAAAGATAGTCCCAAGTACATGTAGATTGAAAGGCAAATCACTTGGTCACTCTCCCTGACTTCCAAAAATGGCCCGTGCAGGCCGTCGGCCACTGGCCATTCAGATGGACAGGGGTTGGGTGGAATGACAGAGGCAAAGCCGACCGCCGTGACGGCCGAAGTAAACAGTTTGAAATTGGGATCAATTTCATTCATTCAATTCATTCATTCTCAACTCCTGCCTATGAACCCTTGTGGCGACCCTGTAATTGCCAACTGATGATGGCATATGCAACCCAGTCGAAACCAATATCCCGCATCGCCTCGTTCTGATTTTCTCAAAAAAACGACCCAGTACTCATTCACGTCTTTGATTGGCTTTTTACAAAGTGTTGGCAGTGTTGAAGTCCTTGAGGGCCTCAGTGACACGCTTGGTCATGGTCTTCTCGCCCTCACGGACCCAGACGCGGGGGTCGAAGTACTTCTTGTTGGGCTTGTCCTCACCGTCGGGGTTGCCGACAGTGGTGGTGACGTAGTCCTTCTTGCCAACCATGTAGTCCCGGATACCGGAGCAGTAGGCGAACTGCATGTCGGTGTCCATGTTGACCTTGACGACACCGTGGCCGATGGCGTCGAGGTACTCCTGCTTCTGGGAGCCGGAGCCACCGTGGAAGACGAAGAAGACGGGCTTCTTGGCAACGTCCTTCTTGCCCTCCTTGGTCAGCTGCTCGCTGACGTAGGCCTGGTGCTTGCCCAGGAGCTCGGGGTGCAGCTTGACGTTGCCAGGCTTGTAGACACCGTGGACGTTGCCGAAGCCAGCAGCGATGGAGAAGTAGGGGGAGATGGGGGAGAGAGTCTTGTAGATGTTCCAGATGTCCTCGGGCTGGGTGTACAGCGAGTTGTTGTCGACATCCTCGTTGTTGACACCGTCCTCCTCACCACCGGTGATACCGATTTCCTGGAAAATCGCGCAAGTCAGTCATCCGTGGTTTTGCGAGAGCCGCAGGCCGCAGGGGTTGGGGGTGCGTCACGAGCAACTTACCATCTCCAACCACTGCTTCATGGGGGCGGCACGCTTCAGGTACTTGGCAGTGGTCTCGACGTTCCAGTCGACGGGCTCCTCCGACAGGTCGATCATGTGCGAGGAGAACAGGGGCTCGCCGTGCTCCTTGAAGTACTTCTCATCGGCGTCGAGCATGCCGTCCAACCACGGCAGCAGCTTCTTGGCGCAGTGGTCGGTGTGGAGGACGACGGGGATGCCGTAGGCGGGGGCGATGGCGCGGATGTAGTGGGCAGCGGCCACGGAACCCTGGATAGAGGCGAACTGGTCCTTGTTGTCGACGCCCTTGCCGGCGAAGAAGGCGGCACCGCCTTGCGAGGTCTGTAGGACGATGGGCGACTTGGCATCACGGGCGGCCTCGAGGGAGGAGACGACGGTGGAGGACGAGGTCACGTTGATGGCGGGGATGGCGAAGCCGGTCTTGCGAGCGTACTCGAAGAGGGCCAGGACATCGTCACCGACGATGACACCGCTCTTGCGGGACAGGACGTCGATAGCACCCATTGTGAGATTAGTTGTTGTTGTTGATGATGTGGTAGGATGTGGTCGTAGGATAGGGGATTCGGAGGTTCGTGAGTGATATGTAGACGAGAGGCTGGAGCTGGTCTCGTTGGGAAATGTGTGTGTAGTCTGCAAGTCAAAGGTTGAGATATTAGCTTTGGCGGGGGTTTTATTTGACACAGGGAAGAGTCTGAGCTGATCTGATGGAGGGGTTTTTTCCCTCTCTCACACAGCAACCAGCCCAGCACCGGACCTTCGTCATAGGGCCGCCCAGCAGCCCAGCAGCAGCCCACCCTCTGCCCACCCGCCTATCGGTACCTTGGACGGGACGGGGCTAGTTGGCTAGAAGCAGCCAAGGAGCAGGTGGGACTCTGGGAGAGGCCGAGATTTTTGGACAGGGCCGAATATGGTGGAGCGCCAACTGCGTGCGTCCGAGACGTCAACGGGCCTGGTCAGCGTTTGGCCTTGCGGCACCTGAGCGTGGCAGCCTCAGTCATGTTGGATTAGGGACGGGCGAGTGGGTAGGGCTGCGCTGCCTCCATTGCCAGCGGGCGCTGCGCCGTTGCTAATGGCACGAGCACTGGTGTTACCAGCAAATTGCAACGGGATCGTGGATCGTGGATCGCGCATGATACAATACAGTACAGTACGGGCGCCCTACACGAGCCCGCCCAGACCCAGTGTAAAAGGCGGTCCCCAATCACCATCGACGTAATAGTGCTCGCAGCTATGCCATCATCGACGGGCCTGAGCTGGGGCAGACTGACTCTTGTTCGCTCGATGGGAGGTGATTTCTTGCATTGCCATTGCCCATGCCTGTCAAAGCCAGCATAGCAGGGGCCAGGAAACACGCACAGGACGGCCAAGCGGCGTTCCGTGCAACAACAGCATGGTTGACTTGCAGTATATGCCGCGTTTTCTGGCGGGCTGGCGGGCTGGCTGGCTGGCTGGCTGGCTGGCTGGCTGGCTGGCTGGCTAATCCTGCCAAAGTGGGATGGGGGATAGGGGAGGGGGTGGATGGCGGGGTAGACAGGAAAGCAACTTACAGCGACTCTGGGCCGATTGCGGCGTTGGTAGCGAGAATAAAGACGGTGAGGGGATCGCGGACAAGGCGAAGCTATTCCAATGTTTGCCAACCGGGAATTGAGGGCCTGAGCAGAGCGAGTTGCGGGCTATAAGTATGTTTGTCCGTGACAACGGGCCTTGTGTTGTTTTCCTTTCTTGACGAGAGACGCTGGAGGGGTCGACGTTGATCAGCGACCTAGGTGGGGTGGGCGAGTTGGGCGCTGGCCCGACTTTTTAAATCGTCATCGTGCCTTGCGGTTACCGAGAAGCTTCCCCTCGTCCCCTCGTTCCCTTCCGTGACCCGCCGACGTGGTGCTCGGGATGGCCTCCCACACGCCCACACGCCCACACGCCCTGCCAGGCCACGGGAACATGCGGAAGCAGCTCGAGAGGTGGCGGATGCCCACGTCAAAACCTTCGGTACCTGACTGCAGGCACACGGAAGCCAATCAGATCCAATCCAGTCCATCTCACGAATGCCTCAGCTTGGGGTTTCCCGTGTTTGGCGTGCGCATGTGTGCGGTGTCTGAACATAAACCTAACCCAATGCTCGGCCTCGATGCAGCGCTGACGTCCGGATAGCTACCTCTCCACGTTACCTAGGTGTAGGTCAGTGAGCCTTTCCCGACTCCCCGGTGGCAGCCCATGTGTTCCCTCAGTCTTGACCACAACGGCCCCTCTCTGCCTCGTGAATTTCCGCCGTTTCCCGTGGCTAACCTCGGACTTCACGCCGTCGTGTGGAGAAGAAGAACACCAATACGTGACTGGTCAACACGCACAATTTCTCCGTCTCACGATCGCTCACTCAGTCACTCACTCTTGCCTCGCCTTCACACCCTGGGTACTGTGCACAATCATGCATGTATTTACTGCGGCCAGACGCTATCGAGCGCCATCACCTCGTGTGCATGAGCCGAACACTGCCCCATGTTTATGGGAAAGTAGTCCTCTAAGCCTCAAGAAAAGGTCTCGCCAGGAAGGAATAATGGACATATCCTGACAGTGCCATCCCAACAATGCTCCCAAGAATGCACCTATGAAACCAGACGCAGAAATGCGAGATGACAAGTTCCCCAACGCCGCCCTTGTGAATGTATCTACCTCATCGGATAACCATCTGGACCCAATGCGACCCGCCTAGGCGTCTGGGTCAAAGAGCCCCCCCTCGGACTGCCGCCTCCAGTAATTCTGGCATGAAAGCCCCCTCCGGACCCCAGTGGCATCGGCATCCGTCTGCGGGACGGCCGTGTATTCGTACTGGTCCGAGTAACCCATGTACTCATCCCATGCCTTCCTTGCCTCGTTCCTCACACACCTCCAAGCCGCGAGGCAATGGTCTCGGAAATTCCACCACCAGTCACCGAGTAGCGCGTACACCCTCTGCCGGAACCAAGTGTTGCCACTCAGGCCTTGCTTCTCAGCTTCACAAGTCGGATACTCGGGCTTGCACCGGATCCTCCGAACTGTGTCACCCAGAGCCTGCATCAACTGGGAATCATCCTACAATTCGGTTGAGTTTGGCTCGGCACGTTCTTCCAGCTCGTAGAACAAGAGATATACTTCTTTCTGCATGCCCAGGACCTCGCTTGTCTTTGCCTCCTTGACCTTTTCGTCGCTGATGCGCCACCAGCGCTCTACCGCTTTTTTCCGTTTCGGCTTGGACGCATTGGCTGCCGCCGAGCCGTTGACTGATGCACCCGTAGTGGTTCCGGTAGGTCCAATTGTTCCGTTCGAGGAACGCTTCCCAGCAGGACTGCCCGGGCGGCTATTTCTGGCAGACTGGGAGATCTTGGAGATGGTAGACTTGGCCGAAGCAGCGACCGACTTCAGACTGATCGCGTCAGAGTCACGTTCTCGTGGCGCGGACGTAAGGCTGACCCGAGACGAGGCGTGTCCATTGAGGTGCGGCGACGAGCGCGGGATGCTGTCTGTGGACGGCTGAGGCAGGTCTTCCAGTGATGGGTTCGGTGAACCGGATGCCGAGCCAGGGGATAGCAGATCTGGGGTAGATACACTCGGGCTGCCTTGCTCCGGCCTCTGCAAGGCACGGATCTGAGGTGTAACGGCCTGCGACGGCACGGGGCTGGGCTGCGCAGACTTGGTGAATGCGCTCGATTGCTGGAATGTCTGCGGTGTAGAGAAGGGCATGGCCACGTTCTGCCTCCGGAATGATTCGTAGTGGCCACTGTGGTGGTTGCCTTTGTGGGTGACGGTGGCCAGGAGTTTGTACTTCTTCTGGTTCAGCAAGCCGCCCAGGGGGAGCCTCTCGGGAAAGGCGACCTTGGCCGAGTTCTTGGTCGACATGCTGGCATCGTAGATGGAACGAGAAAGATGGATGGCCAGGACCTTGGGAAAACTGGTCACGCGGGTATGCCTCGCGATCTTTCGCTTCGGTGCATATCGCGTGTCTGGTAGCACGACATCCTCGGGCGCCTGCTCCGGGTCGGTGTCGATAGCATGCTGCAGTTTCTGGATGTTCTCGCTCGTCGTAAGCTTGAAGCCCTCCGAGGTGGATCGAGAGAGCTCCGACTCCAGGACCTCTTTTGCATGGACCAGACGACACTTTTCGCACTTGAAGTCGTCGACATATTCCGTCTTGAACATGCCGTCCAGGCAGGCGTTTAGAGACGTGGAGCTAGCTTGCGGCACATTGAGGGTCAAGGTGCAAAATGTGCTCTCGGTCGGCTTTGGCTTGAATCCACAGGTCTGACACTCGATCTGGCTCTCGTACTTGCCTTCCATGGGAAAGCCATGTTCCTCGTCGACCGCCCGCACTTGATCCCCGGTCCCGTCCTCCGACGAATCCTCGGTTCTGACTTCTGCGCGAGCTCCATCGAGGTCTGCAAGTCGCTTGTCGACAACGGTTGTGTCTATGGGTCTGGAGCCGTTCGTCAACCCCCCATTGCCCCCTTTCCGGCGCGCATGCTGTCTCGCTCTTTTACCAGCATGATACTCGTCACACAACCTCTCGGCCACTACCTGTAGAAACTCCTGGGCGTCCTGCTGCTGCCTGCTGATGCGTTGTTTAAACGCAACCTCGAGCACCTTGACGAAGCCCGTGGCCGATATTGTCTTCTTGTAGATCGGCCGTTCGTTGAGCGCATCCAGGATCTGCTTGAGACCTTGGGTAACAATGCCCGTCTGGAGGCCCTCGGTCTTCCACTGGGGCACGTCGGCCCTATCCGGGTCGGAAACGGCTTCTTGGTAGACCCAGGGCTCGTCGATGTATCTTCGGTGGGTCTCGCGGATGAGGTAGACGCGCAGATCGGTCAGGCCGGCAAGGGCCTGGAGGACCGAGTTGATGAAGCAGTCATTGGCGGGGTTCGTCAAGCCGACGACGCCCTTCTTGCGCGCCGAATTGGAGTCGCTGTCGATGAAGTAGGTTGGCGCAAACACATAGACCAGCGTTATGGCCGCGAGCGAGGCACCAGCAGCGTAGGTAGCTACCGTCAGCGGCTTTTCCGGCATGGTAGCCGCCGGTCAGTTGCAGCCAAAGTGGTGGAACGCTACGTCTGGCTGCTACGAGTGCAGGAGTCTGGTAGCGATATCAATGGCTGGCGAAGGTCGGTCGAGCAGAGACTTGGGCTCATCACGGCATGTCTGTTTGGCAGAGTCTTTGGCTGTGGAGAGCAAAGAGACGGTCGAGACAGGGATTGCCCGTTGCGGAATAAATGCGAAAGCGGAAGGCGATCAATCGATACGGGGGAAGCGCGAGGAGCAGGGGTTTCGACAGAGATGAGATGAGCCCCAGCTAGTCATGTAAGTACAATAGTTACTATGTAGGGCGCGGGCTAACGTTCAAGTCATCTGTCGCAGGGGACAAGGAAAAGACGACGCCCAGCCGATGGGAGACTTTTCGGCGCCCCCAAGGACGACTACTACGGGGACGGAACGACGAGGGAATGTTGACCCGTCCAGAGGGGCCGTCGTTGGGTGCACGCAGTAACAGATCGCCAGTCTTCGGCATTGGCGTCAACGGCGACCGGTATTGATGGAATGAACTACGACTGCCAGATTGCCCTATCAAGCCCCATGCCAGATCCATCTGGGTAGGCTGCTATCGCTTGCATGAGGTTGCATCCGCCGGATTTGACGGTCAACCCGCACAGGGGGCCTTGCGTGATCGCTCGTTCGGCCCATCAAGTCAACCAAGATATCGGTTCCTCGTGCCAAACTTGGGGGCAATCGCTGAAATATGTACTTAACTGGTTACAATAGGTGTTGATGCAGTTCATCATCATCAAACCACCCAGACAGTACGCCAGTCTCCGATAACAGACCGTGGAAACACGGCGATCCCAGAACTGTCAGGCGCTACAAGTCCTCAGAGAGTCGGGGTCCCTCACTCCAAGGCCAGGTTTGGCGTCTTTTCCACCCGTACTGAATCGGGCGGCGCAAATGCTGCAGGGTGGCCCGCTGACTGGCACTCGCGCTGCATTCCACACGGGATTCTGGATTCCATCCAATTGAGATCGACCCATGGACCCCATGCATACCGTACCGTACCTAACTTTTGTCTCCAGTCCATGCCAGCCAGCCGGCGCCTCCGTGTCGGGGCCGCGGGGCAATGCGGGGTACTGGATTGGCTCACTCACGCCGCCGTCGTTGGATCTCTTCAGTTACGTCTCTACAAGGCAGAACATGGGGGTCATGGGTAATCCACTTCAGTAATTGCTCTCAAATGTAGCTGCCAATATATCAACTTCGATTGGCTCGAAAGAGCAGCTGTCAATCAACTCTGGTGCTTACACGATGGTCTCAAACTCGTCCCCTGCCACAGGACCAACACCATGATATATATCCCCAGGGACGAAAGCAGCTTACTAGGTGTTCTATGCTACGTCTAGAAGAGACTGGACGGGCACAGCGAGCTCTGGCACGGTCGCAATCCGTTCGCCTTTGGTATGCCAGAGCTCTCCGGCAAGCGCCATGCCTATGAGCCATTCTGAACACGAGTCTAGGAAGTTCCTCCTCTCCGGTATTGGTATTCTATAGGCCATGAGTTGCAAACCCTCTCCATCTTTTTCTCTTCCACCTCCCCCTTCTTCTGCGGTATTTTCTCTCGGCAAGAACGGAGGTGGGGTTGGTCTATACGCCCGGATATCTGCCAATACTATCGTTATTGGGGAGGCCATCCGCCCTAGATAGGATGCTCCGACGTCGAGACTTCTGGGCATCAATGCCAACGCCGATGCAAACACAGCGTACTCCAAATTTGGTAAATTTGCGAGGCACTCCCAAAACATGTTGTTACACATGGGTCGGTTGAGTCCAAGACGCCGCAATTTTGGCCACCTGTAGAGAACCGATGAATGCTCGTTCTCTCTTGTCTCATCAGATATTCCCAAACGTACCGCATCCCGGGTACATACGAACTCTTCAAGATTGACCAGCCGCTCAAACCCCTCACGCAACACAGGCCCGACGTTTAGATGATCATTCCATGGTGGGAGACTGTCGAATGGCATATCCACTACCAGTCTCCTCAGAGTACGGCTCGTGTATCCAAATACGTCACGAACCCAAGCTGCCGTTGGCAGGTTGTCCATAACCGAACCGAATGGTGCCAGATACATAGCTGATATGTTCTCAAAAATGGATGGCAGGTCGAGGTCCGATCCACGCCATGCTTCAAGAGAGAGCAGGAAGCGTCGTAGCCTGTCGTCGCTGTCCAGGAAGATGCAATGTCGTTGCAGACAGCCCACCGCAAACTCGTGGGTTAAACGACTGGCTAAACTGAAACTGAGCAGCAGCTGCGTCGCTTTGTCCGAAGCTGGTATCAGCGTCGCGGCGTTCGAGGGCAAGTAACTCATCATGATGGCGAGAATAAGTTCTCATGGGAGCCGAAGAACTTGCGACTCCATCTCTGCGGCGTGGGTAGGAACAACATTAGACGTAGATTGTCTGCTCTCCGGTACGTGGTATCATGACCTTGGCAGCTCGACGAGTTGGGAGAGCTTGCTGGTTGGTTCATAAGACTGGGTAGCGACTGCGGGGACAACCTTGTACCGTAGGTACAGTAGTACGTACGGTAGATTATGACCACGATGCACAACTTTTATGCCCCATTATGCAAGCACGCACAATAGTTGGCCAACCCATACCATAACAGATATTTCCAAGCGCGACCGCGAGGAAATAGATGACTAGGACCCATCGCTTTTGCAATGTTCTCCTCGAATTATAGAGTTATTACGCACCTCAACTTTCCTCCCATAATTATATTTACTTTCCCCCCTCGCCATTTTCAATGTCGCGACATCTGAAACAACAATGATATGAAGTACCAAGTACACGTGCTGATAGAACCCCGAACTATGGGTTCAGAGATCTCACTAGCTTCTTTGGTCTGCTGTTACATGGATTCGGGTGGGCTTTGCCTTGACGTTTTCTTAGACCACTTTGAAATTTGAATGACAGGTCTGGTTTATCTTCCAAGTACTAACAACAAAATGAAATAGAACCTGGGCCCAGAGCTAGAAGAGATGGATTCATGAAGGGGGTGACCTGACCCGTCTAGATACACAATGGATCCTTCGTTTCTAACTGCAAGCTACCAGGATAGTGTTCGATGTTGGCAGTGTAGAGGGCTTTGCTTTGGCTCACTTGAAACCCAGTGGAGTCATTTCCGTTTAGAACACAGAGCTCGGACTGGTCTACCACGGGGCCAACATTTTCAATCTTTATAGGGCGCATTTGAGCCAGTAGACTGGCTAGTAACCATGAGGTTCTCGAAGGTTGTTCTCAATACCGTAAGATTTCAAATATCGCCGAAAATGTGCTTCAAAAATGAACTGATACTGAGAAATATCATTTCATCTTCCTTTTTTTTTTTTCCAACGAATAGCACTTGGTTGGCGCGTGGGTCCTTCTCGTATAGGCTCGCTTAAGTAACTCTGTGCGGCCTATCAGATGACTACTTGAGTCTTTGACCAGATATCGTCAAGCCGGTCTGCAAAGTTTTATGGGGTCTGGGGGCATGTAGCTGATCTGGAGTCAAAGAACTGCGAATCACCGGTCTTCGTTTGGGTTATTGTATCACTGCATGTGGACTATTGAAGGTTGTCAACGTGCTGCAAGTCACGGCTCCAGCCGGGGCTCTAGGAGTAGTTCTGAAGTATAGAGTGATATCCCAGCTCGTATTGTCGAGCAGCTTCAATGATATCCTGGTCGCATTCATGGTCGGCAGTTCGGATGAGGTTGATGCCCCGAACGCGACAGGGGCCATGGTGGGGACCCTTCCTGTTTTGGTAGGTTTAATAATGAATACGAGCTTCCTATATCTTGGCAACTATGGACTGAGAAGACATCGTGATTTATAAAGACTCGCCCAAACGCCCTGTGTCGTTCCAGCTGCCGGAATAGCTCTACGAGTGGTCCTAGGATTGGCAGCAGTACATCAGGATGAGGACAAATAACATCTTGTACATGTTGCTGGCTGCAACAAGCCAGGCAACAACAGAGCATTTCCCATCGCGCCGCTCTCTGAATGCAACCCACTCCAGCGACGCGACTCCCAGGCGATACATCGTCGAGTTGAAGTCGCGCACGCACAGCACCCGAGTCGCAGACAAGGTCGCAGGGATCGAGGGGCTACGCATTGTCCATACTTTCGACTCGGATATTTTTCCAGCCGTCAGCGTGGAGTGCGACCATGGCTGCAACGCCGACAGTCTGACAACAGCTCTCGATGCCGACGAGGATGAATCCGCAATCGCCTCCGTATTCAAGTCCACACGGATGCAGCTGCTGCCAACTCTCAGGGGGGCGTCTTACAGCGATGACGCCGCAGCTTCAAACTACTCTGTGCATGGATCCACAGGTGTAGAGAAACTGCACGAGGCTGGGATTCTCGGCGAGGGTGCCACGGTTGCGATAGTTGATAGCGGCGTTCAATACACCCATCCGGCTGTAAGTCCAAGAGATCACGCACTTGATGTTCTGTCACTTAACATTATCCATTGAAGCTTGGTGGCGGCATCGGCCCTAATTACACTGTCATTGGAGGATATGATCTCGTGGGAGAATGTGTGTTTCTCATTGAAGTATTGGAGGAGTTCATGCTGAGACAAACCCATTTTTGACAGACTGGCCTGATGTGCCGCCTCAACCAGATGGTGATCCCATGGATCACTTCGGTCACGGCACTCACGTTGCCGGTATTATTGCCGGAAAAAGTGACCAGTACGTTTCCATATTCTGCGTCGCCGTGTGGAACGCTGCTGATTCATTCATAAGATTTGTTGGGGTCGCACCCAATGCCAAGATCCTATCTTTCAAGGTCTTCGGCTCGACTGGTTATTCCGACGAAGAGACGGTTATTGAGGGCTTCTTGAAAGCCTTTGAATCTGGAGTGAGTCTGGACCCGCTTCAAGTGCAATAGGACGGTTCTCTTGAAGTGTGTTATTTGATCACTGATTCGATGCTGATGAGAACAGGCCGATATTATCACAGCTAGCCTTGGCGAGAAAAGTGGGTTTACTTCCAATGCTTTGGCTATGGTTGCGTCGAGGATGGTGGACCAAGGTGTTGTGGTTACGATCGCTGCCGGAAACGATGGACAGGATGGTGCTTTTGACATGAGCAATGGTGCGTCGGGCGAGCATGTCTTAACGATTGCCGCATCAGATCCGGGCGAATTTCCTGCCAGACAATTCAACGCAGATTTCGTCTTGGACGGTACCTCAAACGCGACAAAGCTGGCCTACTCCCCTGCCTCGAGCCTCTTCCCAAGTACTGTTGTGGGCTGGCCAATTATACCGATCACTCTGAATGCTACAGTAGCCGACGATGCTTGCTCACCTTTGCCAACCGATACGGCCAACATGACAGGGTCTGTTGTGTTGGTGAGATACGGAGGGTGCACGCTGTACACGAAGCACACCAACATTGCCAAGTTTTCACCACAGTACATTCTCTTCTATGAAGATGATGGGCCTTACCAAAACCCAATCACCGGGGTTTCTACGGGTATCACGGCAGTTATTGAGGCACGAGCTGGCGAGGCCATTGTGAAAACAATCCTTGCTGGTGGTAACGTGACTGCCTCGTTTGACGCCGATACGTCCCACTATGTCGGGTTATACAATGCGGGAGGTGGACGGCCTGCCGCTTACACCTCGTGGGGCGGTACCTACGACCTTGCACTCAAGCCAGACGTTTCTGCACCGGGCACAAAGATACTCAGCACATACCCAACAGACCAGTACCAGGTGCTAAGCGGAACGAGTATGGCGACTCCTTACATTGCGGGCGTTGCGGCTCTCTGGGTTGGCAAATTTGGGGGCCGAGCTCAGCATGCAAATGATCCTGCCTGGGCTCAGGGTTTGCATGCCCGTATCATGTCTACAGCCCGTGCTGTCCCATGGGCCGACTGGGCGACTACCGAGACCGATTATGGATTCTGGGCGCCTACAACTCAGGTGGGCGCCGGGTTTGTAGATGCCAGCAAGCTTTTCAACTACACCACAGAGTTGAGCTTTGATGGCCGGAAGTTTGAGCTGAATGACACAACTAACTTTGTCGGGCTGCATTCAGTGGACGTTACAAATAAAGGAGATCGGCCAGTGACATACAGATTCTCTTTACAGGCCGCGGGAGGTTATGAACCATGGAGACCGCTTCCTCCCAACACGACGATGTACGCCGTTCCGGGTCTCAAGTTGTACAACCAAATCGATCCTCTACAAATTGAACCTGGTGTGGTACTGCCCGAGGATCTGACTATTGGTGCTGGGGAAAAGCAGACAGCTGAGTAAGGAAGTTGTATAGTACCGTGGAAGATCAATGACCTGCTGACACTGATTCAAGGTTTACGTTTACCGTACCAGATGGGGTCAACGCGTCGAATATGCCTGTCTACAGCGGAAAGATCCTGATAAGCGGAGACAATGGAGAAGAACTCGGGATCCCTTACTTCGGTAAGTCATGCTGCGCGCAACCGACGGTTCAACTAACAGAAGATAGGCGTCGCGTCTAGCTTGAGAGAAACAATAACCAACGTCTTTGACTTTGGAAAAAATTATCCCTATCTGACGTCGGGAGTCAGAGACGTGATGATTTCATCCAAATCAAAGTAGGCTATCAACCCAGTTTTTGGATAGAGACGAGGCTAAACAACTCCAGTTTCACATTTAACCTTTCGATGTCGTCGCAAGACTTTCCCAAATTAAATACTATGCTGGTATGGGGCTCCGAAGAGCTACGATGGGATGTACGTTGCAAGCAGGGCTTAAAACCCCGTCCAACCGAGCGAAACATGACTAAATGCAAAATTAGATTTTCGACGGAGACTACACTGAAGCTGATTGGGTTTATCCACCTGTCATCGGCCAGAACGGCTACGTTGGATCTGCCACGGCCTGGAACGGAACCGATGCGTCCAGTTGGTTCAACCCTGATATCAATAACGAGGACGATATTTTCTCTTTCCCGCTCTATGACAAGCCTCGAGATGATTGGGGTAGATTCTTCTGGCTGGGCAGATATGCCAATGGATCCCAAATCCAACCAGGGTCATACAAGTAAGTAACGTCAGCTATTTTCTGGCAAGGTTGACATTCGTTTTCTGACTGGTTGTACATAGATTTCGTATTGCAGCTTTGAGACCCTTCGGCGTCCCCACCATAGCCGAAGATTGGGATATATGGGCGACACCAGACATAGCTTTCTTGGCGTAGACTATAATATCTGGTGCAGGTGTAGGAAAGGTTCTTTAAAACCTCGTAATTAGCTGTGGTATCTGAAAAGTATGACAACATAACAAGGCTTAGTCGTCTTAATAAGTAGGCTTGAATCCCAACTCTATTCTCTTCGTCATACATGATTTCATTCGTAACTCTGCGGGAAAAAGGATTTCAGAATTATTCGGTCAAATGTTCACCAGTGTTACCACCAAAGCTGTCGCTTAATCTTACAATCTTCCTTCCCTCGACGCCCGCACTGCAAGACAAGATTTCGGTTCTCTAGATAAACTCTTACCCGTATCACATCTACACGTGCCGATACAGGAAGCTCGTTACCTTCCCTCCTCCTCTCCTCTATCTCTACTATTTGCCCCGCTACCAGAGCCGCTGCCGCGCTCTCCCATACCCCCTCCCGCCTGTTTGGAGTATCGCTCATCAAAGCAAGTGCTCGATATCTGATCTGGGGAACTCGGCATTTCAGAGCCACATAGTACAGCACGGGTACTATGCCGCTTTCCAGAGAGAAATGAGAGACTTTGGCCTGATAGCGCTGGCATTGCTCAGTGCTCAGGCTTTGATAGGCAAGTGGTAGCAAAAGATCCTCCGCCTCGTTCACGATGTGACGAAAGTCGTCCTCAAAATCATCAAACATCATCTCGTCATCCTGCAGACAGGTAGATATCATGACTCTGGCTGCTTTATAATATAACATCAAAGATGAAGTAGCAGCGCGGCGTTTTCCCCGGTCGCCTCCGATGTACTCTTGGGTCTTGACAGTATTGAGATAGCCCGTGAGCGCAGCGTACCACTCATCAAGCCGCATTGCAAAGTCGGCCCGTCGTTTGTTTCGAGATCTGTTGGACTTTACATTTGTCTTCAAGTGACCCCGTGTGGGTAAGAAGAATATCTGCCACAATAGTGAATGTATAGCATCCCGAGCAAGAGTAAGACTCTCGAAACGATGGCCCCTTTCACCGAGATCAGCCGTGCAACTGATCAAGGAGGAGTGATTCTTCGAACATGTTGGCTGCACGTCGCTGAACAAGGTTGCTTGCATTGCCAGGCGGCTGAACATAGGTGCCAACGTTCTGCGCACAAGATACCCCTTTGGCGATGAAGGTGAAGTACCGCGGATCCCGCTTTCCTGACTCTGCCACTTAGCGATTATCGTTATTCCGCCCTGTATATGCGTCTGTGCAGCATTATAGAAACCCCGGAGGATTTCGAAGCCGGCACACAGAAGGCAGCATAATAGTGTAACCTCGAGGTTGTCGAAGCCTTTGCTGAAAATATGCGACTGGAGGAGCCCGATGGCTTTGGTGTAGTGCTTTGCAGCTCGGTCATATTGCTGTCTTTGTGGAAGATCTATACCAGTTTCTCTGGCGGCGGAGGATTGGACAATGGTTTTGGGCAAAGAAGAATGTTTATCTCGAAAATGCTCGTGGAGAGTCGCAAGGGCAATGAGCGCATGGCATACGCAGTCCTCTTGCTGGCTAATCTGGAGCACAAGAGTAGTCCAGAATTCATCTTGGAAGCATCCTGAGAACTGTTCCGCAGTCTCAAATTGAAAGTACTGCAGTGCACGCTGGGCTGATGGTTCCATGTTCTTGCTCAGAGCGAGTAGAGCTGTGCCCGTGTGATGAATCAAAGGAAGTACAGATCTGACTGGGCGGTCTAGTGAGTTTGATGGTCCATTTGGTATCCGCGAAGAGCTATATCCGTCACAATGACGCCCGGTTCTGACGCATTCGTTGCAGCTAGGGCGGGTTTCATCACAACGAACATGTCGAGCCCTGTAGAGTCGTGTTAGCCGGCACGGGGTTGAAAAACTTGCGACAACGCAAGTGATTCGACGGACCTGCAGATACCGCAACCTGCAGCGGATCGCGCATGCTTCTTCCGTCTTCTAGCTGTCTCTGTCATGGCCTTGGGCGTAGAGGAGCGGACAACCTCGAGGTCTGTTGAAGAACACTAGTCGCTGGATACTCAGGAAATTACATCCCCAGTACGTTCCAAAGACCAGTACCGAAGTGTTCAAAGGAGAAAGGTTTCTGTCGGCCAACAATGGGTTCATAGGTTGTAGCCGTTGTCAGGCATAACTTACGGGTCCATATTGCAAGAATACGAATCATGGCTGCGCCACTGAACGACTCTTGGCGCGGACTGATCGGAAGGAAATGGTGGTCTTTGATTGGGTGCTCCGTGTAGCAACCAATGGGATTGATTTCTCGCCGGGGAATTTCGATTTCTATCCTAGAGTGGGATTCTCGGCTCTTGGCGGTTAAGGCTCAGCTTATACTCGACTCCTACTGGCTCGCTCGTTTATTGGTGGACCTAAATGCTCAATCCTGAGAAGCATGTCAACATGGCGTATCGTTGCAAGAGTTTATATAATATGGTACATCACAAGGAAATATGAACGGAAGCCCTCTGCAGTCAATCATCCTGCCATTTCATCTGTATCCTGAGCAACTCCTTTAGACATCGCTACCCTTAAGCACACTACTTCTATGTCTGAACTCTACAATCTGGGAGGTAGCGTCTTTTTTCTGGCTCTATACAGTGCTCTTCTCCTCCCCCAAGTCTACTGTGGCATTCGATACAAAACCTGGGGCTTTCTCTTCGGCATGGCTTCGGGTCTCATCCTCGAGATCCTCGCGTTCGTCGCGCGAATTCAATTGCATTTTCGGCAGAAGAAATTCTTGCAGTACGTACTTACGTGAATTGCCAATGTTGGTCAGGCTTTAGACATGCCTGACACCACAGACACCAATGCCGTGATATTCTCTATGGGCAATGAAGTAGCTGACATTTGATCTCTCTCTCTCTCTCTTCTAAGATACATTGTTACGATCACTATAGGTCCAGCTTTCTTCAGCGCCGCCATCTATCTCTGCTTGGCCCGCGTCATCGCCGTGTATGGTGGTCACATCTCCCGTCTGAAGCCACGAACGTATACCATCACTTTCATGATGTGCGATGCCATAGCTCTAGTTTTGCAGGCTTCTGGTGGGGCTCTGGTCGGCGGCGACAGTTCGAGTTCGTTTGAAAAGGGGCTTTCTATACTCCGGGCCGGTCTGGCCTTCCACGTTGCAGGTATGGTTATCTTTGTGGCGCTGGCATCTGACTATGCGTGGTCGGCCTACAGGAGGCGCGAACATTGGACACCTAAGTTTTCGTGTCTACAAGAGTCAAGGAAATTTCACTACTTTCTTATTGGTATGTACCACCCCAATCATATATTATTAGCTACTCATTTCTTAGTGAGAAGTACACCGCCTATCCCCTGGATGCTTTCCGGAAAGGAAACTGACACTTTATTTGCGAGCAGGGCTGATTGTAGCTACTCTCTGCATTTTCATCCGAACCTGTTATCGACTCGCTGAGCTAAGCATGGGTCTCGACAGTGATCTCGCGAATGATGAAAACGCCTTCATGGTGCTGGAGGGTGGGATGGTGGCAGCTGCTGTCATCGCGATTACTATCCTACATCCAGGTGTCGCTTTCGAGAGGTTTTGGCCGGAGGCAGATTTTCAGCTTGCCAATGTCTTCCGTGGCAACGCGCACAGCAAGAAAGATGGTAGAGGTGGGCGGGGCAGCGGACTGGCTGAATCCCCGTCTAGGCGTGAACATCACAGGCTTCCATCCTCTCTATAGGTTGTGTCAAGTGGCAGGACTTCCGTGATAGATAATAGCCGTGTTATGGGTGGAATCGTAGCCATCGGAAGCGATTTTTAGGAATGCATTCGGGGGCAGACCAAATTTTGACACCTCGCGAGACTCTACACACTTGAGAAATCCAACCGTATCTTTCCAAGACGGCGCCCCACTCCTCGAACACATTGACATCTAAAGACAACAATCAACGCAGGACTTGTTTGCTGCTGCTGGGATTGTTAAGTACCGCATCACGGATATCCGACATTTAACCGAATTTTCCTGAGAGTGATGCCCCACGCCTTCCCTACTCCAAGCACATTGAGATCAAGACAACAATCAACATCACGGCTTCAACTGCGGCTAGCACAATACTTTCATCTTCGGGGCTGCTACACAATCCAGCATCATGAACAATCAACCGACATATATAAAATCAAACCCTCCGGCTGCGTTCTGACTTTCGACTCTCATCATTATCTTTTCCAGCCCAAAGCAGATCGTCTAGTCCAAGCCCTTCAACAGCACAAACCCACCACTTCAATCAGTCGCACATCCAATTTGAAGACATTCTTCCAAATTTTAACCTCAACTTTATGTATGGCCTCACTTTCAGATCTTGCAAGCGCCACAACACTTAACACGGATTGTCATCCCTCACCACAACACCTCTGCCCGCGACGTTGGCCAACTATTGGCCTCTCAACCTGGCGCAAAAGGTATGCTACGATTATTCTAATTATATCCGCGTAGAGACTGACTTTTGCAGTACGTCTTAGTTTCGTCCCCTACCACTGAACGACGTTTCTGCGTTTTTTGCGCGGGCGTGGAAGTCCGATTTGGTAAGTATAGCTACCCCGCATTATACTCTTTCTGGGTTTTTATACCCCGCCTTTTAAAGCTATTTCAAAGCTAGAGCTATGCAACACTATACCCCGCACTTGCCTTGAGTGTTTCCAAGTTTGCAACATGTTATTCGGATTATAAGCGGCTTTTAAGTGAATAGCATTACTATAAGCTACCCCGCATTATACCATTATACACCTCAATCTTGTCTCACATTACCTTCATTTATGATACCCCACGATGTTTTAAAGCCACCTTATTAATAATTCTTATAGCGCTACTTTCACGATGTCGACCCCTGAATCATCTTCATTCATAGAGACGGCAGCCGGCGCCATTACCGGTGCAACCGAGCAAGTAAACGCCGGCTCCAGCACTGACAATGATTCTCATTCCCACACTTCTATCGGACACCAGACCAACTTCGTCGACGATAATAATCCTCATACCAACTCAGTCGACGGTACCACTTCTCACGCCAACTCAGCCGATAACAACAGTTCTCATTCCAACTCAAACATTGGCGATACCGTCGATTTAGTCGCCAAAAATAATGCTAGCAATGACGGCAGTCTCACACCTATCAGCAATGACGGCGTTGTTTTCATGCCGTACTCGGAAGCACAGAACCCAGATTCGGTAAAGAGCTGCGAGCGAGAAGAGTTCATAGAGTGTCTCGAAGACGGAGATTTGGCCGTGGAGCATTTCGTAAAGATCAACAGCGCTCACTTCCACCGATATGCCGATGATACAACTAAGGTTGCGCCAGAGTCGTGAGATTTCACTTTTCCTCAATTTTGTCCCATCGGCGGCTAACAGCTCTATAGCACTCTACTCACTATCCGTGCTGATGGTGGCGAGTTCTTCATTCACCGTGCCATTACCAAGAAGTCCCACATGTTGAACAGTGCCTTCGCTCACCGAATGAAAGAAGGGCTTTCTGGCATCATCGAGTTCGAAGGTGACTACAAGGTCTGGATGATCGTGCTGCTGGCGATGTACGGTGCCAAGCAGCTGCCACTTGGCTTCATCAAGCACAACGCAGCCGTCTACGTTGTCAAAGCCCTAGAAAAAGCGGACTATGTCCTTGCCGAAGAGAGCGCCAAGGAGAACGTGGCATCCATGCTCACTGCCCGGCTGGCCACTTTCAAGACCTGGAAAGATCACCCACTAGATGACTTGGAGTACACCGTCCATGAGGACAGAGTGGCTGAGATCAGTGAGGCATTCGTGGCGTACAGGGACTGCGTCGCGACCTACAAACCCTTTGACCTATTCGGCTTTGGCATCCTTGTCCACACCTACTGCCCCAACCAGATCTACCAACACTTTGAGGACCTTTGGGACGATGCTCTGTTCCGCTACATCTCCCGCGCCGGCAAGACGGGTCCGGGCGGCCCGCACCCCTCTGCGTCGGCCCTCAAGTTGTTCATGGCGTTCTAAGCCAAACTTCGAGCTGAATGAGAAGAGGGTTTGGCTTGAATAAGCACACTATTTCGATAGGAGGACCTACCCATGTACTACATCACGACGACAGCGACGACTTTGCAGAAATTAGCACTTGCTTAATTGTATCAACGACTTACAGAGGGCATCTTGCAGCCATTGGAATTTGAGAACTACCGTCGATAACGAAGAGGGCTTTGTAAAAGAGCCAGGCAATAGCACACGTAAATACAGATAATTTTGCCAATTGTGTTCACTATCTATATATTGCATCCCCTCGAATACCAAGTGAGGACATTCGTCTAGGCTACATCGCCTGGTAATTAATCATTGTAGATAGCAGGGATTATATTACCAAGTCCTGCTGGAATGCGGACATTGTGTCGCGTGTGTGCCGTGGAACTCGGCCGTGTCCGAGCGATGTGGGGCTCTTTGTTTGTTTCAAACCGTCAGTTGGTTCTTCCTGGGAGTGGTCAGAATCCATGTGACCACATGACTGACGGGATATCTGAGACTTCATTCGTACGCCGAGTGACATACCGGCTTAGTCCGGGCTGTGTGATGTTCAGTTTAGAGTTGGAAACTTGGGGACCCTGAACTGCTTGTCTACTACAGAAGCTCACGCTTGCAGCTACAACATCGGTGGCAAGAGTGTCGGTGGGTTGGGGAAAACGTGGAGGGATGCGAGCATTGGCGACATTTTATGTGCTGGGACATGGTTGACCATGGGAGCAGATACTGACCTCCCAATGCTGATATCAAATATCCGCAAGGATTTCGTGTAGAGAAAGTGATTCAAGCTCGTCTACATCATACAACATAGGTCTATGTGTGAGTATATAGCAGATTGTACCCACGCATTTTCACAAAGACAACATGCGACTGCTATGTTAAGCAGAGACTGACCAAGGTGTTCAACTAGAGCGCACGAGTGAAGTCGGTGCTTGAGTATCATGCATGACACCAATATACCTTGGAAGAGAAGATCTGCGTAGTGCGTGCATCTGGGTAAAATGAAACCGCGACTGGCAGTCTGGTGGTGACAGATGGATACCACACAGAGGTGGAGGAACTGAGGATCTAACACTTGCCACCGTGCCCGCGCAGTTCTCAATACATATGTGGGACCCTTAAGTCTCACACGGTTGCAGCATAAAATGAATGGGACAGATATACGGTTTGGTATTTTCTTATTTTTTCCAATCAAGAAAGATGTGATCATGCGAGGAGCAAATCTGCGTTGCATTATTTCCCACTTTCATGATCAAACATCCAACACCAGTTGTCCGTAGATAGACCACATAGCGTGACAGGCCGTGCCGGCTCCCTTCGACTCGAATGGGCGGCTATGAATAATGCCATGCTCACTCGGCGTTATCATCCAATTTCCCTACCTGGCCTTTGTATCAAGCACGGCTCTCTGATGATCAGCAACGGCCGGAGCCAACACTGGCTCCGAGCCGGGCCACCGAGCTTTCATCAGCGCGAAACCTTGGAGTGCTGCATGTGCCAGGATGCCACTGCTTTTCTACTTCCCACACGCCTCCGTTCTGGCGACCGGCCCCCTATTCCGTGCCCAGACGCCAGAGCCCATCTCCAAGGTAATGGGCGTCCTCGATGACGGGTCCCTTGCCCTTCTCCTTGACCAGCTTCGTGCCCTCGACGAGGAAACCGACGGCGCAGGCCTCCGTCTTGCCCTCGGCCCTCACCACCACGGGCTCGCCCTTCTCCAGCTCCCGGGTCCACCTGTCGTCCTCATCCAGACCCTCGGGCTCGCCTCCCTTGCCGCTCGGCAGACGGCCGCCCGGGCTGGTCAGGCCGGGGGCCATGAGGGTGGCGCCGCTCAGCACGAAGCGGATGGCGCCGCGGTCGATGCGTATGCTGGGGAAACCGGCGGGGAAGCGGTGGACGAGCTTGAGGTGCGGCAGGAGGGTGTTGGTGTCGACCTGGAAGAAGAGGGGCTCGCCGTCGAGCACGTAGAGGGTGGCACGGTCGGGCAGCTTCATGGCCTCGAGGGAGCCCTTCTTGGGTAGGATCTCATCGATGTAGGGGGCCAGGAGCGGGTAGGTGGTCAGGAGGGACTGGCGTAGCGAGCGCTGGACGGAGGACTTGAGCTTGGACTTGGGGGCGCCCTGGAGACTGGGCGGAGGTTAGGAACCGCAGAGCTGGCCTGGGGCGCGAGGGACAGTGACTGACTCTTTTTTGAACATGTTGGGCGGCTTGGGAGAGGCAGGTCCCTGAAAAGGTCCCTGGGAAGTACTGAGTGTCCCGTCGCTGAGATGGATGGGCTGCCGAGCTGTTGTCGCGGGGGGAGGGAGGACCAAGGTTGTCTGTCCTTGCGGCTCGAGGTCGGCGGGCGGTGGTGTTCTGAGTGGAAAGTTTGGAGGGGCAATCGAGACAGACACCACCAGACCAGCAATGCCCCGCAGTTGGCTATCGGGGGGACGACCCAATTGGAAGTTGGACGAGTGACGAACGAGGGGCAGCACCTGGGAGTCAACCAAGGACCTAGGTTCGTGACTAGTGCCACATGCAGGACCTGCTGTGAGCGGTTCGCTCGTGTGGGATTAGTGCCAGCTTGCACTGCGCTTCTGGCGCGGGGCCATGCCGATGATACACACGATCGCAACAGACAGACAGACAGACAGGCACCTGACAGAGCAGGAGAAGAGTGAGGAGGAGCGAGCTTGCTGCTCTGCAATAAACGACGAGAATGCCATCCATACAAGGACATCGTCCATGCATCAGGCGGGGCGGGCACGGGGGAAACATCCCGCAGGCACGGCGCAGATTGTACAAGCACACAGGATGGGCGGTATAAGGTATAGTAGTAGACATGACATTGAATCGAGTTCTGAGTTCAAGTCTCGACATCAAAACGTGTAACAAGGCATGGTGTCATTTCTCATTGCTCATCTGCGTGGAAAACCTAGTAACACAAACGTGCGGGCTTGCTTGCCGGAGAACCAGCGGCCTCTCCTCGAGGCCATCCTCCATCATAAACTCATCGCCCATCGCCCATCGCCCATCGCCCATCGCCCAGAGACTGTGCGCCCGAGGCCAGCTCAGCTTAGCCGTGCTGGACGTGGCTGACGGTGCCGTCCTCTTTCACGTGGACGTTGAGCCGGTCCGGCACAAAGTCCTTGGTCACCATCTGGCCGGGCTGGATGACGCGGCACCGCTCCGGAAGGTCCTTCTTGCAGAAGCTCTGAACAAAAACACGTCAGCCTCCTCACCCACAATCCCCAGTACACACATCCCACGCGCGACGCCTAGCGATGCGTGATGGGCGAGGTTTCCAGAACTTACCGTCTCGGTGTGCGACTCGTCCGACAGCGTCTTGCCAACCAGCTTGTTGGTCCACTCCTCGGTCTTGTCACCGGAGTTGCTGTTGATGCCAGGAACGACGAGAGGCATCTTGGGCTAGCTAGTATTGCAGATAGATGTAGCTGCTTGGAGATGGGGTTCTGATAAAAAAATGGCTGTCTTGTCGTCTATGTGTCGAGGTTATGAAGGCTGGGTTGAGAGGTGCAAGTCAAGCTCGAGCTTCTCTATCTGTCTTATACGTTGACGCGGAGGCACGCAGCAACCGATGACGTATGCCGGCCGGCTGGCCACACAGGTTTTATGGAAAAGTCACGAGCAGTTGGAGGCACCAGAAAGTCGCCCATCGACGCGCTTACCGGCGGCGATGACTGGCGGCCTCATGCAGACGCCATTCTGCTTCGACATGGAATCTGGCCAGCTCTCTCTGTTGAGCTCTACCCAGGTACATGCCGCACGACGACTTGCCATCACTTTTGGCAGAAGCCCCTGGTAACACCCGACTGTGGGCAGGGCACCAGGCGTTGCGCGCGCCAGGCGACTTGGGGGGCAATCCCCTGCAAGCTGCGCGTAACGACAGCTGATGAACACAACCAAATCCAAGCCATGGCTATGAGTTAACTTATGGGCAACACCGGATATATTACCACAGTTCAGGGTCTATGAACGGCAATCACATCGAAAGCACAGATCACGTGCCCGGAACCCATTCCGACCATGAACGGCGCGAGGAAAAAAAGGGGCCCTGCAGGAGGGAACCACTGCACTTGCCTTCCATGTCCGACGACGCCGATCCCACTATGCTTACGCAGTACGGGGAGCACCTAAGCTTCAATACGAGCGCTCTCGAGGGAACTTGCACACACACACTGTATCTGCTTGGATAGACGACTGATGTTCGGCCAGCGGTTGAGGCAGGAATCCCGGCGGGTAGCTGAACACCAGCAAATGCTCCGAACAAAGGCACCGGAACACTCAGTCAATCTTGGCACAAAGGGTCTCCGACGATCATGCGCAAGCACCTGGGAACGAGCAACGAACAACGTTGACCCAGCTAGTAAGTCCCTAAGTTCCTGCATATGTTCGACCATAGCTCTGGTCCTGAGTCATCCTCTTCAGAATCCAGGACCGGCTAGAAGTCAAAATCCTATCACAGCGGGCAGCTCCGGCACAAGAAAACGAAGCCATCATCAACCTGACAGCGGGCTCAGCCCACGTCGCGGGCGTCTGGGGACTAACTTACGGTATGTATGTACGTGCGATTTGCTCAGCCACGATGTTCCTGGCGGTCGGTCGCAATGGATCAGTCGCATCCATGGATCCCCACAAACCGAGATGGCCTAAGCCCCCCTTAAACGTCGGCCAGGTCCACTTGGCAAGACAGGGACCAATGTATCTACGTATGTACAGCAGACGCGTCCTCTCGAAGAGAGAAAATCAGAGACGGCATAGGCGGCGATGGATACCGTTCCGTTGTGAGTGCAGGTCTACGACACGGCCCCTGGGAGGGTGGACGGTGTAGGCTCTTGCACGCGAATGAGAACGTGTACAGACAGGCTGCCATCATGGGGCACTGGCAGTCCGAGACACAACAAGAGGACACTGACGCTGACGAACCACAGCTAAAGGGCAGGCTGGCTGAGGCTTGACAGGTTGGCAGTCTCAGTGCAGTGCCTATTTCGGGGTTTTGGTGCTGGGCGGGTCGCCCTGCAATCCCTCATCCACAGACGCCATCCCATATCCAGGCAAGCCCGGAGCCGCCGTCTAGGGTGGCCGGACCGGGGGGGGGACGGGGGCCTTACACCAGTGAGATGGCATTGCCATGGGAGCCCAGGAGGAGGAGCATTGAGCAAAGGGGCAGAAAAAAAAAAAAGTCTGGCGCGGCGGCGCATGTCAAGTACCGGAGCACCGTCTCGCAAACCTCTGTCAGCTCTATGTAGTGATCCATGCCCACCTAACAAAGTACCTAGGTAGGTACCTGGGTTCCCCCTTCAGCTGTCGGCTAGCCTACTGTGCACTGGAGTTAGGACCAAACCTTGGCCTGACCGACTGCTTCTCCTGTCTCCCGCTGCTACGTACCGACCGCCATCCGTCTTTCTTACCTCTCCCCCCGATTCATGATACCCTCAAAACCTTGAATCCTGCCCTCCTCATCTCGTCGTGGTTATCGTCCAGTATCTGTCCTCCCCTCGCCCCCTCCCTCCCTCTCTCTAGCTCTATCTGCTTGTGGTGAATACAAGCCACCAAACACCAGCACCACCTTGCATCTTGGTCGCGCCCGGCAAATTGGATCTGCAAGCTGCAGCCCAGCGCCCGACCTCCTGAGTGCATACGATACTTTGCGGGAGCCAACCTAGTCCCCAGCATCCTCCCGCACCTGCGACGCCTGCTCATCTGTCGGACCGGGTACGACCACAACGAACACAAAGCTTCTCCCAACGATAATCTCTTCAGACTCGTTGCCAAAATGCGCTCCACCGTCGCCGCCGCCTTTGCGCTTCTGCTGCCTTCTCTCGTGGCTGCCTCAGCTGCCCAGTCTGAATGCCTGCAATCAAAGGCCAAGGAGCTGGCCGTCCGCTCCCAATGCGGCGACAAGAAGTTCCTGCTCAAGTGCTTCCAGACCGCTTCTGACCTGGCTCTGGAGAACACCGTCCAGGACTGCCTCACCAGGGCAGGTTGCACAGACAAGGCCGCCGCCAGCGAGGCTAGCTACCTGCTGACCCTCTGTGACGGCAAGTCCGATGAGTTGAGACGACGAGAGCGCGAAGAGGGTAAGTGAACTTGACGCAATTGCGTGTCCCGTCTGGGCCAAAATTCTTGGCCACTGCTCCGGGAGAGGTGAGCTGACAGTGACGCTTACGCAGCTCTCGCCGCTCGCAACAACGTGCGCGCAGTTGACGCTGTGGCTGCCGCGACCACAACCACCGACTCCGCCTCGATAGAGACCGGTGCTGGCGCGGGCATTGCTGCCCGACAAACCACAACCGCGGCTACTAGCTCAAGTATAGGGCCCTGCTCGACCGAGACCATCACGGCTGTGACATCGTACTATGAAGGCAAGAATGACTACACCGTCCAGACCAAGACCACCTCGGTATGCAATGCGGCCTACTTCTGCACCCGAGACAACGACGGCAACGACCTCTGCATGGTCCGCCAGGACGGCATGACCCTCTCGGGCAGCATCGTCGGCATCTTCCTGGCCATCGTGCTTACCGCCATCATCGCCACCGTCATCTTCCTGTGCTGCCGTGACCGCAAGGAGCAGAAGCGCATCCGCGCACGTGCCGAGGCCGCTGCTATTGCCAAGGCCAACGCCATCGAGTCCCGGAGGCCCGAGGCTTCGCAGGCCGCCCGGAGCATGAGTCAGAACAACCACGGCCCCAGCGGCGGCCCGAACCCCTTCGCTGGCTAGGTGACAGCGGACGGGAGGCCTGCGCCCCCAGCCGCGCGGGGACGTGTATCGTCGTATCGGAGCTATAGACAGTGAGATGTGGTAATCGGGCTAGGGTTATCAATCGGGGCATTCTCTTCGGGAACCAAAGGGAGCTGAATTTTTCGGCGAGATTCGTGGAGTAGCTTGGCCGCATTGCCGACAAGATGTCTACCACATTCCTATGGTCTGTGGGATGCTCGCGGACGATGATCGAGGCCAGTAATATTGACACGTTTGCCATGTGCCCCAGGGCAAATGATTAAGGGTGTGGATTGACCAGGGTGTGTTGGGAACATATGATGGTGGTAAAGCAACAGAAAAGCCCCCTTTGAGTAGATACCTGAATTTCTTGGTTGAGGACCGGCGTTCATAGGTATGATGATCTGATAATTCCATGCAGGAAATGCAAATCTGTATAACAAACCTGCCCCTTCGACCCCAAGGATTGCACATGTAAATTGAAAGCCGGTCAGTCAAGCTGCATTTACAACAAGTGAACCCTCAGCCTGCTGCCACTCCGACAGTGGCTTCCATGAGGGTTTGGACCGGGGGAGGTTCAGCGTCTTGAGGGCGATCGATGAGCCATCCAGGATGCGGTGGTGGATTTCTCCCCCAAGGTATACATAATGGTCGACTGGAAGTAAGAAGTATACTGAGCCCGACAGAGAAATCTTTGGCCACACCACCTCGGGGAAAAGGGGGGGGGGGGCTTTATAATGGTCGCAATGTCAAGCTTTCGCCCTCCTCTCCAGCCATTAAGGATCGCATGAATCCGTGACAACGGTGCGAAGCTATGACAAGACCGCATGGGGGTTCTTTCCAAGATACGAGGTCCTTGGACCCGCCCTCTGCCGCCCTCTGATATATGCTCGTTTTGTTTTTCTCCCTCTTCTCTCCCTTTCCTTCCCTCGGTTCCCAAGTGCGCTTTCACTACGATTCGCCCTGGCTGGCTTGGTCTCCGCTCGCGCGAACAGGGCATTCCTATAACTACACTAGGGTCGGGCTCAGTGCCTGCTGGTAGGTTCAGACCGGTCCGACGACAAGTAGCGCCGTGGAGCGTGGGCGCGAAGGGACTTTGGCATTATTGTAAGGCTCGGAAAATTTTATATCTGGGACTATGACACCAGGAATGCTAGGAGACGGAAGGTGGTGGGCACACCCACTGAAGCTGGGTTGGAAATATACACAAGCGGGTACGAGACACGGTCCAGGTTTGTCTTGAGCATATGCATTCAGTGGGTGGCCCGATTTCAACGGCTTGATGCTTGCTCTTTGAGCAGATGCATTATTGTGACTGTGTCGGAAGCAGACATCATCTGTACTGTAGCTTAAATTTGTTGGACATAATAACGCCGATTATGGTGTGTAACCCTGAGACGGGATTTCACGATTCACGCATTGGTATATCAGTAATCGCAATGGTGCACGGCGACAAAGACTCATGGCATGCACAATACGACGTCCACTGTATTCGTGGTTAAGACCACCTAAGAATGCTTCCTGCGTTCGGGAGTAGAAAGAACTGCACCGTTGTATCTGCCCTCACCGACGTCCACAAGGTATAGGAATCTATCTCGCGAGCCAGACCAGCCCATCTCTCGGCTGCCGCAGAACACAATGAGAAGACTCGTTCGTCAGCTTCCCAGACACCCGAAAATGCCAATCACCATTCCTGTCCATGCGCCGAGGATTGTGTGCGTCGGTGGCGTAGAGGAACCTCGAAAAGTACAAAGAAGGAAGGACACAAGAAGTAGAGGGCTCGACCATCCTAGAGCTCATGAGAAACACGTAGCTGCTTCACCCAGCGTGATTTCATGATTTCGAGGTTGGCCGAGCAAGAAGGAGTAGAGGAGTCATCGAGGGCGGAGGGTATAAGTTCTAGGAACAAGGGGATCGAAAGACCCTCTCTACACCCAGCTCAGACCACCCCTTTTCGAGACCAAACAGATTGAGAGCAACGTGCGAGTCCAGGTGGAAAAGAGCGGTCGGTTCCTGGATTTGCTTGGAGTTGTTGTTCGGGCCACTGATCTGCCACTAGGACCCTCGTGTGCCAAACGAACCAATCGAACCCACAATGGGACTGCCTATCTCACCTGGAGCACCGACGTTGCGCGCTGCCATGATCGGAGTACCCCCATTGGCGTCGTAGCGAATCAGCATCTTGCCTGACTTCTCGTCGCGGCGAATATCGAAGCTTCCGCCGCCGTTGTGGGCACTCCCTTCAGTTTCGCACATTTCCAGGAGCTCAGGCTCCGAGACCGGCTCCGAGGTGTTGATCGAGTCAACATGCCCCTTGACGGTTGAGATGTCAACAAAGCCGTTCTCGTCAGTAGCATGCCCCTCTAGTTCCCGACATGCTCGGCAGAGCATCAAACGAACCTGCACCGTCCGGGGCTGCACTGGTCTCATGCCGGGGGGTGGGGCTCCGAAGGCAGGGTTGGGAGGCCAGGCCGTGTTTCCAAACCCAGGAGGCGGCGAGAACACGTTGGCAGGACCCCCCCACCCTCCACTCAATGGAGAACCAAAGATGGGGTCGTGGAATGGGGCTGCTGTGAACGGAGGCCTCGTTCCCGGGGCGGCAGTGTGGCGCCGCTGCTGATTGCTGATATCCCCGAGCGGCTCATCAGAGTCGTCAAGCAGTGCGCTGCTCCCCAGATGGTTGACATTGTCCACCTCAGCACCAAGGCTCTGTCGATGGCCCTGGACCACGCTGCCTGGTCTTCCAATAGGTGCAGGTCTCGCAATGGGCTGGGCGGAAGCGCCGGGGCTCTTGGAATCCAGGGGACTGCCGTCAAAGCTCGCAGAGGCTTGTCGGGAGTGCGAAGACGGCTGCCCGAGAGGCATACCCTCATGCCCAGGGAAGCCCTGGCTCATGCCGGGCATAGAGTCAAGCCCGCCTTGAAACCCAGGAGGCGCGTGGGGAGGCATTGGAAATCCTCGGCCCATCGGCCCAGCAAGGCCAGGAGGTGGAAGCGGCATGCCTCCAGGGGGTGGTCGGAAGGCACCGCCCATCGGAGGGAACGCATGGTTGTGCATCTGGTTGAATCCCGGACCCATGGGCATTCCAGGAGGATACGGCATCCCGAGAGGTGGCATCCCAATGGGGAACGGCCCAGGGCCGAGGCCAGGGGGACTCTTGATCCCACCGTGTAGGGGGGATGTGGGTGCGCCAGGAAAAGACGAGCTGCCGGGGCCGGTGGACGGTGCCTTGTTCGGAGGCCCAATGGGACCGGGACTTGCGTGCGCGGGAGTCAGTGGGTGCGGCGAAGCGCTCTGACTGGCACCTGAACCTGACTGTGATGCCTGAGACATCGACCTGGTGATCTCCTGGGATACTGCGCGGGGCTTCATCGGCGTAGGCGCCTTCGGAAGGGCTGGTGTCGCCACGGAGATCTGCGGTGAGGCCTGGTGCACGGGAGGCTGGTGAGGGAGCGCCGGGATGGACGCAAGCTGCGGCGGCGGCGGCTGTTGCTGCTGCTGCTGCTTCTTGGGTTGCGTGGGGATAGGGATGGGCGCCGCAAGAGCAGCTGCCTTCTGGGCAGCCTTCTCCTCCTGCTTCTGCTTCTCCTTGGCATCCCGTTCGGCCTTTGCCTGAGCGGCTCGCTGTTCCTTATCTCGCTTGTCTTTCTCATGCTTCTCGCGGCGCTCGCGGGTCTCCCGCTCCTTCTGCTCCCGCATCTCCTTCTCCTTGATGCGCTGCTCCTCCTTCAGCTTCTTCTCGCGCTCCTTGACCTCGCGGGCTTTCCGTTCCTGCTCCGCCTGGCGTTCCTTTGCGTCGTGGGCGCGTTTCTGTCGCTCGGCCTCCTTCCGAAGGCGTTCATCCTCCTCGTGCTTCTTCTGGAGTTCCTTCTTCTTGCGCTTCTCCTCCGCCTTGGCCTTGGCCTCTTCGGCACGGCGTTGGGCCTCGGCAAGCCGTTCTGCCTCCTCGGCGGCCTTCTCGGCCTCTTTGCGCGCCTTCTCCTCGGCCTGGGCCTGCTTCTTCTGGGCGGCTTTCTCCTTGCGCTTCTGAGCCTCCTTTGCCTTCTTGGCCTTCTTCTGGGCGTCCTGCCGGCTTTCGTCCTCGAGCTCCTCCAACAGCTTGGCTTGGCGTTCGCGGGCGACCTTCTCCTTGTAAGCGGTCAGGACTCTCTGCTCGAACATGCGGGCGGCGAAGATCTGGAACATCCGCCGACCCTCTTCCATCCGTTGCTCCTCGGTCATGGTTTCCTGTTGTGACACCTTAGTTAAGAATCTCCCTACCCGCCACACGCGTCACGGGTTTACCTCTTCCTCGTCATACTCCTCCTCTTGAGAGTCGTATTCCTCTTCCTCCTCGTCTTCCTCATCGTACTCGTCGTCTTCGGGCGGCGGGTGATTGTGCGAGGGCGGCATGGGGGCACCGTTGACCGAGTGCCCGTAGGACGAATGGTAGGTCGCGTCCTCTTCGCGGGCCATGCGCCGCTCGGCCAGCTGCTCCATCATCTCGATAAACTTCTTTCCGTCGTTCTTCAGCAGGTCGTCGGCTACCGTGAGAATGCCACCTAGAGTTGTTATTCTAAGGTACGTTGCAAAAGCAGTGCAGCAAAGGTGTGATCTCATACCCTGTACCGTCAGGCTCTGCCCAAAGTTGAACAGGTCAAGGGCGTTGTCCTCGGGCATGTCTTCGGGCTCCCCATCGTCCTCGTCGTCGAGGTCGTCCTCGTCACTGTAGTCGTCATCTACCTCTTCGTCGTACTCGTCGTCGTCTTCCTCGTCGTCCTCTTCGTTGTCCACGTGCTCCACTATGCGGCCCCGCGACGGGTGGTGATGATTGGAGTAGTTCGATGGGAGGCTCCGGGGCGGGTGTAGGCCGGTCATCTGGCCCAGCCGCCGGGCGTTGCCGAGCATGGGAGGGCCGTGGGGATGGCTATGCGGTTGGTTGGCGAAGGATTCGAGCTCCTCGTAGTAGGCATCGTAGAGACCCTCCAGCTCCTCCTCGATGGCGGTGCGCTTGCGCCCGCAGACGGTACAGCTGCACGTGTGCTTCTGCTGCTCCTTCATCTTCTTGAGCACGGCATCCTTCTCGACCTTGACCAACGACTTGCGCTCGTCCTCACCCAGGCCGAGCCAGAACTGCTTGATGCGCTCACGCTCCTCCTGGGAGGACGTGTTCCAGATCTTCTCCTTGGAGATGCCGGCATCGCGCTGCTCCATCTCCCGCGCAAAGGCGCTCATGGAGCTCTCGGCCACGCCTTTCTGCTGCTTCTTCTTCTTGGTCGACTTCTTGGAGCGGGCATTGGTGCCGTTGGCCTGTGAGGGGTGGCTGTGATAGGAATGCAGGTGGTGATCGTCGTCGCTCTCGGTCTCGTCGTCCCAGTAGTCCCCGTTCTCAGCCGCGGAGGGGGGCTGGTTCTGCGGCACATGGTGGTGAGCGTGGACAATCTTGCGAGGGGTGCCCGAAGAGGGCGGCAGGGCAGGTGCGCTGATGGTTGACGCCGGCGGACTAGGCAGGCCGTTGGGCCCGTTTGCTGGGTCGGCGGCCTCGGCGGCGGCGGCAGCTTTCGCAGCGGCCTTTGCGCGGCGCTTCTGCTTCTTGCGATTCACCGTCGGGGCGGGGTCCTGGTCGGCGGCGACGGCGGCGGTGGCGGCGGCCGAGGCGTCGAGACTCGTCGGGGCAGCTCCCTTGGAGGAGGCGGTCGTGGTGGGGGAGGGCTGGGCGGGCGGCGTGGAGGTGGACGACTTGGTGATGGTGATGCTCTTGGTGCCGTCCTTGTTGGTGTACTTGGCCGCGGACGGCTTGGAGACGGGGGATGCCAGCGGCGGCGCGGGCTGCTGGCGGTTCTTGGCCGGCATGGCGACCAGAGAGAGTGGCACAGGCCGGGACGGCAGGGCAAGGCGGGCTCAGGCTCAGGCGCGGGCGCGGGTGCGGGTGCGAGAAGATGGTCAAGGGCCAGAGTTATGACACGGAGCCGGCGTCGACGAACCAGAGCATGCTAGAGAGGCGTGCTGCCGAGTGGGAGCGGAGTACGTAGTGTGCAATCAAGCGGTCCGTGAGGGTTACACAGGGTCGGGTGCCAATGCGAGCGGGCAGGCGGGCAGGCGGGCAGGCGGGCAGGCGGGCGGGCAGGTGGCAGGCGGGCAGCGGGCGCAGCGTGGTGTTGGCGTGAGAACCCACGAGGCGAGCGTTTGGGCGGGAGGATTTGGTGCGTGCCTGCGTGCCTGCGCGTTTGTGGTGTGCGTGTGTGGTTGGGAGTGGTATGTGATTTGGTGTGTGGTGTGTGGTGTGTGGTGTAGCAGTGAGTATGGTGGGCGTGGTGTGGCGTGGTGTGCTGTCCAGAGTCCTGTCCAGAGTCCCAGTCCGGCCCGGAGGTTGAGCGAGCGAGCGACTGACTGACTGACTGCCCAGGTCCCAGGTCCCAGGTGTGAAGTGAGTGTGCGTGATTGATTTGATCGAGTGAGCACTCAAGAGGAGCAGCCGACTGCTGTACCTAGCGCGGGCAGGGTACCTTAGGTACCTTAGGTACTGTAGGTAGGTAGGTAGGTAGGTAAGTACCGGTCGACGCGACGAGGCTCGACGGGTTGCCCCCCCCTCTCTCTCTATCTCTCCTTCGCCCGCTCCCTCTCCTCCTCCTCTCGGCCGCAGGACAACGCTGCGCAGCGCAATGCAATACAGGTGCAACGCGGCGCTGCTCAACCCAAAACCATGTCCCGGGGTCCGAAAGCAAACAGGGCCAGCTGCGGCAGCCTGGGTTGACGGTCGGTTGCGTACCTCAAGTTCAGGGCAGCTCGGTCGTTGACAATCTTGTGCCTCTCGTCTCTGCGTTCTGGTGCGAGGCCGTTGTCCAGCCGCCTCAGGTCCAGTGTCAGTCCAGTGTCCAGTGAGTGTGCAGTTGGTCAGTGGGTGCAGCCTGGGCCCTGAAAGGTTTCCATATGCCCAGAGGTTCGGATCGGATCTTGGCTTGGCGCCCGGCGGTTGGGTCCAGTCCAAGGCGACCATAGGGCAAACACTCCTCCCGAGTGCCCAGTTGCCAGGTGTGCGCTGGAGCTGGGCCCGCCTCAGGCGCCCCAGGCCCCCTCAGAGCCTCAATTTTTCAGCACCCCTCGCCTAAGACTCCTCCAGCTGCCTCCAGGGCTATTGGATGCCTGGGGTACACTTATCCGCCTACAGTAGGTACCTTACAGTAGGTGAGCCCTGGGCTCTTTCAGTGCCAATTGGAAGGGGTGGGGTGGGACCTTGCTGGCCTTGTACATGGTGTTAGGTCAGCCGCTAAAACTGCTTTCCTCAAGGTTGTCAATTGCCAATTTGTCCAGTTGGATGCTGAGATAAGGTGCCTCAAGGCAGTTCAGGCAGTTCCCGCACCGAGAGAAGTCCCCCAAGACCCTGGATGGCGATGAATTCTCCGGCTCTGAGGTATTATTAGTGGAGCTGCCGCAATGTACTAACTTAGGCCTCCATCTAGGTATGCACCGCTGCACCTGCTGCTGCACAGTAACTACCTTCCGGTAGGTTATAGTTATTGGTTAGGCATGATGCCAACCCGCGTCTGTGCGATCCCATAGCACGTGATGGACACAGCCCATCTCGTCTCGGGGTTCACCACATATGGATTCAGTTTAACCAATCTGAGCTTCTCTTCTATGGCCGAGTAGTATTGCCTTACAACTTTGCAGGTGAGGACTTTTGACAGACGAGAGACGGGTCGATCATCTTCTCACGATCGCCACACGAGGCCTTGAGAGCTTCTTGAAAGACCCGAGTACCCGCCACCATCATTGTACTATGTATGTGCTGGAGCATGCCTTCTCGAGTGGCGCGTCTCGTCGGACCAGCTCGTCTAAGAGGCAGCGTCCTCTCATTGACGCCGCTCGCTTCAACATAAGTACACACCCAAGAGTCACCTGGAATCAATATCACCCGAGGGATACAGCTGGGATGGGTCCTGTCATCTCTCATCATCCCCCCAGCAGAGGGATGAATCACGCAGGCTTGAATATACCCGTCTGTCTTCTGGGCTTCCCAGCCGGCAAGGCTGCCACAGGTGCCATCGCGAGGCTCGACTCGACCGACGATGGAACACTCGTTGTAGCTGCCAGCCATCGGGTGGTCCATGTTGAATGCCCCGTCTCACCCGTCGAGAAAAACATCAATAGACTCAGTAGCCTTCTAGGTGACGCATGAGAGAGACTTGACTCAAATATTCTCAGCGTGTGACCAATGGCAGTGGTGCAACGCCGTCGCGGCCGGCTCCATGACCACCAAAGTCAAGAAGCAACACTCGCCAATTTCCATCCGACCGCATACTGCATCAAGGAATGCCAAAGTCCAATCATACCTGGTTTGCGGGCCTGGCTCTGCGGGCACTCCATATAACTCGCGCAACTAAGCAGTGGGACATGCTGTCTAACTCTGCGCTGCGCATGCCATTGGACTAGTATCACAAGTGTGGTTGAGCAACAGACACTCCAACCTGCTAATCTTACATCTGCGCCCTTTAGAGAAGCTTGATTTCCAGACCGACTGACCAAGTCGACGAGGCGGTCTAGCTAGACAACCGACGCAAGTGCTGTTCGAATCTGTATTCTGCGTACGGACGGTCAGTTGGACAGCCCTCCAATCGTTATTGGGGGGAGGTCAAGATTCAAGGCTTGGCCTCCAAGGCCATGCTTTCCCAGGGTCGAGGTGAAAGACCCCCAAAGTCTGCGGTCCGCGTTGCTACAACCGGATTTTGAGCGGCACCCAATCCGTCACACGTCACACAACCGAGCGTTTCTCTGGATGCCGCTGAGAGTTTGGAACAGCCTCCACACGCTCAATATCCGGATTAACCAAAGTCGATAGAGCTTCAAATGTTCTCCCCGCAGCCTGGGCGCTCGGGCCCTCTGGCTTCCAATTGGCCCTGATTCGAGCCCGTCTTAGCACTTACACAGCCTCAACGCATCAGCTCCATCCAGCCTGCCATCGCCTCACTGAGGACAGAGGCCGCAAGCCCTGTAACGTAACAGGTACTGCTGAGAGCTGCGGTTCCGAGTTGCAGGTTCGCTAATAGCGGTGTATGGGTGAGCTGGTGTATTTATGCCAGACCAGTGTCTGCCATTTAGGATCGTCTCGCCCAGGACCCGGCAGACGTACGTGTTAGGAGTAGAAACAGGGTCACTGTACGCCCTCAACTCAGAGTCTACCCTCTCTGCCCCCTTTCTGTCCCTCGCCTCAACTCCGCAGCGAGGGCTCGTCGCGGCCAGTTCTGTGTCCAACCTTGCCCCGAAACGCCCCGAAACAGCTCTGACGGGCCAGCAACATCGAGGGACGGGACGCCGCAAGTGCAACGACGTCTGAACGCGGGCGGGTCATCCGAGGCGTAGGACTGAAGTCTGTCGTGGCGGCGCTAAAAAGTTGACTTGGGCAGACGAGACCGGGGCTCGCGCTCTGGTGTTAGGCCTGTCCGTCCAGTGTCTTTAAATTCTCCAGCGATACCCGGTTTTTGATCGTCAGATCGTTGCCCAAGTTCGGGGCCGCTCGTATTCAACAGGGGATCTTTTCTCGAACCCAACAGAACAGCATTCGGCCGTCCTGCATCCTCTCACCTCTCCACTATCCACAGTTACCCGCGACCAGGCCAAGATTATTCAGACGACGAGCAATACGACGTTCGATACTGCCATTGCGAGAGCCGTACAATTACGCCATAGAAGGGTTCGACACCCATCCAGCACGGCACAATCGGGCGCGGAGGCCTCGAGCCGACTCGCTTTTAACAGTCAACGACTTCACACAAGCACACCCACACCCACACCCACACTCTCTCTCTCTTCCGTCTCCAGACGCGCCCCCTTTCAACAAACGAGGCTGTCCACCGCGCACCCTGATCACCGGCCTTCTCCTGCTGTCCGAGTCGATTGCCTCGTCTCCCGTTGACCATGGCGAACGCGAACCCAGGCAACGTCATTCGGAGGTAGGTCCGCGTCAAACCGCTTGCTTGTCTAGGAGAAGCGAACCCCTTCCAACGGGACATCGTAGACCGAACCATCCGCCATCCACTACATACGTTACCTCATTCACAACCTCGTTCCCCTTACGCGCTCTTTCCTCCTGTCCATCTGCTCCAAGTCGTCATGTATTCAAAGGGGGGCGGACTTCACAATTGCTGACTTGAAACTGCTTCCAGGAAACTGGTCATCATCGGTGACGGAGCTTGCGGCAAGACCTCTTTGCTGAGTGTCTTCACGCTAGGGTACTTCCCAACAGTCAGTCTTCAACCCCATTTGTGCATCGCTTATCCCTTGGCATTGCTAACTCGACGCAGCACTATGTAAGCCGATCCGTTACAACCCTCACCGGCGCCGGCGCTGGCGCAAAGCACAATACCTACTTGCGATTCCTCCCTGAGCAAAAGCCTCTAATAAGATCGATGTACAGATCCCCACAGTTTTTGAGAACTATGTTACGGATTGCAGAGTGGACGGCAAGTCCGTACAACTGGCATTATGGGACACAGCAGGACAAGAGGACTACGAGCGACTGAGACCGCTGGCATACTCCAAGGCACATGTGATTCTGATAGGATTCTCGATCGACTCGCCAGACTCGCTTGATAACGTGAAGCACAAGGTTGGTCGTCCAACTCCCAGACGAGTACGGGAGAAGGGCCAATAAAACTGACTGTCTTTTGCAGTGGATAGAAGAGGCGACGGAGCGCTGCCCGGGCGTGCCCATCATCCTCGTGGGATTGAAGAAGGATCTGAGAGACGACCCCGTCGCCATCGAAGAGATGCGGAAGAAGAGCCTGAAGTTCGTCACGCTGCGCGAGGGCGAGGCCGTGGCGCACGACGTCGGGGCCCGCAAGTACCTCGAGTGCAGCAGTCTGAGCGGTGAGGGCGTCGACGACGTATTCGAGGCGGCAACCCGGGCCGCACTGCTCACGTTCGAGAAGGGCGAGGGCGCTGGGTGTTGCGTCATCTTATAAGGCGGGAAACGAATCAAACCCCGAGGTTTAAGCACTTTGATACCGAGACGAACCGCAGTCGAGAAGCCAGCCACGATTCTGGCGGTAATCCTCGGGGAGGGGACGAGGACGTCGACCACGCCACAGTCTCGGGTGACTCGAGTATGCTCTCTACACCAACTCGAGGGCCGGGAGACGGCTTGCGTAAAAGAGAAAGCCGACTGGTCGATCATCGATGCCACGACAGAGCTCTTTTCCCAGGAAGACAAAATTGCTGTGCTTTCATGCGATATACCTGGATTGGGAGGCAAGTTTTGTGTACTATTAGCACATAGAAGCGGTCGTTTTGCTGCGATATTACTACTCGTTTTAGGATCTTGGGAGGTACATGATGTTCGTCTCCCTGTATTCAGGTGGCGGTAATCCATATCCGAACGTCACTCTGTATGGGAATTGGGGACTGGCCCAGCCTGGGGCCGTCATAACTAATGGGGATAGTGAGGGCAAAGCGAAGATAGCGCTGCATTACAGAATGTCAGAAAGCATCAGTTGATTCTAGCTTCCGTGCCACTGATTTGTGTTATGTGCTGTGTGTTTCACTATATATAAGTTACAATGCCCGGCCGTCTTTAGTCAAGAATTCGGCCATGGCCTCCTCCACTCTCTACAGATCTTCCATGATTACTGTACATGCGCTCTAGCCCCAGGGGACCGGCACCTTTGCACCCGTCCGACACGTACGTAAATCTTTTTGAGTCATACAGAACGACGCTGTCAACCCAGACAGGCCGAGAAATTACAGGAAAGTTATGAGCTGAGGGATACAAGATGTGTTGTTGGCGTCTCGCCCAATCAGCGTGTCCAGTCGTGGTTCCAGGGGATCCGCGCAGGCGTCTCGGTCTGCGGCCTTGCGTACTCGATCGGGACGGCATTGTGTCCGAATAGACCCTTCTTCTCCATAGCCACGCGGTACAGGTATCCCTCGTCGCGGGTTCCGGGCCCGGACGTCGTGCGCAGCTCTTCGCAGGCTGAGGCCATGGACTGGTACATTCTGCAGCCACGACGGTTAGCAAGATTATAAACAACCGCCTCGGGCCGCGGTAGGCAGCCCGCAGGGGGGGCCGAGGCCGGTATGCGGCAAGGGGAAAGGTGCAGTTGAGCTGGCCCTCACCTCATGAGCTCCCTCTCCTCCCCTTCCCGCTCCTTGCGCTGCCACAGCAGCCACGCGCGGTGGATCGTCCAGTGCCGCAGGTGTCGGTTGCGGGCGAAGCGCAGAGGCGCCGGCACCTTGCGGGGGTTCGAGATCTTGAGGTTGCGAATACGCGGGTCGGGCTTGTCGCCCTTGACCTTGCGGCGCCTCTTGCTAGCTTTCGGGGCACCGCCCTTGGCCGGCGCGCCCCTGGCCGCGCCCGGCGTCGCGGAGAAGGACCGCGAGGAGAGAACGGAGACGGTGGAGAGGACGGGGGTCAGGGGTCGCCTCGTCGGCGCGGCCGCGGTTCTGTGGAGGAGTGTCGATGTGCATCCGGCGCTGCGAGACACGGAGAGCCGTGCCAGCGTGCTGGTGAGGTTGCTGAGGGTCGCTGCCATCTTGGACCGGGATATCGACCCTCGAGGGTCGGCTGTGGAGGGCGCGGTGCTCGAATTCGGCCTACTTCTTAACGGGCTGCCGCTGCGAGGGTACTCGTTGTTCGTCTCCGTACCACTGTCGTTGCTCCTGCTCGTCCCGTGGCTATTGGTAGAGCTGTCGGTCCTGGATGGAAATTATTGGCTCCAATTGCGCTAAAGAGACGGAGGAACAAAAGTGCGATGCCTGCACGTTCCATGGGATGCCCGGCCCATAAGTTCCCATAAGTTCCACCCCGGACGGGCCACGCTAGAATGCTCGCCCTCCGCATGGTAATCGATAAGCATCAATTTACCCAAGCCCGTCCGTATGAGAGGACAAACATGGCGAAGACACAACAAATTGACAGCTCCAAAGCTACGAGAAAATGCCTTGTTTCCGGTGCTTTCCCCATTAGTATAATTCTTAGGGCGAGAATCATAGACGTGCGACGGTCTCAGGTTGTCCTCTAGTATTGGCAGCCGAACTTCACAATGTCGTAGGATAGAAAAATTACGGTAACTGGTGCCCAAGACATACGTCGCACACAAAACTAGAGAACGGTGCGCGTCGTTCCATTGAACACGGATGGAGGTTCCGCACAGGAAACACAATGCTTCCAGAGCTTCGGCGGATGTAACAGGACATAGAGACCAGTTTGGGTCTCGTTGCCAGGCTAGGATTGCGCAGCCCCCTTGTCGCAAGGCTAAATTTGGTCGAAGACTGTATTTGAACTTGAAGATCGTGTTAGAGTATCTATTTTCGATAAACTAGCTCCTCTATACACTCATTCATCTCGATTCAAAACTCGTGAGTGAGATGTGCTCGTGCACTGTCTTTTCCATGTGGGGTGGCTCCATATAATTTTATTCATAAACATGACTATGAGTGGCGTACTACTACATCCGCTCGATACTGAATTTGATGGTGTCATTCTCGCTTTTATCTGGGAGGTAGACTGGCCGGATTCGTACCACAACAGATGAGGGAGAAGTCGGTATTCATCGAGGCTGGCAAGCCTTGGTGGCTATGGACAAAGAGTCTCAGGCATTAACCGATATCTTGGCTAGGGGATTTAAGTGTATCGCTCTGGGCGCTTTTAACAAAACAGTAACATACCTAGGTACATTAACATACCTAGGTACTAAGGGGTTACGTGGCTTTGAAGGGTACTAGCGATGATTTACGAAGGCGCCAAATCCCATTGTCTTCAACGATCCCTTTCAACTCAAGCCGGTCTTGTCCAGCTATTGGCCATCAACAATGATGCGACACAAGGATGTTTGATATATAGGGTACCGGCCTACGTTGAAGACATTGACGGTCGTGTCACTTCATACAACGAGGAGGAGCAAATGACACTTCTCACGAGAAAGACGACAGAAACATGTGCTGCGAACTGATCACCCACACAGCATACCACGCTGATCTCATAAAGCACTGCGTGGTAGAGGGTAACCCTCATGACTGCCGCAGCGAGCGGGGATGCAACCCATATCCAGATGGTGGTGGTCGTCAATGCGAGGAGCACTCTTGTTGCTGGATCAAAGTGGAGATCGAAAGACCGTGCGGCGACCAGGAGGCTGACGGAAATTGCAAGCAGCGCAAAGACCGAATGTTAATCGTCCACCGGAAGCCTGAACAAGAGCTTTGCGTGGAGTTCTGGCCGGAAGATGGAGATGGAACTGCTGGCAAAAAGGTGCTGATCTTCTACGAGGACCTTGACGGAGATATGTTCTTCTAGCACATAGAAACATCGACTAGACAATACAGATGACTGACTTATCCTTGCTGATGTTATCCGCTCGGTGGTAAGATTAGGCTACTAAATGTCTGATCCTGGTCGAATTTGCTGCGTGTTCGGTTGACAGCTCACGTAAGTGCATGTACTTCTCGTTGGACCTGTTGGGGTCATATTGTGTAAAGCTTGGTCATTGTATTCACAAGTTGTTGCAGTGTGCACAGCGGTCAGAATGACAAATATCGCGAATCAAAAGCTCTGGGCGTCTTCTTGTACGAGCTCTGAAAGGCAGGTGGTAGTAACTTTCCGTCTTTCGATCCTAGCTTGTACGAAGTATCTTCGGTGTCCGGGCATCTCGGCTTGCGGCATCGAGTTCTGGACATATTGCTATGTTCGCGAGCATTATGAATATGGGGATAATTCGTTGGATCTGATTAGTGGTATAGACGGGGTTGAGGAGGTGGAGCCTATTGGACCAATCACCACACAGCTGCAGCATCGTCCGATGCGGAATGCTTCAATTCCGTGCGGCGCACCGCATTGCCAAGCACGGCCATAAGCAGCGCTTGCTTCGAAGAAGGAGCTAGCTGCCTAGACCCAGTCATGTTTGGAGTAGTATTCTTACCCTGCTCAATCTTCTTGAATGCCTTTCAACAATAAAAAGTCAACTGCTCCGTGGAATTCGACTGTTCACCTACGACCATCATCTTCTTACACGACTTCAACAAACGTGCAGGATTGGCACTCGGCGAAGACCACAAGATGACTGACAACAATGCAGGCGGCCTCCTGATCGAGCAGAAGCTTCACCCCTACTACCCTCCAACCATCGACTTGCCAGCATATGCCCCAAACGAAATAGCAGTGCCATATCTCATATCGTCGTTCGCTGGAGCTAGCGTTTTTGTCTTTGCCTTGACGACTTCTTTGGCTCGTCACGTCCGACCCAGCATTTCGAATGGCGAGTTATGGACCGCGAGATGGTTCATGCTGTGCGGCTGCATTCATCTATTTTTCGAGGGTAGGAGGATATTGACTGTCTCTAATCCTGGTAATGTAGCAACCGCTGACTTTCACAAGGATACTTTGCATTCAACAACGCCCATATGCCCTCACGTACGACCCTCTTTGGCGAACTATGGAAAGAGTACGCCTTATCCGATCGTCGATACCTGACGCGAGACGCCTTCGTCGTCTGCATGGAGACCGTGACAGCTGTGTGCTGGGGACCACTCTCTTTTATTGTCGGCTGGTTTATCATCAACGAACACCCGTTCCGGCATCCATTGCAGCTCGTTGTCAGTCTTGGCCAGCTCTACGGCGATGTGCTGTACTACGCAACGTTTTTCTTCGACGAAGCCGTCTTTGGAGAAATTTTCTGTCGACCGGAGAGATACTACTTCTGGGCATATTTCGTGATGATGAATGGGTTTTGGATCGTCATCCCGCTCTGGCTGCTTTTTCAAAGTGTGATGGAGAGTGGCAGGGCTTTCTCTCGCTTGGAGACTGAAGAGAAAGTAGGAAAGAAGAAGAGCTCATGATTGAAGAATATGACTACTTCACAACGAAGATCACAGCGAAGTGCGTAGAGAATCTTGCATACACCAGGCAGAATTTGTAAGAGTTTCGCACCAAGATCAAAAGGCATTTTCTCAAGTGAGGATGTACTGGGGCTGACAGTACCCCATTCATAGCACCTCGACATAGGGCTCATCGTAGAAAATGCATGGTTTATCACGTGAGGCTACGACATGTTCTCGATGGTCTATTTTACAGTGTACACGACATGAATACAGCCATTCCAGCCGAAATCTGCGCTAAAAGTCTAGCCACAAGACTCGAGATCTACAAGACATGTATCAAAGTGAGCTGGGCATCAAATCTTTGCCCTCGCTACCCTGTCCTTCAGCTCGGCTTTCCTCTTCTTCTCGGGCGTCATGACGTCTCCAAACTTGACGACGTCTTTACCTGTCGCACTCAGCAAGGCGACCTGCTCCCGGTACATCTCCGCCTTCAACATGCCGTAGATGCCCGTCTTGCCCTTGGTGGTCAGCGTTTTCTCCTGTACCAAAGCCATCACGCCTTCGAGCCCGTCCGTTCGGTCAATGATGCCAGCCTCCAAGGCCGCCTTGGCGTCCCAGCGCTTCGCCTCAAGAACCATTGTCCTGTACACGTCCGGCCTGCACTTGGCCCGGAAGATCCCGGACATGGGCGGCAGCAGCGGCGCGCCAAACTCCAGCTCATTGATGCACATGTAGCCCCTGTTCCCGCTGAAGACACGGTAGTCGTGGTGCATGGCGAGCATAAAGCCACCAGCGAATGCGTGGCCGTTGAGGAGTGCAACCGTGGGCATGGGGTACGTCAAGAACCGCCGGAAGAGCGGGTACAGCGAGTCCTCGGTGAAGCCCTCGGTCTTGATGGCGAGGTCAAGGTCCAGCCCATTGGAGTAGAATTTGGTGATGGAGGACGTAGTCACCACGACACCAGTGGGGTAGCTGGCCTCGATGATGTCGAGGGCGCTCAGCAGCGCGGCACAGAACGCCGGCGTGAGCCTGTTGTCCGGCGGCGAGCTGAAGGACAGCAGGTATACTTGTGGCGAAGGCTCAGTGCATGTTATGCTGCCACCAACATGCGCGTTCAGTCGCGGTATGGGAACTGTGAACAAAATCTTATCCTGCATGACGAGAATGGCAGAACGTCCTGATAGCTGGTTCCAAAGAATGTCCCACGGTCAAGCTGGCGTGATCTGCACAGCGATGCTGACAATGATTGAGCAAGCTGAGAGAAAGTGGCACCACGAAAAGTCCCTCTGGTTCGACAGACGAGTACCTATATCAAAGGATGGTGTCTGGCACTTTCTTGAACCGTTGTCACACCAAGCCGTCTCCTGACTCTGACTTCGAGGTCAGCAGAGCCTCGGTTGCGCAAGCCTAGCCGCTAGCTTGCTTGTACAAGCTGCACAACCACCAACTAAGGGAGTGAAGTGTGCGGGTCTCTCCAAAGACTAATGTATCAATTGTTGGATCGAGAATCAAGGGTCTTGATGGCTTATGAATTGGCTTCTTGAGTGTAGCTACAACTTCGATACTCCCCGTTTTGTCACGTTGCAGCATTCCCATGCAGTTATCTGTGTACCCACTCTCGGCAAACTTGACCTCGGGCGATTCACATGTAAGCGGCTGGGTCCACGCCACAATCTTTCCGGATCGTGCATTGTATGTGATTACTGCAAACATGTGTATTCGCATGAGTTCCAGGTCTGAAGCTCGAGCTTCGAAACATCAACATCGTGCTTTTTACTCTCATTCGATGTCCAGTCGTCGCTCATCCTCGATATTATCAAGTCAGATCTTATGCACGATTCATAATCAGTTTTGTCAGCGTCGGAAAGATCTCAATTTGTAGGTTTCGCCTTTAGGCTTCTATGTATTCGCTAAAATCAATGTCGCGTCGCTGTTCGCTTAAGTCTTGACATCGGGCTCATCACGTCCAACAAACTCCTTAAACTTCAGAAGCTCGGTAGCGAACTTGATCTCAGGCTTAAGGAAGTCTTGTGCGTCGAGGCTGTACTTGGACTTGTCATCAGTGTACTGCTCAATATACAGACGAATAGTAGCACCCGAGGAGCCGGTACCAGACAGACGCACGACTATGCGACTGCCGCTCGAAAATCGAGCGTATAGACCCTGGTTGGAGGAGACAGATCCATCGAGGTCTGTGTAGGAGAAGTTGCCAGCATCAGTAACGGTGTGGTCTCCGATCTTGCTGCCGACGAACTTGGGGTCGGCGACGAGATCCTTCAACACACCTACGACCTTGTTGGCGCCGTCCGAGTCGACGTTCTCGTAATCGTAACGTGTGAAGAAGGTTCGGCCGTAGGTGTTCCAGAAATCTTCCTGGATCTGCTTGATGCTGGGCTTGGTGTCAGGGTGCGCCTCACCAAGGCCGGCGATGATGTTCAACCACGCAACGACAGCCCAGAGACCATCCTTTTCACGGACGTGGTTGCTGCCAGTTCCGAAACTCTCCTCACCGCAGATACTGAGCTTGTCCGCATCAAAGAGGGCGCAGAAGAACTTCCACCCAGTGGGGACCTCGTAGGAGTTCAGGCCTTGGGCCTTGGCAACGAGGTCTACCGCACCAGAGGTAGGCATGCTGCGGGCAAGGCCGTAGACACCTTGCTTCTTGAAGTACGGGATCAACTGAGCGTGGTGTGCAATGATGGCCAGACTGTCACCGGGTGACACGAAGGCACCAGCGCCGTATATCATGTTGCGGTCTCCATCACCGTCCGAGGCGGCGCCAAAGGGGATGTTCTCCTTGTCAACCCTCTCTACCAGGGAGTGGGCATAGACAAGGTTGGGGTCGGGGTGTCCGCCGTTGAAGTCAGGGGCAGGGATGCAGTTCTGGGTCGAGTTGGCCAGACCGAGCTCTTGCTCAAAGATTGCCTTTCCATAGGGGCCCGTGACACCGTGGAGTCCGTCGAAGAGGACCTTGAAGTCGGGGTTGTTGGAGAAGAACTTCTTGATCAAGGGGAAGTCAAAGATATCCTTCAGCATCTGGGTGTAATCCGCTACGCTGTCAATGATCTCGACCTCGAGGTTTCCGTAGGTCTTGGTGCCGATGGCCGAGAGATCCACATCAGGGATGTCGGCAATCTTGTAGGACGTGAGGGTCTTGGAAGCGTCGTAGATCTTGTTGGTTACGCTCTCGGGGGCAGGGCCACCGTTGGCCAAGTTGTACTTGATACCGAAGTCCTCGTTGGGGCCTGTACGAGGGGCAAGTTAGCGATTGGGTCTCGGCTCTTGAAGGACTGAGTTTTCTCACCGCCAGGGTTGTGGCTGGCAGTCAGGAGGATACCGCCAGTCGCCTTTCGCTTTCGGATGACATGGCTGGCAGCGGGTGTCGACAGAATACCGTCCTTGCCGATCAACAGCTTCTTGACGCCATAGGCAGCTCCGATCTTGGCAATCAACTGGACGACTTCGGGGTTCCAGTAGCGGCCATCACCGCCGATGACGAGGAACGATCCTGCACGATTGGATTCAGTATGGAACAACGGAATGATGAGGGGAAGGACAGATACACACCCTCAACGCCCTCTGGGATAGACAGCAGAATGCTCGTGACAAAGGATTCACTGTAGTGCGGCTGCTGGAAAACCTTGACCTTCTTCCGAAGACCAGAACTACAAGACTATCAGCTTTGGTCCAAGTAGTAATTTGTGTCGTAACCATCTCCAATGGGCATCACCCATCTGCGCCTGGGTCTGGCGGGACGGGAGTCGGTGACGGTGACGGTGACGATGGCGGGGTAGACAGCTAGAATCAGAAGGGGGGTGGGCCGACTTACGTTCCAGGCTTCTGGTCGGTGAAGGACTTGAACTCGACCGTCTTGACGCTCATGGTGGATAGCAGAGACCTAGAAAGACAGATTCTCAAAGATGGACATGCAAGCGACAGACAGGGAAAGCAGCTGAAGCGTGTTTATTGTAGCAGAGGAGGGATAGGAGCTTGGAGATAGCTCCAAAACAGTTGGCCTAGTCTGAGATGGTGGGGGTCCTGGGGTGTGAGCAGCGACCAAAAGTGGAGTGACCTCATTTCCATTGCGTGGCGGCGAACATTTCCGCGATCTCCATGCACGTCGGGCAGGTTTGGCAGGCAGGGTAACACCTTACCCAGGTACTGTGCCGAGCCCGGCCAGCAACTGTCCTGTCATGATGGCAGCCATGGGAACGACCCATTGAGACAGTGCCCACCACCGCGGAGGGCACACGATGCTCTCTTTGGACGACGTGAACGCAGACACCCCAACACTCGGCCAGGTAAATATCGGAGCAGGATGGAACAGTTGCGCCCCCGTTGATTGACCAATGTGCTCCCGTGGATTTCCGCCACGGGTCTATCCGCGCTGAAACTATCGATTCCTCTCTTCCAGCCCCAGCCCAATGCCCGTGCCTTCGGCGCGATTGCAACCTCCAAGATGCCGAGATGCCAACGAGAGAATGCCTCAAGCTTTTGCAGCTCGTGATGCTGCAGAGTCAATTTTCACGCACGTTGCTGCGGCCAGAGTGCAGAAGATTCACGCACGCAACCCCGTGATCGCAGAATCTCCGCTGTTACTCTCACCTCTGGAAGATGAACTCCTTGTAGTACCTTGCTTCGGCTATGCTTTCCAAGATGTCGTCTTTCGCCTGATGGAGACCCTTTTTTGCCGGCGCCTTCTGGACGACCTCGCGTGGACACCAGCGCTTGGCCGCTTCTTTCAGACTGCTGACATCGAGAATGCGGTGATGTAGATAGTCGACGACCTTCTTGTACGGCTCTTGCCTGAGGAACGCACGGTCGGCATGCACGCTGTTGCCCGCCAGCAGCGCGCCCCTCTCCGGCACATGCTTCATGATGTATGCCAGCAGCTCGTCCGCAGCCTGCTCAGGAGTGACCTTGGAGGCCAGCACAGCGGCTGTCAGTCCGCTCTTCTCGTGAGTCCTCGTGCACCAGTCATCCATCTGGTCCATTCGCTCCTTGCTCTGGTGAATGACGGCCCCCCAACCTGCTTCATCCACAACCTCGAGAGTTCCGGTCGTGATGATGCAGAATATCTCGATGATCTCCTCGCGATCGGGATCAAGACCCGTCATCTGGAAACGTCAATTTCTGCCCTACCACCAAATTGAAATCTATCCACGTACCTCGCAGTCGATCCAGATTAAAGCGTCGTTGGTCGCCATTTTGGCCCTGATCTAGTTGAAGTTGTGAAGTTGACATCATTTTTTGGGAGTCCGGTTCCGACGAGGAGCTTGGGTTTGAACCCACAAAAAAGGTCCTCTCACAATAATAACAAAGCACAACGACGATAAAAAGCACATATCTGTATTCACCTCCAAGCAAACGTTGGCGACACTTGGTATCTACTGGACTCAAATGACTGTACTCAAACCTTGTGGTCAAGCCTCTGGCCACAGACTCTGTCATGCTAATCATGAGTTGTTCCCACATCGGCATCGCGAGCCACTCTCTCACTGTCCTGATATCTTTGCCGTTTCCCCCAAGCTGGTATAGCTCATGCCTCTGCCTGATGAGTGGCTCGGTGTCTCGAAATCCCGTCCATGACTCCATTGAACCCGTTCGCCCTCGCCCATCGCAGAAACTGCTTCCGCCATTGCACCCTTCGTTCGCCACCCAGCTCCCTTGCTCTATTCTCCTCTCCCCATTCAGTGATAACGCGACGCAGGGCTGAGCGAAGACGTCTGTTCACTTTCTTTCTGCGCCGCCCAGGCGAATCTCGCTGTGAGCGGAACCAATGGCGATAGTCTTTAGCGGTCATGGCAGACTTTGGTACGGGGTCGCCGTTGGTTATGTCGAATGCGTGTGTCTCCCCGAATGTCACAGCTTTCGTAGTGGTACTGCCGGATTCTTCACCTTTCTTGAGGCAGCTCTTCATTGGCTTATCCAGCTCGACCTGGGCGGTCACGCTTGCCTCTGGGACGGGCAACGTGGACGACTTCTCGGCATTGGTTCCCGAGACTGCTGATGCGGACAGCTCCGATGTCTCTTCCTCGTCACAGTCTTCACCTGCCGTCTTGGCATGCTCTGTGGAGGGCAATTCCATTGGGAAAACGAGCGTTCGAGATCTGATGTGCTAGTCCAATGGTTGGTGCGTGACAAACCTGCCGCGTTGATGGTCAGTTCGAGCGGCGTTAAGAGGGTCTCATCTCAAGAAAAGAAAGCGTTGTGCAAAGGAGGTGTGACAAGTTCCTGCTTCGTTTTGATTTCCAAGCATCAGAAGTGGATGCATGCGAGACCAGGCAGCTCGAACATTTTCCTCGGGGAATCGAGAGTTTTGAGAAAACGTCCAGTGAGGTCGTCAAAGGACAATCAGAAAATGGGCAACGACGTCCTCCTCGATCACTGGCACCACTGATTGCCAAAGCCTGCACCGCTTTCACATCATCTCATACAGAAATGCCAACGCAATTCTTGTTTCACATGGAACTACCGTTGCAGCGAGTCGAAAACTTTCAGATGGATTGTTTTTCTCCAGATTAATAAGAAATGATCATCTGGGTAACATACGCCTGCTTTTCGGCCACGAAATGAGGAGAAGACACAGCTTGTTCGCTGCCAACCGCTATTCTGCAAAAACACCATTGTGTAGACTTTTATCTGGTGAAGTCCTTGAATTAAGTGTAGTGTTCAGCAAATGCCTAGTTCGACAACACGAAGTTACGCGCATTTCAGCACTTGGTTTGATATCGGGTTGGTTTAGTCGGTTCTTGGCATCGAATCAAAGCTCTTCACATGGCAGTCGCCGGTGACTCACTGAGGCACCAAGATCAGCCGCTCCTTATAATATGTGGCATTGCATTTTTCATCGAATCTTCATTAACGTCAGAGACTCCTGAACATTAAACCACACTGCTTGACCATCTAACCGCTATTACCAAGCCTCCCCCTGGACCAGCCGAAACGTTATACTTCATCTATCATGGCTTCCCCAGACCCCTCGTTCAAGGCGATCAAGTACCTTCCGACCAAGGAGGCTTACGATCGCTGGGCAGCCGTGTACGATACGGATGGGAATTTCCTGCAAGCAATGGACGACATCGAAATGCAGGCTCTCTTGCCTCGATTCGAATCAGCTCTTCAAATGTCAAAGCCTTGGAAACTGGTTGATCTGGGCTGTGGCACCGGGCGTAACACCGCGCTCCTTCTCGGAGTGAACGGTGCCCAAGTCATTGCGCTGGATGCCAGCGAGGGCATGCTTGCTGTCGCGAAGAAGCGGCTACACGAGTTGCAGAGCGAGCTCATGGCAGCCGGCGCCCTTGGAGAAGCGGGGCACAAGGCACATCTCCAACTGGCTGTGTTTGACCTCCTGGCCTCAGACGAGCCACCAGCAAGCGCAACGAACGCGGATGGAGTAATCAGCACGCTCGTACTCGAGCACATCCCGCTAGAGACGTTCTTCAGACAGGCATCCCGTCTCTTGAAGCCGGGTGGCGTATTGCTGCTGACCAACATGCACGCCCACATGGGCGGCATCAGCCAGGCGGGGTTTGTGGATATGGAGTCAGGGGAGAAGATACGACCAACAAGCTACGCCCACACGGTGACGGACACGATAGAGGAGGCGAGAAAATGGGGTCTGGTTGTTGACGGTGAACAAGGTATTTTAGAGCGTCAAGTGACCGAGGACCTGGTTGAGACCTTGGGGCCGAGAAGCCGTAAATGGGTCGGTGTTACATGTTGGTTTGGAGGACTATTCAGGAAATCATGGTAGTTATGTAGTCTACTTCGAAAGGAAGATGAATAACGCTATATTTCTGGGCAATTTGCGGTTGAAATCTCAAAATCCTGTGATCTTAGGCGACCCGGAACGTAGCGAAACCGAGTTATTGGGGAGCCAGACTTTAAACTGTATCTGAAAACCCTTGACTCTTGCCAACGATATATCTGTTTCTATGTAGTGTCGCCTCGTCGGTAGATTTAGGACTATAGAGACGAATGGTCCGTATACGTCCTATCAGGATAGAGTAGGCTTCGGCACCCGGGTACCAAGAGTAGAATGCCCAGAAGGTCACCGGTTGTTTAAGTGACCCCTTTAGACTCAAAATTCAAGTGCTAAACTACAGTTGGGGGGGGGGGGGGGGGGGGGTTGGTGGAGGTGTATAAACTGCTTGAACTGTGGGCGGATATCTTTGTGACTGAGTGAGTGCGTCACGGCAAGGCTCATCACCTTGACAGTACTCTTACAAGACTTCAAGCTCAAAGCTGCAACCCCTTTTTGGCAAGAACCCAAAGAAAGGATGCATCCACTATATCCTTAGTAACTTTACTGACTACTACATTCAGACTAGTATCCTTGATTACTTGCACTGTGTTCTCAGCCCCGAGGCCGCTCCAGTATACCCAACCTTTATCGTCTAGCCATTTCTCGTTTACTACACCGCCTATCGTCTCCTCAGTAAAATTCGCAAGCATGTAGCCCCCAGGCTTAAGCCATCCCACGATCTTTTCAATCATCAACACCTGCTCAGAGCTTGGCAAGTGAATCAAGCTATACATGCCAATCACGGCGTCAAGCGAGCCCGCAGCGAATGATAGCTCTGTCATATCACCTGGAACTAACCGCAGCCGATCGCCTGCGGCGTCCGAGTGCAAGTTCTCTCGCGCGGCCTCCAGTTGAGTGCTAGATAGATCGTTTGCCGTTACATGATATGTTTCGTGACTCAGAAGCTTCTGTGTCACTGGTATTCCACATCCGCAACCAAGTTCTAATGTTGAAACCTGGGACTTCTCTGTGGCGTTGAGAAGGTTAAGTAATTTGTCTAGATAATAGAGGCGATACTGCGAATGAAGTATTGTCCACTCGTTGTATTTGGGCGCAATGGCGTCATATGACTCCTTCAATCGTTGCTTGAGGTTCTCTGGCACTTTGTTCGTAGCCATTCTGCGGAATTCCTTTTGGTTCGAAACTTCTGTTTTCGTTCCCCGAGGCGATGATGACCGGAACTACACGAATGGCATGTGATGAACATGAGTTACTTTCCAGGTGATGTACCCGTGAACCCTCCTAGATCGGAACGGCGCTGGATTCATCCGGGCCAAGCCCTGCATGTCCACGGGTATCACTCAATCTAGATGCGACGGATCCTTTCCCGTCTGGTTTCACGAATCTTGCCTGCTCAGTACTGCTACGTGGAAGCTGTAAAATACGAGTTTCAAAGTATCGCAGTGAAAGAAAACCATAAGCAACTGCAAGTCCGAGCTGGGATTAGATAAGGGGCCTGAAAGTGCATAGAAAGATGAGACTACTTTACACGAAAAGCTAACGAGACATTATGGTATACTTGATACTGGCAATTTCGACTTTGAGCGGCCCCAATACTAATTTGAGATCATGTTCAAACACCTGGACTCTTGCTGCTTGACTAGTTACGACAGAACCTTAGCACCCCATACAACCTCAAGAACCGAAACAAGTGCAACTTGGATTGGTAGGAGTGTCTGCACAAGCATGTAGATCTTCAATGACAACGTCCTTGTATTCATTGAAGCCTGATCCAACCGCGCCGCCCCTCATCTCAATCTCAAATTTAGCTTGCCAGCTACCGGAAGTATCACAATCGATGCGGTCGACAGTAATACTTTTCTGCTCAGCCAGGTTTCTGATGACCTGTGGACAGTTATTTCGAATGCCATCAGGACCATTGCCGACAACGAAGTTGAGGTGGGTTGAGTTTTCGCTTTGAACACCACCGCATATCTCAATGGTGGCGGCAGTTGTCATGCCAATTGCACTGCTAATAATGAAGGGGGTGATTGACTTCATGACGAGGATGTGATATGATTATTTGCAAGGTTCAGCACCCAAAGGCAGTGCCTAACAGATTAGGCAGAAACAGCCTTGACACAAGAGGAAAAAAAAAAAAAAAACAGATGCAAGTTGAACTGGACAAACTCTGTTGACTGAGAGCAGAAAGAGTACATTTTATAATCTTCTGAACCTTGATCCTCTGATTAGCATTTCACTTGGTTACGAATAATGTTTCCATAAAGGCCATTCATCAAGAGTACTGTGCCTCTCCTGGTACAATCAGAAGGCATCGCGCGAACTGTATAACAGAACTCAGCGAGCATGAGAGACCTAGTCAGACCAAACCGGGACAGGCAATACCTGACACAAGGTGAGAAGGTTTAGGAGTGAGCTTACGAGGTTGTAGGGCAACAGAACAAGTGAATCAACTGCCTTCTATCACTTTCTAGCACTGCCTGACCGGAACGTCATCTTACAGCAAACCGGAATACTTTCAAATTTGCTTCCCGAGTACCTGCATGCTCTTTGGTTCCAATGGGTGGGCACTGTTTCCGTTTATCAGCACCTCCATAAGCCCATCAGACGAAAACGCAGGGATAATGAGTGCAGTGGCTTATTCCTTCGCCATGCGAAAATTCGTTCACCAACGCAGCTCAGGCGCAGCAGATATCATATGATATCAAGTTTGTTGTCCTCAATTAGAGCCATGTATGAAAGGATAAATGCACCTTCTGCCGGTGCCAACGAACCTATTTAGGGTATAATTCACGACAAACTGGCTAGTGACTTAGAGGATAATTTACGCCGTTCCTTGCGGGAACGTGAAGCCTAAGAAAGGTATGCCCCAAATCAGCGCTCACACGAACAATGGTTATCTCTCATAAGAGACCCCCCCTATACAGGCTGCCCAACATAGCCGGGCTTCGTTGCCATCGGAAGTTTGGTAAATAAATTCTTCTTGTGGTACCTCCGAAGAAAACCGAATACACAAATGTAGAGATCAGGTGTGGTGTGATATGTTGAATACGTCCAGTGGTTGGGGGGAGATTTATCTTAGCATTTTCAGCAGACTAGTTAATGAAAGAAAATTGCTGAGCCGGTGAGCATAATATCTGCCAGAAACTCGAGGAATGGAAGTGGCTTGATTTCAACGCAGGTGATATGCCATTCATCCTGACATGCTTTCAACGCTTCCTCCAACTATTTCCTCGATCTGCAGTACCAAAGCCCGATCGCTACCAGTGGTACCAAGGCTGACGTAGCGACAAATAGTGCAGCCCTCCTAAAGGCTGGAGAAAGCGCCTCAGATGCCATCTTTTGGAATTCAGCCGGAGCGTTACCTCTAGGATACGGAACGTCAGGCATCGGCTTGCCTAGGAAAGCACATATTTGTTCCCATCCAAAGCCGTCCTCCAGCTTGAAGATGGCTAAATTTTTAGTTGGTATCAAGTCCCTGACCAAACGATTTCTGAACATCGTCAACCGCAGTTCTTCCAAATGTGCACACAGTAGATTAGACACTCACGTTTCAAGATATCTTTGAACACAGGATACCTTGCCTTCGCGCCATGGCCTGCCGCCGGTCCAGTACTTTGCCAAGGCAAGGTGCAGCGAGCAGAACTTATCGACAAAGTCATCAATAAGGCGCATTTGTGTGAGCGGAAATTTCCCGCAGGCTTCGAATACTTGTCCTCCAGTGTTGTCCACAGACCGATACCATGAGTCCACATCGCGCTCAACGTGCATGTATTTAGCGTCCGGATAGCACTCGAAGATTTCTTCCAGAAATAGAGGTGTGACTTCGATGATTACCTGCTCCATGTTAGTGCGTCTCTCGACTAGAAGCTGATAATATCCGTCGTACATCATAGTCCGCAAACCATTTTTCAAACTCCGCCTTCCCATACGGCTTCCCAATACCATGATACTTAGCGTTCAGCCCTTCTTCTAATATTTTCATGTGCGTCACACCACCTTGCACGACTTCGTACATATGGTACGGCTTATAACCCATAATCTTGAGCGCTTGGTAGAGCGAGAAAGTACCAGTCCTGCGTTGGAATGGTCAGTTTCGTTGAGCTCAATTGGGAGTGCATGTCGGTGAAGCCATACCGACTGTTAGCTGTGACTATTAGCTTCTTCTCACGAGGAGCTGACGGCGTTGGTAGCGAGTCAATTACCCGCGACATCGTGCAATATATCTTATCACGCCTTCAACGTAGGGTAGCTGGAAGGTGACGAATGGTATGTGATAGGATCAGAGAATCTCAGCAAAGTAGTTAATACGGTCCTACGGTAAGAATCGAAGAAGACATTATCTCATATTGCTGATGACGCTTGGCGATATGATCTCGCCACATGTGTGGATCCAAACACATTGGGAACTGTCAGCTCTTACCTAGCTATGAATGAGTGATCAAGGCTGTCTTCACCTATGAAAGTGAACCTGCAAGTCTGATGACCCCACATCTTGCTTTAGCTTCGTGCGAAGGATCGTTAGTCCCAACGCAAGGGTCGTAAGGCGCGAGGTCATACGAAAGAGAGCCTGAGCTGATGCCGCTGTGCCGCTAGTCAAAAAAGTAAGCCTCACACCGGCTCCCAATTCGCGCCGCTACGACGTTTGTCACGTTTCATCTCGATTCTTCAATTAACGATACCAATTGATCATCCCTAAAGGAGAGGATATTAATATTCGAGGATAATTCGAGGCAATGAAAAATCATCGTCAAGCTTGTGAGAGCTCATCCCGATGATAATTCCACAACCCTTTCTGGCCGGTATTGAGCTCTTTGCCTTGGAACTAACCCACGCGCGTTGTAACGGTCCATAAATTCGACCCTTTTTTTACCGGATCTTTCTGGTGAAGCTAGCGTGGCACGATACGACAAATCCAAGGAGTATCAATGGTGTTGGTGCCATCCAACATTGCATCAATGTTGATAGCAAGTTAGCAAGTATACTTGGGCGCGTTGTCAATGGCCCCCTTTGTGACAATGTCACACAGCATTACACATGGATTGAACCACCCCATGGAGTAAGTGTCGAGTGAAATTGGGTGGGCATCGTATTTGGAAGCCAAACGCATGCCAAATGCCTGCTACGTGTGTAGGTGTAAGTCTACGCCTCGGATCACTCCCTGGTCACTCGCCATAAGTTCTCTGAGTCTGCGACAATAATTACCCTTTCGTGTGTTCAATGTAAAGGAATGTCACCTGTGTGCTGTGAGTACCGGTCATTTGAATCTGCCAATGCCACATTGCCGACCTTGGTAATAATAGATCTCTATCACAAGATCAAAAGCACTTTCAACTTTCAAGCCACTACAAGAGCAAAGTTGGACCAATTTTTGAGGGCATACAATGAATGATGAAATCAAAACCGCGAAGGTTTGTCTTAGTTCACTATGTACATCGAAAGAGATGATTCTGATGGAAGTGATTGAAGAGAGACACAAAGATCTAGCCACATGTAAGCTGCCTGGTCTGTTTTGCGTTCCATATGTGTGGTGTCCTCTTGCGGGCAGACGTCTATTTGACGGTAGTTCCAATGGGGCCAAAGCGAATGTTGGACCAGATGACCTGGCTTTTGCACGAGTTAGAAACTTGAAAGAATACAGTAGGGACGCAGGACTTACGCATTGGGAATCTTAGATTCGACGTCAGACGGAACGCCTGAGCTAGTGGCACAGTCACCTCGATCGGCGCCTGCCTTGCCAGCATCTGCAACCGGGTACGACGAGTCCTATCACAGGGTTAGTCGAAAGATATTCTTAGATAGAAAGGCACAAGTGTATCTTACCAGCCAGAGCATATTCGCATAGTGCTGCGAGATTGAGAACATTAGTCGTCAAGTTCACGCAAACAAGGAGATTGCCCGAATTTCACTTACGTCATCCCAGATAGACATTACCAGCACCATGGGAATGGAGAGCGCCGCGTTAAGTTTAGACCAGCCTCCAACCTCGTCAAAGCGGTTACGGTCACCAAAGACGTTGAACTCAGCCTTGCAGTAATCGGTGGTGATGGAGCTGCTGTCTGGGAACCCATCGTAAGTCGGAGCTGGAATGTAGATCTTCTTTCCGTTTTGGACGAAGAATTGGGTCAAGTTATTGTTGTTAAACTGGGTCACAACGCTAGACCAATTTTCAGCATTTCGCGTTCCTTAGGTTATTATTGTTAGAAGATATACTCACGTGAATTTCTTGCTTGTGTCGACAGTCTTGCCCTTGCCATAGAAGTTCTTGTTTCCGACGCGGTATGGGTTGTAATCGCATCCGTTGGCGTCGCAATCACCGGCGAAGCGGTCTTCGGAGTATGTTCCACCGCAGCCAGACTTCTCACAAACGTGGTAGGCGTTGTTCTGGCATGGGTGAGGGGTGAGTGCGAAGGAGTGAGAGTTGGACTCCCTGTAGAGGTTACGTCAGCGTGCATAACTAAAGTATATCTTGAGTGCATACCAGACATCGATCTCAGCGCAGCAAGCGCCATATGGTCCCACACCAGCGTTAGCATCGTTGGTAGATGGGGTCCAGCCCTCAATGTTGGCCTAGTGTGATTGTATTATTAGCATTTCGAAGGACAATTGCCTTGAGAATGTGTCTTACCTTGCCGCCAACGAATTTGAGGTCTCTAGCGCATTGAGCGTCACAGTATCCAGTTCCATACTTCGCGCCCGCCTTGTTGCTTGAGTACTTGGCCATACCACCATCAGCATCCATGGCAACGAAGTAGAGAGCAGCGTTCAATCCACAGTCGACGGTGGAAAGATCAACATCAAATGCAAACTCATTGCCCTTCAAGGTGAATGTCTGGTAGGCCGTATCACTCGCCATGAGGTACATCCTGGAGCCGATATTCTTCGAGTATGGTCCATTGGTCACAAACTTGAGAGTCATGGCGTTGCCACTAGTTGTCACACCATAGGTGCCTGAATAGTCAGCGCCCTCCAGAGCGCACTTGGTGGTGCAGTCGGTTGCGCTGCTACACACGCTGGTCCACTCATTGCCATCGTAGCAGTTGGTTGTGCTGCTGGTGTCGTGGAGCCAGCGCCAGTTCGCGTCGACGACGACTTTTCCGTTAGTTGAAGAGCATCCAGAGCTTGTACACTTGCTCCAGGAAAGCGAAGGGTGGTTTTCGGCTGTCTGCGTACCGACCTGCTGGGCAGAGACGAAGCCAGCCAGCGAGGCTGCTGCGAGGATTGAAAGCATCTTGCAAGGGATTTAGCAATTTCACTTGTTTGACTTTCGAAGTAATTTCAAGATATCTTTGACGCAGAGAATCAGAGAAGTCTTATACTCCTGCCCGTGAGAAACCGCCTGCAACCCTTTCTTCGCCCAATGGACAGGATAGCTCCGATATACCACTTGAGGATCCATCGTGCCTTAGTTCCGAAGCATCATGACCTTGGCGTGAGAGAGTATATTCGGATCTGGATTACTTCAAGCCTGTTGACTACGAAAAAGACTGCGGAACTCGGCTTCCGGGGTTCATTGTTGGGACGGCAGCCGCGTACAGCCCAGGTGCACGCTGGCGAATAGCATGCTCGGAAGATCTTCCATTCGTGCATTTTCTTGGGGAAAGGTTATCTTGAGCTGACTTCCCTCAACAATTCGTCAGATAAAGGGGTCGCCACAGGGCAACATCGTGGGGTTTGGAGGTCTATACGGGCCGGGATGTCCGCGTACTTGAGCGTGACATGGAGTTGCACTGTCAGTTCCCAGTGAGGTATCCAAGGTAACACCAACGAAGAAGCCATCCAAACATATCCACGAATGAACGTGTGGCTGAGCGGGGTGTTTATGTAAAGTCCGGAGCTGGAGCGGCCGAGATCTTACCCCAGATTCCTGGAGAGGTGGGGAGCAGCCCGGCAAGTAATGCGGAGAAGGACCCCGAGAAATATAGGGAGGTGGATACGTGCCCCGTGTCGATCATCGGCATGGTCTACCCACGCGGTAATGTATCACTGTTTAGGAAAGCAAAAGTAGTCAGACCATTTGTAGAAAGTCCGTCCTATTAGGGTTGCGAGTCAAATTGCACAAGGAAGCTGGAATACAACATCTTCATTCCTTAAGCTTATGCTAGGTTTGAACCACTTTAACAAGCATAAATCACCCCATCAGTTATTGCTGTCCTTAGAGGAAATACATCAGTGTATACTAGACATAATTTCGGACACATGCTACCAACGTAACATACCCAAGAATGTAAATAATGACGCAAGGCTCGTAGTGCAGGATTCAGCAGCCTTGGACAGCTTTAGTGGCGCACTGATACCCGATTATGGAGAGTCATTTTGCTCTGTACATGGGGACGCTCCGTTATGGATGTTACTAGATGCGGAATGCAGTGTCACGCTATGTGCGGTGCCAAGCGCAGGGCTGGCGAGTTAAACGTCTGCTCCGTTGTCCGGCGACATGTACCAATGATTTGAGCATGTATTTTGAGCACCAATAGGTTAGAGTTTTATGACGGAATTGGGTGGCCTCTACCGTTCCGTCTAAGGCGCCTATCTTAATGTAGCCTTCTCTCACGAGGCCCGTTGCTTGTGGTGATACGACAACAAAATCCACCTTACCTGACCCACGGAAGCCCAGATACAGGGCCAAACAACTCTTGTCAACCCAATGTTCAAGGTTTCTCATTGACTAGTAAAACAGCATGGCAGCATGGCAGGAATTTGGACACATGCAAACCGAGCGCATTGAGTGAAGTCAAGCTGATTTATATGAAGCTAGGCCGGGTTGTACTAAGGTGGGGTTACAGGTAACCACTGCGCAGTATCGAAGTGTATATAGCTTGATTGAACTCAAGGGGTCGGGGTCATGGACAGGATGTTCAAGTGGCATTCCGAAAAGTTGTTCTCTGCGGAATTTCAAGTCCTTGGAGAAAATATCATATTAACTGAACCAAGATTTGATCTGCGTTTGATACTATTCTCATATTTACGACGAGTAAGAATTAGATTTGTTGAAGTTTGTAATTCAAAAGGGTGCCTTAATATGACCGACACATTTTCTTTCAACTCTATCTACCCTGTCTTGCGAAATATGGACTACAAGCTATTGAAACCAGTGAATTACGCGAGAAAGGCCCGTGTACCGACATTTTCATTCTACAATATTACCATTCTAAGTGACAAGATCCTTGACAAATGCAGCAAGTTTTACGCGAAGCGTGTATTGCTCCAGCTGCTGCCGTAAACTTTCGCGCTCGCTGCCCAAACTGGAAAAAAAAAAAACTTGACAACCTGAGCAGATAGACGTGAGGGGAATTGAACCGGGTCTTGAGTATATTTCAAGTATCAAAGAGGCGCGGATCGGCGAATCCGGTTCACCCCCATTGGTATTACAGACAGGGAAATATTACACAAGCAACCGCCTTCACTGCCTATAATCCTCGTTGTACTATCATGAAGGTCTCTCAAGTCTTGCTTGCTTACGCTCGGGCCATCTCCTCTGCCTCAGCCTGCCCTCGAACAGCGCATATGAAGATGCACTCACCCAAATGAAGGACGCGCACCCCGGCATTCCAAATGCCGACGCTTCAACCGCCGCATCGGGCTTTCCCGGAAGCTACGAGAAACTCCGGCGACTCCCATATGAGCCAAGCGGGTAACCATACTTCCCTTCAAGGGCAGGTAAGTTTAAAATATTCCTCCGTACTGTCGTTGGACAGCTCGCTGTCTGCACACTCGGTTCTAGATGATAATGAATCGAGATTAGGAAGCTCGTAGGAAGCTAGAAGGGCGTGGTACAGACGGTTGCTGCAAGTGCTGCGAGGATTGTGGAATGGCGATAGCTTCCTTGGGCCTTTGCTGCATTTGTTGGTCATAGTCTCTTGAACGAGCGTTGACTATAATACCACCGCGGAGGTCGGACCATCGTACACACCAGGAGGTAGAAGTCTTTGGCGACCCATCAACATAGCAAAGTTTCATCTAAACATCGCAGCATATTTTACTTACAACAAAAGGTATTAGCTAAACTGCAAGTAATATGTTGAACGATTTGATTCCTATGAGGAGACAGCACCAGCCAATTGTCAAGGCAACAGGTCTGTGGAGATCATATTGTTTCCGGTGAGAACGCCGCGTAGACTAAACTTGTCTCTGTTCGAATATTAACATTGTACCTCTTGATGTGGAATTCCCTCATTTTAAGTCTAGCAAAGGGGCGTTCTCTCGCTCCCGCCTAGATCTGTTGTCTACTGCCCATAAGTACTGGACGGAAGACATGTCAATAAGAGTCAAGGAGAGTCGTACGCCATGAGAGATCAAAAAGACGACCATATTGTACCCACGAAGGATGCACTCGAGTGCTTGCAGTTAATAGCTGAAGAGAACCTAGCGGTGTATCATAGCGCGATATATTGGACATACTCAAACGGGGCTGTGTACCCGGAAAGTCTTGCCGAACACGGAGCTGAGATGGCCCAGAGAGAAGATACACAACAGTATCATTCAAAGCGAGTAGTATCGTGGTTTAGCTAGTTGAGATAATGACGCTACAGCAGCTCAGTTGCAATTTATCGCAATAGGAGGACTGCATATATAGCTAAGCGCCGTATAGAGATTGTCTTTCATGATTTTTTCGACACGGTCAGTATTCAACTTCAATAATGTCAATATCACTTGGCCGAGCCACAATACTCTTGATCTACCCCGTTGAGCGGTTAGGAACAAACAGCGCCATTGACGAAGTGGTAGAGGGTTGTGTTCAGGATAGGATCTATTCGTCGCTTTTATCTAGCAGCTTTAACCCTTGGCAGCACCCGCCTTGATGAGTAGGATATCACCATCCTCAACTACGTATTCCTTTCCTTTCGTCATGATCTTACCCTTGGCCTTGACTTCAGCCTCATCGCCCAACTCCTTTAACATGTTGAAGTTGTACACGATAGCCTGAATAAAAGTCTTTTCGAAATCAGTGTGAATGACACCGGCGGCCTGGGGCGCCTTGCTGCCGAGACGGATGGTCCATTGCCGGACCTCGTCGGTACCAGTCGTGAAGAAACTACCAAGACCCAGGACCTTGCGCATTTGAAGGATGACCTTCGGCAGAGCGGACTCGATACCTAGGTTCTTGCACTCCTCAGCGGCGGCCTCCTCAGACTCGAACTGGGTAAGGCGCTCCTCGAAAGAGACCGAGATAGGCAGGATAGGGTCGCCAGCAGCGTGCTCCTTGATCCACTCGGCAATCTTGGGAAGGTGCTTGTTCTTCTTGCGAGTGTAGTCCTTCTCGGACAGGTTGACCAAGTAGACTACGGGCTTGGCTGTCAGGAGGAACAGAGGGTTGATAACCTCGACCTATTCAATGTCGTATTAGCTGAGATCTCGGAAGATGAGCTGTAGTGAAAAGTAAGACAAAGAATGAGTTTTGCAGTCAGAGTGTGTTTCTTATCTCAGTATGACCTCTGCGTTGTTTTATTTGAGGCATTCGAAGAGCTGGGATTAGATCAGGCGCTATGGCCCTTATTCATCATAGTAGCAAGATGGGGGGAATGAAGAAGACGGGCATGGGAAAAGTTTGGAAGAGCGAGCGGGGGGAGTGCCTTACCTCCTTGGGGGCCCAGGTGCCTTTCCGGACGTCCTTGCCGTCGTTCAACCAGGCGAGGATCTTCTCGATGGTATCTTGCTCCTCCTTTGCCTTCTTAACCTCGAGACTCTGACCACCCATGCGGGTCTTCTTCTTCTGGTTCTCGAGGGCCTTCTCGACGAACTCAATGTCCTTGAGACGCAGCTCCTCGGCAATGATGTCCAAGTCTCTGGTGGGGTTCACATCGCCCTCGACGTGGATGATCTCGGCATCATCGAAGCACCGGACGACCTGGAAGATGGCGTCGACGGCGCGGATGTGGGACAAGAAGGAGTTGCCCAGGCCGGCGCCTGTGGAGGCGCCCCTGGTGAGACCGGCAATATCGTAGACAGTCAAGTTGGCGGGGACACGCGACTTGGGCTTGTACTTTTCGCACAGCCAGTCGTAGCGGTCATCGGGGACAATGACACGGGCCTCCTCCGGGTCAATGGTGGCGTATGGGAAGTTCTTGAAGCAACTGTCAGCCGGAGAACTGAGAACTGGACACACGGGCGGCGGCTGGCTCAACATACGGCAGGGTTTCCGAGATTGCACTTGGTGATGGCCTGGAACAGGGTCGACTTGCCGACGTTGGCCAGACCAACAATGCCACTCTTCAGGTTGTTTCCGGGGCGACCCAGCAGGATCTTCTCCTCTTCCTTGGCCTTCTTGGGGGGCATCTTGACCTTGCGCTTGTGTGCGTAGGCGCGGGAGGGCACGAAGCAGTAGAAGAGATGGAGGGGATGGCTCCTGGAGGCTGGAGCTGGAGCCGGAGATGGAGATGGAGCTGCGGAGATGCAGAGGGCAGGAAAGGCAGAGCTAGCTGCAGATGGGCGAACGAGGCGGGCGGAAGAAGCGAAGGGAACGTGGGAGAAGAGGGAAGACACGGTGGTCTACGGGGAGGTGTGCGGGCTGGGTGTTCAGGCCAGCCTTTGTGACGACTACTTGTCGGGGGGAGAGAGAGAAGAAGTCGTGATGGAGGCAAATCTCAGCAAAGAGTTTGTCTCGGACGAGTGTCTGGATGGAGGGGTATCTCAAAACGGGAAGGAAAAAAGATTGGGCAGCCTCATGCAGCGAAGGAGGGGAGCTCGCTTTCTTTGCAGGCTTTGCAGGCTTTGCAGGAGCAGAGCAAGCCTGTTGTGTGTGTGTGTGTGTGTGGAAATGGAGGGGCTGTTCGAAATGCAGAGAGGAAAAAAAAAAAACCTTTTTGCCATTGGGTGTGGGTTTCCCTCTTCGCCAATCACATTTCATGGTGGCCCGACCCAGATCGACTCTGAGCTCCAGCTGTAAGCCTTCCTACAGGGAGGCCTAGAGGCAGGAGGTGGAACGGTGGAAGCTGCCAGCAAGCCGGAAGTCGGGGCTATGTTGTACCGCGAGCCTCTACCACGTCGGGTCCAGTAGGTACCTAGGTAGTTCAGTACGCTTTACCTAACCTGGAACTTTGGAAGAAGTTGGGTGGGTTCCAAGAAGACGCAAGCTAGGCCGCGACTCCAGCCCAGGCTCATTCGTTACCAATGTCCACCAGGCATGGATTCCTCCGCGCCCGTCCTCCAGACAGCTGGGCTGCTGGGGACGTCACCGACCGCTTCTGGACTGGGCTGCTTCTAATTCTTCTAACTTACACCAAAGGCTAGGTAAGGCCAAGGTTACCGCCCCCGTGTACCCCCCATGCCGCGCATTTCCGTTTTCCCATCCCTCCAGCTCCTCTTAGTGGCTGAGGTTGGACTGGCGCCTGGGCTCTGGGGCTCTGGGGCTCTGGGGCGCTGGTGCCGCTTCTCCTCGTCTCGACTTCAGGCAATGTGAATCAAGACATGAATCTTGCAGACCTCATGCATCCACCGACACGTGCCGACTGCATCTCCCATTCCTCCCCCGTCTTCTCGACTCGACTCTCGACTCTCGACTCCAATTAGCTGCCTAGGAGTCTGTAGATCTACTGTACATTATTTCCCGCAGCCCGCGGCATCCCCTGCAGCCGATATCACACACACCACGCACGCCGAGCTCCCTTGCCTTACTGTACCTACCTACCTTACCCCGAGGGCCCGACTAACCTGGAGCTGTACCCGTCCCATCTCAACCGTCAACTCCACCACCCATACTCATTATCGCCGCATTTCTTAGTCAAAGCTCACCACCAAACTCCACCCGTCCCATAAACCCCCATCTCGCCATCTCGCCGGCTTGCCCACACTCATCGGCCTCGCCATGTCTTCCAAGAAGTCCAGCAGATCCTCCTTCAGTCGCCCCGCCAGGCAGTCGTCTCATAGATCAACACTGTCCTTATCGCGGACCGAAGTCATCATCAATGTCTACGACCTGCTCCCGGTAAGCTCCCGTCCCCCCCGCGCCTCCCCTCCCACCTCCATCCAGCCAGCCGGCCTGCTCGCAAGTGCTGCCTTGACTAACACGCGTCTGCATCACATCAGCCCGGCCGCCTCTCCTCTCTCCTCTGGAACATAGGCTCCTCGCTGCTGCATACCGGCGTCGTCATAAATGGCCGAGAGTACGCTTACGGCGGCCACGACCGGCCCCACACCACCGGCGTATACTGGACCGCTCCTCGCTCCTGTCCGCCAGGCGGCACCTTCCGCACCGAGATCCTGCACGGCTTCACCTTTGCGACCCAGGCCGAGATCGACACCATCATCAAGAGCACGAGCGAGGACTTCCCCGGCACCAGCTACAACCTGCTGACCAAGAACTGCAACCACTTCACCCAGACCCTGTGCGAGCGCCTGACGGGCCGCCGCGGCCCCAGCTGGCTCAACCGCGCCGCCCAGATCGGCGTCGCCCTGCCGTGTGTCGTGCCTCGCGACTGGCTGGAGCCTCCGGACTATGCGACCGCCGACGGCGAGCTGGTCGAGGACGAGAACGAGTTCGACGCCGACGAGGGCACCGGCTTCCTGCGGCGGGAGAACAGCTATCAGCGACCTCTGGCAGAGGACGACGGCGGCCGTTCGCGGTTTGGGAGCGGGGCGACGCCGAAAGGCAAAGGCAAAGCTACGGCAACCCGAGATTCCAGCGGGCGCGTGTTGCCTCCTGCAGAGAGGGCGCCCGCGTCCTAGGAGACCGAGACCGAGACCGAGACCGAGATCGAGACCGAGCTAGGGGCGGTGAGTGTCGAGAGGATGATTGCTAGAAGTCCCGTGGTCAGGGAACAGTCTCCAGTCCCAGACACGGAATATGAGCACGATGGAGTTGGGGGTAGCCGGAGGCTGCTTCGATGGCAGGATTGCATATGAGGTGTTTGCGGCGTTCTTTCATTTCAGGGTACCGGGAGCATTGGCGCATCCGTGTGGGTTTTGTGCAATTGATACCTGTTGCTTTCTTGGCGCATGCAGTCTGGATGTACATGATGGGGATGACAGAGAAAACCGTTCATGAGTTAGAAAGTGCCATCTATTTTCTTTTACCGGTTTTGGTACATGATGTACAGTGTAAAGTACACGACGCACGTGCCTATGATACATGAGATTGAACCAACCAACACCCCCTCCCGTGGTCGACGCAAGATAAGGTATACCTGTTGCTCTCGAGAGGCCAGGGCAGGCCGGAGCAGGCCAGAGCGCCCGCTATCGCTTCCACGACGGCCCGGACTTAACCCAGACGTCTCGGCTTCCTACTCCTCGTACCGCCAAACTTCAAGCGGGTCGAGTCGCTGACGACGGTGATCTTGGGCCGCAGGAACTTGCCCTCGTTGCCCAGCAGCACCTTGGTGGCGGCCTCGCGGCCGTTGCCGAAGCCGCGGAGCACGACCTCGAGCTTGTGGATCTTGCGGTGCCAGTTGCCCTGGTTGAGCTTGTCGATGACATAGGCCGTCAGCTGGTGGGCGGCGTCGTAGGAGCCGCGCTTGGTCTTGCGGAAGCCGATCTGGCCGGCCGAGACGCTGAGGATGGCGTTGCGGTCGGGCTTGGTCACGGTGATGTGCGTGTTGTGCTTGTGGCCGTAGATGTGGAAGTGGAAGGGCTCCTCGTACGCCGCCCAGTTCTCCTTGTCCAGCGGGCCCTCGTCGCCCGAGCCCGCCAGGATGTCCTGCGCCGTCGGCTGGTTGCGGGCCCGCGCGAACACGTCCTGCGCCACCTGCGGGCCGGACCGCGGCGACGACAGCGAGGACGACAGGTCCCGGAGGCTGGCCGCCGGCGAGGACGGGCTGCCGCGCGGCGACGGGGCGCTCTCGAGGGGTGATTTACCGGGCGCGGGTGTGGGCGGTGCCTCGGGCGACTGGGGATCGGAAGGCGTCCCTTTTATCGATTGGGGCGGGTTGGGTCCGGACTCGTCGGCGAGCCGTCGGCATGTCTGACTGAAGGAGCGGATGGGCAGGCGTATGCTGGTGGTGGTGACCGGCGCCCGGGCGGTCTGGCGGAAGGACGTCGCCAGGAGGCGGCTCACGGGCTTGCTCATGGCTGGCTATCTCATGGACTCGCGGTCCTTGGCGGTCTGGGGAGGCAAGCTGCGCGTCGTCGTCGTGGGTGTCGCAGGTCGAGGATGGGGGTTGGAGATCGAGCTGCCCGCCGGTCCTCCAGATCGGTAACTGAGGTGCTGGACGAGGCAAGCAAAGCGGCCTGGAAATTTTGAAAGATTCCCGTAGCGCGGCGCATGCATTTACAGGGGGTGTGCCGGGAGCACTGAGCACTGCTACCGAAGGCACTGGAGGTTAGGTTGGGTTGTTAGCGTACCCAGGTACCTACCCTGCCTGCTGGTTGACTGGTACCTATCTACCTATACCTATCTACCTACGGTAGGTAGGCACAGCCCTGGAGGGCTCCCGGCTACAGTGCTCAAGGTGCACAAGAGGGGCGTCCGGGCTGCTGGGGGGGGCCAATGGCTGGCTTGGCTGGGCCACGGATGGAACCGGAAGCGGCGAAATCAGGTCTCCGTGGGACCTTTTTTTTTTCCCTCTCCCTATGATATTTTCGGACAGGGGTCGCGCGGTCGGAGCTCCCGTGCAGCTGGCTGGCTGCGAAAATTGGAAGCCGTCGCATCGGCCAAAGAAGAAGGGCAAGGAATCTCCCTCGCCTTGCGTGCGATTTTATCACGGCCTCTTGTCCTGCCCTCCCCCAACCAACCCCTTCGAACCTCCTCTCTCTTCCTATTGCGGGGCGAGGCTCACACCACCGCGCCATCCAACATGAGTTCGTTCAGACAAGTCGCCAGGAGCTCGGCCTCCTCTGCCTCGGCCCTGAGGACGCCTTCGCTGGCTTCCTCCTCATACGGCAGATCTCCAGCATACCGCCGGTTACTGTCCAGCCTCGATCGCCAGAGCACCCTCGCGACTGTCGCACCCTCCACCTCCCCATACACCCCCATCGCCGCCCTGCGATCGCCCTTCCTCCCCCAGTCCATAGCCGCCGTGCAGCTGCGCGGCCTGCACCAGTCGTCGAGATGGGCCCAAGAACAGCCATCGCCGCAGCAGGCGCCCAAGACGGAACCCAAGCCCGAGGAGAAAACGTCGAAACAGGCTGCCTCTGGCGCCGAGTCCGAGGCCAAGCCCGAGTCCGAGGAGCAACAGAAGAAGCAGGACGGCGAAGAGTCCGAAGAGGGCGACAAGAAGGACAAGGAGAAGAAGGAGGACCTGCCGCCACCCCCGCCCCACGGTGACAAGACTCCCTGGCAGGTCTTCATGGAGACCATGCAGACCGAGTTCAAGGCCTCCAAGGAGTGGAACGAGTCTACCAAGCAGCTCGCCGCCGGCGCAAAGGAGTTCAGCGAGAGCGAGAATGTCCGCAAGGCGAGAGAAGCCTACGAGTCCACAACCGGAGCCATATCGTCGACCACCGGCAAGGTGCTCAAGACAACCGGGTCTGCCATTGGCAAGGGTGCGTCCTGGACGTGGGATACCTCGGTCATGAAGGGCGTCCGCAAGGGTGCAAATATCACCGGCGAGGCTCTCGACAAGGCCACCAAGCCTATCCGTGACACCGAGGCTTACAAGAATGTCAAGAACGTTATCGATGATGGTAGCAGTTCGAGATACGGTGGCTGGGTCGAGAAGGAGGAGCGACGAAAGGCCAGAGAGGCGAGGGAGAAGGCCGCTGCTCGCCTCCACGGCAACCCCGAGGACATGGTTGAGGATCCCAAGTATGCTTTCTTCCATCAAACCCCGTGTCCCTGAACCGAATCTAACAAAGACCGCAGTGCTGGCACCAACGTCACACTCCACAAGGACGCCGCGTGGAAAGAAGCATGGAGAGATTTCCGAGACCAGAACAAGTTTGTTCAGGGTCTTTTTAACGCAAAAAATGTCTACCAGGAGTCCGAGAACCCCCTCATCACTACTGCGAGAGGCATCACCGACCGCATAGCTGGATTCTTCGCCGAAAACGAGACGGCCATGGTCATCAAGAAGTTCCGATCCATGGACCCCAGCTTCCAGGTCGAGCCCTTCCTGCAGGAACTCCGGGAGTACATCTTGCCCGAGGTGCTTGACGCCTATGTCAAGGGCGACACGGAGACGCTGAAGGTCTGGCTGTCGGCCGCTCAGTATTCGGTTTACGAGGCATTGACGAAGCAGTACCTGCAGGCGGGCATGAAGTCAGACGGTCGCATCCTCGACATCAGACACGTCGACATCCTCAAGGCTCGTATGCTGGAGCCCGGTGAGATTCCTGTCTTCATCATCACCTGCCGAACACAGGAAGTCCACGTCTACCGTAATGCCAAGTCCAACGAGCTTGCTGCTGGCATGGAGGACAAGGTGCAGCTCGTCACCTACGCCATTGGTATTACCCGGACACCAGAAGAAGTCAGCAACCCGGAGACAAGGGGCTGGAGGTTGATCGAGATGCAGAAGAGCGCCCGCGAATACATCTAGGACGGTGGAGCGATGACACCACGCCATTTCCTTCCGTCGAAACAAAATGATGCCATATATGTGTTCTAATACTGTACAATACGGGTGTTTTGTAGATTCGGGGGGAACTTACAGGGGAGGACGAACTGTATTCAAGGAGCAGATTTGGTCTCCATCACACCACTCTACGGCATGGCATGAGGCGTTTGATATGGGTGCGGCTGCATCATTGGTCATTGTATGATAGACAAAATCGCGACCTCGTCGAGTGGCTCGCGTTACAGCATATCGAAAATGCGTCAGAGTCACCTGACGGCCGGGTTGTACTCAATAGTGTATTGTCAGGCGGCATGGGGCTCGTTTTTGTGTCGGGTAGTATACTCAGATCAAACAAATCAAAAAGCATCATCTCCCGCGCAGCTATACGGTATACAACTCGCCATAGTGCGATTCACTGTGACGAAAGCGGTCTCTTCCACTCGCCACCAGCAAACGGCAAACTGGCCCTCTTGCTACTAGACCCCCCAAGGTACAGGGCAGACGTCCTTCCCAAGACACGCTCTGGGACCTGTCCAAGAGCACTGCACTCTAGCTGGCACTCATCTCCTTTCCGAGGTCAATCTTCACGGTCCGCTTCGTCGCCGTCTTTAGACCTGTCCCTTTTCCTCTCCGCCTCCTCTGCATCCTCCCGTCTGAAAGTCTCTCTGACCACCATCAGCGCCTTTCCGAGCAGATTCTCGCCCCAGTGCTCCCGGTTCGCATCCGCGTCCGCCGCCGCAAACCCGACGCCCCAGATGCGGTCGTACGGGCTCGCCTCGACCAGCTCGCGCTCGCCGGTGGCCAGCAGCGCCGCCCGAAAGCTGGCGGCCTGCATCGTCTTCGCAGTGGCGCCCGTCCCCAGCCGCCACTCTCTCCCCCCACCCGCTTCCTCCCCCTCCTCTGACGAAGGATCCGCCGCCGGAAACGTGAACTTGCAGTAGTTGGCCCGCTCCACGACGCGGCCGCGCTCCCGGCCCCACGCCTCCTCCGAGAAGCCCTGCACGGCGCGGCCGAGCGCCTTGACCTTGCGCGGGTGGCCCGTCTTCAGCACGGCCGCCGCCGCATCCGCGTCGCCGAAGAGCAGCGCCTTGTGGTGCATCATGTAGTGCTCAGCCGTCGCGTACACCTTGCGCTCCGCGTCCCGCGGGTCGAGGAACGCGTGGCCCGAGTGCCACTGCGACAGGAAGCCCGTGCCGGCGTGTGACTCGCGCCAGAAGTAGAGGGGTGCGGTGGCCTTGTCTGGCAGGGGCTCTGGACCGCTGGTGGTAGGGGCAGTAGACATGGAAATAGGGGTTGGAGATGTGGATATCCCTGGACCCGCGGCACTTCTCGCAGAAGGTGGTGCCTTGCGCTTTTTTGGCATCTCAGGTGGCTTTCTCAAATGTATACGGTGGCTTCTGGTGTAAGACGGGGGGTACTTTGAAAAGTGACTATCCTGGACCGTCGGTGAGCAGCAAAATTCAAGATCCAAGTTTGCAACTTTCCTCGCAGAATATTAGATGACACGAAAACTCCACGCAACCTTGAGGCCGCGGTGAGCTCATCATATATTCCCAGAAATGCCGGGCGTGTTGGTTTCAATTCTACAAGTTAGGCAAACATGAGTCACCCCGGTTGGCCTGCACTGCCGGCCGCCGTTGGGACGGCTTGGCTCAGCTGAGTGCCTAGACGTGGTGGTCATCTCGGCCAAGGCTGATTTCGGCTTGGGCAGGGTGTCAGTTCGTGAATACGCTACAAAGCCAACCTCTCCAGTGATCAAGGCCGGTGGTCGAGTAGAAGGATAGCGTTCCTTGATCGTACAGAGGGTGGCCCGCAAGATTATGGGTTGCGATCTCCACACACAAAGTAACTGGGCAGGCGAGCCAATTGAAAGCAAGGAACGGGCCTGAAGATTACTGACTACGGAAAGTGCGGATTTGTGGGGTAGAAGAGGTCCAACGCAGCCCTGGGTTGGAAACCTCGAACTACCAAGATTCGATGGGTAAATGGACTTACTCCCATTGCTGTGCCTCTGGGGAATATGTACATCAGAGAAATGTGTACTGTAGACACATCACACTAGAAGATGTTCTCTTCGGAGCCCGGTGGCCTGTACGAGGATTCTGTCACGCTCATGACGTTGACGATATGACGTAGTTCGGTGACGAACAGGCTGCCGAGCCTAACCAACGCCATCAACGCATCACGGAGCAGCGCAGGCGAACCCCAGACCCTCCACTTATACCATTCCCGAGCTACAACCAATTCCCCTTCCATTGCTCTTCATAGGTGTCTTCTACACGATACAGGATCTTTATTGCAAACACGCCCACCACAACACCGCAAACATGTACATCCCGAACGCCCAAAGCGTCCTTACCGCCGGCTTGGCCATGACCGGCATGCTGTCCGAACGTATGTCCTCTTCGTCCCCTTGCACCAAAACCACCTGAGCATACCCGCATGATTTGCAATCTTCACGTCGCGTGCGGCAGCCGCTGCCAGTTTCTGCGTGACCACCAGCTAACCGAGCCTGGTCTCTAGCCCGCGAAGTAACCAAGGGCTCTGTTCTCGACTACGCTGTCGAGAAGTGCCTGGACGCCGACGGCAACACGCGCTGCACCAAGCCCTTCCTCGCCGCCAAGTCGACGTGCTACCGCCTCGAATGGAGTACCAAGGGCGCCTTGACACACACCACGGCCGAGGTACGCGACGCCGGCTCGGGCGAGATCGTCTACTACCGCGATACCAACGGCGAGTGGACCCCCGAGAAGGGCGAGCTGGTATACCTGGACTTCAAGCCCAAGGTTCTCGGCACGGGGAACAACACTGTTGAGTATGAGGTCAAGACTTGCAGCTGAGCTGTATTGTACGGCGACCAGGGGCGGATGTAACATTCTGCGGGGAGACAGTAATCGATTGATAGAAAGCACAGTAATTAGGTATTAATCATGACTGGTAAACCAGACGTATTCCCAGTTGGTGGTGTCCCGTGCTCGCTTTGTCCCGAGTAGTTGACATGGCAGGCTATTTCTACGCATCGTCGCCGATCACGCCAGAATGGCTGCGACCATCAATCAACGAAAGTCAGTCGAACATAACTGAGGAAGACTTGATTCACATGTCGAAGAACCAGATATACAACCGGTATCTGTATAGTTGCTCCGCATATTGAATGACAGCCAATCGAGCAGCACCTGCCATCTGTCGTCAGCGCTCGGGGTTTCCAAAACGTGGGGCACCACCCGCCCGATCCACAAAGCCGATCCCATGTGGCACATGCTTGTCTTTGCATTTCCCCGAAATTTGGTTGAAGCAGGCTTGCGCTTAGATCCGCAGGATGAGCCCTGTCCCAAGAAGGACGAGGACGAAGACGAGGACGTTGGCCTTGGCCGCACGCGCTTGTACCAATTGTAGAAAGCGCAAAAGCCGGTGTTTAGCGGCCGATGGCGACGTTGGACCCTGTTCCTATTGTGCGAGAGCTGGGAAAGAGTGTAGCTTCGAGGAACCGGTCGATCGGACAGCCTTGACAAGGAAGAATCTCGATGCCGCAGAGCTCAGATGCTCCAAACTCGAGACCTTGCTTCGTTCTCTCAACCCAGATCTGGACATTGAAGCAGCAATCGCCAATCTCGAAAGCTCGACGGCGAGCGAGTTTCATCCAGACCCTGATGCTGGCCCGGACCGAGAATCCGATCAAGGGGAAGAAAGAGGGGAGGCTAGATATGAGTGGCATGAGGACACTTTATTACGTCCTGCACCCGTTGCAGGGGCCCAGGAAAGCCCACAACTCCAACATCAAGAGGATGGCATGGCCAATTTTTCCACCTCTGAATCGGGCTATCTCGGGAGTAGTTCTGGCTCAAGTCTACTACAAGAAATTGGAGCACTGGTCCCTCGAGCAGCTGCGGGAGGCAGCATGTCCCATGTCCCACCAGATCAATCATCACCCAGCACTGCGAATCTTGACCGGGCTGACCTGGCTACGTCTGCTGTTGCAAGCCTACTCATCGATGCTTACTTCCTATTCTACAACACCTCATACCCCATCGTGCACGAGAAAATATTCCGGGAAAAAATGGCAAGTGACTGGCGCCACACCAAACGACATTCAGCCTGGTCTATAGTGTACTATATGGTTCTCGCTATCGGACATTGGACCTCTGCGACAAACCATACCTCTGTTATGCCTTGTCCCTACTACTCAGCTGCCAGGAGTCGTCTGTCTGTCGCCATGCTCGAGTCTGGGACCGTCGAGACACTCCAGGCCTTCCTCTTAATGGGGAATTACCTTCAGAAAAGAGATCGGCCGAATACGGGCTACAATCTCATTGGGATTGCTTACCGAATTGCGTTCGGCCTGGGTCTTCATAGAGAAATACCGCATGCCGCGGACACCATGGAGCACGAACGCCGGAGGCAGCTCTTCTGGACTGTCTACTGCTTTGATAGCGGGTTCTGTATCACCACTGGACGCCCCCCAACGTTAGTTGATGGGTTTCTGGACCTTAGACTCCCTCGAAATGTGGAAGAAGATAGCCATGCTCTCGGTTCTGAAATGGTTCGAGAAGTTGATCACCCAACCCCTTCTTCTGCCATTGTGGCCAATGCTGAGCTGGCTAAAATAGCAACTACATTGTACACCGAGTTTCTGATGGCAAAGACAGCGGGAGCTCGCGTCGAGTATCAGGTTGCCGAGGCCATTGATAAAAGCCTAAACACATGGAAACAGGCGCTCCCAAGCTACTTCACATCACCTGACGTACCAAGCTGGTTCAGTGGCCCGCGAGCTGTATTGCTTTGGAAACAGGAGAATCTACGACTTCTCCTGTGGCGGGGGACTAAGAGGCGACATCCATTCCTCCTGTCCAAGCCAGATGGCGAGCAGCGGTGTGCTGAGATTGCCATGCAAAGTATTAATGACATAACCTCCTTCTGTGAACAGCCTGAGTCAATGTTGCACCTTGGTATCAGTTGGTATGCTACATACTTCCTATTCCAGGCAACACTGGTTCTCGAAGTGAGTCGTGCGACCCAGGTCACTGTTGAACATGCCTGGTTTGATCTTTTAGCTTGGGAAACGTCCATTTCGAGATCCAGAAGCTGCCTTGAACTACTTTCGAAGAAAAACAGCTCCTCAACCCGTTGTCTTCAGATCATCAACTCTATACAAGATAATCTTTCTGCATCGGCGTCATGGCGGACACAGCGGGATTTCAACACGAACAGCTTCCAAACGGAGGACCCCGAACACCCACCAACTCAATCTCGTCCATCCTACGACATGTTCTCTAATCACCTAGCCAACGATTCAGTCTATTGGAATGAATTCGGATTTGGAGACGGAGATGCCACTGGGGACCCGACCATACATATGCTGATGGACCAAACACCTCTAGACATCTTCCTCAGCGACTCAAACTAAGTAATCTACCGTGAACATGGATTTGAGTTCTCGTCAAGTACTACGGAGGTTTTCTTTGCATCTCAATGAAGCTACACAGTTCAAGCTCAGCGGTCCCACCAATATACATTCTAGTCACGTCCCTGGCGTAATCTGTATTGATTTGCGTGCGATATCTGGCGACATTAAGGAGGGCGTAACCATATGAACAAATCTCAAGGCATTTTCAAGAGGTTCTTAATTCCGAGGGCGCCAGAATGGCTAATTTCTCCCCCGTGTAAGATGGGCACTGTTCTTCCCATTACCAGGAGCCCGGCCTGGTACGAAACGTTTCTGGGCAGCCCGTCCAAAAGAGCTCTCCACATGCAAGCAGAAATACTCTGCACACATTGTCGGAGAGAGGTACGCCGATTTGAAACTGTATGGTAATGCCCATCACCCATCCTGACCACTTCGGAGTACTGTGCTCCGAATGTGGAGTCAAGGTACCAATAGCCAGTTAGCAATGCCAGCAACTGCCTCCTGACACGAGACCAGCATCGCACTAACGCAGGTGTGTTGTCCGACCCATTACTTCCAAGGTTTGCCACAGTCCTAATTCTGCCCCTATTCTCGTCCCTGTCAAGGTCGGTCAGTAAACTATAGGTGTATTAGATATTGGGAAACGCATGCATTAATTCACTCTACGAATAGTTCCATTACCTTTCAAGAATAACAACAACTTTGATGAGATTCACAACTTCAAGCGGGCAAATCTAGATCCTTCGTTTCGCCTTACACGGTTCACCATGGAGCGATCCGAGCTGACTTCCCGGGTTATTCCTTTGATGAACCTTAGCACAGGCTCATCACCACTTACGGCACCAATTCAGCAGAACCAATGCCTTTCGCCTGAAGAGAGTGCGGCCAACCGTTTTCGAATATACGGCAATGCAGTTGTGACCGGTGGTGGCGGTGATCTCGGATTCACAGCCTGTCAAGCTCTACTGGAGCATGGCCTGTCAGGCCTTGTCATATTTGACCTGGACCCAGTGTCCGCAGCTAGTCGGGTGGCAGACTTACAGGCTGGGTTTCCAAACGCTAAGATATCTTTCGCAACGGTCAACGTGACAGATGCCGACGACGTGGAGCGCAGTATCGACGCCGTAGTGCGTTCGCTTGGAAGTGTGGACATCCTACTCGCATTTGCTGGGGTGGCATCTTGTGCGCATGCAATCGAGATGCCGGCCAAAGAATGGCGACGCGTGTTCGACATCAACACCACAGGATCCTTTCTCTGTGCCCAAGCTGTTGCCAAAGCGCAAGCAAACTTGGGCAAACGCGGAAGTATTCTATTCGTGGCTTCGATATCTGCGCATAGGGTCAACTTCCCGCAGCCACAAGTCGCTTACAATGCCTCAAAAGCAGCGGTGCTAGCTACAGCAAAGTCTTTGGCGGCTGAGTGGGCCCGATACGGCATCAGGGTGAACAGTATCAGCCCAGGTTATATGGATACGATTTTGAATGAAGGAAGTGGCCTCAAGGTTGCCCGGGACACGTGGAATGATCGAAACCCGATGGGTCGTATGGGTGTCCCGGAGGAATTGTGCGGAGCCATCATCATGCTGTCCAGCCAGGCTGGAAGCTATATCACTGGCGCAGACCTTTGCATAGACGGTGGACAGACACTGTTTTGACAACGGGATGTTGGGTTTGTTACGGCATTAGACGAAAGACAAAGTTGCTGTGCCTGAGCAAGAATAGCGCAGGCCACTCTATCGCCCCCAAGATATTGTAGTGTTTTCATCATAGTTAGCCGAATCAACGACTACTTAGGGCAGAATCTAGGAAATTAAGTAAACATCCCTCGGGCTAATTAGATATAGACTGCATCTACCCAGTTGAGACTTACAAAACGTTTGGGGACAGTTATCGTCAGACCAAGAAAATTTATAAGGCGCGATCTTTGGGGTGAACGCTGTCGCTTGAGCATCCACGATTCTCCCGGCCCCGGGTACAATGAGTACTAGGTACATTTGAATGTTGATGCTTGCAGTGAGTTTGTGAAACTTAATCCCCAGGCCCTTTGATAACATTCTTGACCCCATCGCCCCTTCGGGTGCTTTCCCAAGCCTCAGATGCCTGCTCGAAGGAGAACTCCCCAGTGATAAGACCATCAAACTTGATTCTCTCTCTCTGCACAAGGCTCATGGCTAGTTCAAAGTCACCCGTCCCGTATCTATAACTCCCTTTGACACTGAGCTCCCGCTCGCATATTTCGGCGATGGGAAACTGTATATTCCGCTTGCCCATTCCGACTTGCACGTACGTGCCTCCTGGCTGTAATATGCACATAGCTGTCTGGACAGATGATTCAGCACCAGTGGCGTCGATTACAATGTCCGCACCATCTTCGAGCTCGTATGTCTCCATGAGATCCTGTGCATTCTCCTCGGCCGTATATGAACTGTTTGGAACCCAGCTTCTGCTGACCTCTGCACCTACCAATTTCCGTGCGACATCGAGTTTTCCCGGTAGAAGATCCACGGAAATCACAGTCGAAGCACCAAACTCCCTGGCTACCACAGCACAGAATAAACCTACAGTGCCAGCCCCAAACACCACCAATCGGTGTCCCGGTCTCACATCCGCAAGCCGAATTGCATGCACCGCTACAGCCAAAGGTTCCAGAAGAATTCCTTCTCTGGTATGCAAAGAGTCAGGTATTTTGTAACAGAAGTCCGCCGAGACTCCAAAAAACTTGGTAAGCGTCCCGTGGGTATGCGGAGGGTCGGCCGCGAAAGCCATATGAGGGCATAGGTTATAGCGTCCTGCCTTGCAACGATAGCAACGCCGACAGGGAAGTCCCGGTTCAATTGCAACTCGGTCTCCGGGGGCAAGGGTTGTCACCCCTGGCCCTATAGCATGCACTATGCCGCAAGCTTCATGTCCCATAACCAACGGGGCTGATTCGGAGACAAAGCTTCGGATGCCACCGTTGAGCCAGAAATGGACCTTCGGGTATTGGACGGATCAGTCAGGTCACTTGAGGTATGGAAGTGCCTTACATCACTGCCGCACACCCCAGTATAGGCGATCCGCACAATAATATCTCCAGGATCTCGGATGGCGGGCATTGGTCTATCCTCGATTCGTGCTTTAAGAGGCCCGTAGAGCAAGACAGATGGGTTATCCATACTGAGCTAGCACACACCGCAGTGGTTCGTCAAACTCGCTTTAATTCTAATTGAGCAATACTGAATACAGCTGAGCTTGTGCAGGCTTTCATATGATTCACGGATGCGGCAGTGTGTACAATGAGTCGGCGCACTTTCCTCCGAAGGCTCACGCTGTGACGTCGTGAACATACGGTATGAACCCGGCCAAACGTAGTCGTCGGCCTACGGTACTCCGATCATGCAGGTCGCTTTGACATGCTACTGCCGTTCTGCGGAGAGGATTTGCCTCTGTGGTGCGGAGTATGTTTGATTTGAGCATCAGGTGACATCGAGGGTGAGGTTACTGCTAAAAGCGTATGGTGCGGTGGAGATCTTTCTCTACTCCTCTCCAGACGTGTCCCTTTTCGCGCCTTGACTGGTTACAATCAACCTTGAGCCCTTCAAATTACTGCTTTAGACTATAGAGACATAAGCAGCTCACGATCGGAGCACTATGGCCGAAGGTGACAAGATCGTCCAACCCATCCCATTATATAGCATTACAGCACAACAGAGGCCAGCGCTTCAGGTCCACCGTTCTCCATAGATCTTCTGAATTCCGAGACATCTCTAAATCGTCATCATGTCCATGAGTGTATCTGATTGCCAAGTTGCCCGTTTAGGGTTCCCTCGCCCATTCCCAGACACACCAACAAATGTCGTGGAGCAGTTCAAATTGAACGGGAAAGTCGCTGTTGTGACTGGTGCTGCTGAAGGCATCGGAGGAGCCGTTTGTGAGGCCTATGCAGAAGCAGGCGCAGATGTGGCTCTTTTGTACAATTCGTATGATGATCAGGAACCAAATGGATCTGCGTCAGATAGCTAATGATTACTAGCAACAACGCTGCAGTTGATAGGTCAGAGTCGTTATCAAAAGCTCATGGCATTAAGACTTGTGCTTACAGGGTTGACGGTAAGCTGATGTGCCAAGAGACCCCCCTTCTGCCCCTCCCTCCGTACCCAAGTGGCCAACAATACATAGTGTCAAATCCACATGCGGTTCAAGAAGCGATAGCGCAAGTCGTCAGTGATTTCAAAAAGATAGACATATTCGTTGCCAACGCAGGTCAGTAGTTCTACTGCTTTTCGACAATCAATACTGTGATTAACTGGTGGAAGGCATGGCAATCTCCAAGCCCATCTTGGAGCAAACCCTCGACGAGTATAGGAAGCAGCTTTCGGTCAACGGTATAGTCACTTGAAATAAAAACCGTAGTGTAGCTCACTGACGTGGTGATTCAGTTGATGGAGTGGTTTACTGTGCAAAATACGCTGGCGAGATTTTTCAACGCCAAGGCAGTGGAAACCTGATAATCACGGCGAGCATCAGTGGACACATCGTGAATGTGCCAGTTGACCAACCAGTCTACAACGCGACTAAAGCATTCGTGACCCAATTTGGCAAGTCCCTTGCTCGGGAGTGGAGGGAGTTTGCACGCGTCAATATCGTATCACCTGGTTTCTTCGACACGAAAATGGGCGCAAGCCCTAACACTCTCAACGAGGCGTATCGGATGGCAGTCCTGGGAAGACAAGGTCATGTCAAGGAAATCAAGGGTCTGTTCTTGTATCTTGCAAGCGATGCATCATCCTACACGACGGGCAGTGACATGTTGATCGATGGTGGATATGTCCTCACGTAATTGTAGGTATTAGAAATGTGAATCAGGAACGCTGAAAGTATATAAATTACCGATCTTTCAGGTACACGGAAACCAAACCCCATGCCTCTAACCAAATTATTCCACTGTACGACTTCAAGCCTGAAAAGAATATCGCACAAGATGTCAAAAGACAACAGTAGCTCGTCGGGCAGCCACTCTGGCTCCTCTGATTACCAAACCGCACGGAGCCAATCGCAGTCTTCGTATGCGTCCGCAAGCGCTGCGCGCCCTCGGTCGCCTCCAATGTTTCCCGCCTGTCTTCTGTAGCAGTTGGCGAGAGCGCACTCCCCCACAGTGGTCACGACACCCCAGCTAGCTACTCTAGTCACAGTGAGAGCGCTGCGTCGAACCCATCTAGTGGTTCGGCTGACCCTACACCCGAGTACAATTGCCACAGAGAGCAGGGTCATTACCTATGGGCTAAACATCTCGATATCAACGATCCAAGATATCATTTGGCGACCCTTGGGCTATTGTGAACGGCAGCTTTCAAGATACATTCCCTTATTGGACTTCACATACTTGATCCAGTATCACAGTCATTACTAAGGTTGAGCCTTACTGAGTGGGTAGACGTGGGAACCGGCTTTTATGTATGCTCGTTATTGCCACCATGTTCCGTCGACGCTACCAAAATTCCGAACCTGCAATATTGCACTAGAATGACACTTTACAACTTCCTTAGCACTATGGGATATACTTAGAGCGCTACAACGAATTGATTGTGCTTCCATTAACTGGTTGTGTCTCAGCTAAAGGACCAGGCTAAGGTTGTATAGCATCTAACCACTTGACTTCTCGACATACTACCAGAGCCGCTCGAATATTTAATTGTCGAAAAAGAAAAGATACATGTGACAGCTTCTTGTCGAAAACCTGTTCCCCAGTCCCAGTTGTACCTATCCACGAAGAATCGTAGGTGCATATCTACGTCTTCGCATTCATTCGCTTAACACAATTATGCAAAGACTGATGCAGGAAAAAGAACGTTTGGCCTTCAGGCTATAAAGATTGCAAGCCAACCATTGCCAGCATTGTTAGAACACTGACAACCAAAGTCCATTGCACATGAACCTGCATACTACTCGAATTATCACTTCTGTCTCCGTAAAACTCGTGCACTCCAAAGCACTGCATTCCCAACGTGTGGTTTGCCATACTGCTATTGCTCTTCCCTGCGGCCCAACAGTTGAAGAATGTCTTCCAATCTTTCTTTTCTTCGTCACGGTCGTTAGGTGTCGTGTAATTACAATAGACCATGCACTGGTCAAAGGAATAGAAGTCAACGGTGTGATTGAGACAACACTTTTTGAATACGTCGCCCAGGCCGGTCGTGTGCGGCATTCCGCAACTCGTCATGTTTCCAGGAACGTGCGGGTCTGGCCATGGTGGGGTAGCGTACATTGGACATTCGTCCGTGGATGCAACTGAGTGTTCCATGTTTGTAATAGGTTTCTTGCCAATTATTTGGAAAGAGTTTCTAATTTTCTATGCTTGCGGCTGAACCTGATGAACCAGGAAACCTGGAAGGAAGAATGGCAAGCGATGAGAAGATGTGGGAGTTTGACAGGAAGGGAAGCTGAACGACATGATACATGGATAGGAGAATCTCATTCAGATATAGTTGGTCATCCCACTAGATGATGCTTGGTAACTCAGTCTGAATTGAGCCAAGACTGACACCACCTGATTGGACACATGTGTGTTGTTGGTGACCAAATTTGCAACCGGTTAAGTGTGTACGATCCCAAAGCCCCATTTACCCTATAAGCGAGAGCTATTTACGGACCAACAATATTGCCACGGGAAGAGACAGCCTTGTCTACGCAGCTGATTCCTTTTTGTGCTACCTTCTGCTTACGAACCAAGAAAATTCCATGTTCCTGCAGAATTGCCGTGAATCAACAGCAGTCTGGCCTTGTAGAGAACCAACGGATTCTGTAGTTGAACACGAAGCGATCTGCCTCTTCGCAGTGAAATCGTCACACAGCCTCAGAAGCATGGTGTGTCATGCAGAGCACCATGGATATCATGTAGGCTTGACATTCAGATTAAACACATGATCATACACATACGCAAGTGGCGTCAGATACAAACAGCATTCCAACAACCGCCAACCAGTTATGATATTTGGGCAGCCGAAGCAACATGGCAATGTTACGCTCTAACTCAATTTGCCGCAGTTTCGCTATCGATACTGTTTTGTGAATATGTATATTCAGAGCAATGATCTTTCCTGGCTCTGTAATACACTGCACATCACACTCGAACTTCTTTGAGTAGCGAAACAGATCTTTATGTCCGCAGACTGCCTAAGTCTCAACCCCAAGGTCCCAGTTTTCCGTATGAGAATGATATTACACGCAACAGTGTAACTCAACTGAATGAAATTATGGGACCAACGTTTCTGCACTGCAGGATTCCAGCCATGACATAGACGGCCTCGTGTCAGGAATAATCCTGGGTACTTAAATGTTTAAGTATAGCTCAATACAACAGAACCAGTGTAGAAATAAGACTTTCGTCGTTAAAACACCCAGGAACGCGAAGGAGTCGTCTTCCAGTTTGTGGCTAGCCCAGTCTCATCCTACGTTTGGGATTGAACCAACAACTTGGCCAGGTCCAATGATCAAGGATGTTTTGACGTCACGCAGAGATTCTCCTCATTCTCAAGACTTTCAGTCTAGTTGTATTTGGCGCCGTAAAGACGTCAGCAAGTTATTTAATCTTGCAAATCCCCGAGGATAACTTCGTCGCGCTTGATACATTTACCTGAATACAACACATTCGGTATCTCCAAGCAGATCATACGCAGCCATCCTCGCTCTCATTCTTCTTGGGCCGAATAACCAAACTTAAAGATGATTCTCACCACACTTCTACTCTCATTTGGAATCGTCCTGTACCCTCAGGTCGTTCTGGGGTTGCCTGCAGGTGATACAATGGACTACACCTTCACTGACTTGAGAGCAAGAAGCGATGGACACTGTTCTCCACACAATGTGTACACGAAGGCTGGCGAAGTACGTTGTGTCCAATGTAGAAGACAATAACTGATCCATGCTTAGTGGCACTACGACTGTCCTCGTAAAAACACAGTAAATGAAAATGGAGACTGTGTTAATGCCATACCAGACCGACCAGATGGCGATAAGAAGCCTTGCAGCGCTTATTGCGAGGTCAGAACATCTTTTGCTTATGGTCAAGAGCAGCCATTCCATATCGCATGTCAGGATTGCACTCTTCACCAGGGTGAACAGCTTCAAAAAACGCCAAGTTGGGCCTTTGAGATAGGTGGAGGTGGATCATTGCCAATCAAAGAGCTGGAAGCCACTTTTAACTTCGGGGCAACCTACAGCTTCTCTTCCTCTATAACATATACCACCGAGACGGAGTATACACCACCAGAGAATTACACCGGATGCGGTCAATGGACCTATGTGCCGTTCACTTTCGAGTGAGTAATATTGACGCAATGCGGTATCTACGAAATACATTACTAGAAACTAAGTATTGCAGGTCGTGTGGAACCCTGACTACAGCCCAGCAGAAAACTACTGGGGACCCGTTTTGCAACCAGGCAAATTGCGCCTCACAAAACAAAATCTGTGAAAAGGACAAACTTACAACATCTGAGAATTTTTGTCAATCCACGCCCATTACAGTGGATGGCAAGTCAATTGGTAAAGTGATTTATGTCAAGACAGACTGTGACAGTGGACAAGCCTTGCAGGACGGGCAAGACGAGGCCTATTACTTTCCAGGGGTTTCGACTGATGAGAAGTTCAAGTCCGTCTGGCCAGCACCTCCAACCACTGAACATCATAGCCAGTAGCTAGTTGGGACTGACTTTGGAGTAGGAAGCTCTGGTTCAAAATTGATAGTTCAAAACTGAGTGTAGTTCTGGAATTAAATGTAAATTAAGAGGCATGGTTCTGAACTTGATGTGTGGACAAAACGGTGGTTCAGGATGAAACTGCACCTCAAAATCACACTCCTTCAGTAATGAAATCGTCAGAATTGTTCACATTACAATTATTTTACTTCCCCGCGGTATCTGTTGAAGCTAAACACCAGCTTCCAGTGAGCTTCTTCCCGGCGAACTTGGTGACCCACCGTGTGCGGACAACCAGGGGGACTTTGGGAAGACGCCCTTGCCGAGGACCTTGAAGTAGCCAAGGGTGAATAGGTGTCAAAGATAAATTGTCAACGTTGTGCACAATAGTGGCAACATATGCCATCCTTGTTGGATATCAAATCAGCTCGCCCTTCATACTTACCCGTGGAAGCAATTTTAGCTTTACCATATCGTCGTGAAGCTTGGATGCCCCCGGTAAGTAGGTGCATCCACCCCCTCTAGCCGTCACTCGTAGTGATTTTAATAATCGATTACGATTTTATAGAAGTGTTTAGCATGATAAGTATACTTATATTCATCTCAGTGTTGGAAATGTGCCAAGTTGTCACTGTTCCTGGTACACTCGAGACAGAGAAGTAAGTTTACATCGCTCATTTGCGAACTTAATCTTACTTGATAGCATACAGTTTCTTAAATTCTATTCTTCTCGACTAAACCGTGTGCGTGTGGACAAGTATAGTGGGGATTCAAACGTCCATTCTAGCATTCAGCGAGCTGACATCAACCGCCCGTATTTTCTGGGCATCGTACTCCGCCACAAGCATCGTGTTGCCATCAGGGCTCAAAGCAAACTCACGGGGGAACCGACCTGTTCGTATCTGGGGCCACCTGCTGGTCTTCCCACGCAGAGCAGCGAGCGAGTCTACGACGGTCGCGCCCGTGGTCGTGTTGCTGTAGCCGAATCTGTTCGAGTCTGCGGTCAGAATGTATTGCCCAACAACAGCAACGCCGACCGGAGAAGTCCCAGTCTTCACATTAGCCACCACTACATCGGTCGTCACGTTTTTGGCTAGCTTCTCTGCATCAAATGCAAGGAGCTGGTTTGCTTCTCTCACGGTGACCCAGAGGGTCTTGCCATCGTTTGCCAACTTGCATCGAACAGGATGACATCCGCCACGGATCTCGTATAAATACGCCTTCCCTGGCGTTGTCTTAAGAGTCTCAACATCCAGGACACTGACTGCTCCTTCCGTCTCATTCTTGTTCCTTGCACTCCGTGAGACTTCGCTGGTCACGAACAGTTTCTTGTAGTCCTTCGAGAAGGCTTGGCCCACAGTGGCATACCCTAACGCCACGAAACCCTTGTACCCTCCGACCACCGTACCGTTTTCCAAGCGTGTTACGTTGTAGACCTCGATGGCACCACGGTTCAGTGTGGCATTGCTGCCAAACTCTTGGCTTATGAAAACGAACTTGTCATCGGGCGTGATTGAGATCTGGACTGCATTGGACCCTGCGTAACCATTCCGACTCAGGAGGCCCGCAATGGAATCGTTCCTCCCTGCGATCGTTTTAGGAACGTCCATGACAACAGCGCCGTATCCCGTAACGACGTAGAGGTTCCGTTTATCGTGGGTCAGTGCGATACCATGGAATTCGTACCCGGCCGAATCTGGGTCGTTGGTTCCTATCACTACGTCGGGTGGAAGCGGGACGGTGGTCTTGATCTTTGGCGTAAAGTTTGAAACATCCAGTACGGCAACGGACCGCTCGATTGTGGCAAACGCAATACTTTCGCTGAGATATACCATGCCAAACGGACGACCACCAACTTGAAGGCTGGTAGTGTTGACGTCCAGTGCATCCTGGGCCGGCGCTGTCGTAGCACAGACGCGCGTTGGAAACGCTCTTGGGGACACTGCGAAGTAGTTGCGTGGCGGAAATGACCTTGCCGACACTGCGAATAAGCTGATTGTAATCGCAGTTACAGTCGTGACCCAGGATACAAGGAAGCCGACCATGGCTTCTCTTTTGTCGATTTTTCTCTTTTCCTCTCTCTCTACTTTTCTTTGCTCCTCTCAACCCATAAACAAACGAAAACGTGGGTTGCGCCAAGCGTGTGCGCTCTGACTGCTATAGGAACTGGGCCTACAGGGCGGATATAAGGCTGTTGGCTAAACTTGGAGCTCGCGTAGATTGCCGAAGACCCTGAACAAAAGACTGGTCTTGCCAAATAGCGGGCTCAAATAATTTGCCGGCGGCGTTGAACCCCAGCGGCTCAATGCTGCAATGCACGGTAACTGGTTCCAAGACTTCTGGGCTCCGTGCCAAGTCTAGCATCACAGCTTGGTCCAGCCAATGGGGCAGCTCGCCGCTTTCCTGTCTGGGAATCCATCATAGCCCGTGTCTCATTCGGGTAGTGAGACGTGCTCCCGGTCGCCCGCCCGTACTTCTTCGCGAAATCCAGCCCTCGAAAGGTGTGATTCGGTGGTGCCTTCGTGGGTTAGTTAGACCGGTAAGATGAAAGTATAGGGTGACATTGCATCAAGTCGCATTACCAATGGTGCATGACTTTGGCCCTCTCATGCTGGCCATTGACCATCTACGAATAGCCATGCCGGGATAAACAAGCATTGAAATAGTCGTGTACCGAAAGAATGGAATCGTAATCTCTGTTATAGGCTGTAGTACACTTGTATAGCCGCATCGGGTTACCGCAGGGGTACAGTCGCGTCGTGATTGGAACGGGGAATGTGGTCTAGACTGCCTTTCCCGCTAGACCCTTCCTGCAGCTGACCATGGTAATCATATGCGGATTTCCATCGGAAGTGTGTCTCGGGAATTGTATATGTAAAACTGTGAGAGGAATCCCTGCATCCTTCCTGATCAGGAGCCGAGACAGATTTTCTACATGGCGATCTGCGCAATCATTTACAAGAATCTTGACTTTATGGCATCTTGGTATACGCACTGAAAAGATCACGAAACTCCCCATTGCAACGTGAAATATGCGTATGGGAGAGCGTTATAAATGATAGAATGCCGCTTGTTGACGTAGCAGGAAGCTTCCAATGAAGCTCTCTATGATCACTCCTGACACGTCATTTGATCCCCTAAACGCCCTAACTAACTCCACTGATTGGCCTAGGAATGAATGAAATAGTGCTAGGCAAATTTCACAAGAACATAGCCCGGCTGTCAGCATCCTTACGTGAAGCACCAGGCGCGGTGTAGTCCACTCCACTGAGGTTGCTTAGATCTTTCTCAAAAGTTGCCTGAATCCTTGTGACCTGTTGAAGCTGCTGGAGGTCAAGTTTCTTTTTGTCAAAAGCGGCCAAGCTTTCAGCTGCCTTGATCACATTCTTGATTTGGCGGCCATTCAGATCGTGTTCGCTGAGCAGTGCTAGACCGAGTTCATCGATGTCCACCCCACCGGGAACCATCTTGCAGAAGTTGCGCCATATCTGCATCCGTGATTCCACAGAGAGGTCCGTATATCGGATCGGTATGTGGATGCGCGACTTGAAGGCATCGTCGAAGGTGTTGACACGGTTGGTCGTCAAGAAGAGGATGCCAGAGTAGTACTCCAGTACTCGCAGGAATACGCTCACCATGGCGTTGCGGTGAAGATCATGCAGGGACCGGCGCTCAAGGAACACGTCTGCTTCGTCGATGAGGAGTACAGCACGCCACGTAGAGGTCATGTCCATGATCCTTGTCAGCTGGCCGTCCAAATCTGAGCTTGTGACCCCGAGATCCCCAGAGGAGACCATATATAAAGGTCGTCGTACATATTCCGCGACACACTCTGGGAGATAGTCAGAAATCGGGTCATGAGATTGTCGCGAAAGCCGTGGGTTACGAGTGTTCCGCCGAGATTAGAAGAGGAGTGAACAAAATAATCTTACCCGCAGTCAATGTCTTTCCAACGCCAGGGGGGCCATGCAAGACGCACACGAGGCCCTGCCCCTTGCCCTTAACGATATCATCGAAAGCTTCTCGCTCGGAGGAGTGTGTGGACACCAGAGCTTGTACAGTCTTCTTGATGCCATCGTCAAGAACCAAATCATCAAAGCAGTGTGAGTTCCACTCAATCGGAAATAACTTGTCTGTGAAGAATTCTAGGAACTTCTTGGCTGAAAATGAATATCCACGGACTGTAGCATTCGTAAGCAAGACGTCGTCGTCAGACAACTTGTCATGTACAACTTTCTCCGAAACGAAGTCAGTGTGGCCTGCGGCCCTTCGCCGCGCCCGATCACGTTTAGCCGCCTGGTCGTCGTGCAATTCTCTAACGTGGAACGAGTCATTTGGTTCAAGACGATGGTAAGTCTTGCAATCAATCATGACTCGACCAGTAACGTTGAAGCGGGCGTATCCTTGTGCGGTCTTTCTCAGTCCAACGCCGTTATATTGCTCGTAATGCTGTCCAATATAGCGCTCAAACTTTCTTCCACGTGTGGTGAGCGCCTCGCGGACTTCATCGACATCAGCCAGCAGATCGAGGGGCATAGTTGGGAGCTCGCTTAAATCCTGTGTCCCGGTATACTTGGGCACGAATAGCTCCAGCTTCCGGGTTCCAATCCTTTCACCGTCAAAGTCAATAAACTGAACTTTCAGGCTAAGGCCGGGCAGTTCACTGGTATCATACCTGACAACACCTCGAGTTAGTTATTTCTGAGTAAAATCTTTGAAGGGGCGAGACTGCTGTTGAGGCCATCTACGAAACTTCCGGGGTAGATTTTCCCCTCTAGAGTTACAGATCAGATGAAAAGTGAGTCCCGGCTCCACATACCAGTTTTCGACGACACGGAAGGCGCGGTGCTGTTCAAGTAGTTTGCAGTAGATGATCGTGCCCGGAGGAAATAAGGTCCATAGGCGGTCATACGCAATGGCATTAACATCCCCATTGAGACATCTGTTTCTTGCTGCCGTGTCAAGCTCAAAGTGGGTGTCGGTCCAGTTCAGAAGCAGTTGCAGTTGAGACAATGCCTCTGCGTCGCCATCGAACCGCTTCATACCCTCAGCCTCTAGCTGCTTCCTGTAATAGAAAAGGGAATGGTACGGCGCCTCGATTTGCGTGTCATCCACGTCAATCGGGTCAGAAGGGTAGTTGCCGATAACATCGTAGAGAAGCTGTCGAATGGGTTGCGGATTGACGTAGAGACGCGTGTAGCTGAGCTCGTTGTCGGAGTCGTAGTGCCTAACGACGCAGAAGGCAAACAGACGCCACCAGTCCTTCTGCTCTGGTTTCTTCACCTCATCCTTCCGTTCGACAAAGTACTGCTCGTCTTTGTCATCGTAGCGACGATCGAGGTGCTTGATCTCGCATTTCATAGCTTGGTCTTGATCTTCATCGGCGCTCTTGCCATCTTCTAGTGCTTTAGACTTTTCGTCGTTGGTGGGTGCCTCGCCGTTTGTCACCGGTTGGTCTATCCCCTTTGAACGTCCGTTAACGACCACGACAGTGGCACTTTGAGGTGAAGTTCGAGTCCCTTCCGGGACCTCTTCGCTAGTGAGTGCTGATGGCATCGCGAAGGATCTCGGTGAGCTGTCTTGGAGATGGGAGGAAACCTGATTTACGTGACGAGGTTCGCAGATTTTATGGAAGGTGTAACTGGCTTATTTGATGGGCTGGATATCCTTTAAAGAAGATGACTGCGTTTTTTCAGTTTGCAAGTGGAGGTTCAAAATTGGGAGGGAGCCTTGCTTGAATTTTCGATTGTAAGCGTGTTGGAAGTCCGTGTGACTCTTGCCGGCCAATGACGTTCCTACGGTCCAAGCAAGCATCAGGCAGCATATCGAGGGAGCCATCGTTTCGATACAGGATGAGTCGCAACGATACGCCTTGTTGCCTCGGTGTTGCATACTAAGAGGCGAAAGTCCCAGGCTTAAGCCTTTTTCTTTGTTGTCATTGGCTGTGGACCCACATCTATGGCACATCGTCAGGCAGCATTGCGGCTGAGCTGCCAGGACCTGCATCTTTGCATAGCAGAAGCCAACAGGAGGATTGAAGAGACTGACAACACAGTGTGATGCAGACAACGAGCAGCGACATCTGATTTCTTTTTGCGATCATGGTCTTACGAGAGTTTCCTTCATCAACAATGTCAAGACGAACATGATATGGCATCAACGGTGTGCAACGTTTCTTGAAATGTAGTGTGGACCAGTGCACGACTGCCCTCGAAACAAACGACATATATGCGATGTGTGCAACTTACTGCCCACTTGACTCAATCACGGCTTTGTGAGGGATATGGAGGCAAAGGTTCTGCACTGGAAGTTTGGTTGCCTACCTAGGTAGTGTCTACCTGGGTTAGGCTACCTACCTAGGTAGCTACGAGGCTGGACGAGGCTGGACATGGGAGGCATTCAGACTATCAAGTTGCCAGAAGAGAGGGGCCGGCATAGTGAACAGCGAAGACATGCTTGAGATTGCGTTTCATTGCGTCTACAATCTAGTCAGGAGTATCATGGAAAGAACCGTCGAACGCCGGCCACAGAGTGATCCGTGGACTTTTCCACTGCCCACTGAGATCAAGACTTTCTTGCCAGAAACATTCGGGGTGAACAAGTCGCGTCTATACCATATGAAAGAAACCGTTTTCAGATCAACCCATTGTAGAAACTGGCGCTTCGCGTTCTCAGAAACCGCCGTCCAGATGCGAGTATCAATGCTGGAGTGTTACGTCGAGCAATAGTAGTGATGCAATCTCTTGTAGCTCCATCTTCCAGGAGCATAGTGAAGGACTGCAAGAGAAATGAGAGTGGTTGGTGTAGGGCAGAGGAAATTTCCTCTTGACAGGAGGCAGCCCATGGAATCACCCTAGCGGCTAAGCTGTCCCATCTCCCATCGGCCTTGGAGTCGACTCTCTTCCATGACTGCGGAGATATACTTCTCCTTGATGGTTTGGCGGGCCAGCGCCTCTCGAAGGCTTGGTTCATGCACGCCAGCAAGCCTTGCGGCCCTTGGTCCCATCAAACCCTAGTTGGTTGGAAGTTTGGCCATGTTGCCGGGGCCATCCGGCTTCAGCCAAGACTTCTGGATGAGATCATCCTTCGCCTGAAGGAGGAACTTGTACGCGGTCTTGATGGTTCCATCACTCACGCCCGCTGCACTGGCAATATCACGCGAGGGGCGGGGATCTTCCAACAAGTGGCAGATCATGTAGATGCAGGCAGCAGCAACGGAAAGAGGAGATCGTCCAGCCAGATCTTTGACAGTGGAACTCTTCGCGGCCAGGAGCTTCGAATACTTTTCAACCTGGTGGGGGTTGCGGAAGTTGAGCTGACTGCAGTAGCGACCACACAGCTCCTCGGCGCCAGTGGAGTTGGTGTTCTCATAAGTGTCAAGGGAGTAGAGCGACGCGTTGGCGGCATCATTCTCTCGCTGGGTCATCAAGAACTTCTCCAACTGCTTGAAGGTCCGGCCGATCTCTTTCTTGGAGACGTTGGTCAAGCCATGGATCTCCTTGAATGTGCGACCCAGTCGTGCTTGACGACAGGCAATGAAGATGCAGCCTGCGATGATGGACTCCTGCGACTTTCCCTTGAAGAGCTTGGCATCGTCCGTCATCTTGTAGATGTGCTTGGCGCTCTCTTGCACGGTCTTGGGAATGTGGACGGCGTCGCAGAGCGAGCTGATATCACCATAAGCCGCGAGCAGGCCCTTCGTTGCCTTGTCCAGCTGCGACCGGTTCTGTGCTCTATGGAGCTCTCTCGCACGGCCGCCCTCGCCGAATGCGATGCTGGTCTCGAGCTGGGAGCCGTTGAGCAGAGGGTTCATGGCGTCACCGACACGCGAAGGGTCGTCGTTGTTCTCATCGTTGGCGAACGTACGCCACTCGGATCGCGTATCGATAATGCGGTCACCGAGGACCAGGCCGCAGCTGGCGCACACGAGATCGCCGCTGGAGAACTCCTCACTACAGGCGCATACGTCAGTCACTGGCGTGAAACAGAAGAGACACGCCAGGGCAGACTTACGTCAAGTTCGGCGGGTCCTCCTTGCAGTCGGGGCACATGACGCGCGAGTTGAGGTTCTCGCGGTACTCCTGCTGCTGGGGCTGTTGCTTGTCCTGCATGGCAGCGAAGGGATCGAACGGCGTGTTTGTGGTCGCCATCGTGGCGGTTGCTACTGCGTCTGGCGCAGTCGCAAGGGCGGCGGAACGAGTGACTTCTGGGATCGGAAGCGGAGATGCAGTTGTCGCTTTGAAGAGGGCTGGCGGCGGCAGGCGTGAGGCGTGCGATGGGGTCGACGACGTGGTGAGCGACGTGGAGAGGAAGATGTAGTGCCAGCCCTCCGGTTGACGGCTGACGATACTGAAATGGACGAGTGGAAGCCTCAGGCAAACCAAGACGAAGAAAGAAGGGATGAGTCAGCGAGTCAGCAGCGCCACATCCGCTTTCAGGTCGCTCTCCAGAAGGCGCTGGAAGGTGGGGCGATCTATAACTAATGCTGAAGGCGCTAAGAGGGACGTCTTCAACCTGGCTTATCCCAGCAGTGCTCAGCACTGGGGCAGCCAAACCAAACACAGTCGACCAAGTGACAGGTAACAATAGACCACTCTGCATGGGTAACCAACTCCGGCTCGCTACCGTGAAGCTCGGCAAATATTCACCTTCAGGAGATGTCCTCATTGTTTGAATTGTTTGTTTGCCATTGTTTCCGTTGATTATGTCTAACAACTCCTAACCGCCATCCGGTCACCAAGCCCCTCGTAGGGCCGGGGACTTTCCTAACAGGCCTCAAAGGATTTGGGCATCTCGGAAAGCCGAGGTCTCTAGCAAGATGATATCTCATTCATCCAAAGTCCCTCGAGGATTTGATTGGCTTTTGAAAATCCGAACGCCCTTCACTATCGCCGTATGCGTCCAGCCCTTTCCCAAACACCGCAAGTCCAAGGCTCTGCGCCAATATACCGTTTCCCGATGCACCGTCATGAATGCACTCCCACCATCAAAGGTTGACATGATACAGCCGAGAGCCTGGTCTTGCAGAGCTCAGCTATATCACTTATCTCCTACGTGCCCCAAATAAAAGTACAGATTGCACTGCCCGTGGGCTTGTGCTATGGTTGGTTTAGGGTGTGTCTGACCGTGATAACCTCGATGGACCTCTGGACGACGGTCCGGGCATTGAAGGCAGCGGCGCAGTGTGCCGTAAGGCCCTCACGCTTCGGGCTGGGGATGGTGCTCTTGATCTCTGAGGGACTGTTATGTTTTGTAGTTCGTGTGATAGAGCTGGATGCCCGCTGCCTTGCAGCGCAGGGTCGAGCAAGGCCGAGTTTCTCCTCTCCGCCTGTGCCTGGGCTTCCCACTGCTTCCAGTCTTCATTTGATGCCATGTTGTAGTTCTCTTCGGTCTCCTCGACGAATTTGTCGTCAAGTATGCGAGAGCTTCGGGCGCTGTCCGGGTCTCTGGGGTTCTGGGCACTGAAGGAACTGAAAGTCGAAGACCGGCTGGCCAGCGACTTCCGGATCATCAAGGCTCTTTCCAGTTCCTCCGCCTCCACGCGATCTGCTACGCTCATTTTCCTTCTCGTCTGCACGAGATCTTGCTGGCTGCTGATAATGGGGAGATTTCGATCCTCTTGAGCAAATCGGCGTCTTCTCACGAAGTAGAGCACGGTAAAGATCACAGATGTCACCACCGCTAGAACTCCGATAATGATGACAACAATCATCCACGACGACAGAGTATCCGACTTCTCGTCTTTGGGAACAAGAACTTGTGCCTGGTCTTCTGGTGCTTGGAAGGCATCGTCCCTATGCATAAGTAATGGCGCCATGGTGACAGCTGAGGGCAGACGAAGGATGGAGCCAATGGCGCCACTACATCAACCGAGCAAGAGACGAGGACGAGATAGAGAAGCGAACCATCAGCGTGTGACCGCAGGGGGGGATCCTCCAAACTTATCTCTTATCCCCCGCCGCTCACCCTGCCGCACACGAGAAGCCTAATGGGCTAGACGAACCCTGACCGCAGTTGTGCAACATTGTCTCGGCCAGCTTACGGGAAGTTGGGGTCGAGCAGGGTCGAGCAGGGTCGAGCAAAAGCATCGCACGGCGTTGCTATAATTGGCTCGGCCTAGCATCCAGTTTCTCGTGTAACGGACTTTGTGGAATGTTGCTTGCAGGAGAATCCCTGCAATGCGCCAAGCAGAACCGCGAGCCAAAGGGCCTACCTTGGGCCTACCTTGGGCCTAGCAGCCTAGGTAGGCACGGGAGGATTGGGGCGATGCCAGCCAACACGCAACGAGACTGCCCCAATTGCCGCCGACTCGCCCCGCGTCCAGGTGCAGCACCCACGAACCGCTCTGCCTCCATCTGGGCGATCGGGGCTGAGCTGGAGCTGATGGATGCTGATCGGTTATGTCGCAATCTGAGCGGGCCAGGCCGCGCTGTGCTTCCTGCGCCCAGTTGCCCGGCTTTCCTACTGAAAGGCCCAGCCAGCAACCAAAGCGCTGCCTGTATCCAGGTGGTATTTCCAGTGCCGCCCGCGCCACCAAGCCAACGGGCTTATCTCATGCGGTTTGCTACCCAGAACTCCCAGTACCAAGCGAGGCGCAAGACCCTCCTCTTCACTATTAATCACCTATGCAGATGTACACGGGGACCGCAACAGGCCATGGGTTTGGTGCATCCTGTGCCACTGCTCTGCTCTGCTCTGCTTAATTTACAACGCACCCCTACCGCAACAGCGCCCAGCACAATCAGCGTGTTAACTATATTTGTCCTTCACGATGCGATAGCGATCGTCGCATCGACTTGGCTCCAGCTCAGCTCAGCACAACGCCATGGTAGGTGTCTTATACACATATAAATCTTTGAAATGCGACGTCACAGGTATCACCGAACAGCGCCAGCCTCTTTCAATCCTTCTATCTCATCCTTGCCTAAGCCCAGAACCGCACTCAAGACTTCATCCGTGTGCTGACCCAACGTTGGTGGTGGGCTCCGGATTCTCGGCTCGCTCTCGCTGTACTTCACTGGGGTGTTGACCATCTTGATCGGCCCACACTCTCCATGCTCCATTTCCACCACCATATTCCTAGCTTTCGTGTGCTCGTGGTTAAGCGTCCCCTGAACATCATTCACAGCCGCGTAAGGCATGCCTTTACCCTCAAATACCTCGAGCCATTCCTGCGTGGTTCTTTGGGCTGTGATTGCTTCAATCTCGGCCTCGAGCTCTACCCGGTTCGCGACACGCTGTGCATTAATGGAGTACTTGGGGCTCGTCTTCCACTCCGGGCGCCCTACACCGTCGCACAGGATCCCAAAGAGGCGGTCATTACCACCCCCAAGTAAGATGTCTCCATCCTTCGTTTTAAAGGACTTGTATGGTACGATCGACGCTGTCGGCTGAGTCAGTCTTGTCACATTGCTACTTGAATACCCCGCGGGCTTGTTCAAGACACTTACGATGAGCAGTACCCCATCTTCCAGAATCCTTCTTGCCACTAATCAGACAACTGCTTGCGATATTTGCTAGCGTCGCCGTCTGGCAATCGCTTAGAGCAACATCGATATGCTGGCCTCTGCCCGTCCTTCCCCGAGCAAGCAATGCAGCCATGATTGAGTTACTAGTATACAGCCCCGTGGTCAGGTCCGTCACGGCGACGCCTACTTTGACTGGTGGTCCATCCCGGCTGCCGGTGATGTGCATCAACCCAAACTCAGCCTCGACCATGACATCATAACCAGCCCGGCTGGAGTATGGGCCCGTCTGACCATAGCCAGTGATACTGGCATAGATAAGCCCCGGGTTGATGTCTCGCAATGTGGCATAATCCATCTTATACTTGGCCAAGCTTCCTGGGAGATAGTTCTCGACCAGGATATCGCACTTGGCCGCTAGCTTGTGCAGGATCTCCACGCCCTCGGGGTGCTGAAATGAGAGGCCAAGTGACTTCTTGTTTCGATTCACCGCCAGGAAGTAAGCTGACTCCCCGGGGCCTGACAGTGCCGACTCTGAACTGTAGCTGGCATAGGGAGGGCCCCAAGCGCGTGTATCATCTCCTCGCGTTGGGTGCTCAATCTTGATAACCTCAGCTCTTGGATTCCGTCAGTTCATTGCCAGACCAGCCAGTGAGCGGGACTTGTCTTACCCTAGATCACCCAGAATTTGTGTACAGTAGGGCTATGATCCATGTTAGCAAGTGTTACTCTGCGCAACCACGGGACCTCGGATGTTTTGATCTCCCTGTCTCAGAACATATTGACTTACCCCAGCCAAGACCCGTGTCATGTCCAGCACTCGATAGCCCGCCAACGGCAGGTTCGTCGAAGCACTGTCCATCGCTGTTGAGTAACAGCGTCCAGAGTATCTGACGCAAGACCCATGTCTCAACAGCTTGCCGGCGCTGGGCAGAGCGCGGGCGAGTACACGGGAATGCATCTTTAAACCCTAGATCAGACACGAGCGCGTGTTCGGACTCGGAGTGTGCCTAATTGACCTTTGGCGCCGGATGTCCGTTAACAAGGTCAGACGGAGAACAGGATGAGGCCGGGGGTCCCCGTTTGTTGTTTATTCTTCACTAATTGGCTTGCGTGAAGAAGCCTCCGTCCGGTATCTGGCAGAAGGTGCAAAGACTGGGCATCTTGATCGGATCGCAGTCGGCGGTGTCGGCCTGCAACGGGGTACTGGGCTGACTTCCAGCGTTTATGGGGTCGCTGTGGGGTTATTCCCCACATTACGGATGGCAGCCGAGGCCACGTCCGCGAGTGCGATGACTGAAAACCCCTAACGTGAGATGATGAGATGACAGGCTTCGATTGCAGTCAATGACAACGTCTGCTGGTCAAGAGAATCTTGCAACAAATGAACACAGGAACGCATCGAAGTGACTCGCACCGGGAAGGATTCACGCGGCACCGCCAAATCCTGTCGTTCACACACATTTGGTACCGCTATATTTGCCTTGTGAAACGACTGAGGAAAACGAGTGCACTCGTTCGATTAACATATGAAAGGAAATACATTCTCCATTTTCCTTGCTAACGGCGTTTTGGCGGGCTACAGGTCTATTCAGCATTGGTTCTGGACTGCAACGACTTCCGACGTCCCCAAAGCCGCATTCAACCCTTGAGCCTCGACCCGGACATAGCTTACTTCTGCATTGATGGTTGCTGAAGTCTCAAAACCGCTTTTCCCAACTCTCCCAGCAAGCTGGAGGTCAGTCTCGGAGTATCCCGCATAAAAGTCCCACGAGCTGTGCTCGGTGGCACCGTTCCAGCTCATGTAAATTATGGTCTCATTGGTGCTGCTGTCCCTGCAAGCGAAGGCCTTAGGAGGTGCACTTGGCCGTCCGACCCAGGGGAGTCGATACGCACGGTATGAGTAGACTCTGCCGTTTCCGGGGCCAAATTCTACCGACATGGCAACTGTACCATTGGGGTAATACTCCTTGATCCTAGGAGTTGAGCCGTAGCCCATGATTACATTGCCGTTCGGCAGGGTCTGCAAGTTGCCCTGAGACTTGGCGTATATCGCATCCAGGGGGTCGATAAACTCTTGCTGAATGGTTGCAGTCCGATTTTGCGTATCTAGCCGTATGTATAGTCCAGTGGTCTGGTTGGTGGCGTTGATTACCGCTGCGTTCGCATTGTTAAACAAGCTGATGTCGAGGACACTGCCGTTCAAGCTCCTCACTCGAATATCGTGTTGGTAGCAGAAGTTTACATCCTCACCAAGCTCGAAATCGCCACCCGTTTGACCCTGTCAGTGTCAGTGTTCTTACGTATTATCATGTCTCTAGCAAAGGGTGGAGGACGAAGTACTTACGTGTAAAGTCCATTCGACTGAACCATCTGCTGATATCTTAAAGATAGAGCAGTAGTGGCGGGATGAGATTATGTAAGACCCATCATCAAACTTCTCTACGGTATTGATGTGGAACGGCCCCCATGGGTAGGTCTGATTCTGGCCATAGTCAGAGAGGGGATAGGTGGGCAAGGCATCAGTCAGAGGGATCTGATCCTCATGGGCCAGAGCATTCCACTTGTACAGGACAGTATTTGTCTTGATGTCAATCTCGTAGAACATGCAATCGGCAAGCCAGCCATCTGCAGGACCTCCGACTGAAGTCAGATCGGTCTGAGTAACGTTGTAGCCGGTGACTAACATCGTCCCCTCGGGAGTGATGAGGGCTTCATGCATATCCAGCCATGATTCCATCTCCGTTGCATTCTGGGTGTCGAGAGTTTGAAGCCCCGTTCCATTGACTGTAACATTGTAGATGCTTTCATAAGAGTCGTCAAAAATCTCTATGGCCCCATAACCCCATCCCCAGGGCTCAGGCCAGGTGACGCCATTGAAGAATGTGACTACATCTTTCCCGTCCAGTTTTTGGGCTTTGAATGCACTGAGATCACCATAGTTCCATTCCCACACCAGTTCGCCTTCATCGCTCATAATGAACAGGCTGTAGTTGTGGGCATTATTTCCGTTCTGATCGAAGAATAGGTATCCCGGAGACGTATTCCCGTACTTTGTGATGTTAAGCACTGGGGGCTGTAGGTATGGCTCTGATTTGAAGGTCTGCCATGGCCAGTATGAATCGTTATAAGCTGCTTGGACGGACAATGGCCCAAATAAGGGGATCATTACCAAGATAGAATAGGCTGAGAGATACATAATGAGATGGCCCGGTTCAGTCCACCAAGCTGCCAAGAAGGTCTGAGTTCTAGTAGTGGTAGCTCACCACTGCGTCGCATGAACATCGCGTACTTATAGAATGGCCTGACTGTCCGGGCTCGGACCGTGCTGCTATATAAGCCCCGCCATCTGCGAATAGAATCCTTAGGCATGAGTCGAAAACGCATGATCATCTCAAGAACCCGATAGTTGCCCCTTTCGAAAATGAGGCATGTATCATTCCGACCCGACTTGCCGTACATGCCTAGGTGGGCAGGCAGGCAGATCACTCAGTAGGCGTAATAGATGGATCAGATAAGATAAAATTCTGATCAAGTGGATCTGATGAGATTGCTTTCCACTGTTTCCAGGTGATGATGCTCCACATTTGTAAGGCTGGCAACGATCTTCGCTCCCGCGTCCTCATCATATTTGATGCTCACTCCACTGAGTTCGGTCGGTAGTCGAAAGCAATTACTAAAGAAGTGAACGTTATTATCAAATACTGTGCGCGTGAAGGAACGTTACAATGAAACATGGATTTGGACCACTATTGCCGGTTCAAGGGTATGTCTCAGCGGTCATTGAGTCCTGCAAATAATGACAGTAAGACTTTGTACCAACTCAACCGAGGACAAATCCTGGCTAGCCAATTGTGGGACTGGTAACTGGCTCCGATTGCGGTGGTATCCCTGATAACTGGGTGTTTAGTCCTCCGTACAAGGACGAACGCGTAACGCTCAGTGATCGCTTTCAAAATGCTGCCTATCTCGGAGTTCAAGGTATTTGCTTTAGACATGGATTCCTACAAGGCTCTGCAATCCATGTAGTGGCCAACAAGTGAGGCCTTTGGAGAGCATGTTTGGCGTTAGTAAATATTGGATATAGGCAACAGCCGCCATGAAAAATGTTGCCGCATGCGATTGAGCAAGACTCAAGGCTGTATTTCTTCATAGAACTGTCACGCGGTTGCGCCGCCATCATGCATGTGCCGACGTCGATAGCCCGCTGATTCAGCTAAGAAGAAGAAGGGGGAAACCAACTATCTCTGCTCCACCTTGAATGGCCCTCTGCTTCTTCCACGATTATGGTCCCGCCGTTGCCGAGCATGAAGTTGTGGGAATGTTCGTTAGCATGTATTTACACACGGGTAGGTTTGCCAGTTTACTCGAGCCATTCTTGAATTTAAATCATTCTAATGTTAGATTCTCAGGGAAGCGCAATTGGGAACTTAGTGTTTCTCAAATAATCTCTTAGCCAAGGCGACATCATAGATATGCTTGCGTGGACATGGAAAACTTGTATGGATACAATACGTCTAATCTAACCTCATCAAGTGCATAAATTTCCTATAGCTAATGGCCTGGCTCGCTCAGGCGGCCTGACTGCGGAATGTTCCTTCACTGTATCAGAGTCATCATGCCTGTTCAAGCAATCGTTAACAGCTTCTCATGGAACGCAGCAAACTGGCGAGCTGGGTCTCGAAGGTGGACTTCCAGGATCCAATGCCTTTTGAGGCCGTCCTTGCCTGGAGTGCTCATAGGTAGATTATTGTCTTTCGTTATGTAAAGTGTGGTTTTGTCCCGCGGGATGCGCTCATGGGGGAATGAACCAACGATGTGCCCAGCTATCTTGGCGTTCCATTCCCATCCTGCTTCCTGAGCCACTTCGCAGGCAATTTCAAAGAGCCCATCGCCTGTAATATCTGGGTTTTCATGATAACGCGAGCTGATTACGTTCCAAGTGGGCTCAAGGGAGTCTCGTAGCCGCTTCTTGTCGAGGTCGTCTCCGAGCACGTATGTACGCCCGAAATCCGCCTCCCACTGTTCGAATACCGGCCCCAAATCAACATACAGGATGTCATCTTCTTCGATAACACGATCAGGAGGATTCTCTTCGAAGGGACTGAGTGTGTTGGGTCCGCTTCTAATAACTCTCTTGTGCCAGTGAGTTTTGATGCCGTGGCGTTTGGTGGCAAGCTCATGAATCTCATCGCTTAAAACTTTTTCGCTGACACCAGCACGGATGAGGTCTCGCTCGATTTCGTCGAAGAGAGCAATGGCCTTGTTTTGGGCATCGAGAAGATACGATGCCCTATTTAGTTCTTCGCTACTCATTGCCTTTCGAACCGGAATGCAACGGTAGTTCTTTGTGCGAGCGAGCAACTTGAAAAGTCATGCAAGACACCGGCCGGGCAAGTCTGATACACACCCTGGACAGTAGCACCCGACTGAGTGATGTTACGCAGCAGACCGAAGGAGGAATCTGAGGCAATTGGAACGAGGTCGGGTTTGAGGGGTAGGACCCAGATAGGGTATGAGGGGCAAGTCATCTTTGCGTAATCGTCCAATCACAAGCTTCGGCCTTGCTTTCATTTTATTGCTCTAGTGGTGTAGTGCACCGTAGAAACCCAACGGGAGACACCCCGGCGGGCGCATCTTGATGGATTGACGTGGAGTCAGTCAATCAATGGTCTCTTCTCTGTCTTATTCACAACCCCTCACGGACTCCACTCTTCAGGCGGCAGTGTCGTTCCGGAGTTCGTCATACACAAGTTCCAGTACGACGATCGTGGCTGGTGTCATTTGCTGGAAATCACACAAGTATAGACATTTGGACATGGTCGTATCCATGTCTTGCATGAAACCAGTCGCCCAGTCATATATGTTGTTGATTGGCGAACAGAGAAATGCTACGAGGATGGAGGATGACGCAATTGGAGACAACAATTGCTCATCTCTAAACATCCCATCTTCCGGATTGTTCGTAACATAAAAGAGCCCAAAGACTTTGGAGAGTCCAGAAATTGAACTAATATAACGCAGCTGGCCATGTCTACAACATTGACTTTTGTCACACCTGCGGCTCCGGCTCCTCCGGGCCAGCCAGACATTTCCTACGCCCCGGATTTCGAAAAGTGGCAAGCCCGTGCCGCCCACCGGACTACTGCCGGTGGCCTGCCGACTAACGTGCCGAAAGGGTTCCCGGAGCAATTGACGGGTGACCTGGTATGGGAAGGCAACAACCTGGCTGCAAAGTACAACTGGACCTACGTACTGAACGACAAACAACTTGAAGAGGTCGATCTGGCCCTGAAGCATTTCAAGTGTAGGCGACCCGAGTCGTTGGTAGCCGCTGCAAGCTAATACTCTTCAGCCCTTGGCCTGTCCATTGGTCATGTCACTTCGGAGACATTCCCCCTTCCAAACCTTCATGCAGATCTGCGGCGTTTGTCTGAAGAGCTTCACAATGGGCATGGATTTTTTGTGATTCGTGGCTTACGCGTTGACCATTACAATCGAGAAGAGAACGTTATCATTTACACGGGAATATCAGCCCACATCGCTCCACAACTGGGACGGCAGGATCACAAATTCGACGGAAGAGATGCAGATGTCGTCCTCGCCCACATCAAAGACTTGTCTTCGTCTCAGGAGAATGGAGCCATTGGCAGCCCGGCTTACACAACCGACAAGCAAGTGTTTCACACAGACTCGGGCGATATCGTGTCGCTTTTTGCCTTGGAGACAGCAGCTGATGGTGGAGCGAGTAAGCTGGCGAGTACTTGGCGTGTTTATAATGAGATTGCACGAACTCGGCCTGATCTCATCCACACTCTATCGGGAAACTGGGACCAAGAGGTGTAAGCTAGGAAATAACGATTCATCTGCGGACGAATAGCTCGCTAACATAGCACAGGTTCGAGAAAGCAGACAAGCAGTGGGTTGAAAGACCACTCCTTTTCCACTTTCCTAGAACTGAGTCAACACCTGAGAGGGTAAGCCTGCAGTATGGAAGACGCTACTTTGTTGGTTTTGGTGCACTCCCGAGAAGCCCAAATATCCCTGCAATCACTGAAGCCCAAGCCGAAGCATTGGATACATTGCATTTCCTCGGCGAAAAGTTTTGTGTCAATACGAACTTCCAAAAAGGCGACATCCAGTATGTGAATAACCTGGCGCTTTTCCACGCCAGAGACGGCTACACTGATACGGACAAGAAGAAGTCAGTTTCTCTCAATGCTATTCGTTTCGTTTCTGCAATACTGGAACTGACTTCAACGGCAGACGACATCTTATGAGATTTTGGTTACGCGACCCAGAGAAGGCATGGCAAACGCCTGAGGTCATGAAGCAACGATGGGCTAAGCTTTACGAAGGCATCAGTCCGAGTTCGAAGGTATTTCCACTAGAACCATTCATTCGCAGTGCGGCGAACAAAGGTCGATGAATCTTTTGAAGGTATCTGCAACCGCTGGTGGGAAAATGCATTTGGAGCCGAAATATGCACGTTTCCAACACTTGAGTGTTTAAACTTGAGAAAATAAAACAAAGCTTGATAAACAATTGGGGCCCGGCCACCTATGTGCGATATTAGCTTGCAAAGCCGGCTTGCAAAATTATGCAGTCTATGAAGCATCTGGAATGATTATTCCCCTGCCAGCATTGTCAAATTCTTGAACCATCGAACAACGTCCCTCAGGCAACTGTCTGCTACTGTCAGTGGTCGGCGCAGAGCATCAGACCCATGAGAAACGCGTAACTCGAGGCGACGAGCCTGGAGCCCGTGTCATGCCTTGTTCCCTACATTCACTTTCGATGCAGCTCACAGAAGTGAAGCAAACGGGCAATCTGACCTTGGACACACCACAAAAGTGTTCCAGTAAAACTGACCTTCACACCCTTGAGATCACCTGGCCTACAGAATCGACAAACAACGCCTTTGGAAATTCCCTACCCATCGAGATCCAAGATTCCTTGATCCATATCACAACTGTGGAAAACTTCTACAGCGCAATCTCTTGACAACCTCTAGCAGCTCAGCAAAACCTGACGAAGAAGAACAAAGGACCAAGATGGGCTGTTTCACCGGTGGACAAAGAAATCGAATCCCCGCGATCTTTGATTCGCAGCCTCCTAATGACAAAGAGAACCCGCGACTTGCGCAGGGCGCGGCTTTTCTGCCTCGTGATCGAAGTGAACCGATGACTGCGGACAAGGCCGATCCCGCTGTCGCAGCTGTTCATCAACATTTGTATCGTGATGGAGGAGCCACATCGCGACCTGTCACCGCGAGACTGCCCACTGGACTCTACACCCAAAAGTATGCCAGCGACGATCAGAAGTCTCCCAGTGGCGACCAGAAGGCGCAGGATATCGAAGACCCTCTCAACTTCCTGGCTCACTTCGACACATGTTTTGTGATTGACGACTCTGCTTCCATGAACCCATACTGGGATGAAGTTACCGCCCTCGTCCGTGCTGTTGTCCCTCTTTGCACAGAACGCGATACTTCCGGAATAGACATCTATTTTGCCAATCATAAGCCTGCTGGCGCATTCTTCGGTGGAATCGATCGAGCTGGGTACCGCAACATTGGCATCGTCTCTGGCGTGCCTGAGATGCATGACAACGTCGACGGCATCTTCAACCATGTGAAACCTCGCGGTAACCATGGAATCACCAAGCGACTGAACCAGATCCTTTGGAGATACATGGATTTATACCACGTATCCATACTCGAGACCCGCTCAAAGCGCAGATTGAAGCCCTTGAACATCATAGCAATCACGGCGCAGCCAATGAGCAAGCGCGTCCCAGACGAGATCATTGACGTGGCAGAAAGGCTGGATAGATGGGAGGCCCCTTCACATCAAGTTGGCATCCAGTTCTTCCAAGTTGGAGATATCCCAGAGACGAGAGCACAAATGGAGTACATGGATGACAAACTGCACAAGAAGACCAAAGCCAGAGACATTGTGGATACCGTCACTTGGACAGGGGGACCCGGGAATCTTTCCCCTGAAGGCGTGTTGAAAGTTGTGGGAGGTGCGATCAAGAGATCTATCGACCGCATCCAGCTCGAAGAGACCAGTATGCCACCGATGCCAATGCTGTCATGGCAAAGAACTGGAAATTGACGAGAGGCCGGGGCTGGATTTAGACATTAGAGTCTTGGAATTCTGAGGTAGGACACCTTATACTTAGCCATTACAGAAACTATAAGACTGATAGATCATGAATCTGTGTCTGAGTGAAATATTTTCCATCTTGGCCTCAAATGGTCACAACACCTCCACATCACGACGGCGATTCTTCGAGGTCCATCAAGTACTAACATCTTCCTAGTCCGGATAAACCGCTCATGACACATAAAGTGCAATCTTGCTGTTCTAAAGCCACATCGTACAACTTTCTTCTTTGTTTAAGTTTTGAAGCGTTACCAACCTGACGGAGCGGTGGGAAAATTCGAAGTGATTTGGTTCACTTGTCCCAATTGATATCTGGATGACAAAATTGGCCCCCAAATTATTGCATGGCCTAGTGAGGGCATCGATTGTCAAATTGAGCATAGTATCAATATCAATCTTGGCTTCTGTTGACCGGAGATGAATTCGACCTGTAACTCTTACGCGAGAATTTGGCGAGCATGACATGCCATGAAACTTGCGCTCTGGTATACCGTGAAGATCCCAATCAAAAACCCAAGCCCAACAAGTATGTTTCGCCGCCGCCTCAAATCTTTCATCAGATCCTCCTTACCCCGAGTGAGTGCCATTCGGGGAAGCTCGTGAGGAAAGGGGATTTCTGGGTCGGGAACCCTCAGGATCTTGCAGAGTGGTTGCCAGCCGTGTCGAACATCGAAATAGTGCAGCCTTTCTTTGGGAACAACCCTGCGGACGTATTCGGCATGCGCCTCGTAGAGACATGCATGATTGTCCATGGGCCATGCTGGTGCACTGGGAATTCCTACCGCCGGAGGTACGCTCTCCCAGATCTGCAAGCTGAATCGACAGAACCTGTGGAGCCAAGGCGAAAGCCATGAAAGAGGATATAGCTCGTGTATGCACTTCCAGAGCTCCGAGTAGCTTGCCCACCAACTCTCACGGTCACGGATAGTACAGATCACAGTTGCATCAGGATACAACCGGAGTAGCTCCTCGATCATATAGCAGCCAGGCTGATCCACGCTTGCCACACATCCTGCTGTCAGCTTGGCCAGGCTGTTAAGAACGAGCTCTCTCTCGTGTGCCTCTTTTGCTGGCACATGCGATGCGAGTTCCAGCATCTGGCGTTGCTCATGTCGGTTGCCTCGGAACGATTGCCCGCCGCCGTCAAACACAGGTCCTTCCAACAAGATGCTGAGGGCCTTCCCAAGAGATGTCGTACCGGTTCGAGGGAGGCCACAGCATATGATGAATGGGCGACTACTAATCGACACTGATTTCTCCATGGTATCGTTGTACAGCCTGGGAAATATTTGTTCTGGATGTCTTCGAGGATGTCGAAAGCGTGGAAGGCAGCAACCAAATGCTTAGTTTGCCAGAAGAACATGTACAGAGAGACAAAATTTTCAATGCACCGTGTCTTGGAGAGCTGCGAGTCTCGGGTTTGAATAGACTTTAGCTATATGTCATACGACGGCATGGGAGGGGCACAAGACTCTGTCGTCACCTGACTCGGGAGATACCAGAAAAGCTAACTCCTCGAACACATTATTTGACGTAAAGCTGGCCAAGACGGAGGGAGTCCACGCCGCAAAGGACTAGAGTCACCATTTTTGATCGACGGACTATGCGTTTCGCGCAGAACGCTTGGGTAGTTGTTTACTCGCTTGTCGATGTGATGGTCGTCTTGAATGTACGCGCTTCAGCCACCGAGCTAGGTACGGGCAAAAAGTCCAACATAGGGGCCCTGCTTCAAAACTAGAGTAGACAAGCATCTTGGGATCGACGGTACCCGAAAGACGATAATTGTTGTGAGCCCTCAAGTGCCACCACTTATTCAAGGTCTCCAGACCGGCAAGAGTACGTGATGCTTGGCACACAAAGTTTGCACTTTTCTTCCTTCATTTAGGCCACCCTACACCTTACACCCCGTAAACCTTCGTGTATCTTTAGTATCCCGACCGCTTTCATACCACCGCAACTAATCAACGTCACTCAGCATCTGAGCTGCGAGCATTGTCCGAACCTATAGCCCTAACGATGCCGAGCTGAGGACCGTCCAGGCTTACGTAAAGACGTTGCCCACCGTTGAACGCTGATCTGGCGTGCCTGTGACCGCGCGAATAGTTCTTGGTGATATGCGGGGCAGGACGGAAATGGCTGCATAGCAACCCCGTTATGAGCTAGGGTGTACCTAGCAGCGATCGGAGTGCAGCGGGCAGCTGTTAGCCCGTGCCCTGGACCGCCGTTTCGGGGTCCAAGCAATCGGGAGGGGCCATGTGCCAAGATTTGCACATCCCTCTGTCCCCTCTGGGGCTTAGTTGAGGGGCCCAATGACACCCTGGAAGATGCACCAATGAGAAACCCGCTTGTCTTTGGCCTGAAACCCTGCTGCCAGGCCCGCCGCCGCCGCGCCCTCTCCCCAAATTTGATAACTAGCAGTAGGCCGGGTAGGGGGCGGACCATTCTGTCCCCTTTTACTACGGGACACGGCAGCCGTTGGGACAGCACAGTGGCCCCCTTATCATCATCAAATCAACCTGTGGCCCCTGTCTTACCTTTAGCCCTGTGTAGGCCGGAATACGGTAGGACAGGAGTTGAGGAGCACTCAAGCAACAGCACTAGCTGGGTGGGTGGAGGACCGAAGGCAGACTTCCAACCTGCAGACGACTTCGGGGAAGCGTCATTTCGACCCCCAGGGCAGTTCCATCCTGCAGTGGGCGAATGACGAGGCGGGCCAGCAGCCACCTGCAGTTGTGCCTGGACGCATCGCAAAGTCAATCGCAGTTCGTTCTTCGGATGCAGCTGAGGCGCAAAGTTCCCAACTGGGCAGTCGGGCAAGTAGAACATTAGTAGCCATAACCAAGGCACCCGTTAGCCTGAGCCACCGAGCTGCAGCGCAGATTGCGGGCTGGGTACTAACTTACGTTGAGTAAGTTGAGTACGCTGAGTTACCGAGTACGATACAAATTGGGACTGGAGACTGGAGAGTGAGCGCAGCGCAGTACAGGTGAAGCGTCCCGGAAGGCACCCCAATGGAAGTACCCGATCTACTGTGGTAGGTAAGTACTGGGGTACCTTACCTAGCTTTAGTGAGCGCATTGGCCCCGGCCCCAGCTCCACCTCCACCTGCACTGCACTGCACTGGCTGCACTGCACCACACCCCGAATCCGTCCTGTGCCCGTTCCGTCGACATTCGTCCACTTCTTCCACCATCAACAGCATTCGGCCACCACTCTTTCGCCATTGACTGCACTGCGCCGCCCGTGCATCAAAGAGCATCGCAAGTCCTTTTGTTTGTATTGTTGCCCATACCACGGTCTTTCCTCGCCGTTTCATTCATTTACCAGGCCAGCCACCAACGGGACCCGGCGTCTCATCAGCTCATCCATAGCACCATCCTCCGCCTCCGCCTCCCTCTCAACTGCAATCTCAGCCCAAAAAAGTCGACGGCGTCCTCAAGTCGGAACCGACAAGACGGCCTACTTGCATTAGTGAACTCCGTTGTTCCCCCACCCTTACACTCACCTCCGTCCTCCCTTTGTCCTCTGCTTCGAGCAACACTGCTTCATCCCACCACCACCACCACCACCACCACGTTGCCGACCAGCCGTTCGTGAGAGGATTGACTTTGTCCCACCTGGCTTCGATTGGTCACATTCCGTGTTACAGCACACCACGCTCCCAACGTCCCAGCTTGCTGTCATCTGGACGCAAAATCCCGCCAACAAACCTAAACTTCATTCTCATCTCGGATTTGGTTTCTTTCTCTGTTCACTATTCTTGTCTTCTGCTCACTTTGCTCATTGTCAATTTCACTCCGCTTCTTCCACTTGTCCTCGCCATACCACTACTGGGACAATCGTGTCTGCTGGCTGGACCACGATCGCCCTCGACCCTGACATATCGACTAAAGACCGCCATTGCATCATAACGTTGAATCCCAGCATCCTACCACTTCGGACATTCGAGAGACTTCCAACAAGACGCACCCAATTGATCAGCCCCGAAAGTCTACTTCCCATAACTTCAACTTGTCAGAAACGAGCAAGCAACCAGACCCCCCGCCGACTTTCGAGTAACCTCTCCGGATGCAGTCGATAACAAAATCCAACGCTTGGCGGCCAACTTTCACGTAACCCGACACCTGGGCACGTAGTCACGACTTTCGCGACGCAGATCAGCAGCAAACACCTGCTTTCCAGACACCAGCATGTCTTTCGCCGTGGCTGTGCAGTCGGCCATCTTCTACATATGCGCTTGCACCCCATGCGCGCAAGCTAGGGAACATCGTCAATCGAAGAAGAAGGCAGAAAAGGCTCGAGAAGAGAAGATACGGATACAAAATGAAAATCCACACCTGTATAAACAACCCGACCCTTTTAACACCAATCCATACTGGTCCGAGGAGATTATGATGGGCCCGAGTCTGCCAAGAAAGAAATCAGGCCCGGCAAGTAAGAACACGAGCCAGCGCGCTCTCAATAGCGCAGGCAGGGAGAGCAGGAGCACCACAGCCAGCAGCATAGCTGTTGGCACCGTTCACATCGGTAGCAGTCCCACTGTTGTGCCTGAGGATGCCGAGTCCAGCTTCTCCACAGACATGTCCAAGACCTATTCGGACGACTGGAACAAGAAGAGGTACCAGCGTGAGGACGAGGAGCTTTGGGGCCGTGAGTTTTCTTTGGCCGGCCACAGGTTGATGGATGTCATTAAGCAGGCAGGATCTTCGGCTGGCCGCATGCTCGAGGCCACATTGGGAAAAGACCCGAGACCTGTGACGGAAGAAGACCGAACCAACTTCTATTCTCCGGTCAAAAACCCCCCTGTGAACGAGTACCATCCTCCTATTGTCAGCCAACGCCCGAAGAACAAGGATGCAGCCAAGTGGATGCTTCAACCACCACCGCCCGCCAAAGTGATGGAGGGCAAGGTGCCGGTTAGTAGAAGCACGAGTTTAGCAAGCCAGGCAAGTCGGCGGACCATGGCCAGTGATGGTCCTGCGCTTGGAAGGCAGGTCCAGGAGAAGATGCTATCTGCAAAGCTCCGAAGCGGGGAAGCGCCCATGGAAGGAGATCTCGCAGCCTCAGTGCGCCGGGTATCGTACAGGAGGAGAAATACCTCGTCCAGCAGGGGAGGCAGGAGCCAGCGAAGCACCAGGAGTCGTAGTCTTTCGTTGGAATCCTCAGATGCGTCGGATGAGATTAAGAAGCAGCAGCGGAGAAGGCCTCGAGCCCGACCACCGATTACACCTGAGGTGGATTCATCAGAAGATGAGGACTATTTGCGGGGAAGCATCGACTCGCTGGGTATTATGACGAAAGCTGCGCGACGTCCAAAGTTGCAAACGATACGTGGTTCTCAGGCGAGCAGTGTGAAGGAGGGCGAGAGCAGAGATAAGTTGCCAGAAAAACCAGACACTCAGGCAGCTCAGCCCCAGCCGTCGCCGCTGCGAGATATCTCGAATATCTCGCCGCAGTCCAAGCTACAGCCCACGACACCCAACAAAGTGCTCTCGACAATGTCGAGCACCCCCACGCTGCCATCCCCGGCATAGCATGCCAACGACAGGCGGCTGACCATGTCAGAGAGCTCGGCCTTCATTACACCTCAGAGATTCTGGCATGTCGTTCTGCGAGATGGTCAGATGTGTCTCCTCAGATATGCTTGAGCAAGATCTTGCTCCCTTTTTATTTTCTACACCATTATATTACACCTCATGGGTCGGGGACTGGGGCTATCGATTCGTCATCAAAACAAGCATCGGGCAGGCGTGGCGTTTGGGCGGTTTGCATTGGGGGTCATCAGCATAGCTTAGCATTTTTCCGGCATTCAGCAGCTTGAATTTCAGCAACAGCATTCGTTCTCGTACATGCAGCAGAACTGCAACTGGTATGTGAAGTCCATCTGACTAAAGCGTCGCCGTGTTTTACAGTGCATGGCACATGTTCCAAGGTACATATGTATGACGGCGAGTGCTCCTTATCGGCCGGAGGACTCTTCTAGCCCGTTAGCTCGCCTGGCAAGTCAGGGGGTGGGTCGTTGGCCGAGGCCGTCTCGACATGACCCGCTCATTTAAATGGAGCTCCCCAGGTCTCACGATAACGAGTAATGGAGTCGCCCCAGCGCCATCGCCAATGTCAAAATTTTGATTGAACCGCGTAGGGAATTAGTTGCCGAGGCTATTTGCGAGGATCCATCTTGATCCCGCCATCGTCTTTCACATGCGGCGAGCCGGTGGCGCCTTTTCAACAAACAAGTTTCCCGTCTTGGCCGTCCCTACTTCTGCCTTTTTCGTTTTCAGCTAAGGGTGACAGACAGGCAAACATTCGGGCATCCTACAGCATGTCGCAAACCGGTCCGGCAGCGCCATCTGTTGCGCAACTAGAGCAAGTGAAGGACGCTGTGCGCACTTTGCTCCACCAGCCTGAATATGATGATGGTTCCGCCGGCCCAGTCCTTGTGCGCCTAGCATGGCATTCTGCAGGCACTTACTGCGCGGAGACCAAGACCGGTGGCTCGAATGGAGCGGGTATGAGGTACGAGAAGGAGGGAGGCGACCCTGCCAACGCTGGTCTGGCGCATGCCCGAGCTTTCCTGGAACCCATCAAGGAGAAATTTTCGTGGATCACCTACGCAGACCTCTGGTGCCTGGCAGCCGTGGTTGCGATCAAGGAGATGGGCGGACCGGAGATTGCATGGCAAGGCGGCCGGACGGACTTCACAGACGACACCAAGATCCCCCCACGGGGAAGGTTACCCGATGCAGCGCAAGGCTCAGATCACCTGAGGCATATCTTCTACCGTATGGGCTTCAATGACCAGGAGATAGTGGCTCTGTCGGGCGCCCACAACCTCGGCCGATGCCACAGCGACCGATCCGGGTTTGAGGGCAAGTGGGTCAACAACCCAACGCGCTTCTCGAACCAGTACTTCAAGCTGCTCCTTGCGCACGACTGGAAGAAGAAGAAGCTTGACAACGGCCTAGAGCAGTTCGTCTACGTCGACGAGGAGATTGAGCTCGAGGAGGGCGAGAAGCCTGAGGAGCTGATGATGCTGCCTACGGACATGTCGCTCCTTTCGGACCCGGCGTTCCGCACTTGGGTGAAGCGCTACGCCGAAGACAAGGATCTCTTCTTTGATCATTTCTCCAAGGTTTTCGCTAAGCTCCTTGAGCTGGGCATATGTAGAGACGCCAGCGGCAATGTCACCAATGCTGAGAATGTGGAAGATGGCTACAAGAGCGCACCGAAAAAGAGCGACACGGCCGCGACACAGAAGGACCAGAATCGTGGACAGGTGGGCCACGAGGCCGCGCCACTCAAGGACAAGAACGAGACGTTCCAGAGCCGCAAGAATGGCGCGAAGTTGTAATTGTTTTCCACCTAATGTATATAGACAGGGACGGGGTAGATCTTAGACCTAGAAGGCACGATAGAATAGAGATTAGAGCAGAAGACAAGAAGACACGCTAGAACTCCAACTTCGAGTCCGTCATTGTGTACACTTGTTGGCGTGGACTATGAACCAGAGGAGGCATCGAACGCTAAGGTATAGTTGTACCCTTGTAACTCAATCCATACCTAGTACACTGCGCAGCTCTTCGGGAACCGTAAACTCCCGTTCATCGAGCAACAGCCCTTGTTCCAACAGTGCCTGCCACGATGATTCAGGACTTGCGTCCAAGGCGGCCTTCAGACCGCGCGCTCGCTCTGTAACATCTTCAATGCCTACGATCCACCTCTCAACCCAATCCGCCTGCAGCGGCCCTGGGGGTACGCCAATCTGGATACTTCGGTGATCCAGTCGCCCCAAGTTGGGGGAGCGCTCGGGATCCCACTGGACCTTCACGTGCGCCGCCCTGGGCTTTGCCGCTGATCCCTCGGTATCCGCGGCGGGCGCCGGCCCATCTAACTGGCCTCCACTACCGCCGGCATCTGCGGCCAGTGCGGCCCACTCCGTGGTCAGGACTGCCCTCTCGAGCAGCCTGACAAAGTCGCACTGCCTCATCTTCAGGGCCAGAATCCTGGCTTGATTCCGGTCCTTGTAGGAGTAACCCGCGCGATACATCATCCAGCACCAGCTCGGCTTGATCCAGGTCATGCGACTGGGCTTGAAAAGAGGCGACGCGTTGAGCTTTTGGTGGAGAACGGCCTGCGAAGCGATCTCCTCATTGTAAGCTTGGTAGACGGTGATCGTTTCGCTATCGTATGAAGCACGGATCTGTCTGTATGGGATTTTGTCTTGCTTCTGGTGCGTTGGGGCCCATGAACCCTCCTTAGTCTCGTCAGCCTGTTGTCCAGGTTTCGGTAAAGGCATGGTATGTGTTTCGTGTTGTATTTGAGCGGACCGCATGGCCAGAAGTGTTTAACAACACGGGACTTCGTTTCTGAAGGGCTTGATGCTTTCCAATATACACAAGGCTGCATTCTGGCCTCTATTTCTATACGCAGTGTTTCAGATGCTACTATGTTTGCGTCTCTCTTCTCCGTTCGCCGTTTGACTCATGCGAGTCTAGCAAGGATCACCTATGAAAGCCCCCTTCAGCCGCACTTGCACTAGATGTGCTACCTTAGAGTCAATCACCACTAGACCACGCACTGCGAAGCTAACGGCAACCAGAACAACAGATGGAGGAAAAGCTGAAGGTAGTGCCTATAGTCGTGGAAGGATGTTGGAAAAATAAAAAGTGCTTGATGGAGTTGCACAGTGATTCATACCAGTGACTCCTCGTCACGGCACACCCCAAACCCCGTAATTCAAATGCAATGCACGCCCCCCCATACTGTTAAGGGAATGTCTCACTGAATAGGCCTTCATTTCAAAAAGACCAAACCGCCCATTCTAGTTCTCCACCAGACACCATATTTCTTTCCCATCATGCTCTACTCCACAATCCCTGTTGTGGTCGCACTCATCCTGAACATGATACTAGGTGGCTTTTCCATTTGGCTGGTAAGGCAATATCAAGCCCAGATTGTCGAAACCCTAAAGTGGAAGCGACGGGCAGTGTCAGTTCGCAATCGCGCACCGCCACAAGGCCCATCGCCTTAGACAAGCACCCGACGCACGCTAGAACCGGAGTATTGGTGGAACCGATAGCCAGTTCCCAGTGTTATGCAGGATTCATATACTCTTGTTCCTGGTTCTCGCGAATTTAATGATATCGGAGAACGCATTCCTTCTGACGCTTCAGAACGAGTTCTCAGTGTCCTATGTACTACTATGTCACCAGAAGACTGATCCTCAACTGTTGGCATTAACCCTTTTTGGCCATTTATTCAGAGAGAGAAATGTACTATTGCTCGCCACTGACGCTCACTTGTCGAACCGCCCAGAGGCAGAGGGGAAGGGCGGGATTAGCGATAGCACAGAAGTGTCGTTTCGAAACGGGATGCACGTCTGAAGAAATCCGGTATGAGATGCCTGTAGGTCTCTTTGAGAACCCGTGAGAAGTGCATAGTTAGACTTCAAGTTGAATAAAATTATGTGAATTAGACTATGAAAGTGACATGACCAATTCATGGTATTCGGCGAGGAGCCTGGGTTGCTCTTTCTGCCAAATAACTTTGCTATAGACTATAGCCGTTGCTTTGCATGAACCCTCACCAATCAGGAATCTTCGCTTCGTGTGGACGTCCTAAACGTCATTGGAAACCACCGTAGTAAGTTAGGTGACGTTTTCTTTGGCAAGCTTGGTTGTACTGGGATCACAACTAGGCCTGTCTGGGAAGACTGATGGGTAGATGTTGCTTTGTTAGTCCCACCACCCGCAGTGCCAGTTCGAGTTATTCTAGTCTGAGCAGTATCAGAACCGTGCAATGACAGCGATGATGTGCGGTCCATAAGCGATGATGATGTCGCAAGAGTCTGGCCTCCTTTACTTCCCGGACCTGGCCGCAGGGGTGTGGTCTGTAGCAAAGCAGACTGATGACTACTGTGTGAGATGGTTCTGCTGCCAATAGTGGTGGTAGATGACCCGTTCATTGACGACTCCATTGGTACAGAAGAGGTTGTCAATGAATCGGAAGCCTGCTGGAATGTTGATTCTGTCGAAAGGGAAGAGCCTGGACCATCAAGACAGGAAGTCACCGTTTGTGTTACTGTTGTCGTAATCGTGGGCGTAGTCGTAACCGTATGTATGTTCATTTTCGAACTATCTGTGGGAATGCTGGCGTAAAACGAAGTAATGGGACCTACAGATGTATGAGCGGTGTCCCTGTGTCATGTGCAAGGTTATGGTGCTTACCGAAAGAGATGTTTCCCAGCAGGGGAACTCCTATAGGTAGAGGCTGAGCCAATCCTAAAGTCGAATAGTTCATTTTGGAAACGTCACCTTAGCCGAATCGTATTTCGTATTCTACGCGTTAGTAGATGGTTGATATTTAGTTTCGTTGCATGAACTGATGGCGGATTGATGCTCAGTGCATAGCTATACACCGAGACAGAGGAGGCGTAGAAGAGAAGCAGTGCAATGATAGCGGCTCGACGATGAACTAAAAAGTATTTATGAACTTTGAAGGTTAGTGAGTGCATTTAAGTGTCTGATTCATACCCATTCTCCCCTGTTCCCTCAGGAGGTCGTGGCAGCTGCTTTACGGCAGCAGTCATCCAGACGTTAACAGAACAACAATAACAGTCTCCCCCATTATTTGATACTCGGAGCATACTGTATGGCAGTTTCCTTTAACTCTGCTTTGAAATATGTAAGGGAAATCCTCAAATACATGAAATCCTAATACGTTACAGTTTGGCTTTACGCATTCCACGGACCTCCTACAACTGTTTTACATCGAGTTGACTAGTAAGCACAAGCTGCATGACACTGCTTGATTCTGTTATACTTGGTGCCGTAATCACATCCAGTCTTCCAAGACAAATACTTCAGTTCGGCCGATACTACATGAAAAATACTCCTACCAGGGCGATGTCAAGGCCGAGAAAACTGGTTTTCTCGGGTATGAATGACTCTTCCCATCTATGATAGAAGGCTGCTGTACGTCGCGTCGACTATTATTGTCGCACAACTCGACGAGGTCGTACGGTAGAGCGCAGCCGTACTGTTTGGTCTGAAACGGGAGATATCAATTGGTTTCTTGACGGCAGCCCGCAGGTATGGAAAATAACGTAGCATCCGGTTCCGAAGAGGAATGCACTTGGAAATGCTGCAAGGGGAAGACTGCAACAAATCTTTTGCAATGTACTAATTTTCACTCGCACACTTTGCGCCTCATCACTCCAAGTCTGCAATGAATCCGAAATCAGCCAGACAGAAAGTCGAGCTAGCAAAGCTGGTGACTGCTTCCGGCAAACATGTTGTAGTATTGATTATGGAAGCCTGATTCGAAGAGTTCACGCCAAACCATTTCGTTGACGCCGCTTTTGCCAATTTTGTTTTTGACTGCTCAAAGACGTTGCGTCGTTATTATTGTGGGGCCGGGGAGGTGAATGGGAACACGTTCGTTCATGATTTTAAGCTTGTTCTGAGCTGCAGGAAAGGGGTTAGGCTAAGACATAAGCCCGTCCAACTCAGTGGGGCTCAATCGAATGGTGAGCTCCATCGGCCCCCAGGTCGTGATGCACTTGCTCTCATAATGTCCATTTACTGCTCCCTTGACCCTGCCAATAACACGGGGTTGGGCGGCTCTGAAATGCGATAGGGCAGCGCGGGATAACTGGTTCACATGGTGAGCCTCAGTAGACAGGCACATTGGGTGTTACAGTACCCGGGCAGCTGATTTGACAAGGAGCAGGCCAGACGGCGAAGACGCCTTTGCCAAGGGCTGCAATTTTCGCTCAGCATCCGCTTCATGTAGCACCGGAACCTCTGTCGTGTCACTGGGGTTTCGTGGCTGTCTAACCAGGTCCACGTCGTTCTCGTTTCGTCATGCTCCTCTCCATCTGTCTCTCATATCCTGAGCCCTGGTTTTCGGATGTCGTCATTTTCCAGTGACCCTTGTCGACTCTCAGCCAATCATGACCCACAAAGCGTTCGGCCCCAGTTCAAAGGGGAAGTGAGCAGCAAGCGTTCCGACAGACGGGCAGACTACAATTCAAGTTTTCCAGACAGCCCTCCTGTTTGGCTCTTTTCAGATCCGGGAGCAGCCTATCGATGCAATGGCGGCTATTCAAGCTAGTGGCAATTGGCAATGATGTAGTGGGCCAAGGGTCCTCGACTGCGTTCCGCCTTGGCGCGTTCAAATGAGGGCCGATGTATCGAGAGCTTGTTCGTCTTCAGGTACCTCCAAGCAAATTACCGGTGTTGCTGTACATGGACATTCGCATACTATGCTGCGATCGAGTCTACTGAGTCTGGTTATGCTTGCCCTCCAGGGGGTTTACCCCCCGTCTTACGTGACTGTGACAGGCATCTAATTTGCTTCAGGGTCCTCTACAAATGCCTGTTTCCCCATATTCCGTTCAGATGCGGTTGGTGGTCCAGTGACCTCATTCAACATAAAGGGCCCGACAAAATCCTCCCCACCTTCCACCTCCAGGTGTGGCACCATGCAATGTTATGTCTATACGAGAATGCCTAAATAATCAGAGATCCGTCGATCATGACTTTCGACAAAGCTGCTGCCAACGAATTTGAGCCCAGCAGTCGAAATACTGCTTCCAGCCGGCCAAAATTCGACTCTAAACTTACTTCAGATCGCCTTCGCGAGGGCTCTGCTTTGACAAAAATCCAAATGGTCAGCAACATCAGAAAGGGCCGCAAGTCTGTTTTTAGAGAGGTTGGATTGATGGACGACGAGGACGAATACCAACACAAGTCTTCCGAGAGTTCAGACGAAAAGAACTTTGGCGAAATCACGGGTCTCGTCTCAGAACCTACGTCACCCATTGAGAGGAGAAGGGACTCGACCGGCGAGGTGGACGAGTCCAGAAGAAAGACAAGGTGGTTATCCAAGTTGACCCCGGTGAAGCGTCCGAGGATTAAAGCAGCTGCCAGTGCACCGCCCCCGACTCTAGCAAGTCTCCAGCGGCTCTCGATGATCGCGCTCCTCATTGCCGTCGTCCTACCGGCGATCAGCTATAACAATGGCCGCAACAAAGTTGAACTTAGCGGTGCGGATGCGGGTGTCATCAGAAATGTACCAGAAATCATCCTAGAGAACCGAGCAGACAGTCCAGTTGATGTCTGTCTGCGATGGGCCCAGCAGTGTAAGAGGTCTGTCTTTGCTATGGTTACCATTTACTGACCAACCTAGCTGCCTTGCTTAATGGCACGGTTTACATATATGGTGGCGAAGCAAAGGCATCTGGCGACCAGAAGGACAATAAATGGAGTAAGTGGTCGGCTTCTAAATCCTGATTGACGGTCACTGACTCCTGCAGACAACAATTTCTTGAAGCTCGACTTGACGAAATCATGGTCCACAGGCTCACCGGCCCTCACTGGGCTCCCTCAGCCATCGGGTTTACCTGCGGTCGCGATGGGTTATCTCTGGAACGACTATAACAACCTGTACCTTTACGGCGGTCAATATTCTGATACACCTAGGGTGTCACCAGACCCAGTGTCCACGTGGAAGTATGCCATCTCTTCATCATCGTGGATTCAATACGAGAACCCCCAGACATCAGCGGGAAAGTACTCTGCCGCCGCAAATGTTCCCGTTCAACGCGCTGCTGAGGGCGCCGGGATTTCGGTCCCCGAACTCGGCCGCAGCTGGTATTTTGGAGGACATCTCGACGTTGCAACAACTCAAGGCTGGTCCGATCAGATTCCGCGTGTGTATTTGAAGAGTCTGTTAGAGTTCACCCACCCAGGTTACGCTAATAGCGCCGTCGACTCCTTGCAGAGTTCGGGGGCGGGCGAAGGTGGTGCTTATCGTAATATAACAGACGGCGGGATTCAAGAACAGTCTGGCTTCTCTGAGCGAGCTGACGGAACTCTTGTTTTTGTCCCGGGTTGGGGTCCCAGCGGCATACTTTTGGGGCTGGGTGGCGGTAGTACCGAGAATAATGACACTGCCGACGAGTTCAGCGACATGCAGACCATCGATGTCTTTGACATTGAAACCAGCGAGTGGTACCATCAGCAGACATCTGGCGACATTCCTGGCGTCCGCGTGAACCCCTGTGCTGTCATCTTCTCTGCGTCGGACGCCAGTTCGTTCAACATTTACATGTATGGCGGACAGAATCTCTTACCAGTGGCCGGTCAAACTCAGTATACCGATATGTATATTCTGACAGTCCCGTCATTCACCTGGATCAAAGTTGATGTAAGCTCCGAAGGTGAACCTGCCGCCAGAGCTGGGCATACTTGCCACGCCCGCGATGGGCAGATGATCGTGATTGGGGGTTATATCGGGCAAAACACGAACTGCGATCGTCCTGGTATTCACAATTTTGACGCGTCGGGCCTGCAGTGGAAAGATTCCTTCGTTGCTGGTGATCACACAGCAGATCTCCATCCGGAGAACAACCTACTGGCGAACAGCTTTGGCTACAAGGTTCCTGATATCGTTCAATCCGTTATTGGTGGAAACTCCGATGGCGGTGCTACAGCGACGACTCCAGCTTCTGGTCCTGCTACACGCGGGCCATTTGCGACTGGGAAGCCCCCGGTCTTTACTATCACTGCAACTGGCAGCACCGCCACAATAACTAACTCACCACCGAATTCCGCCGGGGGCGCAGCCAGCTCGAACTCGGGCTCCACTGGAGGTCTTGTTGCGGCCGGTGTCATTGCTGGACTAGCGGGTTTGCTTGCGGGATACCTTGGCTTCTGCGCCTGGCTATACAGGCGTCAGGTAGTCGCATATAAGAAACATATGGCGGTTGCCAACCGGTATAGCGGAGCTGATGGGTTCGTGGGTGCGGCTGGCGCCGCAGAGCGAGAGAGGCTTCGCAAGCATCGCCGTAATAGCTCTAGTGGGGATAGTGGTGATCAATTTGGTTGGGTTGGTCAAGTCGGCGAGCCCAAGTGGATGTCGACGAGCGACGAGCCCTCTCCCGGTTCTGGTACCGGATCAAATTCTGTGGGCCGTCCCAGACCTAGCGAGGATCGTAATCCATGGGGTTGGTTCGAGAGCCCATCAGGCGGAGGTGCGTCTGGCGCGGGTATCAACAGAATGAAAAGTAGCGCCACCAGGAGCACAGCAAGCGGAAGCTCTACGGAAGGCCTACTGGATGGAAGGGAGCCAAATTTCTTCAGTGTTGTACTGGGACCAAGGCGGGCTTTGAGGGTCGTCAACAACAGGGAAGACTGATGAATCAAAGTGGCATATAGTATGACGTATTATGATATCTAATGACCGTTACTGTACATAGCATTGACTGATAATATAATTATAACATAATCGCTTTCATCAGATGCCACAACCGCGGGCCACAGCAGGTCGCTATAAAGTACATCAGCAAGTACAAAGGATATGAAGAACGTGCGATGTCTTAAAGGGCACATCGTTCGAGGATATGTTGCCAAGAGTAAACATATCATCGAGTAATGGGAGATATAATTGATGACGCCGTATGTGGTGGCTTGGCAGGTTCCAGGACAACGTTGCTATTGAAAGAAGCCATTTACTTGCCCAGTTCTTCTTAGAAGACGTCCGGGGTAACACCGCCTGCATATCCCCATAGCATTTTCCCCACGAAAGAACAACATCAACAACGACTGCAAGCTACAATGTGGTTGTGCCGTAAGTGACTTTCATGTGCATCCTGGCATTGTAGTGGGATAATGCCATTGTTAATCCGAACTTGGTATAAAGATGGGAAATTTCAGTACTCAGTACAGATCCGGAAACCCCATAGAACAAAGAGCAGCCATTCTGCCGGTTTTGAATCGAAAGTCGGAGAGATAATTTTAAACGTCGAAAATGTGCCTCCTCGTGAACACATATCCGAGTTGTGCATTGTTCGGGCATCCGACCGAAGCGGCGGACGCGGAAAGATTCGACCAGGCTTTGTGCGATGAAGCGTCCGTCTTGGGCACATTTGGCACGTGTCAGGGGATTTCTTCCAGGAACGTACCGGATTTTGCGTCCCCGTATTGCACTGAATGCAACGAAGTTGAAGCCGACATGCATCTCAAGGTCGCAGAAGTACTAGAAGTAAACGAGCGGCCCGGTGCATCCCAAATTCCTCTTATCACGGAATCATTTCTCTCACACCTTAGGGGGCTTCCTATTGATCGCACTAGAGCACCTGAAATCGTTGCAGAGGAAATTTTACGACACCTCGGTGAGGAGGGTACCAGAGCGCTATCGGTTCTAGACAAGCTTCGCGCGTATATTTGGGCAACTGTGCAGAGTCCTGACACAGGTCCGAACAACGAATCAAGGAACTATTTCGCAAGCTGGGTTATCAGCGTTTGTAGGATCGCTCACATTGAAGCCGCCGAGGCCATCGCTAAAAGGGAGGAGGACGACGACCGACTGCAACTTCTGCAACTACTGGCAATTCATACCCAAGCTGCGTCAGTATATCGTGCGCGACTTGAGAGTATTGGACAGTTTCAATCTATGATGCTCCTTTCAGGAATCACTAAGCTGGTGGACACTGTATCTGTGGAGCTGTCAACAGAGGTTGGGACTTCAGAAGCCGAGACATGACACAATGTTATCTCGATAGACTCTGAGACTCAAGAAACAAGCAGTGGGGGTATGACAAGTGCCAGCAGCTTTGTACCAAGTTCTATTAAGTGAAACAGGTTTTACTGTAGCTAACGCACAGGTCTCGTCGTACTACTTTCCAATGAGTCGTCATTGACGAGCTCCGAAGCTACATCAAGTAAGCCAGGACTTGCTCCTACATGGATCATCCGCTTCAAGTATTGCTCATCGGAGTGAATCCATGAGTCCATGAATCGCAAGGTTCCAATACATGTCAAAGATGTTTGTGTCCAGCCTGATGTATGACGATATGCGGTAGGCCATTAAGACCTTTCAATGTCTTTGTTATGTCTCTGTTATTGAATACCAAAAGTGTCTTAGTTTGAACAATTGTATTGTCTACAGAATAATGGAGCATAATCATGGCATGATTATAATTGGCACCCCTGGAGCACAATTCATACATCGTGCTAGCAGGTACCAGCAGGCTCCACCATATTCTCAGACCAACGTGAAGCTAGGACTTCTTCTCATCCATCATCCAAGTGGCGCTGAAGTGATTATTAAGAAAAATAATAGGCGCTTTATCCACTGTGGTGTTGTCAAAGATGTGCCGCTTAATCATTATTGAATCGCGATGCTATGCTTGCAACGGAGCGATTCCAACTTGGCCTGAGAAGCGGAGAAAGCAGCTGTGCTTGGAGAGTAAGATCCTGAGTTGGGGTTCCAAAAATCCTGAACTCGATTTCTGGACTCAATGCACACATCGAAAACTGGAGTATGTCTTTGAAAAGGGCGAGATACTCGATCGTCTTTGTGAGCCATGTAAGAGATCGAGTGATGAGAGAAAGGGACTGTTTACCGAGCTCTACTGGGATGCCATCAATGATAGAAAATCGAAGACTTGGCCCCGGTTCATCTATGACAAGATCTGGCATTATATTCAGCACCCAGAGGCTTTATGGGAGACATGGATCACGGCCATGGAGGTCATGGATGATCCACTATCTGCCTTCAACACTCTCCCGAGAGATACTGGCGCGGGTTACACCAACAACTCGACAGAGTAAGTAATGTGGCATATGTTCGTACTGTGATATGGCTTTCTTCGTACTTGAACAATGCAAACCTCCACCCACCCGACCGACCGACCAACCAACCAACCAAATATATGTATGATATAAGATACGTGCCGAGGTGAGACTGTTCCCACGTCAAACCGTGTTTTGCTGTTAGTCTTACCCCGCAAAGACAGCTAAAGGGTCATCCAAGTAAGCATTATACTAGACTTAGGCTTAAGAGCTTTGGATCGGGAGAATAAAACAGTGGTTCAAGGTTTACGGGGAGTTCACGGGGTGGTACGGTTGCGAGTGAATACAGGCAATGAATTTACCAGGAGGTTTACTCGTACCCAGGGTATGATATGCTCAACTACGCTATACCCATTCGGAGCAGCCGGTTGCCAAATTCTATCAAATAGTAATCACCATAAACCAACGTATGGTTTGCGTACCGTTTTTTTGCATTGGCATTGTTGTTCGCTGTACCGTATTTGAGGATACCCTCGAAAAATCTTCCTCCTTCCACGTCGGCCACCTCAAGACCGTTCTCAGGGGTGTAAGTCAATGTAGCCTTTTCTGGTGCCAAAGCAAAATCGAGAATATCTCTAACAACATCCAGAGCTGCTCTGCTAAACCTTGCAGCCAGGGCATCACGACCAAGTGCTACCATAGCCTGTGAGATAAGGAGTAGGCCATTCGCAGCAATCACGCCGGAGGAAGAGTCCCTCAGAGGATTGATAACATTCGTAGCATCGCTGACCGGAGCGTCAAAATCCCAAAGAGGAGTGTAACGGCCCTTGGTAGGCTTGGGTCCATCTGAGTTTGCAACCTCGACACATGCAGGTGACGTCTCGAGTCTATACATAAAATACTCAGCACAGCCACACGCTGCATGCAGGAATTTCTCCTCCTTGGTCCACATGTAAGTCTGTGCATATCCGAGTATGGCCCATGCCTGGCCTCGCGCCCACGTTGAATCATCTGCATATCCCTGACCAGTAATTTGTTGTTTTATACTCCCGTCCTTAGGGTCCAGATTTGCAATATGGCAAGTCGAATACCATTGACCTTGATAAGAATTTTCTGCTATGGAGCATTGCCTTGCTTGTGGCCGTAAGTGGGTGCGGAGGATCGTGGTTGCGTGTTCCGTTGCAATGTCATACAGCGCCTTGCCATCCGCGGATTGAGCAGCGGCATAGTACAGCAGATCCAGATTGCACAAGCTGTCAATGATGACTAGCAAGTTGTCGTCCTTTGATGTAATCTTGATGTCCATTTTCTGGAGTAGGTCCCAGCTTCTGATAGCCTTGGCGGAAGGGACGTATCTGGTCGCTAAACTTCTCGCCCCCCGGTCAATAGCCTCTAACGACCGAGCATTCTCTAGCAGTTCCCAATCCAGACGCAGCGCTGGCATAATTATGAACCCAATATCATGAGTGTCCGTACGATTTGCCATGGAATATAGCGGCTCGGCCCATTTCTTACTTAGGCCGAAAAGCTCTTTGCGTATGCATTCAAACTTACCATTTTCGTCTGGTAGTCGGCCACCATGCTCTAATGTTAGACTTGAAGGGTATCTGATAGCACGCTCTAGCATTGAGTAGAGGATTCCCGGAAAGAAGCCGCACGTCCAAAATTCGGCCTCTCGGAGATTGTATCTTCCTGCTTGGGGACCATCCTGAGGGACAGACTCCGGGAAACGACCAGGAAGGTATGCTGCCGCTTGCGTTGCTGTCCGCACAATTTTCGCTAATATATTTTCCTCATACAACTCTCCGATGATCCTGCCAACAACTGGTGGTAATAGAGGTACAGCAAAGGTTTTGCCCTCCACGATGTCTGGCTGTCGAATACTGCTGATGGCAGCGTTCCTGTCCTGAGCCAACATAATGTCAGCATTAGAGACCGAGCCGGAAATCGATGGATGTCTGTGATAAACCAACCTGGTCATTTCCTGCTTCCGCGTGACCGAACATTATGTGGACTTAGTGTGTGAATGTACCAGAACGTGGTGAAAGGGTGAATATCATTTGTTGTCTGAGAGCATACCTTAATGGCACAATGTTTATGACCTGCCATTTACCCGAGAGAGCCGTGAGTGTGGTATCGAACTTAATTCTGCACTCAGCCGAACGGGGAAGCGCTGCTTGATCTATTTAGGATGGTAGTATTGCCTGTCGAACTAAGTAATGCTGCACGCCGTGAGGGCGTCTCGCCCTCCAATACCCCGAACCCCGATTGGAGTCGCTGGACCTGGGAAGGAAACATTTTGCGAGGTGGTGCCATTGTGAGGGGACCAATCACTGCTAAAGAGAACAGAGTTTGAGTTCGATATTACGGGTATCTATGATAAAAGCCCCAGTGAACAGCGACAACTTTAAGTGGTACCTGACTTTATATAGCTTCATCCGCGTGATTGGGGTCCCTAGCTTGATCTGTCAATACCACGGCTAGTTCGTCTGCATTATATACGCGGGAGGTAGGGGAAAATGGCTTTCATAGCGAAAGACGCCGAGATTCAACCTCCAACTCGACAACCAGAAACGGTCACTGAGCAGGACAAGGAAGAAACCGCTACCCCAAGCTCGTCTACTAGGCATGGGGCCATGAGATACGCATGGTTATATATATTTGATTGGTATCCTTCTCACTACTCTTCCGAAGAGAAGAGGCTGTTGAGAAAGCAAGATTCTATCATTCTTCCATTGTGCTGTCTCATGTGTAAGTTCGGCCTCTCTTTTCCTCAATTTGACAATAATCCCCTGGAGTCTTCCTAAAATGGCTCGATTCTTCCAATATCAACACAGCTTACACCTCAGGTATGCGTGAAGAACTGCATATCACGGGAAATCAGTATTCACTTTTCGGCACTTTCTATAATGTTGGATATCTTCTGTTTGAGATTCCTTCCATGATGTTGATATCCCGACCGAAACTGTCACGATGGTATCTTCCAACGATGGAAGTGTTGTGGTCGATGTTGACCTACATCCAGACCAATCTTGCAAGTGACAGGCAGATTTTTGGCTTACGGTTCTTGCTCGGAATCCTGGAGACACCAGCAGCCACTGGAAGCATCTATGTGCTTTCGTCATGGTATCGAGCGGATGAAATGTTCAAGCGTGCCGGCGTCTGGTATATTTCCAGCAATCTTGGGAGCATGATAGGCGGGTATCTTCAAGCAGCTGCATACCAGAATTTGAATGGTATACTTGGAAGATCTGGATGGAGATGGCTCTTCATCATCGATGGATCCATCAGTATGCCAATCGCCATTGCGGGATATTTTCTGTTCCCTGGATTACCGACAAGCCCGAGGATATGGTGGCTGAAAGAAGAAGAGCAAAAGTTGGCTCAAAAACGCATGAAAGACGAGGGCGTCAAGGCACCAAAGAAAATAGGACAGAGAATGCTTAAACGGGTTTTTGGCCATTGGCACTTCTACATTGCGGTGCTGACCTATGTTTGGTATGTATTCACCTCGGAGAGCCTGCCTACATCTGATTTACGTGCCTCTATAGCTTTCAGTGCACCTCGTATGTGGGTGGCCAGATGAACATCTGGCTCAAGTACGAAGCGGATACGCATGGTACATATACTATCCCACAAGTCAACATCTACCCCACCGGAGTTCAGGGGGTTGCGATCATAACGGGTATTCTATCGACCTCCCTCTGCATGATCTACCCACTCTGGGCCATCATGTCAGTTGTCGCTGCATGTCTCCTATTTTCAAACGTGTGCCTGCTCATCTGGGATATCCCCCTTGGGCTCCATTTCACCTGCTACTACCTCTTGGGAATGACCTCGTGTGTCACTCCAATTTTGTTTCCGTGGGTGAATATCGTTATGAAAGACGATAATGAAGCTAGAAGTTTTACTACTGGGGCTATGGTCAGTCATTGCGCTTGTATTTAGATATCTAGGACGATATTGCTGATATTCACAGATGACAATTGGTTGGGCATTCTTTAGTTTTTATCCCATAACGGTATTTCCTGTGCTGGAAGGACCTATGTGGCGTAGAGGTTTTATTGTAAATACTGTGTTGACAGTTACATTTTGGGGCCTGTTTATGGTAGGACAGTATTTATGGCGTCGTGATGAGAAGTTGGATCGCTTCAGCATTGTTTCTGATGAGGAAGAAAGTAAGCGATCGGAAAGCGAAGGGATTTCAAAAGTGGAAACCCATTGTAAAGGGGATAGCATAAAGTGTAATGATTGATCTGTGGTTGGAAGGTATGTAATGAACAGCATAACCCAACGGAGGAAGTAGCAACACCTGGGGTGCTCACTGACTTGGGCGGTGGAACGAATAGTATGACGCAACAAAAGCGATCGCTGTAACATCAGTCCGAGGGCCGAAAATCTCGGTGATGTATTAAAGAGCCACTATCTCCTAGGCTCAGAAATGCACGATACTTGCCAAGCGCACATGAGGAACCCCCGTGTACACGTTATAGCAACAATGCCACGATTGCCTGGGTTTTCGGATAACCCCTTTCAAACCCGATCGGATTTGATTCTGGCCGCGGTGTCCTTATTGAAACCTCTAGAGGTATACAAGTCAGAGGGGAAAGCTCGGATCCGAATCGCCACTGCTAGCGGTGCAGGTTTTAGTGAGACAGCGGCTCAACTAGAGGGGTTTGCAAGGCCACTCTGGGTGGTTGCCCACCTGCTGAATATAGCGTCCGATGAACAAGAGACCGGATTTAGAGGCTTGGGAGTCGACCTTCAATCATGGATCTTGGGTCTCAAAGCAGGAACAGATCCGCGATCGGACGAGTATTTTGGAGACCTCAGTGATTTCGACCAGAGAATGGTAGAGATGGAATCAATAGCGCTCGCAATATTAGTCGCGCCGTCCTGCTTCGCATTTCAGGATGATACTAAGGCTAGAGTCAACCTGATCAATTGGCTGTCACAAATCAATTCGAAGGAAATGCCGGTCAATAACTGGCGCTGGTTTCGAGTGTTCGTCAACTTGGCTCTCACAGCACGGCTAGGAGTTCCGCAAGAGCACGTGAGAAAGTATATTGATAACGATCTTTCTGTGCTTGACTCTTTCTATTTAGGAGATGGATGGTCAAGTGATGGGCCGTGGGACAACGAGAGGAAACAGGCAGATTACTACTCTGGGAGCTTTGCCATTCAGTATGCTCAATTGCTGTTCGTCAAGTATGCCGCAGACTTCGATTTTGAGAGAGCAGATAGATATAAGAAGCAGGCACGAGACTTTGCAACTCACTACTGGAGATACTTCGACACCAGCGGTAAGCTATCTCAACGTTGAAATTATGAAGATACATGGACTAATTTCCGGGCATGCTAGGCGCTGCAATCCCATTTGGCCGGAGCTTAACCTACAGATTCGCTTGTGCAGCATTCTGGTCAGCATTTGGTCTAGCTGAGATAGAGCCACCTATCTCATTGGGAGATGTGGGTGTGGTGAAGGGGCTTCTCTTGCGACACTTACGATGGTGGGCACTGCAACGGCATATCTTCAATACCGACGGTACCCTTAACATTGGCTACACCTATCCGAACATGTTTATGTCAGAAGATTACAACTCTCCCCAGTCTGTGTACTGGTGTTTAAAGAGTTTAATTGCAATCGGAATCCAGCGAAAGGCCCCCTTCTGGACTTCCGAGGAGCGGGCAAACCCGATAACTGCGGACCATGTATCGAGAATTCAACTCATACTTCAGGCAAAACAAATAGCCTGCAATACTCCGGAACACCATTTCCTCCTCTCTTCTGGGCAGTCTACAAGAAAGGACCACAGGTCTCGAGAAGCAAAATACTGCAAATTTGCTTATTCGTCCGCGTTCGCATTCAGTGTACCGTCTGGCACCAGCCTGGAACAACTAGCACCTGATAGCGTCTTGAGCCTCAGTCATGATGATGGCGAAACCTGGAAGGTCCGATGGGATCCTTATGGCACTAAATGCGAAAGTCTGTGCTACCAAGATGAGTGTGTACCAACTTTTGTCAGCTCCTGGAAGCCATGGACCAAGTTGAACTTCGTAGTCGAGACAAGGTTAATACCTCCCCTGAGAGCTTGGCCAGGATGGAGCCTGCGAGTGCATACACTACAGTGGACTCTTCCAGCCAATGATTCCAGTCACTTGGAGAGGTTGTTTTCCATCGACAGTGGCTTTGCAATCGCAGCAGAGGCGGATGGTGGAAAACCGATCTTTGAACAGCGTTGCAATTCTGATTTCTCTACGAACCCAGGCGGCCAAGGGTGGTGGAACGATGGGTTTGGCTGCATGATTGCTTCGACGGCAGGGGCAAGTGGAGTAGTGGACTTGACGTACCGGTTCGCGCCTCCCAGGACACATTCTTCGATACAATTATCCTCTCACTCAAAGATAATCAGGCCGAACGCCAACACTAATCTTTCGGCTCAAAGAACTCTGATACCGTCGGCTCAGCATCGAATACGGCTACAGAGCTCGATTCTGAGTGGTTGCGGGGGCCCAATCCTGTGCCATATCGTCACAGGAATATTTGCTGTTGACCGTTACAAGGTGGACCTTGAGGCTGCGTGGAACTTTTGGCAGCATCAACCAACTGGTACTTTTGACCCCTCAAATGGAACGTTGAGACTCGGTTCCTTCGACTAGTCCCCAGTCTCTCCTATAGAGATGGCTTCACAATCCCAGGTTCTTGGTTCACATAGTTTCACAGCATATTGCTAATCTAGTCACGAACAAACGCGACAGTTCTCTTTATGAAATCTTCTTATGATAAAATCTATATTTTGCTCCACTATGTTTTTTGTTTTGTCCTGCCTTCCGTAGAAAGTAATCTGCAGGATATGTGACTGATCAGATAAAACTATGATTTATCTAGGGCATCCCTGATATAGTTCAAGTTCTCAATAGCAGCCAGGCCATAGAGCGCAGCATCATTGGTCGAGATCCAGCTAGCTTCATCGATTGGAGTCAAAACAGAGCTGTTGGCAATATGAACTGTGGCCCAGGGTGATGTCGGCAAGAACCCGTCTTTCGTGAATTCTTTCCAGGCACGTGCGGCGAGGGTCTCATTCTGAGTTTTGTAAGCAGCATAAGCTGTGAGTCGCGAGTGTCCTTGGTACAAGCTGAGGCTACCAAAGCTTTTGCCGTATCGTGCTGTCTGTTCAGCACCGGAAGCTCCATAGTAGTAACAATACTCGAGGTACGCGTCCAGGAAGCCTTCGGGTAGATCTCCATCGGTGTGATCATACAGTTGAGTGATTATCTCTTGCAAGCCAAAGACGCCATCGAGATGGGATACTACCACTACTCCATTATTGTGGGGGTCGGTCGGCGGCGGCGAGAACGACCCATCACTAGAGTTGTAGTATGCTTCACCGGTGACAAATCCATTCTTCAGTGCAACAATTCCTTTCATCCCTTCGTACAACTTTGCTTTGGCTTCCTCCCAGCGAGGGCCATGTCGTTCCCATTCTAAAAGCCAAGCACCCGCAAGACCCATCCAATCAAGCCCAATATTGATGTACAAGGCTTCACGATCAGGCACATATGTCACGTTTGGACTGCGTACCTTCCTCCTGGCGTCGACCAGGTAAAAGGCCTGCTCAGCATCCAAAACACCATGCACAACATCCCCGATTCTTTCGTCTCCTCCAGTAATGTAGTAGTATACCTTGCGATAGATCGTTGTAGAAATTCGAATTTGCTTGGCACTATCCCCCCAATGAAGAACACCATGTCGAGTTCCTAGACCCGAGAAATTGCCAATGTGGTACATGTCCACTTCGGATGAGTGTCTAACCTGGGCCTCGGCGAAGCGGAAGACGTCTGACCGGCCAGTTCTCAAGAAATAGTTCCAGAAGAACAAGTCGGGAGATAACTCAGAATTATCCCATGCGTAGCCGCCGATATCATATCTCCACGTGTGCCGATCCACATCGTAAGTATGCATGAAGTCTCCATGGTCCCAGAACCCATACCATCTGCGTTGCTCTACCTGAGCTTGGTAGTACTGTACTAGAAAGTCTAGGTGTTTTTCAATGGCACTCGAAGCTGCGGTAGAATTGTCGGGGGCACTCCAGTACGTCCCAATGGCCTGAGTGTCCTCGATGTATGCAGGATCAGCAATAAGCAAAGGGGGCTCCTTTGCGTAGGCGGCAAGGTTTGCAAGAGTCTCCGTAGGCGGGGTAGAGTCGAAACCAAAAAGAAAGACTTCGGAAGTTCTGGCAACGCCGTAAGGGGTATCGTAACCTCTCTCCCAATCTTCGTATGTGATCTCTAACGCATCCAGTTGCTTCGCATAAGTATCTTCTCCTAGGCCATCATGAAATGGACGAAGATCCATAGCAGGACCAGCCGGACTGTAGAGCCACAGAGTCACCTGACCGATGTCACTAGCAGCATTACGAATGTCTAGCCCGGTTGGATATCGTTTCCAGAAGTCTCGAAGACCGATAGCAAGACCGCCCCCAGTTGCCCCGCCGAGATATGCCAGTCCTTCAGAGCGGTTACCGCCCGGGATGTTAACCCAGGTATACCCAGCTTTTGTGCGCTTCTTGATGGTGAAACCATCTGCAGATAGTTGTGACAGGCTGTAGTCACCCCACGAAGGGATCCATTGCATTCTTGACGAAACTCGAGTATCCCAGGTAGAGGTGTCGGGAGTCTTCTCGCCTCGGAACTGTGCAGCGCGGACAGCCTGCCCAGGGTCTCTTCTGAGCCCAGTCAGGCCCTGTACAGCTTCATTGAGGAACCCCCCATCAACACCGGCTAGGCGTACGTGTCGATTGTAAAGCTCGTCGGATAATGGAACATCAAAGCGGATACCAATGCCTGTGATAAAATCCTTCTCCTGCTCTCCGTCGTAGATGATCGTATGGACGACTCTGATTGCTTCTGAACCTGCGTACAAATAGAAACGAAGAGTGAATTGCAACCACGGCTCGTGTTCGGGACCTGACGATAATTTATGGCTGCCTTTGATGGTCACAACACTCCGAACTGCATTGCCCTCAGTAACGGTAGCATCCTCGATTGCGCTTTGGAAGCTTGATTTCTCAGGTTGGCTGTCCACTATGTCATGATCCACAATCGAGGACTGAGACTGAAGAACCAGTAGGCCGTTTCGACCGATCGTCTTGCCACTCGCAGTTTCGATAGAACTGACCAAAACCGGACCCGACTTCTTGAATGTAGCAGTGATTTTCCCAGTATTGACTATAATGTCGTCACTAGACTCGGTGACTACTAGACTTGTTGTCCTGCGTCCAAATACGGGCGTTTGATAGTTGGAGGTACCATTTGATGGCTTAATGGTATAACCCGTAGGAACAGTCTCTGATGCAGGAACAGCATGCCCGGTCCATTTGATCGAATCATCCGGCCAATATGCCGTAACCCATGACTGCATCTGAACCTCCTCGCCGCTTGCAGCAGTTCCTGAAAAGGTGGTGGTATTTGCTGCGTATTTTCCGCGAGGCCAGGGAAGACCAAACGTGGTACCGAGGTTCCGGTTTGGCGCATCACCGAGCCATTGGACGGAGACACCATGGTCATTCCTGCTGTTGACGCTTGGTTGTGAGGACACCAAGGTCGCAAAGCCCACAGCAGCCAGGAAACGGGAGACTGTGCGATACATGGCTACTGAAAGAATAGACACCTCATGAGATCACACCTTGGTTTCATAGTCTTTCTCATTTGAATGTACACTGTTCAACGCTCATTTATGTACTAGCGACCAGCCAGTAGACTTCCAAGCTCGCCATTTTGATGTGGATCGTCTACCTTGGAACTTTAACCGGCGAGAGCTCGCTTATATTGTGCCTAGCCGACCTGAGAAAAAGATCAAGGGTTTTCGTGCTTGATTGCAATGGCCATACCGCTGAGCAGAGCTTGGCACCGTAGAGTCCAGATGCACCTAATCTCGCGTCATGCTTTGTGGGGCAAGTGGTCGGATCACTATGTCGCGACTGGCTCCCACCACGTGAAATTGAATCCACGAATAATGCCACGTCCAGCGGGTTGTTTACATGAACCGGAGGGCTCTGCTCATAAAAGCCCCCGCAAGATACCAGAAAGGACGGCCACAGAGAGTGCTGGGTCAAGGTTGGGGTTAGCCCCACCCAAGTTCGCTCCCCCGGGATAGCAATCAACCGAGGTTTGCTCCAATTTGGAGATCGCGTCAGTGGGAGTTGTTTGGGCATTTACGCCTGGAGCCCTTTGGAGAGCACTTACGACATTGGACCTATAGGATTATTGAATGGTATATCTTGAAAAATGCACTCAACATGGACGGTCCAGAAATGATATTTCGACCGGTGATCAGTGATGGAGTGTATGGCCCTAGCAACGAGCACATGGCTGTTGTTCGTCAAGGTGGTTCGGGGTAAGAATGCGGTCACAAGAGACTCGGGTCTTGCGACCGCTATATGTCATATGACGTCCTTCTTACCGGCTGCCATACGGACTGTGTCACAAAACCCCTCCTTGAGGTTCTTAACAGACCACATTTGAGAAACCTAATGATAGCCTGGTTATGCTAACAATGAGGCATTCATTTCTAAGGTTGTTACCATTTGTTTTGCTGGATGCCCTCCGCTAAGATTTTGAAGGAATGACTCTAGGATAACTCAAGTCGGATATATAGTCAATTTTCAGTCAAAGCCATCACGGTGTGTTTATTTATTTTGATAAAACGTGATCTTCTTGGCATTTGGGGGACCTGGGGAGACATGCCGTGTAAGACATGATTTACAACACATAGCGAAACATTATCTGGTGCAAGTCAGTGCCTGACAGAGTTTTGTGGGCAAGAAGTTTCGAACTTACGTTGTATTTATCCGTGACATCTTCGAATCCCTGGATGTCGCTTTCCCTATTCATCTCGGCAATCTCCTCACTCGACTTGCCCTCGAGGCTACGGTCCCGCTTTTTGTTCTCGCGTACGTAGAGGAAGCGGAGAATTTGGTTCAAGACGAGGTTGAGAACGAAGCCAGAAAGCATGGCGGCGATACCTCCGTGGTACGAAGGTGCTTCGGTACTCTTGAAGAATTGGGGACCTGCAATCTGGCCAACACAGTAACACACGAATACCCATCCGGATGCAACTGATCGCTTCGTGCTGCCAGCGATATTTGCTGAGAGCAGGCCAAGGATTACCATGAATCCGACGGGATACGTTCCTAAGAGCCACACTCCCACCAGCCTCCCCCATTTATTGGTTGTCGCAAGTTGATTGATGAGACATGTACCGATAATCTATTACTTGATGTCAATCTAGCAGCACTTGGTTTTCTTTGGAAAGGGAATACTCACCGGAGGAACCATAGCTACGCTGGCAACATGCAGACGAGACAATGGAATCTTCGCGCTGAGCCAGCCACACAATAACTGTGCGACTAGTTGCACAGTCGATAAGGGGAGATTCATGAGGGTGGCCTGAAGTGGTTCGAAGCCAAATCCTGTAATGATTAGAGATCCAAAGGAGAGGCCACCAGAAGCCAACGCATTAACGAATGATATCAGGCCAAGAATAATGATCTTCGGATCTGTTGCAGCCTCGAAAACCTGGTCCATAGCGAAATGTCGGCTCTTGGTTCCAGTCTTGTTTTCCACGACTCGTTGAATTGCGATGACTTTCTCCTCTTCACTGAGCCATTTGACGCGAGTTGGGCTGTCAGGTACGAATAACGTGAACACCACACCCCAAACGATGGTTGCAGAACCCAGTACTAGGTAAATGTATCTCCAGGTGCTAAGACTTCCTACGATATGACCGAGGCCGTATGCAATAAGTACGCCAACGAAGCTGCCCACACCGAGAAAAGATATCCATAGCGCCGAGCGGCTAGCCTGTTCTGATCTCGTCCACCAGATTCCGGTGACGGCAACGAAACCAGGGGAAATGGTGGCTTCGGTGACACCTAGTATAAACCGAGCTGTGGCAAGTCCCCCGAAGGAGGAACAAGCTGCCGTTGCCATGAGTACAACCCCCCACAGGATAATATTAGCACCCAGGAACTTGGCCACGGGAAATCTTTGGAGAATAGCAACGCCTGGGTATTCCGCGACCAGGTATCCGAAGTAGAATATGGAGCTGACCCATGAATAATCCTGGCCGACCAGCTTGTTGTCTGGAATTATGCCGTAGATTGAGCTATAACCCAAAGAAGTCTTGTCGATGAACTGCAGAGCGTAGGTAATGCATAGGAACGGGAGTATGCGCACTGCAGCAGTGGAAGTCAGTGATCTCTTCATGATGTCGGTTTGTAGGGGTTAGCAGCTCCTGACACTGGCCGCTAGCGCTCTATACCTGCGGGAAAGCGGCAGAAGAGTGGCTCCTGTTTTTACTTACTGTCAATCTTCCTTCGAACAAGCCGTGAAGTATCTGGATCTACAGCTCCCGCAATCAGCGCTCTTGCAGCAAGGTCGCCAGCTTCGTCCTTGATGTCTAGGTTGCTGCTATCATTAGCCGGCCGAATGTCGGCGTCGGCGTTGTGCTTTTCGCCGGCCATGTTGGTACGACTCGTACGAGGTCACTGCGTTCACGAGTGCGGTAATAAGAACTCAAGTCTAACTGGAGGAAAAGTGCATTTCGCTTCGCCGAACGAGGTGATATGTGCTCCTTTTCTCTTCCACGAGGCTTCTACAGCTACCGGCCATGACCGGACCGGCCCCGACAATAATCTAGAATTCACTGATAGTCGGCCACGTCCGGACCCATCGCCTGTGTCTCGGTGCCAGCAATGATTGGCTCAAACTGCCCAGAGGATCTCGCACAACAGCTAGCTCGTGCGCTAAGCGGTTGTTATTATCACTGATCTTGGAACTTAACTGCCGCGCGCAACCGGCTGAGGTGATGCGACGCTCTTCGTCGGGGGAGTCGGCTATTTCGCGGGGATTTGAAACAATTGCACGTACTTACATTCATTCATAAGGCCAATTTCGACAAGACCAGAAACCATCAGATCTGACAAGTACGAAGCCAGCGACACGCGTCCGGCCAGACTCTTTGAATTCCCTGTCCTAGATAATGCACTGCCATTAATCACTGCAGTTTGCGAACATCGAAGAGGGGAGTGCAGCCAATATGTTCCGCCTGTTGGATGATTATGTGGTGGTGTCTTGGGACGAGAGCGAGGATGAGGGGCAAGGGAACCCTGATTTCATCCAAGGCATCAGTGAATACGTCGACAACATTGCCGATGAGGTCTGGCCGGTCAACAAGAAAATACACGACAACCCGGAGCTCGGATACGAAGAATTCATAGCTCATGAAACACTAACCAAGTTCTTCAAAAGCCAGAAAGGATGGAAGGTAACGCCATCTGCCTACGGGTTGGATACAGCTTGGATCGCTGTCTGGGAAAGTGGCAAACCTGGCCCTGTGGTTTCCTTCAACGTTGAGATGGGTATGCACACATTCCTTCCATATCCGACGGTCCCGCTGACATACAAAGACGCGCTGGACGGTATAGGACATGCTTGCGGCCACAATCTGATCGCAACAGCTTCAGTGGCAGGCGGCCTAGCGACCGCCTCCATGATGGCTCAACACGGCCTTGGGGGAAGAGTCGTGGTCTTCGGAACGCCAGCAGAAGAAGGTGTGCTGATATCAGTTTTCAATGAGATGAAGGTACAGAACTGACATGTCTACAGGAGGTGGAGGCAAGATCAAGCTACTCGAAGCTGGAGCTTACAGAGACTATGATGTTGACATCAACCTAATCTCCCACCCCGGCATCACGCATGAATGCGCCTTGGTTCGTACTTCGGCTTACACCGCATTCAAAGTTGAGTATTTCGGACGCGAAGCTCATGCAGCTGCAAGCCCGTGGCTGGGCATCAACGCCCTCGACGCAATGATCACAGCCTATAATGCGATTTCAGTTCTGCGCCAGCAGACTATGCCTGGGGATGTTGTACAGGGACATATCAGCGAGGGCGGAGTTCGGCCCAACATCATACACGCCTACACCGCGGGAAATTGGGTGGTGCGAGCCAACACAAGCGCACGGCTGGATGAACTCAAGAAGAAAGTTGTGGCCTGTTTTGAGGCCGGCACTACAGCTACAGGTGCAACGCTCAAGATTACCCACACTCAGTCATACTCAGACCACGTACCTAATCGCGTTATGGGCCGGTCCTACCAGAGATACTTCAACGCACTCTCCCCTCCGGGACTGATCCCGGAAGACCAAGACGTCGACGAAATCCAGGGGCGCACAATGGCGAGCACTGATCAAGGGAATATCAGCTATGCCATGCCAAGTCTTAGCCCTGGATTCTCAATAGTCCCAGGGCCAGGCGGCAATGGTCCTCATAACCCAGAATTTGCCGATGCCGCTGGCACAAAAGACGCTTTCGACCGAGCTTTGCGAGTTGGTAAGGCCTTAGCTGGCACTGCTGTGGACATTTTGGCAACAGACGGCCTGCTTGCCACTGTAAAGGAAGAATGGAAGAAAGAAATCAAAGAAAGCGGAGGCCACAGATCTGGACACTAGCATTTGCGATCCGAACAAGCCAATCCAAGAAGGATCTGAACGATGTTCTTACGTCAACCGCGATGGCACGTTACCTAGACGTCGCTGTAGTAGTGCAGACGTCTTCCAGGATCCGAGAGCACCTTGAAACCCGGTAGCTATTGGTATAGACATGGCACTCACTGTTACAACTGATGTTGCAAGAGGCAAGTATCTTGAGCTTAACTGGTTGAGTGGGCAAGTGTTTAACCCGATGACCTTGAGGACTTCACGTCATGATGCAATGTTACATCCGTAGGAGGTGCGGTGTTTCCACAGGCTGGCCTGCGATAGCTTTTTTTGTCTTATCAGACTAATGAGTCTTCTTGACCATAGACCATGTGACTTTCTGAAAACTGAGCGAGAGAGAGGCGTGACGCAGATTCGTAGGAATAGACAAAGGTCGACGTTCACTGGTGGAATCCAGAGGCTTGCCAGGCTATCCAAAATGTTGCCATAGACTAGAAAGCTGTGTTCCACGTCTCTTGTACCAGTATAGATTGGCCGGGGTCCCGTAGGGTGGCAGTGGCCTGTAATGTTTCGGACCGATTGATATCCCCTAGGGATACATGTAATTGGGTCAGGCGTCTTGGAACTCGAACTACACTAGACTCCATACGACAAAGGGAGGGGGTGTAAATAACGCATGGGGAGTTTTGTAGGTTACTACGGATGCTGGAAGGAAGAGATGATAAAGACATTACCGAATGCAGTTTACGAGAATCCTTTATCAGCCGTACAGCTCCTGCTTGTGGTTCTGCTTCAATTTGATCTATGCTTGCCCTAGGCACATTCGTTTGGAGGCGACGCATCACGTTGCATGCGTTGACGGTTCCAACCTCGGCTACTGGTGATTGCTGAATGCGTTCCCATCAGGCAGGTTTCTACGCAATATTGAGATGGTGCAGCCGTAGCAATTTCCAATCTCATGGTCGGCGTAAACCCGCCTTTACATCCCCGCCACGATTTTCTCCTCTGCCCGGGATGAGACTCACAGTCATGGAGCCATAAGAGGGAGAGGAGAAAAGAAGAAACGACGGGCCAGAGTAGAGCAAACTTGTGATACAGTGTCTTTGATGTATTGGTCTCGAAGACGTCTGGAAAGATTGGCTTGCCCCGCTACCTTCGCTAAAATGGTGCTGAAGGCCGAGCGCGTTCCCGCACGTGCTTTGGGTCATGGTGCAAATCCGTGAGCCGGAACGGGCCATTTACGGGGCTTTAATAGCTTAATCAGCGGTTGTCCAATGCCACCCCAAAGTCCGGGGTAGGCCAACCAGCGTCGACAACACGCTAGTGCAGGTACAAGCCCCTGGTGCGTGACCGTAATTCCGTGCCCTGGCCAATAGCCGGTCGATGATAGCCCCAGACTGCTGCCAGGTGGTACAGGGAGTCACGACAGCAGAGTCTGATGAATCTCTTGCGGTCAGCAGGGGAAAGGGTGTCGGCGCGGCGATGTCACCCTCCACACCCAAGGCTGTCGGCGTTGCTGGCGTTAGTTGGCTATGCTGGTCAAGCGACAGCAGGTGCAGTATCCTCTTTGGGGCTGATCCGGCCCACGAGTTTAACAGGCAAGGATATCTCCCATTCATCTTACTCATATGCCACAGTTTTTCTTTTGCATGACATGCGATCCACGGACGGCACGGCCAAGAACTAGTCGCGGCGTCTTGGCCGGCCAAATCATTCGCAATTCTGTCGAGCCATGATTGGAGCCCATTGCCAGATGACAGGCATCCAAGTGCTGAGTGATGATCCAGGTGTCGATTGGATCCATAAGTACGTTTCCTTGTTTGCTCATTAATATATAAAGGGCAGTAACGATCTGCGTGCGAATTTGTGGCACTATAAGCTTTGACGGAAGCGAAGCCCGACTGCCTGGTAACTCTAGCGCATCTTATTCTTATTCTTGTACACTCCTTCAGACATATATAACTTGATTGTATAATATGTTCACCATAATTCCTGTCCTTTCCACCTTGTATGTGGCCTTGCTTCCTGGCCTAGCTTTGGCAACGGCTCCCCCGGCTTACTCAGGATACAACACAATCTGGTCCTCGTCTTTCGCCGGCGACGCTGGACTACTTCCAGATACCAGTAGCTGGAATATTATTACAGGAAACCTCGGCGTAAATGCAGAATTAGAGACTTATACCTCTTCTTCGAGGAATTTACAACGAAGCGGAGGCCAGACACTGCAGATCGTCCCGTGGAAAGACTCTTCGGTCTCCGGGGGCTGGACCTCTGGCCGGATCGAGAGCACCTACACTTTCACCCCGAAGGCCGGCGGTCGGACAATGGCCGAAGCATCTATCCGTTTCGGTACCAATGGCATCGGCAATAAGCAAGGCATATGGCCGGCTTTCTGGCTTCTTGGTGACTCCATACGCCATGGCACAGCCTGGCCGGCTTGCGGCGAGCTGGACATCATGGAGACAGTCAATGGCTATTTGACTGGGTACGGTACTGTGCACTGCAACGTTTACCCAGGTGGCGTGTGTAATGAGCCAAATGGCATCCAGGGGTCGATCGCGATTCCAGACCAAAGCTGGCACACCTGGCGCATTGTCTGGGACAACACGCCTAGCAGTTGGACAAGCCAGACTATCACTTGGTACATGGATGGCCGAGCCTTTCATGAAATCAGCGGGGCTCAGATCGGTGATCAGAACACTTGGAACAGCCTCGCACACAGCGCCGTCTTCTTTATTCTGAACGTTGCTGTCGGCGGGTCTTGGGTAAGTTCGAATACTTACTAGGTGCATTCCCTATTAAGGTTTCAGAAAGCTGACCATTGTCAATAGCCCGGAAATCCCAACTCTGCTACTTTGGATGGCTACGGCAGCATGATGGAAGTCGGCTACGTTGCCCATTACTCTTCAACGTAAGGATACGTGGCTTAATTAGAGAGCTTGGATGGATAATTCTTTGTCAGTATTCTTGATACCTTGGTATTCTGTGTATATTCGTATTGTGAATAAATTCATTGTACAGCCATGTTGAACAGTATTGTTCGTGATCGGTAAAGCTTCTCTTCCAGGAGCACTCTACATATCAGTGAATACTGATCATCCTGTATAAGATGCAAACATGTCGGTCGTCCTGATCTGAGCTCATGTATTGTGACTCTCATTGGCGTCCAGAGTTGACGTATTGTAGGGTGACATGAGATCAGCCGGGAAGAAATTGAATAAATCTGTCGTAACCACGTCGTTTTCTAGATAGTAACTCGTGTTAGCTATTTTTGTGATGCATGCTTAATGTTTTTCGAACATGCAATAGGCATTTTTGAATCACTTACGGAAGTATGCCAAAGGGTCAGTAGAGTCCGAATAGTTGGCCAAACCAACAAATCCGCCTGGCCTCTGATAGGCTCCCTGGACCACAGGGGCTGGAAGATTACTGAGGTGAATCAGCTGTTCGGTGGAATGTGACGTGGTACTCAAGGAAGGGAACTGTATGTTCTGATGGCTCGACGACTGCGCTCGAGTGGGTCTGCCCGGAGACTGTTGCGGTGGTAGGTTTGGTATGTCAGCCACATCAGAAGGACTGTTCTGTTGCGCTAGAAATCCCTGTACGATTCTCAAGACCTGCTGTACAGAGTGTTGCGTAATGGTGACAGGCTCGTCTTGTATCATCGTGCTGAGGCATCGTAGTGCCGTTTGAATGTACTCGATATTGTAAGTTTGCTTCGCGGGATGCCGTACAAGATCGTAGAGTAGTACCACACAGGAGGCATCTATGAAGAAAGCATTGTATCTCATCGACTAACAGGTCGGTCAGTCACTAGCGATTGCCCAAGGTTCAGGTCGGCATCACTAACTCTGCAAATTTCGTTCTTTCGGAACGCGGAGCTGGTGTAGACCATGGAATCTTGGGCCGCGTCGGTCGCGTGGCGACATGCCTGCCTGAGCCACATTGCCTCTGATTCCTGATGGCCATTTCCTTGCTGTAGTGCCGACTCAGCGATAAGAAATGGCCTGTACGTGAGGATTATGCTATGGTAGTACACTGAAGGATATGAGAACGTAGTATTATACTGTGTGTAGCAGACAAGGGCTCACCATTATGAAGTTGATGTAAGGAGACTCCATCTGGAAACTTCTGTCGACTTCCCAGACTGGCAGGTCCGATACCATACTGCTCAGCAAACTCGCGTAGTCGACCATGAATCTTCTCTGCAGCAACATAGAGTTGACCCAGGGAATCGTATCGCCGACCGTAGATAATCCGTGCACCATCTTCGGCAATATGTGCCAGTTGACAGAGACAGACTAAGACTGGCTGATCGTCTGGAAACGATGCCGAAATGCCAGTCATCTTGAGGGTACTTTCCCTCCCTAGGGCTAGTGCCTGAAAGCTAGAAGACGAACGGTTAATAATGCAGAACAGAAGGATTTGCAGTGAAGAGCGTGTACTTCTCATGGAAATAAAGACACCACAAGGTAGTGCGTCGCCTCTGAAGCATTTCGGCTGGCACGAATCTTACGTCACTTTCCCTGTGTAAACCCATGGCAAGAGCTTTTCTGCTAGCAGTTCCAAGGTTGAGATAGGTTGAGTTTGGCCGCCCCATGTTGGTTTGATATTCTGCCAACAGAATAGAAAGCTGTATCATCAACAGGCTCACAGTGTCGTCGCAAACCACTGCCTGCTGTTTGGCTTTGATGAACAGCATCTCAGCGGTGTCGGTATAGGTCGTCAAGAGAGCACCTATGGCGAGGATCGCTAACCCGACAGCTCGTCTTTCAGGCGACACAACAGTCTCGGATCCATCACAGTAAAGCTGATGGAGCAATTCGTCTAATTCCTGTTCAGTAAAAAGAGGGAGAACTTTACAGGTTGCAGACTTGAATTGTATGAGAAACTCTGTAGCTTGAGCAAGGGAGACTGCAGATGATAGGGACGTATACGAGGCCAGCTGTGGCGGCGTACGAGAAGGGGTACCGAAGAAGATAGCCCTTTGCACAAATAAGTCTAAGCCGGGGCCACCTTCCTGCACCTCTCGATCACCAGCAGAGGCATGAGGACCTGAAGACAAGATCTCTCTATGTAGTTGCTGTAGGAATGCAAACTGCGAGGAGGGACCATAGAACAGCCGGGAGCTCTCGATGGAATCTGCCTCGTTACCGTGAGTGGCAGCGACGCTGTGATAAAGCTGGTCACGAGCCGCCGCCGTCTGCTCTAAAGGAGACTTCTCGCCGTGCGTATTGGGTGCTACCGTTCCAGGTTGTCCTCCACCGGGGGAAGGTCTGTCCTGTCTGGCATCCGAGTCGGCATTCCGACGAGTTGACTTGCGAATGCGAGTTCGTTGGCGATAAACGCACTCAGACGGCTTCCTTTGGCACCTATGGCAAGGATGGGCTCCATCGCACCTAATTTTCCGTTTGCGACACGGCTCGCAAGCCTTGGGAATCTTTTCAACATCCATGAAACGAGAGTCGGATTTATGGATTTAGTAGGTGACGTTGGGCAGAGGTAAAGCTCCATCAGCTAGGTAACAGTGACCAAGCTAGACGCTAATTTGGTCACTAGCGCTGGGTGATTGGTAAATTGCTGAATAATGGGCCTGCGAAATGATTTCGCCTTACCCGTATTTCCGTATTTCCGTGTTTCCGTGTTTCACCACCGATAATGCACGAACTGACTCCCAGAGGGCACTGCAACCCGAGCCTGCGCCAAGAAAACATATAATATTCGGGTTTGAGATGACGGAGCAGCTCGCTGAGAGCGACGCACCGAGCGGGAGGCTCGGAATTAGTATTATGGAGTATCTGGCAACCAGTGCCTACTGCCCTAGCACTGCTTTGTGCGCTGAGTTGAAAGACTTGATTAATTCCGATGGAACTCCTATCTTTACTGTACGCTGCTCATTTTGCTTCAATCAAGTACAAAAGATCTCAACGCCTCGAAACCCAATCCTGCGGTCACAAGGGCAAACGCCGGGTTTCCTGCTCATTTGTGGATTTAACGTGCCCAAGTCACCATGGCTCAAACGCCACCGCCCGCTGCTAAACAAGCAGCAACACACAATGTAGACAGCGCCTCTAGCCGAGAAAAGTCATCCAAGGGGTTGACAGTGACATTCAAAGATGTTTCGGTAGAAGTTCACGGTTTGGGCGAAGACTACGGGTCGACATGCTTGTCTGTACTTGCCGACCTTGTCCCGTCATTTGGATCGAACCCAAAGCCTGTCAGGGTACGTCGACTTTTCGGCGCCACTCACAACAAATCAACATGTTATCTGACCTCCGAATTAGCATATACTCAAGGACGTCACTGGTCAAGTCCGCCCAGGCGAGATGGTAGGCATCCTCCCCTTGCCAGACGTAAAGCTCGTGTGCTAAATTTACCTCGAAGCTCCTTGTTCTGGGAAGACCAGGTTCTGGGTGTACCTCACTTTTGAAAGTCATTTCCAACATGCGCGAAGAGTTTCACCAAGTGACAGGACAAGTGCACTATGGGAATGCCAATGCCAATGAAGCCAAGAAATTCCGCCATCAAATAACAATGAATACTGAAGGTAAGATCTATATGGGCAATCTATTTGCCCTGCCTGCTAACACGAGCCAGATGATGTCCATTTCCCGACTCTTAAAGTCTCTGAAACCATGGACTTTGCCACCTCTGCCAAAGCCCCAAAGTCGCAGCTAGGCATAACCACAGACGCTAAATCTTACGTTAAGAAGCAAACGAAGAGTATCTTGTCATCTCTTGGAATAAGTCACACAGCCGAAACAGTCGTGGGTGACGAGTACATCCGGGGTGTCTCTGGCGGAGAGAGAAAACGAGTCTCGTTGGCAGAGGTTATGGCAACCGAGGTCGGTTTTGGAAACGCGTCTGGTGGTCCTTTGCTGATTCGATATAGGCAACAGTACAATGTTGGGACAACTCGACTCGTGGGCTCGATGCTAGCAATGCTCTGGATTTTGCCAAGGTTCTACGCCGTACAGCAGATGAACAGGGTAGGACAATAGTTGCAACGCTGTATCAGGCTGGGAATGGCATTTTCTCCCAGTTTGACAAAGTTCTGGTTCTTGTTGAAGGAAGAGAGATCTACTACGGACCTGCATCCACGGCCAAGCGATACTTCGAGGACATTGGCTTTCGCTGCTCTCCCGGGGCAAACGTTGCTGATTTCTTGACTTCTGTTGCGGTGCCGACCGAAAGGGAAATCATACCTGGTTATGAGAACGAGGTACCAACGACGCCCCACGAGTTTCAGCAAGTCTATCGAGCGAGCTCAATGTTCACACGAATGATGCACGAGATAGACTCGGAAAGCGATGTTCGACTAGCTGAACAGATTGAGAGCCTCGAGAGCGCTAGAAGGCAACATAAAAATAGGAGTGTTCCTCTGCTATCACGAGAGAACAGTCCGTACCAGGTGTCTTTCGTCAAGCAAGTGTCAGCCTGTACTACAAGGTATGCTCAAACAGCATCAATCTGTTGAATCTCACTATTAACTCCTGATAGACAATTCCAGGTCATATGGGGCGATCGCTGGTCAAATTCACTGAAACTCGGTTCTGCATTGATCATTGCCATTGTTGCCGGCAGCTTGTTCTACGATTTGCCAGATACGACAGCATCGATATTCTCACGCGCAGGTGCTCTGTTCTGGCCCATGATGCATTTCGGTCTCGTTTCCATGTCTGAAACTACTGCTTCATTCTCTGGGCGGCCAATCATATCCCGCCACAAACGTCTCGCTTTCACTCGCCCAGCTGCGCAAGCCATTGCTTGCACAATCACCGACATACCAATGGTTGTAACCCTCTTCAGTATATACGAGATCGTTTACTACTTCATGGTGGGATTCCAACAGGATGCTGGCAAATTCTTCACTCAGTGGTTTGTTTTCATTGTTTCCACGCTGTGCTTGACATCCTTCTACAGGATGGTAGGAGCATGGTGCAAACACTTTGGGTTCGCAGCTCAGATTACCGGCTTTTCCACCATGGTAATGATGGTCTACGCAGGTGGGTTGCTTGGGAAATGCGTGTCACAGATATTTACTGACACATAACAGGTTGGCTAATACCAGTTCCCGAAATGCACCCATGGTTCCAGTGGATCAGTTATATCAATCCGGTTACATACGCATTCAGTGCGGCTATGGGAAGCGAAGTGAGCACTCTGGTGATGGATTGTGTCGAGCCTCAGTATGTCCCGTTCGGAGATGCCTACAATGGGAGTGCCTACCGCAGTTGCACGCTGGCGGGGTCCACTTCAGGCTCTTCAACAGTTCTTGGAAAGGATTATCTGCAACAGCAATATGGTGATTCAACACAGCACGTTTGGAGGAATATCGGAATTGTGATTGCTTTCTGGATATTCTTCGCACTATCTTGCGCGATTGGATTCGAGGTCAACCTGCATTCCGACGCTGGATCGCAGGTTCTGTTCGATAAAAGAAGCCGACAGCGTGAGTTGTTAGCTGAGCAGGACGCTGAGAAGGGCCTTACCCCTGACTCGACGTCCATGAGTTCGAACGATATGCCGGAAACTTCAATCAGTTCAGGCAAAACTATCTTCACATTTCGGGACATTAACTACTATGTACATGTTTCTGGAAAAGAGAAGCAGCTCTTGGACGACGTCTCCGGATATGTCACTCCAGGGAGGCTTGTAGCTCTGATGGGAAGCTCAGGTGCCGGCAAAACCACGCTGATGGATGTTCTTGCACAGCGAAAGGATTATGGAAGACTTACAGGCAGCATTACTGTGAACGGCGAACCTCAAGGCATCAGCTTTCAACGAACGACAGGTTACTGTGAGCAAAATGATGTGCACGAGCCAACAGCAACCGTCAAGGAGGCCCTGTTGTTCTCTGCAAGACTACGCCAGAAGCACGATATTCCAGATGAGGACAAAGTAGCGTATGTGGAGCGCATCATGGATTTGCTGGACTTGACCCCCCTCCAGCATGCGATTATTGGCTGTAAGTCCACAATCTACTCTTGAGCTATGAAATCATTCTTAACCTAGGCACCAGCTCCTGGATCCGGTCTCTCTATCGAACAGCGAAAGAGACTGACTATTGCCGCTGAATTGGTGGCAAAACCATCTCTTCTTTTCCTGGACGAGCCAACCTCTGGTCTAGACGGCCAGTCTGCATTCGAAATTTGCAGGTACATGCGTAAGCTTGCGGCGGCTGGCCAGACAATCATTGCTACTATCCACCAACCGTCTGCCGCATTGTTCGAGGCCTTTGATGAGCTTCTCCTCCTGACCAAGGGTGGCAAAACCACGTATTTCGGCCCTACAGGGAAGGATTCCTCGATTGTGTTGGACTACTTCAACCAAAGAGGTGCTCCTTGTCCACATGATGCTAATCCGGCTGAGCACATCGTCGATGTCGTGCAAGGGCGGTTGAACCCCGATACGGATTGGGCCAGACAGTGGACTGAATCCTCTCAACGACAGCTCATGATGACCGAACTCGAGAGGCTCCAGAAAGACCGCAGCAACAAACAATCCATGGACACAGACAAACTCAAAAGCTTTGCCTCACCTCTTTCCTACCAGCTTGTTCTTGTCACTAAACGGCAAATCGTATCACTCTGGCGGAACCCCGACTACGTGTGGAACAAGATAATCCTCCATATCACTAGTGCACTTTTTGGAGGATTCACATTCTGGATGATTGGCGACGGTACTTTCGACCTGCAACTACGCCTGATGTCTGTTTTCAACTTTGTGTTCGTGGCTCCGGGGTGCATCAACCAGCTGCAACCTTTGTTTATTCGCAACAGAGATATCTTTGATACTCGCGAGAAAAAGTCCAAGACTTACAGCTGGCTAACCTTCATATCGGCACAGCTCATATCTGAGATTCCTGTTTTGATACTTTGCGCGACTATTTATTTCGTCAGTTGGTACTTCACTTGCGGGTTCCCAGTAGCAGCCAGCAGCTCCGGCCAGGTTTATCTTGAGATGATACGTAAGTTAATCCGCACATGTTCACATACTTGAAGCTGACTCTACTGCAGTTTACGAGTTCCTCTATACTTCTATTGGACAGGTATGTTCCCTGGGAAATGTAGTGCATGCTAAGTGGCTAATTCAGCACTCCAGGCTATCGCGGCGTATAGCCCCAATGAGTATTTCGCAGCTCTGGTGAACCCGATCGCGCTCGGCTGCGGACTCATATTATTCTGCGGCGTCATTGTTCCTTATTCCCAGATTCATGCTTTTTGGCGCTGTAAGTACCGAAACTTGACGGTCCCTTCTACACCGTAACACCAACCTCAGCTCCCAGTCGGAGCTTACTGGCGTTTCAAACCGGGCGCAACGCTGTACATTGTTAAATCGTTTAGAGAATGCTGTAAAGGAGTTGCTAATTTTATTGTTCCCTCAGATTGGTTGTACTACTTGGATCCTTTCACCTATTTGATCGGGGCCCTCCTGACTCCTGTGGCCTGGGATGCCACTGTACAGTGCTTGGACAGTGAGCTGACTTACATTCCACTACCCACAAACACGACTTGCGGCGAATATATGAGCGATTTCCTGGCCAAGAATGCAGGATACTTGGTCGATGCCGCCAGTTCCACGTCGTGTGCGTATTGCGAATATAGCACTGGCGCTGATTACCTGAAAACGATGAACATCAACGCCAAGTATTATGGTTGGCGAGACGTACGTAATGATGCCACCGCCATGGCGGCAACTCCCTCTTTCTGGTTGATGTATTGGCTAATGTGCTCTTTCTAGGTTGGCGTCACTGCTTTATTCTGTCTCTCATCATATGCCTTGGTCTTCTTGATGATGAAACTTCGAAGCAAGGCTACCAAGACTACTTCCTAGGCAATGCTGAAGATGTTCCGACATGCGCTGTATCATGATACTCGAACGGGAATACGGCTTCGAGTCGTTGTGACGTTTCAGTTGTATCGAACTTTTTCTTTCTTGGTTGGGGAACTCTAGACTAGACACGAGGCCTCCGGTGGCAGGTCCTAGATTTGGGTTAGATTTGAAGAGCGATCCAAGGTGAGGCCATCACTGTGGGCACTTCACAGTGCTTTTCTCGCAGATATGGCCAATACAGATGCTAGGGATTAAGAACTTGTTCTGTTTGCATTCGTGACCACCAGTGTAGCTCTCCATACGTCAGTCGAGACGGTGAATTCGTTTCGTGGTTAATGCAAGGTGTACCTTGTACCTTGCAGGCATCACGTGGCGATAAGCATAGAAAGCTGCAGTGCGGGCGGGTGTGATAGCATTAGCGCCACCATCCATGGACTCGAGTCCCCAGAATAAAGTTGCGACGTCGAGTAGTTGAAAGTTGGAGGGATTCGCATGACACCTCTCGTCGTTAGGCGCTGGCATCAGCGGCTGGTCTTGTCCAGCATGGGAGTCTAAGCACACCATTGCATTGCTACGTCGCTTGCGTTCCTGGCGACGCGACCCATGGTCCCGGCCGCCCCATGGCTAAGAAGAACAAGAAGGCCGCCTCGGCCAGCGAGGGGCCTGATCGGCGGGTTGACAATGCGACAACACCAGCGCCGACAGCGCCCTTGGCTGATTCGAGTGCCCCCCAAAAGGGCAACAAATCGCACCCCGTGGCTCAACCCTCATCGTCACCACTGGTGATATGTAGGAACAAGTCAGTAGGAATTCCTGGCTCGTCCCGCCGGCCCATTGCGCATCGCTGACGCCCACCCCGATAGACACTGGAAGTACATCTCCTCCTTTCACGGCCCATGGCTCCAGCTGCCGCTGGAAGTCCTCGAGACGATCGCCAATGCCAACTACTACATGCCGCTGCCCCGTCCCGTGGACCCCGCTGTCTTCTACGACCTCCTCAAAATTCGGCATCTTGTCGACGATGCCACCGACCTCGCTGTCCGCGCCGCGAACGGGGTCACGTCGGCCTCCATGTCGAACTCGCTCGCGAGTGGTGGTGCGCCGCACCACATGCAGGCACTAGGTCTCGGCCTCATGAACGGTGCAGGGATGAAGCTGAGCCCCGAAAGGCGCTTCCGATTGCGGGAGCAGGCTACGCAGAAACTGTCACGCGCATATCATATCGACGAGATCGCATCCAGCGTGGCCACCATGCAGTCCACCTCGACTCTCGAGAACGTTGCTGGCTTGGTTCTTCAGCGAGCACCCGATAATCCTGATGCCAATTACGTCCACTTCTTTCATGAGAAGATCCCAAGCCGGCAGCTTGCCGAATGCACAGAACTCAGCGCTCTCGACCCGGTCATCAGTCAGAGGCACAACGATTGTGAACCTTTGAGGACAAGAGCTATCGTGCGCATGTTCAAGAACGACTTCGAGGGCGCAGCTCAAGATCTTACCCGAGCCTTGGGGGAATATCGACTGCATCACTCGGCTCTGCACCGACCTTCTCCCGAGAATATGCAACTAGAGAAACGGCAAGCCCGGCGCCGGGAAACACCATCATTAGATGAGCGGGATCAGCCCAAGAGCACCGAGGTCCAACTACTCTTTCAAAGAGCTGGTTGCTATCTGACTCTCGCTTGTGGTCATGTGGAAGGATCCCTCCCTAAACCGACTACCGTCCAAAATGACCAGAGTGGGAAGAACAACCAAAACAGCAGCCCAACATTGTCCTTAGTCGAAATCTCAGCTGCCGAAAAGGAGCCCACCAAAAGAGAACTTGAGAATCGGAAGGCTGTGAGAATGTATGCAAAACGCGCGCTGCGTGATTACATGGAGTATCTCAAGAATCTGCATTACTCCCCGAATCTCCCTATCGAAATGTCTGATGAATTTACCCGGCAGGTGAATCAGGCCAGCCATCGCAGAAGATATCAGAGCCAAGGTCGCAATAGTTCACAGGATTCGTCTGGCCTAAACGGTGGCAATTCTACTCATAGGGTTTACTCGCTTCATGAACTGTTTTCTGCTACACCGCCAGCTGACCTGCCAGCTTATCCCAGCACGGACATTGTTACTGCATCAGCAGCCGGGTCGGTTGAAACAGTCATGGAATTTGTAACATACCATCCCCTCCTTACGGATGTTCTCCACTCACTACTCTTATGCCATGCCCTCATTCAAACCTCGGCCAAGGAGCACCAACGTCATGCTTATATGGTAGCCCGTCTGGCAAGACTAGCAGATGGATACCCGATATTCCAGGCTAGTCGGTCTCCTGCACGAGCTGACTGGATAGAGGTTCTACGCCGCGCAGAGAATTGGGTGGAGTTGACTGCATCATGGGAGTCACTGTGTGCCCCTGCACCGCTTTTGACCGCGATGTCTCCTGGAGGAAACCTTTCCGCTGCTACTGCAAGCGCCAATGCATTAGCGATCACTGGCGGGCCGAGTACCACGGAAACTGAGGAGCAGCGGAAGGACCGCCTTAGACATCAGGCTATCATTGAAGCCCTTGAAGACGAGCGCGTCAACGATGAATCAAGCTTTAAGGCTGCAATCTTGGCACGCCAACGCAGAGCTGAGGCTGAGCACGCCAATGCTCCACTTGCCAATAGCAACGGGAATAGTAACGCCGCCAATTCCCCTTCGCTTTCGAGCCAGAAGCGCTGGGCAGTGGATGATGGGCGCGAGTATCCGATCCTAACGGAGAGGGCTGAGGCCGTTGCACGATGGGTCCGCGAGGCGCCTGCGGGCTCTGGGGTAGGGGGCGGAAGACGGAAAAAGAAGCCGGCCGCTGCCAAGCGGCCTCCCTCCGCACCTACCAGCAATAACAGTAATGAGAGCTTCGAGCCCACCGAAGTAGATTAGATTACTGGTCCGGTTTTTGCAACGGACGAGGCGGTTGAATATCCGCCAATACCGCTCATCTTGTATTTTTGCCTTGCCAGACGCTGAAGAACGCGTTAGGGTGCTTGTGCTAATCAAGCCTCAAGAAGGCCAACTCCGAAATTACGATGACGGGAGCGCAAGAGCGCAGACGAATCGGCTCGTTTCCAGTTGAAGTCTATTTTCGTCGTAGTTCAAGTAACACAACGACGTGTGAGGCTGTTTCGATTGCATGAACGTGAAGCATTGGTGCCGGTTCATCGGCTTTGGATACCCCCCCCTTTATGCCGTCGTTTCCCATAGGGCCTCTGCATGTCGAGGTGTAGATGACATTGTTCAAAGGGATTTGAAAACAGACCTGCCTTGGATACTGGGAAATGGGTGTCTATCTGGACCAACTTCGGCGTATGGAGCCGTATGTTGCAGCTGCTCTATGCTTGTGGTGAGTCGCAACACTGTCGTGCTGTACAAGGTTTGCCACTTGAATATTTCGTCGGGCTCAACCGGCCACGAATACCCTGAGGGCACCATGAAGGAGCCACCACGTGCTAGAACCCAACCCCATTTGTGTGCAGACTGCGATGGCAATCCACAATTGCGATTTGAAATGGCATCAAAGATCAGGAACCTGGTTCCACTTTCGGAACTGGCTTGTCCAGGTCCTCCATTTGGTCATGGGAAGTATGGTCGAAGCCGGCACGACATTCCGCCACCAACAGATGCCTCGGGCGTTCTGGGACGATTCTGGATGACATGAGGACGTGAAGGGGTCCCACACCACAGTGGCAGTATCTAATTAATCAGTGATAGCCCGCCGTGGGGGCATTACCAAGACCCAGGTTGCGTCTAATTTGAGCAGGTAGGGCAATTTATTTGAACTTTGGGTTCCTGGTTTGCAGTTTACAACGTCCAATAGCGAGTGGGCGAGTGTACGACCCCGACGTCCGGCACTACCGCGACCCAGGAATCTGCACCAGCTGGGGCCAAAACTTTGCTGTCAGTTCATTATGGAGCGCACTGTACTGCCGAAATTCAAGCTTTCAGGTCAATCCATTGGTTCAACTGACTAAGCGGAGTGCAATAGAACTGACGTGGCGTGCACCTGCGATACTGGTTCTCACTCAGTATCGAAACGACTGGCACTGGGGTAGAGTATTAGAGGGTCCAGAAACCCAAGGCGGGAAGCAGCGCCGGCTCACCAAGCTTGTGTGGGGAGCGGAACCTGTCAACTTGGGGGTCTGTGGAGTAACCCTGCAATCTGGGGACTCTCTGGGGGGTAGAGGCGATTCATCTCCAAATTCCATCCCACCTCTATGCGGTGAAACGACGATCTCGACACCCGCAGGCAGGTTGAGCAACCGCAGATTCCAGGCACAGCGCTTCGTAGACGAGGGTCATGCATGGACGAACCGACATCCGGCCTCATGGTCCCATGTGATGTGACCCTTCCAAATTTCTCAGACTCGGGGAACCGATCCACCTGTTAAGGTGATACTCGGCAGATGCCCTCCGTTCTGAGTTCTGAACCCCTGCAAAAAGCCTCCAATAACCAGGCGTCCTGCCATCCTGCCCCTTTCCTACTTGGGGAACTACATTCTATTAGACCAATGCGCTCGATCATTTTTCCACCCGCTCCGCCGGCGCGAAGTGACATCGGTGCCCCGTGGGCTGCCGTGTGTGGCTGCTGCAATACCGGAGGCTCTTCGTGTACACTATACCTTTCCCGAATGCCTCATTGGTTCCCCAGCAGCACACCTGTTTCTCCAAGACGCGGAGAACGCCTTCCAGGGCGAGTGACGCCAATGGCTTGCAGCATGTCACCCAGTCGTATTGGGGACACTCGCGGCGCTGAGGAGTCTGGCCGGGCCGCCACCCGGACGTGGTTTCTCCAAATTGGGGTTCCGGAAAGACTGTCATGGTCATGAGTTCTCAATCATGGTGCCTTGCGTGGATCCGGGATGGGTGGCTGGGCAGCGACTGAGGGATGAGCGAGGGCAAGGGGATCGACCACTTGGGAGAAGCGGAAATCTATATAACAACACCTCCAGAGTTCAACAAGAGGTCTCCTTTCTTCAGCCACTCCTCGCCTCTTTCCAGTCCAATCTCTTCCTCGCAAATCCATAGGCAGACGACCGACTTCCGAAATGCACGTTCACTCGAAGATTGCTGCCGCCTCGGCGCTCATTGCCGCAGTCAGCGCCCAGCAGGCTTGCACTCTCACGACCGAGACGCACCCTTCTCTGTCCTGGTCCCAGTGCGCGGCTGGCGGCTCTTGTACAACAAAGGCAGGATCCGTCACCGTTGACGCTAACTGGCGATGGACTCACGATGTAAAGAGCAGCACCAACTGCTACTCCGGCAATGAATGGGACGCTACTCTGTGCCCTGATGGCGAGACATGTGCTAAGAACTGCTGTGTCGACGGTGCTGACTACAGTGGCACCTACGGTGTAACCACCAGTGGCAATGCCTTGTCGCTCAAGTTTGTCACGGATGGCCCATACAGCAAGAACATTGGCAGTCGTCTTTACTTGATGGCCTCCGACACCAAATACCAGACCTTTACTCTCCTTGGCAACGAGTTTACATTTGATGTTGATGCTTCAAAGCTTGGGTGAGTTTTTCAACCCATTTTCCCACGAGGCGGCAGCTGACTTTACGATTAAGATGCGGACTGAACGGTGCAGTCTACTTCGTCTCCATGGCTGAGGACGGTGGCTTGAGCGAGTTCCCTACCAACAAGGCTGGTGCCAAGTACGGCACTGGATATTGTGACTCCCAATGCCCTAGCGATGTTAAGTTCATCAACGGAAAGGTTAGTCGACCGCAGCCTGTTATACTATGCCGGCTGTTACTGACACTACAATAGGCCAATTCCGAGGGCTGGGAGCCAGCTTCGAACGATGCCAATGCCGGAACCGGTGGTCTCGGCGCCTGCTGCTCGGAGATGGATATCTGGGAGGCCAACAGCATCTCTACAGCATACACCCCCCACCCTTGCACCGACATCGGCTACCACTCCTGCGAGGGTGATGCTTGCGGCGGCACATACTCTTCTGATCGCTATGCTGGTGACTGTGACCCTGATGGCTGCGACTTCAACAGCTACCGCCAGGGCAACAAGACTTTTTACGGGCCCGGCTCTGGCTTCACCATTGACAGCTCCAAGAAGGTTACCATTGTAACACAGTTTCTCCAGGAAGGCGGTGAGCTCTCCGAGATCAAGCGGTTCTATGTCCAGAACGGCAAGGTCGTGCCGAACTCTGAGAGCACCATTGCTGGGGTTTCTGGTAACTCCATCACCGCAGACTACTGTTCCGCCCAGAAGACTGCCTTTGGCGACACCAACGACTTCGCCACCAAGGGCGGCCTGGCTCAGATGGGCAAGGCTTTGGCTGAGCCTATGGTTCTGGTCATGTCTCTGTGGGATGACGTAAGTTGTCTTACCGCCTACCGGGAGTCTGTGGGAAACTAACATTGATCCTCATAGCACGCTGCCAACATGCTCTGGCTCGACTCGACCTACCCTGTCGACTCCACCGCTCCTGGTGCCGCTCGAGGAAGCTGCCCTACCACGTCAGGCGTCCCCGCCGATGTTGAAGCCAACCAGGGCTCATCCACGGTGGTCTACTCTAACATTAAGTTTGGTCCTATCGGCTCTACTTTCAGCAGGTAAGTAAGGGGTGTTCATAGTCTCACGTCTCAGGGGATGGTGATCTGAATCCTGCAGCACATGAAATCCTAACACCTGACCGTGCTAGCTCCGGTTCAGGTAATGGCGGTTCGCCGACAACTACAACAACTGCCCCGAGCACCACCACGACCAGTGGAACCGGCGCCGGCGCCGCAAAATATGCTCAGTGTGGTGGCATCGGCTGGACAGGGGCAACTACATGCGTCAGCGGCGCGACTTGCACCAAGGTCAACGACTACTACTCCCAGTGTCTGTAGACTCACCAGGGGTTGGAAACGTTGAAAGAAAATGTTGGGTATGATATACAGGGTTCTAGATATCTAGACTCTAGGCATCAGAAGTTAAATTGGTAGATGGCGATGCCAATAAAGCGGGGACGGTGGTAGAACTGTACATATCAAGACAGATCTTGTTTCTCTTCACGGTATATAGTTTATGGCATTGTTTTCTTATCTTCTCAAGAGAAACTTCCAGCTAATGTGACAACTCTGTGGGAGATTCTAATGTGGTCTCGGCAACCGCGAAACCCATTATTCCTGAGAAATGACGAAATGCCATTGAGTTCTGCAACTGTCTGTGGCTGACCCCTAACGTCGGGCTCTGAAGGTTGGTGCGAGTTGTGAAATGCAGCGTTATGGTCTTTTGGAGTGCCACCTGGATCAGGGTGCGCGAGATGTGGCTTACGGTTTCCAATACACACTATCTGCCGTCAAGATCTCATACTCTCTGGCTCATCCCAAGACCATTGGCTTCTCTACATACTCTATTGTGACAAGATCACCCTCGACAGATGACTCTGTGTACAATGTCTGCGTATCATTCCAATAAACCGCTGTCATCTGGTTCAGCGTTGCATTGTCCGCTGACACAGGAGGATAACAGGTTCCGTCGGCATTATAGCAGGCTTTAGCCCCAAGGAATGTTGCGTTATGCCAGTCAGGAAACACGTACCGCGGGCCGTTGACATAAGTGCCCGCTTCCATAATCCACTCAGCTGAACTTCCCAGTGCTGGCCAAGTAGGGCCACGCCATGTCGTCGGCGCAGCCTGGCTGTGCGAGAATGTCTGGCTGGTGTTGAGGTTCGTCATGGCAATGGACCCGGACATCCCGTTGTCTGCAGTGGTGATAATTACCTGGAGGTGGTCGCCAACAGATAGAGAGAGTTCGGTGGAGTTCAGATCAATTGGGTCCAGTGGTACCCTAGTATAGCGTTAACCTGAGAGCCCGTTTTCAAGCACAGGAGTCAAAGAACTCACCACTCGTAGAAGCCTTTATACTCCGTGGAACCGTTGTTCCGGATAGACATGACCACCCCGGCTTGCCACAACCCCGAGAGCGCTGCTGGAGAGGATTTGAAGCCCCCTAGACCGATCCAGAAGGCAGCCGTGTATTCATCAGATTGCTGATGCGGCCTCGCCGGGATATCGAGCTGTGGCATGACAAGCGTGGCCTCCACGCGATCAAACCCCCCGGCCGTGCCGTTGAATCGCTCCGCCATCCGTACCGGTCCGGCCCAGGTTGTGTCGTAAAATATCTCTTCGGCGGCCAAACCGCCCGACCCGAAGGCGACCGCGCACAGAAATCCACTCAACTTCATGATCTTCAAATGGCTTCACAGTGAATGGCGAAGGGGAACTTTGTAGAGGTGAAGTCACTGACATCAAAGTGTTCTGAAATAATTCGTCAATGCATGTTCGTCAATACGAGGTTGGACAATCTCCGTGGTGGGCCAACCGAAAGCATAAGCCAATCAAGGCAGCTCCCCAAGCTCCATATTTACTTAGACTAAGTAGATCACCGTTGTCGAACCGTGCATTGTACGAGTTCGACGTAGAAGCTTTTCAGGTCCGGCACCTAAAGCGCACCGGAATTTCGCTGTGCACATGGGATAGATAGATAGTTATATAATCGTGAAAGAGCTGCTACGCATTGCTATTTCTATGATGCAGCGGCGGTTTACTAAACTATACTGAGGCCATTGACTAGCGCATCTTGCTAACAAACAGTATCGTTGAGTGGCACACGTCCTGCCCTGAACAGGGGTTTTGGTGTCAAATTAGGCGGCGTCGGCTCAAGGCGACGTAAGAAGAGGTAATGCTTTTGTAGATATTTTAACCGGCTTTAGTAGTCCGACAGCTAATCCTGTGGGGGTTTCTGCATGCAAAATGCATGTCATGCGATGCGCTAAGGGAACATATGAGCCAGTCTGTGGCTTGCCAAGGACTTAAATCTGCAGGTGATAGATGCCTTCACATATGGGGAGATACGAGAGAACTACGAAGTAACTAGGTTCCTTTTTTATCGCATCAGTACGTGTTCATGATAGTAGGATCAACACGAAACAGGCAGCTGCCTGAAGGGCCCATTTATGATTATGCATTGCTCGTCATTGCTAGCGGAAAAGTCTCATTATATATCCGCTCCAAGCTCACCATCCAACGATCATCGAATCATGCCACGTCACACAAGTCTCAATGACACTCATGGCATCTGACTAGATCTTGATCTCTTTGGCATCGGGCGCGCGCTCTGCCTGTTGAATTTCAGGTTCCTGCTTCTCAATGTCATCATGGTTCATAGCGGTCGGGGCGGTAGTAGCATGGTGTGCGTCCGGAACACCAAGTAGGTTTCCACCTTTCTCAACATGATTCGCACCGCCGAAAAGCACGTCAATCTCTTCGATCGGCACTTGCTTCGTCTCTGGCAGGAAGAAGAAGACAAAGGCGGCAAGACAGACGTTGACAGCCATAAAGAAGAAGAGACATTTCAGTCCCGTATTCGCAAGGAATGCGGGAAAGAACTGCTGGAAGATAGTGTTGGCCACATTCTGCATCTGGGAGCACATTCCCACAGCCTGAGCACGGACGTTGACGGAAAACACCTCGGCAGTCCAGATCCACACAGTAGCTCCCCATGATGGCTTGTAGAAGAAGGTGAAGACGAAGAGCAGGAAAACGATGGCAATTCCCACCGAGTTAGACTTGACACCGTTGATAGTTGGTGTGGTTTGGCCGACGACTGGCACGAGCATCATGGCCAATGCCATTCCACAAGCACCAACCATCAGCAGCCATCTTCGACCATATCTGTCAGCAGTCCAGGCAGCGTTCAAGGTGAAGAGGATGCCGCAGGTGGCATTCAGAGCATTGATGAGATCGATGGTGCTCTTTTCCTTCCAAACTTGCTTGTAGATCGCGCTCGAGTAACTAGAGAACGGTTAGTTAGTTATATTTCAAGAGATAGTCAATCATCGTGTTCTATGCGACTCACCTGTTCAATGTGCCCTGGCCAGTAAGCTGCTGGCCGACATTGATTGCGAAAGCGAGGTAAAGACGTTTGCGAATAGAAGGATCCTTGAACAAAGCCCAATATGAGGCACCGACGGCTTCTTTCTCAAACTCGATAGCTTCGCGAATGGCAAGGAGCTCATCCTCAACTTCTTGCTCAGTGTGGCGGATTTTCCGGAGAGCAGCTCTGGCGTTGTCAATATTGTTGTGGCGTTTTACCCACCAACGGGGTGACTCAGGCAGGAATGGGAGGAGCACTAGCACAATGATCGGGACCAGCATCTGGAATATGACGACCATTCGCCAGTCCCAGTCTCCCAGCCTGGTTTTGTATATGCCAGTGGCATAGGCAATCCAATAGGCAATGAAAGACCCAACAGAATAGTTTAGTTGCCAGAAGGTCATGACTGTACCACGGATCTCGGCCGGCGCCATCTCATTGATGTATACAGGGCCAGCGGTCAAAGCGATACCCTGTCCCAGACCAATTAGGACACGGCCGCCGATGAAGCAGCCGATATTGTGGTAAGGAGCGAATGTCTGCATGAATGTCGCGATGATAGTCACGAAACAACCGATGCCCATACCGGTTCGACGACCGAAGCGGTCAGCCTAAAAGAGTCAACATGTTGGGCCTTCCAACTGAATACGTTGGCGTACAATAGGACCACCGAAGAACCAACCAGCAACGATTGCACCAATAGTGTAAGCCGTGTTGACGAGACCAATTAGATATGTATCGGCCTTCGAGTCCAAGCCGAACCATTTCAGCCAATTGTCCGAGTTCTGCGCAGCGTTGAACACCGAGGCGTCATAGCCGTAGAGCACCATACACATGGCCGCCACCATGCAGATGTACCTATTCGGGCGCTATTAGTTCGCATGCTGTTATGCTCCAGCATTGAGCGGGAACCTACCAGTTATAGATTCTCTCTTTGGTCGGCATATTGGTCCGACTGGCAAGCCGAAGCTTGTCTCTGCTGATGTCTGAGAGAAAAGAAGTTCAGCAAAGGAGCCTATCGCCACCTTCAGAGGAAAGACTGATGGACTACGGTTGCGTAGTTGAAAGAAGCAGAGAAGAAGAGGGAAAAGGGAGTGTGAAGGGTCAAGGAGCACATGCAGAATATAAATGTCCCTGTCAGAGACCCCGGCGATTGGATCCCAGGAATACGGAACTATGATAGACCCTGTCTGGGGTTATCGGCATGGGTTCAGCTGTCCAACCACAAGATTGGATAACTCAATTCCATCAGGTGATTGTACGGAGTTAGCATCTAGACCTACCACACCCTGCTCGACTCGCTTGCTGGGAAGGCTTGCTGAGGCAAATGCTCCAGCCCCGGCGCCAACCCTCAGTTGCTGTCTGCTGTTTCTCCACGATTCTTCTGCGCGAAGACCAGTCTGAATGGGGACCCCACAATCCCCAACCCCCAATACCGATGGTGGACTCCTCACGTCCTCCACAATTGCGGGCCGGTTGTGTCGTCGAGATGGGCTTTCTAGGTCCGGACCAGGTCCTTCGAATTAAAAAGTCGTTGGAGCCAATCTCGGACGGCCTCCCCTTAGCCAAACCCCAGCGCATGGAGTCCAAAAGGTGGATAAGAACGCCCACCCCCAGGTTTACTGGCTGGAAGCCAAGCTTCCCCAGATTCCACCAATAGAAATTCTGCCGTGCGCGAGCTAACTCGGATACGGATCCGGGCTTGGCGACTAGTCGGCTCGCTTTACCACTTCCCCCAGAATCCCCGAGAGGGCGTTCACTTGACATGAAGTCGTGAATGATGGATGATTAGGCAGCTGTCACAATAGTGGAGTTAGCACCCAAGTATTCTGGGGTTCCTGACGGCAAGCAACCCGAGTACCAGGTCAGCGGTTCGGTGGTGAAACGATCCTTCCAATCAAAGCCTAAATAGTGTTTGTACCATTCTCCTATCGCGGAGGAAGCACACCTACAGAGCAGATAATAAGCCTGCTATAATAGCGTTCGCCCTCACGGGCCGAGTCTGAAGCTCGTTGAATCCTAAGCGTCTGATTGCTGACTGGCTGGTGGTGCTTAGTTTCCCTTAGCATCTCACTCACAGGTCCCCTGGAGTCTCATTGTCTCAAGCCATTTCCACTAGTTTGTATGCAGGCGCGGGGACTACGAGTCGCAATTGCACGCTTCCTTCTTTGCTTTTGTCCTCTGAGTACCTTGCGCGAGCCTCCAACGACGGTTCTATCAAAGCTGATACTTGGTCAACAATCATTGTTCCATACATGACTGCACTATGGATCATATCAGTTCCATTAGCATCCGTAGGCTTCACTTTGAGATATAGAGTCCATTTATCGGCATGGAGCACTTGGGTCAATACTTTAATGCATGCCTTTTTATATGACAGTCGGTACAATCTGTCCCAGGAGCTAAGATATGCATGGCTAGTGCGGCTCTCCCCCATCTTCCCTGAAGTTGAGTGCCAAGGAGCCTTATTTTCCAGCAATAGCAAGCAGTACCGCCAGCCTGGATGGTCACAATGCGGGTCTAGACCCGTAGCCTGTATAGCAAGCTTGGCGGAGGCGGACATCCATAGATTTGCTGATGATCACCTCATCGCACAGCTTCATTAGGAGCCACCACTTGTACGCTACAAAAAGATACAAAGTCTATCAAATCAAAGTAGAATACCTACCAGCGTTCTATTCGTCGCTCTGTCGTCTGATCACAACCTGGCCAGAGCATCGCGTCCAAGGTAACCCTGGAGTATGGCCCTTCTTTTTCACCATCATTCTTCGTGTCCTGTTCGCAATCTTACACTCTTGATAACAAACAGCAAATTCTTGTTGTGTTTAAGATACAGAGAGATCTCTGAGAATGGCGTAGCATCCTGTCGATTTACCGGCTGGCTTAGATGTATTCAATGCCTACTGGAATCATAGAAACCTCGAGACATATCACCGAGGAATCGATTTGAAGAGAGTAGGCTGGCGCGCATGCAAACGTCAGACTTGTGGCAAGCCGTTGGTAGAAAAAGATAATCACGTAGTGAGCTGATTCAGTTGAAGATTCATTTACCTTGCGAAAACGTGAGGGAGCTAGCGCATTAATAACGAATATGGCAGATGCTTTACACCATACAAGCGATCATATGGGTGTATTGATTCATGAATTACTTCACCGTCAATCTTCTGACTAGGGTGTTAAAATTATATATAAGTGAAATGCAACTCATCTCTACTTTTCATAAAATGAGTGCCGGCTTCCCGGGAATTAGTGCCGTTAGACGGAGCCTAGAGCAGGCCACTTATCCAAAAGGCGTCATCAGTTCGTTGATATTTAGTACAAGATATGTCTCAAGTTCTATGCAAGGTCATATGTGAAAGAGGTGCCATCCAGCAATGCGTTGGAATCTTGGCCAATATTTGATCAAGGCGCCGCCGAAGTGTCAAACTACACGCTATCGCAGAGATCTGTAAGCCGTGCAAGCTTAACGCTGGAGAGCATGGGTCATGCAGTGCATAAATAATGCAAATTAGTCGTATTATAAAACCTAAAATTCCAGAGTCGCAAAGCTCACCAGGACCCGAAACATATCGCGAAGTTTAGGGAAGTTTGGGTTGAGTTCCAAATGCGTATGCAGCTGGCGCCCTTGTGCCTTGCTTGAAATGTCTCTATATGATCGAGACATTGATCGCTTGTGATTGAATGACTTCGACCCTCCTATTAAGAGACCGCCTATTTCTAGAACGAATTGGTATCCATTTCCGCAAGCCCTAGCACACCTTCCACATTTTGCTTCCAAGCACCGAGTAGCAAAATATTTGCAGCTTGAGAGCCGAACCCCGCTCTCTTGGCAAAGTTGGATGATAAAGAAACTCGTCCCATGTTTGTATCCACGCCCTTGACCTCTCGCAAGCAAGCATTTGTCCAAACATGGAATGCACTTCGCTGTTGCCCTTATCGTGTACAAGTGTGGTTCGAAGTAAACACGACTGACAAATTAGCCAAGTGCCACACTGGGTTCTAGAGACAGCATTGATGTGCTTTTCTATGTATGAATTGTTATCATGACACTCATAAAGTTCAATAGACCATAAGAGTAGGTGGTAGTATTTGGCACATGCATCGGCCATGATAATGGCAATGGTTTCATTAAGTCGTGCCTGGCGGAAACATTATATTGTCCTGACAACATCATTCCATTTCCATTAATATGTCAACGGTTTCCCAATTCATGCATCATGACAATGAAACGCTCCACCGCCGTGGTACTCTCCCAATTATATTAGTGACGGCGCGACTAAATGGCTTGTTTTACTCAGTTCTTCCTGTTGCTGTCAGTTGTAGCATCTATGGCTACAGTCGATGCCGCTGCTTGTAAATGTTACCCTAGCGACACATGTTGGCCTTCAAGTGCTGATTTCAACACTTTGAACGAAACTGTTGGAGGTCGCTTGATCGAGACTTTACCAATAGGATCACCGTGTCATGATCCCAACTATAACGCAAAGGATTGCATAGATCTACAGCAACAGTGGCGTAGCGAATTGCTGCAGTAAGCCTGTACCATATAGCCAACCGTTGTCTGCGATACTGACAATATTTCCAGTCTGTCTTCTTCGTCATCGGTGATGCAACCGTTCTTTGCCAACAATAGCTGTGACCCATTTCAACCAAGGCAAATCCCATGCCAATTGGGAAACTACGTACGCTACGCAGTCAACGCCTCTTCCGTGGAAGATGTCCAAGCTGCAGTCAACTTTGCCAGAGAGAAAAATATTCGTTTCGTGATCCGGAATACAGGCCACGACTATTTGGGAAGATCCACCGGTGCTGGTTCTCTTTCCGTGTGGACCCACTATCTGAAAGGTATCGAAGTTGTAGACTTCAGCTCTGTGGGCTATTCTGGGAAGGCAATGAAGTTTGGTGCAGGCATCCAAGGATTTGAAGCCATGGAAGTTGGCAAGGCACATGGACTTATTGTAGTCGGTGGTGAATGTCCTACAGTTGGCCTTGCTGGAGGCTATACGCAGGGAGGTGGTCATTCCGCGCTTAGCACCAGCTTCGGTCTAGCAGCGGACAATGCACTCTCCTGGGAAATAGTCTTGTCGAACGGGTCATTTGTAACGGCTAGCCGAAAAGAGAATGAAGACCTATTCTGGGCACTCAGCGGCGGCGGCGCCAGCACTTGTAAGTTTTATGCATCACCCAATTCTTTTTATGCCTTTCTCCATCTTTCACTTCAGAGCTATTTCTTCTGCACATTACTAACGCAGTGTCTCAGACGGCGTCGTGACTTCTCTAACAGTCAAAGCGCATGCTGACTCCAAAGTGGGTGGCGCATTTTTGATCTTCCTCGCAGATAAGAATGACCCGGAAACCTTCTACAACGCTATTAGAGTTTTCCATGACATGTTGCCTAGACTTGTGGATGCCGGAACTATGGTTGTCTACACATTTACGAAATCTTACTTCATTATGTCACCAGTGACAGCCTACAACAAATCGAAAGCTCAAGTACAGGGCATAGTAGGTCCTTTCATACGAGAGGTCAAGGCCCTAGGTCTGTTGCATTACAACTTCTTCACCGAATCAGACAGCTATTACGACCACTACAATACTTTCTTCGGACCCCTTCCTTACGGATTGATCAAGATAGGGGGCTCACAGTACGCGGGGAGGCTGATTCCTCGTAGCGTTATCACTGATATCACTTTGACGAACACATCGAGGGAGATCGTTGAACAGAATGTTGTTTGGGTAGGGGTTGCAACGAACGTCGGCCCCCACGGTAGCAACACGACAAGTTCTGTCAACCCAGCTTGGCGTGATGCACTGGTACACGCAGTGGTGACCGTGCCATTTAACTTTACGGCTGCCTGGCAGCACAATGTTGCATTGCAAGATAAACTCACCAACAATATTATGCCGTTGTTGGAAGCTATCACCCCAGGCAGCGGGTCATACGTGAACGAGGGGGATTTCCGCCAGCCATACTTCCAAGAGGTCTTTTGGGGTTCGAATTACGAGAAACTTCTAGGTATAAAAAAATAGGTACGACGCTGAGGAGTTATTCTATGCTACTGTAGGTGTAGGAAGTGAGTCATGGGAAATCATGGAAGATGGAAGAATGTGCCATCCGTCATGATCTCACAACTACAAGGGAGTGAGTGAGCAAGGCTACCATTGAGACGCAAACTATTTCAAAGATTTGTTGTCAGATTTAGCTAGAAGTGGAATGGGTGCTTACGAGAAATAATTTACTAGATCTCGTCGATGTCCAATCAGTTCAGTCTAAAAGTGCGGCTGGCCAGTGCAGTTCGGTACGTGTACCCGATGGTAATATTTTTAGCCTAACTCGGCTGCAAATTTCGAGGCACGCACGTTATGCTCGCAGGATTATATAGATGAAATACGCCACATCACTTGCAAGGCAACTGTTGATGGACCGAGTCTTTTCTTAGATATAAGACGGGTTATTGCATGGCCGCAACGGAGCCAAAGTAAACTTTTTTGTTAATATAAATATAAATGATACCACGACACCATAGCCTCCGAAAACCAAGATACCGGAGCCAGTGGAAACTCAAGATACTTGTGAAACCGCATTTCAACAGCCGCAAAAGATATTCACAACCCCCCTAGCCGCAAACATGAAAGTCACTGGAGCAGCCATTTTGCTCGCAGTCGCTGGGGCGCAAGCCTGGGAATTCGACTACTGGTGCCCTTCCGCTACTGCACACTCCATTCACTATAGTGGGGCTAACAACAGGGGATGCACCAAGTTCTCTGTTCCATGTGCCAAAACAGACGATGTAAGTCCATACTATGGCCTATGTATCATCACCACCAAGACTTGACCGCCCGTGTGGGAGGGTTGAGATCCGATCAAGGCAGAAAAATAATCATCAAACCAAGCGTACAATTCAGAGGCTGATGCATTGCAGATTAATTGGAACACGAACCTTGCCGACGTCGGATGCAAGCTGAGGATTTATAGCGATGCTGGCTGCTCCAATCAGGTTACGTCATACGGCTTCAGTGACCATTATGGTGATATCGGAGCAGCTGCGAAGTCATGGAGTGTGACAGGCTGCTAGATGCAGTTCGCATTCGCACACTGGGTGGTTTGGTATTTAGTAATCGCTCTTGAGTTCGGGGCGAGTTGGACACATAAGCTTGTATGTTCAGGAGTGCCTCTCGCCTCCCTCAGCTGTCAGACAAACTTCCTAGGTACATAGCACCAATGAAACAGGGGCTCTTATCGATACGAAGACAGTAACCGAAGCACCGTGGGCCATTTCGAGTCTAGTGAGCTGGACCTGGAGAGCGGGCGGAAAGCCACTGCGACGAAAGTTTCTTGTTGGTAAGCCAGTTATGCTCAGTCAATTCGGACGAGCGTAGCAATCGGTGTTCCTGTCACTTGAGTGGCTTAACATGTGAAATTTACGAGATATGGCGATTACCATCGTTCAGCTTACTTTCGGAGAATTATGATGTAGTAACGTGACTTTTCGTTAGAGTTCCGACCGGCTTTTGCCAAGCTCTGGTGCGCTGTGGATCTGCGGTCTTGATTGGCGCTGGTGAGGCCTCCTGGTGTGATGAGGTCTTTTTGTAATGACTATTCACTAGACTTCACATGCCTCATCACATCTCGAGGTCTAGAAAATGAGTATCCTTGGGACACAATTTGACCAGACATCCATTCACCATGAGACCGAGACAGATGACCGTCTCGGTGAGGTAGAGGCTCTTCTGGGCACGCAAAGCCCAGACAGCCTCGAAGACGACGACGAGCCGTGCGTTTACAAGACTATACACCGGTACTTAACTCACACGCCTCGTTTCCAACATAATTGATTGACTCTTCTGTTAGAATACGGAGACTTATAATATCGACGCTTGGTATGGGCCGTTGATGCAATACAGCAAGGAATGCATTGCTAATACTAGTCTAGACGATCCCTACACTCTCAATGAGCTTAGAGGACCAAGACTCAATGTCGTCATAGTACGACCACTCGTCAACCGCTTATATGATGCGGATGATCCATCTATTGGTAAGGATATATGGCCTTACTAAGTCACATATTCTTGGCTAAACATGCCCTGAAGTCTACTGCCTCTTGGCAAACCGAATACAGTTCTTGCGAGAACAATCGAATGCCGCTCACCACACAGTCAATACGGCCCGTGCTTCGTTGTGTGAGTTGGTTGCGGCACGTATCTTGCGGCGCTTCAATGAGGACCATGCTGGTCCCATTGGCCTCTTGCTCTTGACTCACATTCTAGTCAATGGCTTCGACCCGTTTCAAGGTGCGCCTGCCGAGATTGAAGAAGAATATCGGCATCCTCAATGGCCGATACAGAGACGCGATGGCCACGAGCGCAAGCTTACGGCACTCGAGCTAGCCATCATTTCGGAGAGCAAAGTATTCATCAGCTCCTTTGCCTGCCAGAGGGTTATCAATGCCGTGTACGGAGGTGAAATTGTCTACACCGCGATATCCTTCATCGATATTCTCCCTGATCATTACAAGTACCGGCCTATAGCACTCTATGATCCTCGACAAGCACCCTTGCTCCCTCACACGCGACTCTCGGTTCCAAGGGTTCGTAGCGTCATGGAGCTTACTCAGTTTATTGTAGTGGTTATCCTCTACGTACTGACAATGTCAGCTCGCAGCAGCCCAAAAATATCAATTTACGAATGTGTGTTCATAATTTATACTACCGGCTGGATAGTCAATGAGTTTGCTGCTGTCATTGAACATGGGTGGCAAGTATATACCCAAACCTTGTGGTCGTTTCTTGATGTTACTTTTATCCTCATCTTCTGCGCTTACGCAGTTGGTCGAAACTATGATGTATCGGCGGCGAGGGTTGCGGATGGGTACGGACTTCATATTCTGTGTACCGCGGCTCCGGTTCTACTTACGCGGGCAGCTTTCGCTCTTCTGCCAGACAACCTCGTCTTCATTTCGATCCACGCCATGATGAAGGACTTTACCCTCGTGACATTTTTGGCTCTATGGTGCTTCACGGGGTTCTTGCTCGCTTTAATGTGGCTCAACAGCAGTATTGACCCTGAACTATCACCAGGTTGGATAACAATCTGCAAATGGCTGTTGTGGATTTGGTTCGGATTGGACGGAACAGGATTCAGTCGCTCAGGCGAATTTCATCCCATCCTGGGTCCTGCTCTCATGACGGCTTTCGCCTTCTTAGGCAATACGCTATTTCTCACCATCCTCGTCGCCCTTCTCACCAATACTTTCTCTCACATCATCGCTGACGCTGCTGCCGAGGTTCAGTTCCGCCGTGCAGTGTTGACTTTCGCCGGTGTCAAGAGTGATTCAATATTCGCCTACACACCGCCATTCAATATCTTAGCTCTACTCACCCTGCTTCCCCTGAAGCCGTTTATTACACCACGGCTCTTTCACACGATCAACGTTTTCTGTATCCGGGTTGTGAACTTCCCAGTGCTATTGCTTATCAATTACATCGAGCGGCGTGGCTTGCTCAAGCCACCGAGACGGAGCAGAAATACATTGCTGCAATGGAAGTTCAGCGGCTTCTCTCCACATGGCGATATTCAATCTGTGTTCGAAGCCACCCCGCCAACATCAATGGAAGCAGAACTGGAGGAGATGGATGCAATTAGTGACCTGGGCTACGCTGAAAGTGAGCTGATATCACCGCGGTCAATGTCTGGTCGCAGAGGGCCTCGAGGACGTACTAGGGGAAGAAGATCGGGATTTCCGACCAGTATCATGTTCCCCTTGTCAAATGCACCTACACGAGAACGAGAAAGCCATGATGTCGATTAGGTCATACCTCCCAATCCCTCGACGACCTTCTAGAAGCATTTTGGAAGAATTAACATAATTTTGTCGACGCTGATAGAGCAAACTATTTAAAAATTCTTGTCGAACTCTGCCTGATGGGGTATTGTGAGGTTCGGCTTCAACTGCTTCCTTGGGGGCCATGCCATGCGCCATTCCCTCCCCCCCGCCTGCTCTTCGTTGAGGCTGTGGTGATATTGACGAATAGCCATTGGTGGCTTGGACAGCTCTACCGCTCGGAGTACTCGAGAATGCTCACCAAACAAAATTGCCAAGCAAACCTCATCGCGGCTTCTTCTCACCTCGTGCTAGGTGGCAGAGCATCTTGAACGAGCCCGCATGGCCTTCCGTGAAGTCAGTTCTATTGAGTTCGGCGATCGAGGCAGCATAATTCATGGTGCGACATCAGAATCGCACATCCTGCTGGCGCCAGAGCCTGACGGTGCAGTGATTGGCAGGAATACATCTAGTGCATCCACACCAGCCCTACCTGCATCCTCCCGGAATTACATGACATTGAGATCATGGATTCATTCTCCATTTGTCTTGATTCCGAACAAATTTTTTTTTTTGGCGACATAATGGCGACAATGTTCCCTGACGGGCACGACCATGGCGCTTGTGACTATTCTCACCTTCCCCTTGGTAGTGTTTGGTATCTGGGTAGCCATGGCTGCCCTGAGATCATCATGGTGGACTCAGTGGGAAGATGCACTCGAATGGTGCGAAAACGTAAGCACCTCCAATGTATAGTATTGTCTGTTGAATCTCACGTGCGGTAGCATGATTGGAACTACCCAGGCTGCGACTCTCTGAGAGACAGACAACTGCCACTACCCAGTGGCCCATCACCGTTCAAACGGGTAAGACACATTGCGAGATTGAACTCCAACAGCGCTCACCTACGCGGATTTGGTACTGCACTTGTTCGAGTTGGGGATTGGTTATCCTCTGTATCGGCGGTCTCTGCGTGTGTACTCTTCAACTTGCTCTTTTGTGGATAAGTCGTCATCATCCTCCGCGAGCTGCCGCTGATGTTCACAATGGCGCTGACTGCATGGCTCATGCAAGCGGAACCGAACCGCAAACTGATAACAGAGCCCATCAAGATAGGGCCTCACCGCTTGACCTCTGATTATTCCAGGGGACTTCAAGGTACTCCGGCTTTGGAGAGGGCGACTATACTAGAGGTGGATTCTGAGACCCCGGAAGAATGGACGACTGTGACGCACCCGAGACTTCATGGAAACTTTTCGGAGACTCGCACCCAATACCGGCAGAATGAGAATGATTTGGTTCAGATTCTCCATCAGGAGCAAAGAATGGGGTTGTTGCATCAACCCCCCACAGGACAGGGTTCTTCTCGCCAGGAGCTTCCGGCGACTCGCCAACGACAAGACGACGTTTTCTCATCATCCGTCGCTTCCTCATCATACGCCGCCTCATCACGATCACGATCACGAAAGAAAGTCTCAGCAGCCTTCACAACTGGCAGGGCAACCAGAAGGGGCCAAGGCGACTATCGCCGGATCTGCGTAAGTGTGGCAACCATGGCGTAATCCGAGCTCTGAACTAATGTGTGAACAGCCCGATTGCCCCGGTTCGAACAATTCTTGGCGGTATGACGGCTACTGTGCGCTGTGTCACATGAGGCGCCCCAGTTGGGTAAAAAGCTTTCAAGAATATAATTAAATCAGGCATTACTATATGTATAAATAATATTGCTGTCGCAATTTCTCTTTAAATAACCGTACAATCCCATATAGTCAGACACAATGTGAACCTCACGACTGTAGTTCTTTTCCCTCTTTTTTCTTCTTTTTTTCCTTTGACTTCGCAGAGTTGTGCCATGATAAGCTGAAACCGGCATTGGTGTCCAGCTCCGAGCTGCCCTCCCTTCTTACATTTTGATGTCTCCTGTGCTTGAAAGGACGTTGGCAACAGTGACTTCAGTTATAGGCTCTGTGTGGAGCGCAGGAGAGAGTACTCAATGTTGGTGCAGGCTCGCAATGAAATCAGAAGCGTGGAGGCTATGGTGAAGTAATTTGTACCGCACCGCACCGGAGCAGCATACTTCCATCGTCAACCCAAGACTGATATGATTGGTGTGGCGATGATACGCAGTCACGAAAGCGGATGAACTTGAGTTTTTCTTTCTTGGCAAAAGTCACGGTAGAGCGCCGAAGGCCCATGAATACAGGTTTATGCACTGAGCTGTCCTTGTTGCCATCCGACGCCCTCTACCTTCTTGCGTGGGTTCGAACTCAAGGTTGCCGAACGCCTCTATACCATATTCCAAGTCCGTTGCGTGTCTCTTCGACCTCTTATCACACATGCCGGCCGTCAAAGTGCCTGTAAACCAAGCAGGCGATGATTCCTCTCTGCTCTTCTTTCTCGTGCCTTCAATCCCTATACAGAGTCCCAACCGTTCTCCCTCTTGTACCATCTCAGAGTATCCATGCCCGTCTGGACCCTCATGCCTATTCTAGCATCTAGCACATAAGCCTCCCACTTGGCGACCTTATCAAGCCAAGCTTGACACTCATCCGTCTTCTTGCGGCGCCAATCTTCTATCTCCTTCTTCTCGCCGTCCGCTGACTTTTCGTCGTCGACCGTCTGCCTCATCTCGGGTTTCTGCACCTCCACCCAAGCGAGCACGGCCAGCTCGTAGGTTGCGGCTGGCTGGGCGTAATCGTCTTTCGTCGCACCCTTGAATGCAAGCCTGTTGCTATGTCAGTACCATAAGCTCTACTCATATTGGCGATCTGCAGAAGAAAATCGGAGTACTCACTTATCGATAGCTAACACCTCCTCGCATAGAGCTGTGGCCTCCTCAAGCCGACCCAGAGCCCGATAAACAGCGGCCAAACAAACATCTCTCACAGCACTCTCATCCTTCTCGGCTTTTATACGTGTCTGAGCTTCATCCGATGCGGTGAGTCGGTCCCAAGTGAGCATGGCAGCAGAATGCTCGAGCTCGTGAGGCTGCATCTTCTTGATGCCGTTCCATAGATACACCATCTCTTGGACTGGGCTTACACCAACAGCGTCGGCGAAATCAATCTTGAGGTCTTTGGCGCGTTCCTCCCACTTCTGCACCTTGCGTTGCACGAACTGTTCGAAGGGTAACGGCCGCGACATGAAGCGCTTCTTCCCCGCGACAGTTGGAGCTTTGCGGAGAAGTTCCTCCGCCTTCTTCTTGTGGAGCTGAATCTGAGTATCGTCCTTTTTCTCGGCGTGGAAGGCAGTTCGATAAAGTTCAAGCTCAGCACATCCTGCCAGAAAGTAGTACAGAGCATGGCTCCAGTCATTGAGTTCGATGCAGCGAAGGAAGTTGTCGCGCATAGCGCTGTAGTCCCCAACGTACATGGTATCGAGTGAAAGCTCAAAGTTATTCAAGGCAGTCACCTGACGCATTTTGGAGTCGGTGTTCTTCTGGAGAAGGGCAATAGCACCCGGGATGTCGCGGCTATTCGACAAGCCTCTAGCTTCCTCAAGGCGCCAGAGGCGCGATTCTGGGTAAAGCTTAATCATGGTAGCCAGGAGCTCCTGACATCTTTGTCTGGGGTAGCCCACTATGGCGCCATTCTCGGCGTCTTCTTCCGAAGGTAGGATATCGGCAAATCCAAGTAGCCCGTTGTAGTAGGCGAAGAGTACGAGGCCAGCTACTGCTCCGTTGATGTTGTTGAACCGAGTGCTTTGCCATAGCATCTTGACACCACGCTCCCGATCGCCCCTGAACCCGATAATGGACAGGAGGCGGGAGAATGCGGGAGGGACCATGGATATCATCAACAGAAGAATACCAAAGCACATGTTTGCACCACTATGAACGAAGACGTCAACGGGATTTGTAAAAACGTCCGAATCAGGTCCGAGATCTCTCTGGCTTTGTGAAGTCGAAGATGTTGGAGTGTCTCCCTTAGCACCGGCCTGTTTCAAGTCCCCGTTTCCATTGATGGACAGGCCCTGAAGCTTCTTCTCTGCCTCATCGCTCTCCTTGACCAGGTGTCCTTCGTATTGCGCCGGAGTTTCTGTTCCCGACAGGGTTTCGGGCGCCTCGACGAACTCAAGATCGGCGTCTTCGCCATTGCTCTGCTCTTTGGCATTCGCTGCAATATCCGGCATGGGCGGAAGCTCATCCTTGGTTGCACTCAGCTGAATCCCCTTCTGCTTTAGGTAAGCAGCCTCGGACTCCATGAGGCCGTCCAGTGTGATATAAGCCTTCCTCAGCTTCATGAATCCTTTGATGGCCTCGGTCAAGCTCTCATGAAGTACGGCCACCATGGCTCCCATCAATTGGGCTTCGGCATGGATGAGAGCGTACTCACTACCCGGTGGGTAGATGCGACTCTCGGAGTCTTTCTGGGCTTTCTTCTGCTCGTTCCAGGCGACGGTCTCGCATTCATTCAACCTATTGCTGGCCTCGGTCATGATCTCCTTCTCGAAACCCAGGACGCTGCGCATGAACGTCGTGATGCCAAGGCCCAACGAGTGAAATGCCGAGGACCCCTTCCGCAAGTCCTCCTCGGCGCCATCAATGTCATCGTTCATGATCTTGGAGGCACTCGTCATGGCATCTTCGATATTGGCCATTTCGGCCGCCCGTAGGTCTGTCTGAGACCCGGCCGGGCTTGGAGAGGTGCTCGTCTTCGGGGTCGACCCCCGAAGCCAACCGCTGAGCCTGCTCATTGTAGCGTCTTTGCCACAACCAAAACCAGACCCGAGCTTGTGAACGCAGGTATCTGCAGCAGGACCAAAGATGAAAAGTTTCTTCCCTTGCTGATGAGAATTACAATCAATGCCTGAAATTCAGGGCTGATGCCGGCGTTAGTGCAGGTGTGGGTGGTGGGGCCAAGGGTCCTCCTCGTTCCAAGTGCCCGGTAACTCCGTGCTTACAGGTCGAGTGCGACGGGGACTAGGCGAGGATGGCGAGTTACTGAGGATCGTCCTCGCTACAAAGGTGTTGTGCCGGGGTGCCTGCAAGTGAAATATAGGAATGTAGTGTATCGTAGACCCGAATGTAGAAAACCTGCAGGCAAATGAATCGCTATAAGGCCCCTCCAAGAGGTAGTTCCAACGTAGGATGACGTCGGGAATTTCTCACGGTGAGGCAGAACAACCGGGACAAAAGCCCCGCGATGGCGGTTACGGATTGCAGCGGAGCCGCGCCGTGTCATCGAGTCAAGGGGCGGGTCTATGTGTCTGATTCAGGAATCACGGGAAAATGAGTGAGAGCTCATTGAGTTTCCTATCCTCGCAGCGCTCGCGCTCTTCCCCTGTGAAAAGCAAAATGGGGAGAACGATAGATGGCGCAGATAGGTAAAGGGCTGCCAGTGTATGTACGGCTGCACGGTACATTTAAAGCTGGACAAAGAAATCTCATCCGGCCGACTGGACGAGCGAGCGAGCCAACTAACAGCCCCCTTGCACTGTTTCTCGCGCCGGCGGGGTGTGACGAACGAGAGGATGAAAGGCCACTGCTCTCTATGACTACGACCAGACTGATTGCGCCGGTGTAGCTGACAGGTGTAGCTGGTTGCCCGACTACCAGAAGGATCCATTGCACATGCAGGTGAGCGGCGTAACAATGTCTGGGGGCCGTGTGACGCCGTAACAGGCCCGGATATCTTAGCGCTGTAAATCATCGGCGGGGCACAAATGCGGCTCACGCCCGCCAAAGCCACCTGGGCATAGGTTCACCGACACCCTGCGGGCGGCTTGGCCCCAGCTTCCTCACGCGCCTGGATCTGCTGGGCCGCCGCTAACTAAGGCCTAGGGTGCCCTGGGGGCCCTGGGTGCCCTGGGTGCCCGCTGCGATTCCATTCCATTGCTTCTGGGAGCTTCGGCCACCGCCAGCTGTCTGTGTGTGTTCAGTGTGCAGCCTCACCGGACAACAGCCTCGTCATCCAAGTTCAATCTTCCGCTATCCTCGGTCAACCAACGCCATCTGCATCTGACGATACCGACGCCTTACGTCTTCACTCTGCGACTAGTCCCCCCCCCACGAACCCCATCCGCCCGTCAAAGAGACATCAGAAGCGAACGAGCAAGAACACCACACACCTGGATCACACACACACGTACACACACACACTCATACATCATTCGCCATGGCCGCCGACAAGCAACCCACAACGGCGGAGAAGCCCGAGCAGCCCCAGACCGCACAGAAGTCCGCCGCCGCGTTGGAGGAGGACGATGAGTTTGAGGACTTTCCAGTGGAGGGTACGTGTGCCTGCTTCCGTCCGCCTGAGCTTGGGCAATCACCTCCCCTCTCATACCCCAGGACTACCCTAACTCTCTCCCTCTGCCCCTCATGTGACCATCGCCTCCCTCGAGCTGCTCTCCCACCTGCGCCACGCGAGATCCGGCCCCCAGTCATTTGGCACCCACTGAGAGACACATAACACACGTAAACAGAAGCAAAAGACTAACGTGAGCCCCCAACCCTTGCAGACTGGCCCGCCTCCGAGACCGAGGCCGCCGCCCAGCAACAAGCCGCGGCCGGGGCTGCGAGCGCCGCGACCGAGGGCGAGGGCAAGGGGGACAACCACCTGTGGGAGAAGTCGTGGGACGACGACGACACGTCGGACGACTTCAGCGCGCAGCTGCGTGAGGAGCTGAAGAAGGTCGAGGCCGCCAAGAGGAGATAGGGTGGCCCCGCCGCGCCGATGTGAACGAAATGAACCCCATTTCTTCAACCCCGTCCCTTGTTTCGATGTTAACAGCGGTGCGGACCAGTTGGCTGCCGGGAAATGGGGTGATACGAAAGGGGATAGAGACGGCAGTGGTGGCGACTCCCACCCGGACAAGCCCGAGGTTCTGGTCCCTTAACGACTTTGGGATCGTGCTAGCTCTATGGCCGTGAACCGATCGATGTTTCGGCTGTTGATGATTGATGATAAGCCAAGGGTTTTGTTACGTTCGGCGGCATATGCGGGATCATAGACATCAACATAGACGGTCCTCAATCGCATCCATGCAAAGCCAGTCTCCCATCATAGAGAGTGATCTGCAACAGAGACGTTGAAACCTGGGACGTATACAGTGGCTATTTGATACTTTTTATTTTCGTCTGTCTGTTCTCCTTTCTATACTGCGATTAATCGTGCTACCCAATCTACGCAGGTGGTACTTGAGCACATTCATTGCCGCACCAATCAACGGGCCGACCCTAGCTGGTCACAAATTCATGACCCATGCATTCCAATGGTCCCCGAGGCTATGTTTCTTGCCGCTCCGGCCTTTACCCATACAATCGACTTCGGTGGCTTTCCCGCTCTTCTAAAGCTTGGTACTGCTCCCCTCAACGAGTCACTTGCTGCTGAGGGCAGTGACACCGGGCAGCTCCTTACCCTCCAAAAGCTCGAGAGATGCGCCACCACCGGTGGAGACGTGGCTGCACTTGTCCTCGGCGTCGTACTTGGCGGCCACGGTAGCGGTGTCACCACCGCCGATGATACCAATCTTGCCCTTGGCAACGGCGCCGGTGAAGGCGTCGAGGGTGGCCTTGGTTCCCTTGGCAAACTTCTCGAACTCAAAGACACCAGCTGGGCCGTTCCAGAGGATGGTCTCAGCACCATCGATGGCCTCCTGGTAGAGCTTGATGGACTCGGGACCGCAGTCCAGACCCATCCAGCCATCGGGAATGCCGTCCTTGTCAGAAGCCGAGCCAGTGTTGGCATCCTTGTCAAACTTGTCGGCGGTCACGTAGTCGACGGGCAGGGTCACCTTGACGTTGTTCTTCTTGGCCTTCTCCATGAGCTGGCCAACGGTCTTGGAGCCGGCCTCATCGAACAGGGAGTTGCCGATGCTGACGCCCTCGAGAGTCTTCTTGAAGGTGAAGGCCATGCCACCGCAGATGATGAGGGCATTGACCTTCTCCAGCAGGTTGTCGATGAGCTGGATCTTGTCGGAAACCTTGGCGCCACCGAGGATGGCAAGGAAAGGTCGCTTGGGGGACTCGAGGGCCTTGGCAAAGTAGTCGAGCTCCTTCTTCATCAAGAAGCCAGCAGCCTTCTGGGGCAGGTCGACACCAACCATGGATGAGTGGGCACGGTGGGCAGTGCCGAAAGCATCGTCTGGGCTTCTGTTTAGCACTAGGCGTACAGAGGCAAGAGGATCAGAGCATAAGCTCTAAGGGGGGTTGACTCACTGACGTAAACGTCGCCCAGCTTGGTCAGGCCCTTGCGGAACTCGTCGACCTTGGCCTTGTCGGCCTTGGTCTTGTTGCCGTCGGCGTCCTTGGCGGATCCCTCCTCCTCAATGTGGAAACGCAGGTTCTCCAGGAGGACGACCTGGCCGTTGTCGGCCTTGGAGACGATGCTCTCGACCTCGGGGCCAACGCAGTCGGGGGCGAACTCGACGCTCTTGCCCAGCAGCTTCTCGAGCTCGGGGATGACGGGCTTCAAGCTGTACTTGGCGTTGGGGGAGCCGTTGGGGCGGCCCAGATGGGACATGAGGACGACGGCCTTGGCGCCATTGTCGATGGCGTACTTGATGGTGGGCACGGCACCGGCAATACGCTGGTTGTTGGTGACCTTCTTGTCGGCGTCGAGGGGGACGTTGAAGTCGACCTGGGGTGGGATGACGTGTTAGCCATGGCCGGGAAAATGACATGTACATGTTATTTATGTATACGTCGAACGAACCACCAGCCCTTTCACCCCCAACGGGAGGGGGGGGGGG